AACTTAAACCCAAACCCAACCCCTATTATAAAAGCTTGTTTTTTTTTTACATAAACTTAATCAATTAAGCTTTGGGATAATTTCAATGATATCATTTAAGGGGCTAGTATATGTCCTGTAGGCAAATAGTTGGGATCTACTTTTTAAGACTATTTTGTATCTTTTTTCTGAAAAAGAACATAATCTTAGAAATAAATTATAGGACGTGCTTGCATACACTTTTTTAATTAGTAGTTTAGTATTAATATCCTCTATTTTTTAATTCAAAGATTCAAAATTGAAATTATAGAAAACGAAAAATCTAAGACATGAAGGCTTGATTGTTGCAAAAAAGTTAATGTTTATTTTAGTTTTAATTGGATCATAAAAAAGCTAATTAACATAATCAATTTTATTATCATTGATCAATTCTATTTACATAATAAATATTATTGTAGGTAAAATGGTGAAAGAAAAGGTTGATTTAATTACGATTCTCATCTTTGAAATACCCATTATCATGTTTACTCTGCTTAATATCTGTCATGAAGAAACCTATGCACATTATTTGAGTTTAGAATCTCAAGTTTTTATTGGATTTGGATAAATTGGACTTCTATCATTGGGGATAATGGCACCATTAATAAAATATGGATATTAAATCAAACTTAAATTAACATAATTAATCGAAAGATGGAGGAAATAAAAAGTAAATTCAAAAGAATTAACTGCTTCTTCTCTTTTTATTTGAAGTGAATTGCTTGAGTGATCAAATTAAATTTATATCATGATTTTTCGTTTTATTTACATAATATTAATCTAATTAACTGTTCTTAAATTATATATTGGTTTGGTTCGAATATGAATTTCATTTAAAATATTTTTATGTTTAAATTAGTGCTCCCCCTAAAAGTTTTTAGATTTTTTCGTGACTTTTTGCTATTCTGCACCCAAATCCTTATGTTTGCACTCTGTATTTAAATAAATGTGGTATTGTGAACAATTTTTATACCAAGTGCCTCCTGCATTTGTCGAATCTGCTAAATCTGCTGATCTTCTTGATATTAAGTATTTATAATAAAAGCACTACCCCATTAAGTTTCTGGGGTATCCTAAGTTTGTATCACTTTAACCAGTAATTCTAATCATTGTTTATTTCTGAAAACTAGTAATTATTATTGAATTATCCATTTAAAATTAATTGGTTTTATAAAAACAGGATTTCAAGAGTCTCATATATTTCCATCAGTTGGGCATGTAAAGTAAAGTTAGGATTACTGTAATCCTTGCATGATACATTAAACCAATACTTAAATAGTTGTTATATTATAAAAAAACAGTATTATCAAGAAGGTATGATTAATTGGTGTACATTAAGAATAGCAATTACTTGTTGAGTAAGCAATCTCTAAAATTCCTAAACAACCTTTATCCTAAGAAGCATCTAGAGAGAAGCCGTTCCTAAGAAAGATACAGCTAGACAATTTTCAAATCAAGATGCAGTAATATACTAAATTGACTAAGCGAACTAACATTATAATAACAGCCAACACACATAACAAACAAGCCAAAGAAAATTATTATATAATAAAATACCGTTCAAACACTCATCATAATTCAGTCACTAAGGATGAATAAAGCATTTCTTGCGTTGTAGTAAGATGCAGCCTCTATCAGAATAATAAATGCAATATCTATAGGTATATCCTGCGTCAACTCCACATGTTGCAATAAATTAGGGTTTTCAAGACATATATCCTCTCACAAGTTTTAGCAACTATTAACAACCAATTTGATTGCAGAGTAAAAGGTATAAATTGTTATTTTTTAACCGTAAGATAGGCAAAGTCTTTCACACTCACACCAATATAACATAACTCATTTACATAAGCTTTGTATTACATATCATTTATAGGGATTTGAACAAGAATAGCAGAGGTAAAGAGGAACAGTCTAAGGATATGGACATAATATCTCGAAATAATGCACGACTATTAGAATGGCATATTAAGTGAACGTTTCTGAGATAATGCATTCTGATAAGGCGCTCTTAAATTTCTACAGGATGGGTTAATTACATTATGACAACATCTTTTGTACCATCAGCTAATATCCTTTGTTTTTTTTAATTTCCTTAGGAATTATTTTTATATTTTTTAAAATAGTTGAAGGAGAAGGATAATTACTAAATAGATATATTTAATAATAGTTGTGTTTTTTTGAACACAATTTGTCCAACTTCTATATCCAGATTCACACTATTATCTGAAAATGAATTTAGGCTGTAGTTTTTGAAAAAATAAGACATGGAGTATGCCACAGTGATTTAAAGATGTCAATTGGAACATACTTTTACATTCAAGCAATAGGTAGTTACAGGAAGTATATTAACAAGACTTAATTTATGCACATGTTACAACAGTTTCAGTGAGAAATATCCATGATGTATATATAAGAATCATTTGAATTATTCTTACATATAACGACAGGTTTTTAGCCTGAGTATTATTTATCCAAATAGTAAGATGCATGGATAAAGAGATGATGCCAAGAGGGTTAGGGTTAAGCTCATTATTACATGTAAGAAGAGAAGATATGGTCAAATGAAATGCTGCATGGTTCCTTGATATAAAAATAATAAAGTTATATCACTTAGTAGCCAAGTTTTCAGACGACACCTGATGTGATGCTATAGATTAGACAATTTATTATAGAGTAAGCCCGTACCTGTTCCTTATTCAGACTTTATATCCAGTGCAAAGTACAATTTAATACATTGGGAAAATACTGACGACTAAAAGAACACTCCATCAGCAAATTAATTGCAGGTTCCATTATTTTTATATGTTACATTTTAGAATTGGCTTTGTAACCTAAAATTTTCGATCTTATTAAAGTAAATTATTGTTTGCAACCTCTGCTTCCATCAGCTCAATAGCACAAGATGTGTTAGAACTTTTTAATTAATGAAAAGAAAGGTTAACAATGTTAATTTAGCTTTTCAAGTTCTATGTATTTAAAACAACGCTTGAGCGATTTGTGATCTTCATCCACTGATTGAGTAAATATCTACTATAATTGATAAGGAATAGATGTTAAATCATGGAATGAATATCATCAAGAAAATCACAGATGTTCTCATAAAATTTAGGGATCCTGAATTTAATGAATTGAATTACTCGATAGATGAACATGTAAAAAATTAAATATGATCTGATCACAAAAATATCCTAAGGAAAAGAGGATCATAGAATGACTAAATTACTAGTTTATCTTACTGCCTTGGATGAAATATACATATTTAGTGGATCAAATTCTCTACATTTGTTGGTTGAAATAAAGGTCTTTTAAAAATATTAGAATTAAAAATACTTCACTATTAGGAGCAAATTTTTGAAATGTGACTTAAGTGGATCTGAATTTGAAAACATCTTATTGGAGGAATGAAAAATTAAAGCAAATTTATTTAATTGTAATGAAGGAATCTCATAATAAATGAGTTGAATAAGTTAAATTGTCATAGTGGTTGAGATGGTAACTCATTAGCTTCTTGTAGTTATGATAATCAATTCCTTTTTGTGATTTGAAAGCAGGGAAAATACATTCTGTAATTAAAGCAGAGAAAAATGTAAAATTAGTGTGCTTCTCACCCAATGGTGTAACATTAGCTTCTTGAGACGGCTAAGATATATACTAAAATGGAATCTTAAAACAAGAAAATAAATCTCAAAATTTTATGGTCTTTTTTGTTGTTTGTTCATTTTGTTTCTCTCCTGATGGTGCTACATTAGCATCTGGTAGTTCAGATAGTTCTATTCGTTTATGGACGTTAAGACAGAATAATCTAAAGCTGGATTCGATAATAATTTGGATCAAGATAATCCTAATTATTTCACACCTTATGGTACTACATTAGCAACTTATGGCAAGGTTATCTGTTTGTGGGATGTTAAGACAGGTAAAATAAAAAGCCACATTAGATGTCATTTGAGTTATGTTTGTTCAATTTGTTTCTCACCCAACGGTGCTACATTAGCATCTTGTAGTGAAGATAACACTATCCTTTATGGGATGGTACTTAGCTAGCATCTTGTAGTAATGATAACTCTATCCGTAAATAGAATGTTAAGACAGAATAATAAAAGCCAAATTAGATGTCCATTCAAATGATGGCATGCTTAGTCTGTTTCTCTCCTGATGGTACTACATTAGCATCTTGTACTTAAGATAATTCGATCCGTTTATGGAATTTTAAGACAGTATAATAAATCTTATCAGAAAATAATTGCTATAATGATATTCTAGTATAATTTTCACCTGAAATTTATAACAACACCCTTATCTTAGAAAGTGGGATTTATTTTTCATTATTATTTAGCTACCTCTAATATTACAATTCTTAGAAATTTCATAAAATCCCTTTTTCCAAGCCAAAGATGATCTAATCCTTAAAAGGGAATTAATAGACTATTCAGGCATAAATCTAAGATTTTCGATCAAATCTAAAGGAAGTTACATTTATAAGATATATTGTATTCTAAAAAAAATGATTTTTCCAAAATAAAACATTCCAAATCTACAATTTTAATTAAGTTTTACTATTTTGTGTTGATTAAAAAATTTATGGATTTGAAGGTGTAAAATTTAAAATATTATTCATACAACAATGGAGAATACATATAAATTTTTCAAAAAGATTTTAAAACTTAATCTCCTTCTGTGTACAATAAAAAGTTGATAGTTGTAGTTGGACACTCAATATCAAATCAATTTAATTCAATTATTTCATTCGTAAAAGACATTAAATACCCTAATTAAAACAGATCTATAAGCTTTACCATAGCGATTAATAAAAAGATCAGAACTATTGTCTACAAATGGGTAATATTTTTATTAATAAAATATATAAAATGTGTTCATATTTTGAAAAAAAAATATTAGACCTTATTTTAACCTTTTCAAATTAGATTGTATATCTCCTATTTTATCACAATAATGTATTAATAATAGTATTTTATTTCTTTTTTTGACACTTAATAAATCTAAGTCTTTGTTTTGACCTGATAAAAATAATTTTTTCCGAATAAAACATTAAATAACAGTTTTCAGGTAGGAGGTATCATAAGGTCGTATCAACCAAACCAAGGACTTTGGACATCTAAAGACTCGTTACATAATGAACCTGCGACAGCGATTCCAATGGTTTATATACTCTATAAGCATTATCATATAGGAAGAATTCAGCCAGCCGAATCAAAGTCAATAAATGTTAGGTGTAACAAATTGCAGAGTATTTTGAGTTGCTCTAAATGAATCAGCTGTAATGCCATAAATTGTAAAAAACTAACTATTGACTGTTTGTTTGCTCAATCATTTGAACTAGTAGTACATGTGATTAACCTGCATTTAAATTTTCCGAATATTATTCTGATTCTACTGTATTAGGTCGAACATTTACGTGTACTATGAAAAGAGAAACAAGCTTTGGATTAAAAAAATGTATGCCAATAAATTTGAACATAAGTAAATCTTTACAGTATACCCAACAGCATCTAAGTTATATCAATTCTAATATAATTATCAAAGAAGAAGTTAATAGGCCGAATTTTATTGCGTGTGGATTGTCCACTTTTTAGGACATTTTTTGACTAAGTACCGTGCGTCACAACTTTTGCATATTTTCTAAAATGTGAATTATAAATTTATGTTGCACAAGCATCACGCTCGTTTTTCTGAACAATTAATATCAACTTGATTTGAATATAATAACATAAATTGTCACCATTATAAAAGAAGTCAAAACTTCAATCAGTAAATCAAGCTGCTTTATTAATAAATTTACAGAATGTATCACAGTTTGATGCTCCTCCAGTTTAGTCATCAGCACATAATCTACAAATGGCAGAGCTTTCTGTAGTGCTTACAAAAAGAATTCAATTTATTACAGGTGCTTTGAAAGTGGATGTAATACAATCCTCTATAGTTCTAGGTCAAACATTACAATAAAATTTCTAGGCCATAATTTTATTATTATCACTGTTTAATTACTACAGTGTTAAGGTTCATGTAATGCATAAAACAAACTGATCAAATTAAAGGAGTTATATACAAACCTTTAGTTATTTTGTTTATTAGCTCTAATTCCTAGATTTTGACAATTAATAGATCAATTTTCAATAAGTGCAAGTAATTTAATCTCAAGCACGATTTTGCGTCAATAATTTAATGGTAACCACTATACTATTAACGACCTCATTAAGTTTTCAGAAAAAAATTTATGCAATGCCGATGCAGCTCAAGTTTGCATCACCAAATAGTATCTGCTACAGCCTAAGAAAGTTAATACAAAAAATTGCTTATATTGAAGATTTCTCATCCTTTCTATTTGCTTTTTGAGCTCACTATGATTGAGGTTATACGAATTAATTAAATGAGACTGTTTTGTACATACAGGTCGGAGTCATTAATAATGGCCTCCAAACAATATATTATTCTTTGAGAAATGTGGTACAGCTGCCTCAATATTTGCAAACTTCATTCTCAAAGACTTGCACATTTGATGTAACGATGATGATACTAAATACTATTTTGAGAACTTAAAAAGTATATTTCCAAACATTCTATATAAGTTCCAGTAGTTCTAATACTAAGGAATAACCACTGCTGACACATATTATATAGCAATATGAAAAAAGTATATTAAATAGAATAGAAAAAATTTAAGACAATTTAATAAAATTCTTAAGAGATATCATGTTTTAATTTAAACATCTTGTGAAAAAAAATGTCTAAGATAAAAAATTTTTAGAAATAGCCTTATATTAAGGATATGGGCTTTAATTGCAAGAAGGACAAAACTATGCATGGGAGATACAATTCAAATGCAATCAGCAGGTGTGGTTTCACATAGATTAAATCCTTTAAAACAGGCTTTTAATTATAGTTTAACAGGTCATCTTTGAAATTCGGTAGCATAACCCAGATAAAGCAATATCAATCCAAGTGACGGAAAAGCTGCATACAACACATGGCTTGCTATTATCTAAAAAGTATTCATCAAAGTATACATTACATACAGGTAAATTGATTTAAAATTGAATACTATTTTTGGAAAAACAAACTAGCTGATTGAGTAAATGCCTTTAAAAAATCAAACAAGTTAGAATAAGATGCTATACAAATAACATTGATTATGGCTATTATGTAATGTTTCAATCATAGTATAGGACAGCAAATAACAACACTTAACATTTCATCTAGCAAACATGAAGGAAATTAAAATGAAGAAACTTTAACAAGCTAACTCATGAATTACAAGTTATTAGTAAATACACTTAAAGCCTTTATAAAAGTAGCCTTCACTTTATTTAGTGCAACTTGAAACAGAACAGTACCAATTAGGAGATACTGAGCATTGAGATTAGAATGCTAGAGCTTTTAGTAGTTGAAGCATGATTATAAAAACTTTATGGGATCAGTGTTATAATTTTTTCAAGGATCACTACACTAAGGACATGTGATCGTTTGGTAGTAAAGTTGTTCCAAGACTTACATGAAGTCAAACATGATGAATAAAAATGACAGAATTACTATATTGTAGAACTAATGCCAGTATAGAACACTTTGTACATGATTCAAAGTGTTGAGTCGAGACTTCATCGTGATCAAAATAGAAGAGTAAAATCTACTAGCTGGATTCTAGATATTTTACAAATGGCATTACAATGTTGTAATTTGGATATTAATGACATATAGCTGCAACTTGTAGGTCTAAAGTCAATGTTCTGGCAACCATATTCAATGCTCGTAATCTCATTATAAATACTATGTTGCCAATAGTGGTAGAATGCTAAATGTACTAGCAACTATCTTGTGTGTACTAATGACTCATGTAAAATATGTCTACCTGGATATTGCCTTTATGCTATAACTTTGCAATCTAACGATTATGATGGGTTATTAGTTCATGCTAACAATGAATGCTGCACATTTCAGCTCCTAGCTGTGTATGTGTGAAGCAGGCAAAATGATACATCCATTCTAAAAGGCTATTATGAATAACACATTAATGATTATTCTACTTGCACTTTTCTAATATGTTCTACTTTTCCTTTTAGAACTTGAACCATCGTAAACATGAACAGCATAATTTAAAAACTCAGCCATTCTTCCTCTATACTCTTTCGATGAAACTAGTATAGATTTACACAGGGTAGCAAGATCACCTATGAATTTAATTATGCCTTTTGAATCAAATAATTAAAATTTTATTATTATTAAATCAATAATTCAGTTCATCATTTTTAATTTAATAGAATTCTATATGAATCATGAAGTAAAAAATAATTTAGCTCTTTCATTCACTCGCTTTATCTTATTTTTTTAGGATTTGCTCTTATAATAATAACAGCATACTATTCTGCATATTAGTCTTATATACATTTTTCTACTGAGTCTGTAAAATAAACTCCTTCTCCAACTTTAACTGTCCTACCATATTCATCTAAGCACTTATAATCTCTAAATTTCTGAAAATTTCCGGGTTGTAAATTACTTTTTAACTATTGAACTGGCGGCATATAAATGCGTGCCATGAAATAAAATTCTCCATTCATCAGCCCTGCCATCCTTTTTTAACGAATCTTAATTAGATCCATACTTGTCTAACCCAAATCCAAAGCAACCTTTTGGATGATGATGCTTTTGCATTGCTAGAAATGCCAAAAAATATATAAAATGCCATTTCTAACAAAGATAAATTAAATGATATAGTTAAAAAACTTAAATTATTACAATAGAATTTTATCTAAGAATTATGAGCTCTTAAAATTGGAAATTGGTTTTGGAAGGACAAATTTTTTAATCTGTTTCACTAACTCAAACTCAGATTGATATATCATATAACTTGAAATCAAACATACATATTTGCTATTTAAATATTATGCTCATTACACTGTGTATTGTATTGTATGATAGATGAAAAGCTTACTAAATAGAATATATATAAGGATATGTTTTTCCTTTATTGTAAAGGCCAACTGAAGACAAGCAAGCACGTTCGATAATAATATAGATTTTATTCTTTCAATACACGAATAATATACATCTTAATTGATTTTTCCACTTATATATTCATGATGTAATCATTTTGCATAATCCTATTTTTCCTAAATATATTTTGAACCTTGTAATTATTACACCTCTCCCTTTCTACAGTTTTCTATTCCACAATTAAAAAGGTAAGACATTAAGAGTAACTATTGTAAAATCTATTTTTATCTTTGACCATCAGAAAAATCTTTCATGAGATAAAACACTGATCTCATCATGGTATTTTCTTTTGGGAAAATGAAGAGATTGTTCTTAAATAATTTTACCTAAATGGAACGATGGGGATTAATTACTGGTACAGAGTATTTTTTAGCTAAACTTGTGCATTAACATGAACATTTGATGATGAATGAAATAGAGGATCAAAAAAAACATTAGAAATGTGGAGGTGAAGAATTTAAATAGCTTTCTATTAGCATTGAGTAAGATTAATGGCAAAAGACATAATTCTTTTGCAGAAAACTTTCAGTTGCAGAAGATGTTGCAAATATGATAAATTCATGCAAATCTCGTTTTCCAATTCCTATTTGATGATTAGGGCATCAATTAAGAAATTGGGCTCTTATAATTTAACTCTAAATAAACCAATAAATTTAAGTGGTAAATTTGTATAGTATAGAAGTATTTTCATATCTTGATCCAAAAATCCTTCTTCCACCTATGGCATCTTATATAAACTTCCTTATTTTTAATATAGAAATGCTAATTAGAATTCAAGTTTTTGTTTTAAATTAATAGATTTAATAGATACCAAATGTATTAGGGAGATAACAGGAGATTAGAATTTCTACTTGAGTCTATTCACTCTAAATTCTACTTTGCAAATTTAGGCCATTATTGTAGCAATAGCTCCCTATGATAATTTTCCTTAAAAGCAAATCTATGTGAAAACAAGATCAAATGCTCTTAACATTTAAGCATAATATATTAATACAAATTATTATATTTAAATATAGAAATTAATGTTGAAAAAGTTTAAAATAGCATGTATTTAAAATGCAATTACTGCCACTAAAACCTAAACATTGGCGTTAGTTAAAGACTAAATCAAAGAAGCAGCAATTCAAGGAAGTAAAGTCTGCATTCTTGGAGAATGCTTTAATAGTTATTATGTAAAAGCGTAGCTTTAAAACAATGCTGAAGACTTCGGGAAAACTGGAGAAAGGTAAACACTTGATCTAATAAGCGAAATTTCAAAATAATTTGGAATAATGATTATTGGATCAATTCCTGAAAAAAGTGGAGATAAAATGTACAATACAGCCTTTTGTTTCAACAATGGTTAGTTGTTAGTAACTTATCGAAAAACTCATTTATTTGATATAGATATTCCAGGAAAAATAACATATAAAGAATCTTTGACATTTTCAGCAGGTGATAATTATAAAATAGTTGATACAGAATACGGTAAATTCGGAATAGGAATATGCTATGATATTCGTTTTCCTGAATTAGCTTAGATCATGAGAGAAAAAGGATGTCATTTTTTAGTTTATCCTGGATCATTTAATCTTACAACGGGCCCATTGCATTGGGAATTATTATTAAAAGCTAGAGCAGTTGATTATTAATGTTATGTTGCAGGAGTATCGTCAGCCCGATATATGGGAAATGATGAATCAATATACAAAGCTTGGGGCCATTCAACATTGTTAGATCCTATGGCTAAAGTACTGGCCACATGCGAACATGATCCATCTGTAATTATCAGTGAGGTTGACTTAGATTATTTGGAATAGGTTAGATAATAAATTCCTGTATCTTAATAAAGAAGAAATGATATTTATGAATTAATTTGCAAGAAATGATCAGTTATTATAAAATATAATGATAATTCTCACAAAATTTAAAAATTGCCAGATTACATGTATTTTGGAACTAATCATCTTAAGAATTAATTATAATATTAAATTTGTAAAACTGTTACAAATGAGCATAAATTTTGAGAAAATAGAATGCAAAGAAGCAAAATTATATTTTATTGAATTTGATTTAAAATTTCAATGTTTATTTTCATTTTAGGTTTATTCTATGAAATACAAGTAATAAAATTCTTTACGACTTTGAATCAAAATATGAAGATTTTTTTTGTTATTTTTGAAATCAGCTTCTGAAGGAAATGCTTAAATTCAACTATCAAGCTTCGAGCATTCTTTATTTTATGTTATTTTGATCTTAAAACTTTTATAGATTGCTTTTTTGTTGTAATGTAGATTATTACTAAATATTGGGGTTCCTTGATTAATGCATGAAGGAGCTTTTTCTTAAAATCATAAAGCTAATATATGTCTATTATTATTTTAGTTAAAAATTATCAAAAACTTAAGAGAAAATTAATATTGAGTTATGGGATGTATATAATCAAGAGAGGGTAAATATAGTAGAGAGATTATTTATAAAAACACATCAATAATATTAGTGGAAGGAGTAATTGAGGAAATTAATTCTTAAGCTATTGGTATCTATGAAATTATAATAAGTAAACATCTCTATAAATCCGATGGTAAGCAAGTTAAGAGAATAAGTTTATAAATACATTTATAATCATGATGAAACCTTTGATTTTTTTGAAGAGAGAGATATAATTTAATTAGAGCAACTAAGGAACTCAGTTTTCAAAAGTACAGAAACACTATTAAATTTTTCATTTGTATCTGGTTATGTAGCAACAAATCTAAATTAGATAAGTGAGGAGGATCTATTGAATACTTTTGAATAGATCCTTTAATTTGCAGACAGAACTTCCAGCCTTTATCAAATATGCTTTACTGATTATCTCATTTATGAAGTTGATGGAATTGACTACAAATCTTATGCCGATTGCTTAGTAAAATCTGTATTCAAGTAATTGTTTTATGATAATAGGTTTTTAACTTTAAACTCTGAGAGATAGATTGTTTCTGTTAAGTTTTTGTGTATGAATGCTAAAAATGTAATAGTTTTACTACTATTCTAGTTAAATACAATGCTTCAAATGATGATGAAGTATGAAAATTATAAATTTTGAATATTATTAATAATTATCAATCAATGTTTACATCTATTGGAGTGATGCCTACAAACTTCATGTGCCTAATCACTATTTTTGGATACCTTACCAAAAGGTATTATTACTTATACTAAGCCTTATAAATATTAAACCCCGTTATTTTTAAAATATAAAAGGTGAAGGTTTGGTTTATTCTATTTCGAAGAATTAATTTGGGATTATTTATTAAAAAAGAAGATTTGATAAAGCATCTACAATAAATACGACAGTATTAATAGTATTTTCCCCACATCTCTATTATCAATCATTTTTATCACAAAAGCATCATACTTAAATTTTGTAAAACATATCAAATGATGTTTGCCTATTCAAGTTGAAATTTGATACTAAACAACTATTCTATTAATTCTTCTCTTTTTTATTTCCTTTAGTTATTTTCTCTAATAATTCTTTAGGGGTGTTCCGACGACAATCTCATTATTTATCTTCAATTCCTTTAAATAAATAACTTCATATGTTGTCTGTGATATTTCTTAAAATTTATCCCTTGATTTTCTTACCTCTAATGCATTGAAACAATATGTATATCAACAGTCACAATTTTATTGTTAAAATATTCTTTAAATTATCACCTTTACACAGCATTTTGAAATTCTTGGTATAGGATTTTTATAACTTTGCAAACTTTACAGGTTTCCTTTTACCAGGGAAATTAATGATTATCTTTGCGCACACATCATCTCGTGGATCAATGTAATTTTTACTTGTATCTGGATTGTTAGGTTTGATTCAATAATTTGGTTTAATTTCAATCCATAATAAATCAATGTATTTAGGAGGTTATTCAAAAATTTATTAATATTTTTGAAGATCAAAGGCATGACTACTTTATTTTGATTTTCTTCATTAAACCTTGCTTTAGAGATCTCATTCCTGAAAAAAGTAAAATTAGACATAATTTGAATTATATTATTTTATTAAGATGTTAGTAACAATGAAAGGACGTAAGAGTTCTGCATCTAAATTCGATAGAAAAGAGTTTGATTAGAGAACATTAAGTGCTGCAGTGAATTTGATCGTTTATGGGTGTCATGTTCAAAAATATAATAAATCGAATAGAAAACCGATATCTAGATTATATTATTTATATGAGGAGGACATGGATTATTTATAATACTTACATGCAGGCAGACCATTTACACAATGTAGAATACCATTGTTAGATATCATCGAATTAAGAGAAATTCCAACAACAGAGTCATTCTAAAATTTACCTTATCAAAGAACTCTTTAAATAACATTTGCGAGCAAAAAGCATACAATTTTATTTAACACAAAGAATGAAAGGGATCTATTTTGGCAAGGCTTATAATATTTTATTGATGTGGCAGAACATAATTTGATTCGAGATATAAAAAGCACGAATGATAATCAAATAGTTGAATAAATCACCTTAAAATAAATTAAAGGAATGCTACCATAATTGTCAATCACAAAATAAGAAGTAATATATCTAAAATCTATTTGCAGCTTAAAAGCCTCTTTAATCAATACGATTTGGAAAGAAGAGGATTCATTTCCAGCTCTGATTATCAAGATTTGCTCAAAAGATTGATGAATCAGGATTTCGTGCGATTTATATTCGATAAATATGCAGTGTAATAAATGAACAAATAAGAATTTATTAAATTCTTAACAAATGAATAATCTCCAAATCAAAAGCAATGTGAAGACGCATTTAGATTGTTCGCCAAATAAGATGGAAACAACTATTCGTTATCTTTCTTAGAATTCTTAAATTATCTTCTAAGCACTTACAATTAATTGTTTGATTATCAAAAAACATAAATCTATTAATCTGAGGATTATCCTTTGACTGATTACTGGATAAACTCTTCTCATAATACTTATCTAATGGGTGATTAATTGACAAGTGAAAGCTCCATTCAAGCTTACATAAATGCCTTTCAAAAGGGTTGTCGATGTGTAGAGTTAGATTGTTGGGATGGAGATAATAATCAACCAATCATTTATCATGGATTCACAATGACTTCAAGAATATCATTTGAATCTGTCATTCAAACCATCAAGGAATATGGATTTAAATATTCTAAATACCCATTGATTCTCTCCCTCGAAGTCCATTGTTGTGTTAAGCAGTAGGATGTTATGGCAGATATTTTAAAAACCTATTTAAATGAAAATCTCTTACTTTTACCAGATGATTATAAGTCTTCTGAATACTATCCAAAGCTAAATAAGCTATATTACAAAGTAATCATAAAGCATCGAGGCAAGATGAAATCGAGTTTACAATATCGAGAAAGATTCATATCTATATCTCCAATTAATATATTTTAGCCCAATTTTGAAGAATCTGAAAGTCCTGACATTCTTAAAAGACCAAGCCTATCAATATAGGGTGATTAATAATAATTAAATACTCCAACCACTCTGAAACCAAGATCTTAAAAGTCATTCAAGAGACAAGATCATGGATTACCTATGCTCTAACTTAGAAACACTATTAATCCGTTTTAGATAGATGAGGAGATGAAGCCGAATAAAGTAATACACAAGACTAAAACAGAGACTACACTAAGACCTAAATACAAGATCTCAAATATTGAAACTTAGTTTTAATTTGATGCACCTAATCCAAGATGTTAAATTGTGCAATTACCGTTAAAGGTGGATTCTGATGAAGACATATCTATTGACAAAGCGAAAAAAGAGAAAGCTGAAAGTCTCAAGATGAGTTCAATAACAGCATTATTTGGCGCTGCAATTAAATAACAAAATAGAACTGTTTGGGAAATCTCTTCTTTGGATGAAAGTAAAGTCAATGAAAACTTGCTTGATTTTCATAGAAGATACTTCACTAGAATATATCCATCTGGGTCTCGAGTAGATTCAAGCAATTATGATCCTATTCCAGCATTTAATAGTGGATCATAAATAGTGGCACTCAATTTTCAGACCAATGATATGCCTATGTTGCTCAATATGTGTAAATTTATGGAAAATGGTGGGATTGAATCTGGATATGTGTTAAAGCCATAATGGATGAGATCAGATGGGAAAAAGAAGATTGGTGAGTTTAGTTCCACTCAATTATCCTTCACTCTTAGTTTATTGGTTGGTTATAATCTTAGATAATTAAATGTATTATAATTCTGTTTATTAAAAGAATTAAAACGCAAAGGTTAACCCTTAAATTAAGATTTCAATACGAGGTCTGTTATAGGATGAATAAAATAACAAACCGCAGATTGCAACCATCTCATAAAGTGGATTAAATCCTTAATTTAATTTTATCTATAAATACAATATAAAATGCCCAGACTTGGCATTTTTGATATTTGAGGTACTCGATGCCAGCAAAAACTTCTTAGGATGGAGTGCCATACCTCTCTCGTGCATGTCTTTTGGCTATAGGGCTGTTTAACTACTGAGTCAATACTTAAAGCCTTTGCCAAAGAGTTGCCTCCTTGTTCATGTTCAAAAAAACACTGACTGAAAACTTTTATAATTAATATGTTTAATAATATTAAGAGAAACTTGACTATCTTTAACAAAGACATCGTGGAAACATCTTGGCTGAAAAGCCTGATTGATGATGTTCCTAAGGCGAAACACATTTAAGTAGTGTTTATATGTTAATATTCCATAGATACTTCATAAATGTCTCTCAGGAGAATACACTAATGTTGATCCCAAGGCAGCACTTCGAAAGATTTCACAAAGATTGCAACATTCTCAAAAACCATTAAATGCCCTCAAATCTCTATATTTGGCACACCTATTAAACAAGTTTTTGATAACTTAATTGACAGATAAAATAATTGACCAATAGTCCAAAGATCCAGCTGAGGTCCTTATGGCTTCAGTTGCACATTTATATTATTCTTACCTTAAATAATAAAAAAATGCTTTTGACAAGATCGACAGCATTTTTAAAATGAATAGATAACTTGAAGTTTTAATGATAAAAACCAATATTCCGATATTAAAAGAAATAATCACTCTCCTTATAATTGACATAATAACAATATATGAATCTATTGACATTAAGGAAGACTATGAAAAGAGAATTAGAGCAATGAAGCAAGTTAGAAGATTTGTTGATTTAAAAGGATATTTATAAATGAATTAAGAATTATAAAATAAACTGAAAACCCTTAATTTCTCAGATATCAAGCAACAAAAATGCATTGAAAGTAAAATTTGTAAGACTATTCCAATCTCATAAGAAAATGAAACTCATCAATTAGAAATCAGTAGAAAACAACTCTCAATCTAAGTCAATGAAAGTACATAATTTGAAACTTATAATTCATGCCAAGTCTATCCATAGGAAAGAAAAATGAGTCTATAAACTGGAACAATCATTAACCAAAAAGGGATTGTTTAATCAAATACAACCAGAGCTTCATCTATTAGAGATAATTTCTTTGTCCCTAAATAAGGACCATTATCTTTTTTGATTCCAAGCTGAATATATATATAATATTATAAACTATATAAGCTTAACATGTCATTTTAAAAAAAAGAAGTCAAGCCAATAATTTGTAAATTAAATCATTAATAATGTTAATTTATTGTACATTGTTTTCTATAGTAATTCTTTCTTGTCTCATATTCTACAAAAGATTTACTCTCTCAAAGAAAAGAGCATAAAGAAAGCAATAAGAGTATTTTGAGACTGGACTCTCCAAATAAACAGTGGCATTTCTGCATCCCCATTGTAATGCAGGAGGAGGAGGGGAGAAGGTTTTAATGTGCATGATCGAAAAATTGTAAAAAACATAAAAACACAACATCGTTGTATATTCTGCAGAAGAAGTTGATGATTAATAAATTATAGAAAAAGCCAATACAAGATTCAGCACACATATAACTAATCAGGATCTTAAATTTATTCCTATCCTAAATAAATAGCTGCTTGAGCCTAAGAAGAGGTTCACTTTGTTATTGTAGATTTTTGGGCAAATGAGATATGCTTTGAAATGCGTTAATAGTTTCTAACCAGATATATTTTTGGATTCGACAGGATTGCCATTTACATTTTTTATTGTTAAACTCCTATTGCCTAATGTAAGAGTGATCGCCTATGTTCATTATCCATTTATCAGTACAGATATGATATCCCAGGTGGAGAAGAAAGAAGCAAGATACAATAATGATGATGAAATAACAAAATCGGAAGGGAAAACAAAGTTAAAGTTATGGTATTATAAATTTCTATTCTTCTTTTACTCCCTCTGTGGGAAGATGACAGAATTTGCATATGTGAATTCAACTTGGACATATAACCATATGAAATAGACATGGAAATCCACTTAATTAATCAAATTATTCCCACCATGTTAAGTAGATGCATTTATGAGGAGAAAACAATTTACAAACTAATTCATTATTATTTCATTTGCGTAGTTCAGACCAGAGAAACAACATCTATTGTAGATTGAGATCATTGAAGCCTTAGTTGACAGATTACCTTCTGAAATTTCACAATCTATAAAATTATATATGATTGGATCTTGCAGGAATGCAGATGATGATCTATTATTTGAAACCATCTAGGATACGATAAACAAAAAGAATCTTCAAGTATTATCTTTATTATATGTAGGATTATATTAGTATGCATAAGAATTTGCCCTTTCAAGATATTCAAAAGTTTCTGACTTCTGGAATGATAGGTTTACACACTATGGAATATGAGCATTTTGGAATTACTTTAGTGGAAATGCTAGCTGCTGGACTTATTGTGGTAGCCCATAATTCCGCAGGACCTAAATTAGACATTTTGGCTAATGATGTTGGATTTTTGTGTGAAAATCTTGAAGATTATGTGTTGTCTATTGTAAGAATTATGCAATTAACAGAGTAATATAAATTTATTAATATTCATTAGTGAAGATAGAAGCAGATATCAATTGATGGGTAGAAAATAAGCAGTTAATTTTAGCGACGAGTCATTTAAGGATTTATTTAATATTTGATTATTATAATATTTTCTATAAAAAACTAAAATGATGATTGCTGAGGATTTTGATAGTGAAGTTTATGATACTTCACTAGATAAGTTTAAAACTTATGAGGAATACTTAGATTCTCACATCACAAAGGAAGATCTATTCTATTTAGAGGATATCGAATTAGCCAGATAATTGAAAGAATAGGGATATCATGCGAAGACAGAGATTTTAAGTCGCGAGCAATTTGAGGCCAAGAAAAAGGCGGTGGAAGAAGCTAGACTTAACTAGAATAAAGACAAAACTAAGGCACTTGCACATACAGAAGTTAGCGATCCATCTATTATTGAGAAATCTCCATTCTTGAGAGCATTAGCTGAACGGTAATATTTATTGTTAATTTATAGAGAGTTAAAAGTCTTGAATGGAAAATTACTTACAATTATTTTTATAAGATTAGAATCTGCTAATTGCGAGGTAAGCGGTTACATTGATTATGCACATCGTTTGAAAACTGAAGATTTTAAAATATATTTTGAAGGGAAAAAAAAATTACAACCTAGACCAACAGATCTATCATATTACAACTGGAGAACTGGATAGTGCGTTTCAAATGATTCTCCCAATTTTAAAGTGGATGCAAATTCTGGTCAACAAGGATTGCTTTTTAGAAACAAAAGAGATAGAAAAGTAAGAGTAACTAATTTATATAAAGGTCATTAATGTTGATCCAAACAAAAAACCAGAAGATGGAATGACAAGAACTGAAATAGAATCTCCAGAAGCAATCCAAATTGTCTTGTATGACTATTATACAAGAAAGAAATGAAAGCTTTATTATTTATTTTTATATTATTAATATTGTTTAGTATCGACAAGTTGTTAATTTAGCCAAATCTGTGCGAGGCATTTAATTAGAAACAAATCTTATAAGCATTCAAGTTAGAAAATTAATTGGGTTTTTCTTATAAGATTTAAAAATCAAATGAAAATTAAGATTTCAAAAATTACTTTTCTTTCTTTGACCATCTTTGTTTAAAATGTAATAATCTAAAGGTGGACCACACTTTTAATTTAAATCCTCTTTCCCTTTTTTATTTTTCTTATCATATTAAAAAGAGTTAGCTCTAGAAAAAATGAATTCAGAATTGGGATCCATCACAGAACGTGCTCCTTTAAAAACATAGCCAACTCTCCCAAAATAACAACTAAGACCAGCATTCTTAAAGACAGTTAATTTGAAAACAATACAAACCAATAGAATGAACTCATTTCCAAATAAAATCTGGAGAGATCGAGCACTCTTGGTACTCATGCAAGTACTTCGCTTTATATCACTTATTACACGTAGTCCCTTTGCTTCGAAATTCTCTTTATTGGATAGGAATATGTTTAGGATAATTGGAGATAAAGCAGCTGATTTCAATTATTACTTACTTAATGATTACTTTAAATATATGGTAATATATCAACCTTATAAAGAAACCCCAATAATCATCCCGTGTGAAATATTTCTTATTACAACATCTGTATAAGATTTGTTACATGAAAGGATTCATGGATTATTTGACTACTATCAGGTTCACATTTGAACCAGAATCAATTTTCCTACTGTTGTGGAACATTCTCATGCTAGTAAATATCAATTTAAATGTACTGTATATAACAGTTAAATTTTCTTTTGATTTTGAAAACTACCCACCAGAAGATTATGAGTTTTGCGAAATTTATCTATTTAGAATCCCCTATTTTTTGTATTTAATCGATATAATAATTAAACTTAACACATGCTATTATGAAGCAGGCTATTTAGTGAGAGATAGGAATAAGATTTGGTACAACTTTTACAAGAACAGTATATTTCAACTTTAAAACTTTTAGACTTTATTAATAATTTATTTATTTTAGTACCAACTGCAATTTACTTTCTAGCCTTCTAAAATTCCGCTCTTTATTTATTTATGTTATTGAAGGCTTTGTAAATACCAACCATTACAGAATCAATAATCGACAGAGTGGAGCTGAAAACTAATTATTGGATCATTTATGATTTGATTCGTCTAATTTACGTAATACTCTACGAGTCTCACATATGTTGTTGTGGATTATTTTACGTAGGACTTTTAAATAAGGAAGCTTCTTGGTTATTATCAAATGGCCTAGTCAATGAGACTTGGATAATTAAATACGTAAGTAAATAAGTTATGCTAGCTCAGTACATTTTATTGGAGCATAATAACAATGACAACTATTGGTTATGGTGATATTGCCCCTTAGAATATTTTAGAGAAGACTTTTCTAATATTTGTTGCAATTTTTTCTTGTTGCACATTTGGTTATTCAATAAATTGTATTGGCTAATCAATTGGGCAGTTGTAATCAAAGAATCACTAAATCAGGGTTGATATGAATGATCTTAAACAGTATCTAAGAATTAGAGGATATAATACTAAATTGCAAATAAAGATTTTAAGATTTTTTGAATACTTGTGGAAGGATTAAAGAAATGAAAATTAATTAGATATCAACAAGTTCAATTAATAATTACCATCTCATTTACATAATGTAAGATAAATAATATTATAGGAAATGATGATAGATCTAAATATGAAAAGTATATCCAAGATTCCTTTTTTTAAAGAGAATTTTAATGAAGATTTCATATCTGCCTTAGCATCAAAATTTATTGAAGAGAAGCTGGTTCCATTTAATACAATATTTTCTAAAAATGACCCTAGCAATTTTTTATACATTTTATGTGATGGTGAAATTGAATACTTTGTAGAAATTCCAGAAGGATCCGCTACTATGTTAAGTATTCAGACAATATCTGGATATGATGAAATATTTGGATAGCAAGAGTTCCTCTTAGATTAAAACTATGAAGTAAGTTGTAGATCAACTACATCATCAAGAATTTTGAAAATATCAAAGGCGGATTTTAATTTAATAGCCAAAAAGTTTGGATATGTATATTACTTTCTTAAATTTAGGAAAAATATTGCTAATTGAAAGATTTAGTCAAATTCTCTGGTCGGTTCGATGAGTTCCATCTGCATTGTGTTGGTTGCAATAAATCAACACATATGTTATACTAATGTCCAATGCTAACAGGTTTCCCGAATAAAACCAAAATAATTATTCAATATCGCAAAAACCAAGCATAAGAAAGGGATTATATCAAGAGGAATAATCTAAAAAGAAGATTGTCATCACTCATTTTTGAAGCACAAATCTCTGATACCGTACTCTACTATCTTTTAAAAGACCCTAAACTATCATAATAAATCAGTTCATAATATTAAATTTAAACCCTAAAGTAGTAGTAATTATAAAAGGAGCTATAAAATTATAATAATGATAACCGTACATAAAAGCAAGCAAAGGATGAAGTAAGATCAACAATCAGAAAGCAATCGGTCTTGAAAATTAAAGGCAGAAAGCAATCCTAATATATTAAAAGGTTACCTGATTTTCTGAATTGTCAGTACATCAACTTTAAATCAATGCCTGAAGATAAAATTAAAACAGGGGTAGACAACATATCTAAAAATATTTCGGCAGAGCATTCAGAGGCTCAAAGTTCTGAAATATTTCATATGAAATTGAAAAATCAAGAGGAAACCAACATTCTTGAGTAACGTAGAATTTCTGCTGATTTAGCAAAGTCTTTGTCTTTCAAACTAATTAATCACACATCGTTGGATTAAGATTTAAGAAAATCTGACGCTGATAGTATTAAGGAAAATTCTTCTCTTTCTTAAGCAAGTAGCCAATCCCCTACAAAATAGTCGAAGGATGTTAGTCCTGGGATTGATTAAATCACACAATGCTATATGGGTACATACAAAGACATTTTTGAGAAGTTCGATAAATTCCAGGATTATTAAAATTACATGACGCATATGAATTCTTCTAAGATTCTGGAACAACTCAATCTATTCAAAGAGACACAGAACTTTACTGACTTTATGAATGTGAACTTCGTTAGAAAGCGTAGATCAAAGAGGAATAAGTTGGTTATCAAACTTGATTATTGAAATTTTTATTAAATTATTTATGTATAGATTTAAACTCTGTCTAAATTATTCACGTTTAGATTAATCGCTCTCAGCTTTTTTGAAAAAGTATAAGACGACTAAGAAGAATGTGATTTAAGTAGACAATAAACCATTGGAAGTTTGACAAAAGCTCATTAAATTAAGCTAAGCCAATACAACCATAATTAACAATCCCTTAGGATGATCCATTAAAATAGAAATATCTCTTATAAAGAGTGAAAGTGATTGATCTCAACGAGAAGGACAATTTCAGTCATTTTAATAGAGCATAATAATTGGCATTAGATAAATAAGTAAAGTAGGTAGGAGATGAGTATAAAGTGGAAGCAGAAGTATTGAAATTACAAAACAAAGGAGAATTGCGTAATGATTCTTATAATTATTAAAAGTGATTGACGACACAAAACTTCCAAAATAATTCTTGTCGACTTTGGATAGATAAAGAAGGAAGGGTAAGAGAATGCTAAGGAGATTCTTTATCGATGGTGAACATCGTTACGTGAAGGAAAATATCTATAAATTTAGAAGTGTGGCTGAATGGAAGAAGTATATGAGATTTAAGAAGCCACTTTTGATTGATTTGAAAATGGAAAAATTTAAGAGATATCCAGGCACAGACAAGGGGAAATTCCCTATGTAAGACAAGCTTGGATTTACAAGTAAAATTTGATCTCAAATTTATAGAGTGGTTTAGAGAAAATCATACCTAGAAAACAGTGGATGCAATTGAATATTTAGTCAAAAAAGGATATGGTAAACAATCTGAAATAATGATGAAGAAAAAGAAGGGTTATAGATTAAGGACAAAGAAAGCACTAGAAAAAGTTGAATCGAAAAATAGATTAATAAGAATAAAGCAAGAAATGTATGAGGAGTCAAATTGGGAGACTGTGGCTCCAGGACCAGCACTATTCGTTAAGGAAACCATGATGGAACAATTATTAAAGAGGAATCCAATAAAAGATTTGGGATTAAACACTCATATTAAAATTCAAACTCATATACCTGAAGGAGAAGTTCAACCATTGCCTGACAAGTACCCATTAGAGAAGACCTAATTGATTTATTATTTGGAAAGATGGTCATTTTTCAGATCATTTGGAGCATATTCATTATTGAAGGATATTACAACTGGTAAACTTTAATAGACTCCACAGGAACCTGTTAAATCTGGATCTTTGAATACATATTACTAGACATTGCCTAAACATATCAGAGATAATCCAAATGTTAAGAATGTGTACAGAGGATTGGAATTCGCTAATAATTAGATGACTTTGGCTGAGAAAGAAAACTCTTTGAATTATGCTGCCAGGTTATCTTGCTAATTTGATGAAATGAATCAAGATGTCTACGATAAAGGATCAGCTGGATACAGACCCATGATTTCGAGATTCGATGAAGAGAGATTGATGCAAGACCAAGAAAACGAACATGTCGATACTGCTATTGTAATTCAAATTGTTAATCGTTTTTTTAGAATCCTGATGTAGTTTTCAAGTATTTGGAACAAAGAGCACATACTCCAAGACATGTTGCTAAGGATGATCTACCTCTTCCTGATTGGGCAGTGGATTAGTCAGAGAGAGTGGATGATATTCCTGTTGATTACTACATCAATGACGATGGGTTCTGGGATGATTACATTAAGGCTAAAGAAGAGAAACACTTAAAAGATAGTCCAATATCTGGAGGAAAGAAATATTTTAGACATATTTGAAAGAGTATTTTTATAATAAAAATAACATCATCTTATGTTTCTGTGGCCTGAAGGTTATAATCGTCAACCGTAAAATCCATTAAAGTAACTGATTGAGAAGACTCAAGGAGATATTTTGCTATTGTTGGAGGAGGATTTATTTGTAAAATAGGCAAAGTTGGGAGATTCATTAGCTGTTGATACTCTAGTAAAAGGTACAACTGGCTTGCTAGAAGTGATGTTCATGGATTATCAGTTTGTTTTAAGTGAACATTTTGAGTAGTTAACTAACTAGTATGCCATAATGTGGGAATTGATTGATCTTAAACTGGAAAGGGTTAATGCTCAAATTTTGGTAATTCTGCTCATTTAAACTTAGACTCATTGGGAATTTGTGTTCTAATTGTTAAATAATGAGCTAACAGTTGAAATACAATGGTACTATGCACTACGCATAATCTCATTCATAAGTTAGGAAAACCCTACTCTTTTAGAGAGACAATAAGACAAGTTAATCTAACTGTATCGTCATCTTGAGTACCCGTATGTAGCGTAACTCGTAATAGAGATGATGGTCAGTCTCAAAAACAAATACTAAGAATCATTTCTCTGTAAAGGCATCTAAGAATTCGATTAATTAACGGAATTACAAGCAATTAACTTCACTTAAATCATACATGAACTCTTTACAAAAATCAAAAAATAGGACTTGATTGAATTCATAATAACCAGTTAAATTTTAACTAAAATGTTTGAAGTTATTTAATTAACTAACAAAATGTAAGATTTGTTTACTATACTATATTAGAGTCGCCAAAAATGCTGCTCACATAATTTCTATCATCTCTAACCATTACTCAACTGAATTGCAAAATTTAGATTTAGAGGAAGACGAGTCGGAATAAATTACTTCTTAGTTTCAATCTACTTTATTTTACTAGGTCATCAAATAAAATTTACACATTATCAATAATTTAATCAAAGATCATTGTGATCACAATTAAAAAATTACTCAATTAATTATCAAATTAATCGAGGTAAATTTTAAAAGTTATTCATTAGATTGTTGATAATTTAGTTAGAATTACAGATGTCTCCTTATGGGAATCTATGCATTAAGCTCAAATCTTTATATCAATCATAAGATTATGCAATGTTTATCCAAAATCAGACATTCTCTCCTCTTAAGTTGAAAGAATAGTGTTTTATATTTTTGAAAGAGCCTTGAATGATTATCATCCTTTTTGGGCATTTTAATTCATTAAGGTTTATAAAATCTAAAACAATACTAACTCGATGTTTAATAGATAGGTATTTGCATTTGAATAGGAATTGAATGCAAAAATCACAAAAGAATTGGATTATATAACATATGATACTTAGATTTTAGAAATTAATTCGGAGTTAGAGCAATCTAAAATTTGGGGAAGAACTAAATGGGAATTGAAGGTGTAACAATGTGAGAATTAAAAGAAATTGGGTTCATAAATGTAAATCAATGCAGAAGAAACTAAATTGATTGAAATCAATAACATTAACATTCAAAATGTAAGTTTGGATACTGCAGAAGAAAAGAAAGGAGAAGATGAGAACAAAGAGGAGGTTTAATAGATGGAAGTAGCATAACACAATCAGGAATAACAACACGAAGAGGAGCAAAAACAGAATATGAATGAAAGTGATGAATTAAAGGAAAATACCAAAGAAGTCGATTTAGCTATTCTTAGTGAATCAGATTCGTCCTCATCTTCGAATGATTCTAATGAAGAGAATTAGTTGAAGAATGATATTTAGATTAAAAATGAAACTCCTATTTTAATTGTTTCGACAAATGTGGAATATAAGAACCGAAAAAATAGATTAAACTTAGACTAAATAGAGAAGCTGAGGAAGAAGTCGATTTAGTTTGAAAAGATTTCATAACAAATGACTTAGGCTGGGAGAAGACTTTCATTGTAGGCAGGTCTAAATATAAAGGAACTTAGTCCAACTTATTTAGAATTTAAACTTGATTTAGAGAATAAGGTGCTTCGTAACATAAATGACAATTCAATATTAAAAGTAGATGAAATGGATTCAAGTATCAATCAATGAATAGTTTTGTATCAAAATTATCGTCAATTATATTCCATCCTCCCATTCCCCATTCGTTTTTATTAAAATTCGATTAGAATTGTTTTGGTTTTGGTTTTTTGTCATTACAAATTGAGGTTTTAAATAGATTTGTTGGAGTTGTCTTTTAAGTCACTGGACTTTTACATATAGCAGGTGCTGTCTCTATTCTAATGTATTCTTCAGGGGAATTTCGCATTTGTTTTAATCCGGATTTTAATGGAAAGTTTTTGAATGCAGGACATTTGCTGTGAATACGATCAGTTTAAAATGAAAGGATTGGTTAAGCGGGCAAGGTCTTGAGAGTATAAATAGGAAGTGTGGTTTCTCTCTCTTTAAAGTGTTTCTTGGTCTAAAACAAGGATTTAATGAGAAGAGGATTTTTTAATTGAATAGGCGATCTAATTCCATATTTGGATGATTGAAAATGAAAATAATGAGGAGAGCTTTTGAGTAGGATCTCATTTTGTGCTTTTCTAGTTTGATTTAGGTATTATCGAATTGTTTCTGCATTTTAATGGTAATCAATTATCAAGTCCTTATCCATTTTATATAATATTAATGTTTATTTTAATCCTTTTTGGTTATAAACAATATAAGGTATTTACCATAGATGTGCTGGGCAGTACACTATTAGATTGTATATGGACTCAAGCCATTAAGGAAATAACTAAAGTAAATTTGATCTAGGATTTTGAAAATAGCTACTTACAACCAAAGAAGAACAACATCAGAAAGATTAGAAAACTGCTTAATAAAAAATAACCTCAAACGAGAAAAGAATCACTGCAATCAATCAACAATTACAGGAAGAGGGTTTATTGGAGGCACCAACTGGAAAAAAAGTTACAATAAGCTTATTTATATTTAGGATGACAAAAAAGGAGCTAAGCCACCTCCTCAGAAGAAAGGCAAAGATGCTCCTCCAAGCAATCCTTTGGAAGCAGAAAAATTGGAATTGCAAAAAGATACTGAGAAATAATAAGAGTATGTCACGAAGTACACCGATAAATTGAACAAGATTAAGGTGGTATTGGAGAAATTCAAAGATCTGAATGAGAAATATCATAACGATTAATTAGTGATTGAGTTATGTGACAAAACTGGGGAACGTAAATTTGTGAAGACCAAATTAGATGGAATTGCAAATACATTTTTAAGTGATAAAGGCACTTACATTCTGGCTTATTTGTAAGCTCCTGCTACACGTATTCCTTATGTATAGAGAAATAGCTGATGAGGAAGAGTAGTTATTGGCATTAGAATTCGAGGGTTATTTGGCAAGAACTGTTGATGAGGATATTGGAGCAGTTGAAGAACCACTATTATAATTATAACCAAAAAAGGACGATAAGAAGAAGAAAGGAAAGAAATGATTTATTTACAATTTCATTTGATTATCAAAATCCAAATCTTTTAAATATCGATTTACCTTCTGGTTTTGCTTTGCTCTGAGTTTAGATTTCAGTTTTCTATTATGTATTCTCTTCCTTTATAAATAATTTCAATGCCTCATTGTATTTTGATATGCATCTCCTTAAACACAACTCTTCTGGACCATCCATTTGTAGATTGAGACTCAAGTTTGTGCAATGCTTTAGACAAGTTGTTTGCATCAATTAATTTTACATTTATTTTAAAATAAAAAAATGTCGAAATTATCTAAAATGAAGTGCATAACAATTTCTATCCATTACAGACTAAAGCTTCAAATTTCAAATCAAGTAGGACTTAAAACACCCAACCCATTAAATATATTAATCCAGCTATCAAAATTAGATAAGGAAGAGAGTGATTGATTTATCAAAAATATCATAAGTAGTCCGTTGCTTCTTCCTTAAATTGCTGGAGAAAGACAACATATATTTTTAGATAATATTTCTAAGAATAACTAAAATATAATGAAATATACAAAAATTTAAGGGCAAATCAATACCTTAATAGAATATTCATTCTGAAAATATGATTCATGGAAGATAGTTGTAATGTTTGTTTTAATTTATAAATAAATATGACTATAATACATATTTCAAAGTAGTTCAAATTATTTCAATAATGACTATTCATCAAAATTTAACGATAGATTTCCAAGCATAGTCAAAGATGGTTTATTTGCATCATCTCTTAATTCTCTAAATGGATCATCCTTTTAAGGAATTGTTCCTTTATTTGATTTTGGATGAATTAAGCCTGACTAGACTTGGGATATTTTTGATCCTTGCAATTAAGATTTTACAATTTAACTTTAAAAAATAGATTGCTATGGTTATTAATTAACTTGTTTTTATTTCTTTTATTCTTCCTAAATGATTTCTTATGGATCTCCAAAATGCCCCAATAACATAAATAAGGCTTTGGATTCCGTTTTCAAATTCTATTCAATATTAATTATTCAATATACCTATTGGATTTCCAAATAGAAATGAGCAATCACAGGTTTAATCTATTCGTTTAATTCAAAGGATCTAAGATTAATAATAAATTTAATTAAAGAAATAATCTGAGATCTAAATTATTATCTTTTGAATATTTTCATCTGGACTACCTATTCAAAATGGATTTCGGATTACTTTTAACATGTTCCTAATAGTTGCCATAATATTCAGATATTGCAATTTTTACAAGGTTAAAGGTAAATTCTTGAACTTAATTTGACTTAATAAATCTAGTTAAAAGTAATTAGATCTATTGAAATGCCAATTAATAAAACATGATAGAACTTAAATACAATTTACTTAGCATATCCAGCATTAAAATAGCAATGTTAACATCAATTTTAGGGTGAGTGCATACAGATTTTAACAATTGAAAGTCTACAATATTAATTTAGACTTCATTTTACTCAATTTAAAGTTATTTCACCATAGGAATGATTAAAATATCTAATGGTATAGTTGAGTATTTTCTAATGAGCATTAGGAAGTTGGCTACCAAAAACTCTCTTACTCCTTTTTAATCAAAGTTTTCAATAAGAGAAAACACTAATTTCTTATACAACAAAGCTGCATATTTGTCCTTTTAGAGGGCTAAATTGTCCAGAATTCTAAATAAACTTTGATAAGTAAATATTCTCATCGCAAAACTTGATTCACGAGTAGCTTTTCTTGAGTTCAGCAAATATTACTCCATTTATTTAATAACAAATGATTAAGGGTAAAATATCCAATAATGCTCAAAATATTTGAGAGCTGTCATTCTCTCCATTGCAGTATGTTAAGGTTCAAATAATTTAACAGCATGCGAAGCAAATAACTCAAAAAGGTTAAGTTCCTACATTTGATCTCTTATCTGAATTGTTTAGATTATCCCATTTATGAAATCAATGTACTCTTTTCCAGATTTCAATATTTTTCTTAATTGAACATCAAAGAAATCGACAACATTGTATTAAGAGACTACACTGTATATTTTACAGACTTATTCTAAATATTAGTGATGTCGTTGTTATGATAAAATCAATACGATTAAACCTCCATGTTCTCTGACTAACCAAGCATATACATCTTCAAGTAATTCTTTTTATGGCAAATTTATCAAAATTCCTTCAATGATATATAATGTCCAATAACACACTTCATTGTTTTGAGAAACCAAACCAGCTTTAAGAAGAGACAACAATATATCTATTTTGTAAGTTACAAATTTGATAATGTGATTTATGTATTTAGACAATTCCATCAACCAATTGATGACACTCTTGAAACTTTTGTTGCCTTTAATAAGGATGTTTGATAATTATTTATAATTTTAATTTAGTAAGACTACTGCTTATTTGGGTTTTAATGTAAAATGCTTGCAAAGGGAAACTATGATGAATTCTAATAGTGATTATGTTTGATTAAGGGGCTTTTCAGGATCAATTTCCTCGATGCTTATTTCTTAAGGCTCATTTTATTGTGAATCAAATCTAGTTGTTGTACTTACTTGCTCTTCTACATAAAATGCCATTTCATAATGTTATTTTATTTCCTTCAAAAACTGCATCAACATCTAAGTATCTCCTTTCACAATTGAAACTACATATATGGAAATTGAGTACTTTTTATATCATCATCCAATGTGATGTTAATCTATTGTAAACTCCTACATACATTATTCCAATTGAACAATCTTATTCCATTACTATTACCTTGTTTGACATCGACATCAATCTTCTAATCAAATTGTTTAAGAATTTGACTAACTATTATTCCATTCAAGAATTGCTCTTCCAAAGCTTAATCAACGTGAGCAAATAAATTGTTGATAGGCAATTCTTGTATAACATTAATTTTGACAAGCCATTGATAAATATCGAGATCAAGTTTCATATTGCAATTTAATAATTTTTATAATATTTTATTTTCATTCCTTTAATATTAGATAAAAGGTAATGGCTTCTCTCTAAGATTAATCTAATAAAATTAATCGTTGTTATACTTAGTCAATTGTGATTTCATAATTGCATTTGATTGAATATTTGATCTATTTGATAAAGCATCTTTAACTATTTAAATTTATTAATATCTCTTTTTAATCATTCAATAATAGCTGTAATTGTAGAGTAACATTTAAATTCAATATCTTTTATGATATCAAATTTGGTTGATATTGATATCTATATTTATAATATAATAATTTCTTCCATAACATTCTCATATCAATCTACATCTATAAATCGTGAGCAGATTAGCTCCTTATAGTTATTCTAAATTGTTAGATCAGAAAAACATATTATGTTAAAAGTAAATAACATCAATTAATTAATTAATTAATAGAATTTGTATGCCAGAATGGTTTTGGATATTTCTAGGATCAATAATTTTAATCATACTACTATACGTCTTATACAAGTTATGGAATAAGCAAAATGAGCAAGAAAATCACTCTTAAGAGTTTAATTAAATCTCAGATAAAAATGGTTTAGGAAATTCATATTTAGAGGATATTGAGATTGGATATATGAGCAATCAAAGATCTAAGGATCAAAACCAAGGCTTTGGTAAAGAAGAAAATCAATTCAATAGCCTAAGCCAGATTAGTAATAGGAATTCTAATATACAAAAATACCCTTTGAATTCTTAAATTTAAGCTGCTCGTTTTAAAGCTGATGAGGAAAGAAATCAGAAAGTTTAAAAAATAATTAAATTTATATATGCATAAAGTTAGGGAAAAAGAAAAGTAGAAGAAAAGTATTAATATTTTTTGGGCGAGTATTATTAACAATAAGAATTATGGTAAGAGTATAATATAAAAAAACTTGACTAAAAATAAAAAATGAAATAATTATGTACAGCCTATCGAGCTGTAAGAGGAGATGGAAATTGCTTTTACACTGCCTTTGGGTTTCAATTTTTAGAAATTTTATTATTAAAATATACAAAGGATTAATTTTATCAGTTTCTTAATGCGAATCAAGTCAATTTTTAGATTAGATTAAATGATAAAGATCTTATAGATGAGGGTGATTAATAGAAATTGAGAGATGAATTTTTCTTTAGATTGGAGAGGCTTAAATTAATAGAAGATATAGAATTAAGAAAATAAACCTTATAACAAGAATTTAAAGCATATGAGAAAGAAAATGAGAAAATTGATGGATGCTTCTATGGATTGTCTACTATTTTTTTTAGGAACTTAGCATAAAAGGTTGTGGATTTGGATGAAATTGCCAGTAATACTTTTGGAACTTAAAATTTATTGCTATGGGAAACGGAATGCAATGAAAATGAAATAGTGATAGCCGCTTTCGCAAAATATTTAAAAATGTAATTTTAATAAGAAAATGTTTTAGATACGTTTAACTGATATTTTTGTAAAATAATTGCGATATTATGTTGATGCCATATGGCAATTAAAGTGATAATATAGTAATCTTGCTCATCCGACCTGGACATTATAATATAGGATATAAAAATACATGAGATGAATTATGGATTTATTGAAAATCCTTATGCAATGAATTTTCTTATTAATACTATTATTATGTTTAATTAATCAAAGAACTGACAAAATTACTGCAAATTTTGGTGAATTATTCAAAATTAGTATTAATTTGATACACTCTTATTATACGTAAGTGAATATCATTCAAAATATTTGAAATCTTCAGTATCTACATCCTCATGATTCTCTTGGGCTATCTCAACTTACTTTTCTATAGGTCTTGATCTGAACATGTTAAGTCTTCCACTTTTTTTTTTGCTTGGCTACATTAATTTCAACTAATTGATTCTGTTTCGTGCAGCTTCTTCTTCACGCTACCTATCAGCATTTTCTTTTCTTTTATCTGCCTTGCCTTTATTATCAATTTCTTGTTTCTAATTATGATTCACAAAGTTTTTACATAATGATATACTCTTTCAGGTTTGAAAGTCTTGACTTATTTTAAAAGTTTTTCAATTAACTATTCTATTAAGCCTAATATAAATAAAGTAGGTCTAGTTTAAATATCTTAAACTTGTATCATATCTATTTGAAATTATTAATAAACTTCTATTATTTATTATCCTAAGTCTTTCTGTTCTTTTCCAGATGCTTTAATTATACCTCCTAATTACATATCTTTCAATTCTTGTGTCATTATCTAAAATGAATATGAGTTGTAGATACATCCAATTTCCTTTTTAAGATCTCTTTTTGTTCATGTAATTGTTGAATTTTAATACTTTTTTCTTATTTCAACTTTTGAAATTTAGATTTAACTTCTTCAAGATTTTATTCTGTTTCTTAAGCAGTTTAAATTAAGAATAAATTTCTCTCCTCCAAGTCATTGAATATCGAAATTAATTATTATGGATGTTTAAAATACATTTCAAATTCGTCTTCAAAATCTTCTAATTCTTCCTAACTACATTTTATTAATTCTAATACTATTATATTGTTTGATCAGCCTAATTGGATTTCTAGAGTTTGCCCTCAAGAATACTAATTTCTTTGAGTTTATCGAGGAGCAAGCTCTTGAGTTTTGCTTTATTATCATGCCATTCTTTTGGTGCCAATTTATCTAGGAACTATTTATGATCAATGTAGGCAGTTATCAATTCTTCCATCCTTTATTTTTCGCCTCTAATGCTGGTCATCTTGATATTAAGCTGTTTGATGATAGCCTCCTTTGCTTTTTTATCTTTGATTTCATTTTCTAATTTTAATTCTGCCTCTGCTCTTGCTGCTTTGTTTGTATCTAGAAACTACTAAAAATTATCTGCATCCTGTTACAGCATTTTCATGCTCTAAAAGAAGACTTCCTGTTTCTCCTTTTAACCTTCTTTCATTTTTTTAATTTCATTTTCCATTGTGTTATAGGATTGCGAAATCAAAAATAACTATCTTTTGTCCTCGATGACTTTAACATTAGAAACTAAAGTAATGCCTTTTTTGTTCTGCTCTTCTTTTTCCAATTTGCGTTCTTTAATAATATTCAAAGCATCTTTGATCCTTTGTTAATCCTTCTCTTTGAAAAGTTTATTATTTTTTGTATAATTTTCATCATAGGGTGTACTTACTTTCTTTAAAATAATTAAGAAGCACATACTTCAAATCTGGTCAATTAGGTTCTACTGGTTGCTGTTTCTTTATTCCAAACTTTTGTATTTGACTTATGAAATGAGAGTTATTTTTTAAACTTACTGTCATTGTATAGAAAGATCTCCTCGTCAGAAGGGTATTGGAATGGACTGTGACTAGTAGTTCGAACGCTGATATCCAATTTAGGTAATAATAATCTTAAACTCATGATAATAATAATTAAAATATCTCATGTTTCATATGTCTTTCTGAAATTTTGGCTAATTTTTTGCAAATATTTAAAATTTTAGGTTCCTCAAATTAGTTCTATTGAATTGTGGATATTAATTGAACCTAGAATATTAGAATAGAATGATACATTGAATCTCAAACACTCAACCTCGTATTGACTTTCCTTCTAAAATGAATCAAAGGATTTAAAAATGAAGTAATACAATTTAATAAGTTATCGTTATTACCTTTTAATTCTGTAAGTCATGTAATAGTATTTGATGAATGTAAAGGGTAGTGTTATGTCTTCAAAGAGTGTTCTCACTTTGTTTTTCTCATTCAACAACTTGGAAATTTATGAAAAGTTGGTCTGAATTTCTTGGACGTATTATTTTAATTTTTCGTAATAATAGGATTGCATAATATCAGCGATTGTTGGAGGTTGACATCCCTCTAATCTGAAGAGCATTTTTAGATTGAACACTTTATCATCATTATTAATGGAATTAACATAATTGATTGATGCGATCTCTTGTTATTGATTGTTTTGTAGACACAATGGATAGATAAAGAGGGGCAATTGATCAGCTTTTCTGGATAGATTGAAAACATAGTATTTCTTATAAATTATGATCATCCCCTCTGAGAATTATAGTATCAAATCCAAAAGGCCAGCCAAAAGGATTTTTCTTGTTGTAATTCTTTACTGCTAATAAAAAAAGTCAATCAAAAAAATGAATATGTACACAGGTATCAAAAAGAAGAGGAAATTGATGATTCTTTTACTGATCGTGGTTGGTTTCAGTGAAACCATCAAAGCATAGAAAAAGAATTGGGTCGATGTATGTAATAGTTTATCGTAGCTGGGAGGGGAGACTGGCAATTGTCTTATAAATTTGTATCCATTATACACGACGTAACATGTGGTGAAGATGTTGTTGAGTAAACCTCCTCCCCAAAGTTGATTGCAGAGAAGGAATTACAGTATTAGGACGATGAAGAAGTATGCCAAGGCTTTATCGGAGTTTTCTAATGGATTAATGGTTATAGAAGTACTTGAAAAATAAAACACATGCAATCCCAACACATGAAATCCATTCACGAGCATTACTAAGCATATAAAGGTTTTGCCTATATAATTTAAATAATATGCGGCAAACCCAACAACCAGAATTAAGAGAGTAGTCGAGAGGATAGTCACAAACATTTATGTGAATGATTCTCTTCCTTCGAATAATTATGTAAATTCTAATCTGTTGACTCGGCTTTAAAAATAAAATTTGACTTAATTGACCAAAGGCGATTCTAATTGCTAAGGAGCCTTATTTGGATTTAAAATTTTGACTGGGTTTTCAGGTTTCGTGAAATCCTGAAATTGCTATTATTCCATAAAGTAATTTGTCATTCTCTCTTTTCTTCTTTATATATCATATGTAAGTCTATTTTAGTTCATTAATTTAATAATTTAATGAGTCTAGACAAATAATCAAGGCAATATGAAGTTATCTTGGAAATTGGTTGTGCATACACAAAAGTAGGATTTTCATTAGATACTCAACCTAAGAAAGTGATTAAATTGAATTTTGAGAAGCCTCTCCAGAAATCAAGATTATCTTATGAATTGACAGTGGAAGAGAAATTGTATCAGATCTTTAATGTTGACATGGTATGTAATTTAAAAGGAAGATCAGTTGCTTTGATTTATAATTATTATAACAATGAAGAAATGTATAATGTGATAGCATATGTGCTATTTTACAAATTTGAGGTAGCGAAGATAGCATTTTTAATTGGCAATGTACTTCCTCTTTACATGACAGGACATTACTCGGGTCTTGTGATTGATTTGGGATACAATGCTTCAACTGTTAGTGCTGTTTATGATGGATACTCCTTATTGCATTAGACAGGTTATATCGGTGAAGGCGGAAGAGAGGCAGCCAAAAGGGTTCAGATGTTGTTGCCTGATTATTAATGGGAGCAATTGGAAGATATTGCAGTTAAGCATGCTAAAGTGTTAAATGCAGGAGATGTCGATGATAAATAGAAGATCAAACTAAGACATGCAGAAATCTCAGAATTTGAATTGGCAAAATGTTACACTGACACATATTTTGGAAATTATAAGGATGAGGAGTCTAATATAGCATATGGATTTTTGAAGATTGTCTCTTAAATTAAGGACAGGGATATCATTACTAAGATGGCTTAAAATATTGTAATTACTGGGGGAGCAAGGAAAATACCTAACTTATTGCTGAGATTCAAGACTGAATTATTATAATTGTTGGAATCTGAATTCTCATCATTTAGGAATATCAAGTTCTACATTACTAATTTGATAGCTTAGAACTCGAGTTGGGTTGGCGGTGCTCTCATTGTTCAAATTGGGGGGTATGACAGATTTATTGTAACTAACTCTAAATTTAGGGAGAACGGAAATATGTTCTGCACAAGATCAGACGCATATAATTTTATTTCTATTAAACCGTGAGATTGTTGTATATTATGTTATTTATCAATTTTATTTGTTCCTTGTTTTTTAATTAGTTATTTTTGTTGATGACTGACTAGATTACTAATAAAATTCTTGAATCTTATGGGTAATATCATTTCTTATTCCAAGTTTTAAAGGCGCTTAACCTCAATTCAAGAGCGTTATATATCCTATTGAACAATTAAAACACTCCATTGAGGATCATCAATTGAAATAGATCTCTCCTGAGTTATAATAAATTCTAGAAAGTGAAAGAGCCAGAGAAATGGTCCAAAAAAGGGGCATCACCCTTGACAGGACCAAAGAATTCTTTCAGGAGAAAATTAAAGAATATAATGCTATTATTGATTTATAACATTTGAGATCTGGACAATCTTACGTAACTCCAAAAAAGGAAAATGTTTTCAAAAGACATACAGCGGACTAGGGAGAAATCACAAATTATCATTTCGTCTTAAATTGGCAAAATTTGAATTTGGTATTCGATGAAATAGAAAATTCAAACAAAAGAGCAAAATCGTAACTTCAATCAAGAACTCCAGATCAATCTTCCAGTCAAATAAGCAAGCCTTAAATATCTGTCAAAACTTCGAATAAAAAGGGAAGCCTGGTCAACAGATTGGATAAGAAGTTCAATGATTACGATACGAAAATGTCTTAGTCAATTGCAACCAATTTGCCAGAATCAAGACGGTTTTCCATGTTTGTTGAAACTCCACAATAAGGAAGTAAGAATTGTATAAGAATTATCTAGTTAATAGACGAAATAGTCTATATCCGTAAGCTGCTAAAAAATTTGTGAAATTTCATAACTTTATGAGAACTGTAAATACTCTGACTAGGTAGCCTGAGGAAAAGAATGAGACTGAAAATAGATAGGTTAAGTTTCAAACATATATTTAGGATTTGATAAAAACCTATATCAATGACGCATTCAACAAAGAAAGATAGCCCACCGATGCTTCCCAAAGAGAAAGATCAAAGTCTTAACAATAATACAGAAAAAGGAACCAACAGATGATAGAGCAATTAAACCAATCGAATCAAAACTGCGCTGTCTAGAATCGAGAATGTGACATTATGAATAATGATATACCAATTTACGAAGATATTTGTAATAATATATGATAATTAGAGTTTAAAACTGTTGATCACAATTAGACTAAATAGATCAAAGAACGAAGGAATAGGATAGTCCAATCAGTGAATTCAAGAATGCAACCAAAATACATACATTTAGGTGGGAGTCGATATGCTGTTAAGAATAACTTTATAAATTAATAAAACTATCAAACAACAATCAACAACTTATTGGTGAATTAAATCAAAGAAGAGTTTAAGAAATTAAAAGCCTTTGATGATGGAATAGATTTGGAGGTTTTGGAAGGTCCTCCTAAAAAGATTGATTATCATTCTTCTAATCTGAATTAAGATTACAATGATGTGAAAGTATCAAAAATTGTATAGAAAATGAAAAGATGACATGATTGTATCTTTATTTTTATACTAATGAAAGTGATATAAACATTTGAATTAATTTTATATTTTTATGAAAAAGTCCAAAGGCAACACATCTGTTGATTGTCTTTACATGGAATCCATGTTAAACAAGTAGATCAGATCAAATATACGTATGATACAAAACAAGATTTTAAGTCCAATGCTCTTGACTCCAAAACCTCAATCATAAAATTAATAGAGAAAAATTGCAAGTAGATTAAATAGTTAGTGTAAGAAGATTTAAAGGATGAGCAACAAATGATTATCCAGTTTCAGGACAATAAGATTTTAATGAGTTAGTTATATTAACCGGTGGTTATCCATTCTCATAGAGTTCTTTAGAGCAATAAAAATTGCACTTTAGAGAGTCCTAAGTTTAAAAGGAATTGCATTCATTTGGATAGTGGATAGCTTGCTTTAAAACATTCCCATTACTTAAAAAGAGGAGGTTAAACTGCCCAGACAATTTAGTAACAATAGGAAACAAAACCATGGCACCCATTCATTCGAATGAGGAGGAAAAATTTGATACAAAACATACTTGAATCAAAATTCACCCAAGAATCATAGCCAATTTTAGGAAGTACTTGTTTTTAACCTATCGCTGATTTAAGCGGATGGCAAACATAGGAAGATCCTTAAATTGAAATTTAATGATTGTAATTAAAATTTATAGATTTGTCTAATTCTGTAAATCATAACCTGTATCGTGAATGCTGTTGAGTTAAGGGTCTAATTAAAAGATTTGGTTGAGATTCAAATTTGCTAGAGATTATTCTTTTTGATTAATTCATTTTTTTGACTTCTTATAAGTAATGTTATTTATATTCATCTCGTTCTTTTATTAACGTATTCAGATCATTACTTGATTGCAGAATCTCTAATTCAGTTACTCTTTTCTGCAATTCTTTCTCCCTTGCTAAAACTGAGACTAATTCATCTCTTATCATGCTAGCAAATTATCTTACTGTAGGTTCTGGCATTTTAGTGAGATTCATTTTAATATTGTTATTTTCTAGAAATTACGACATTTGTAAAGGTTTTGGAGCTAACTTTTCTTTGATTGCATCTAATTTAGTATTTTTAAGACTTCTTTAATCAAGATACTTAAAGAGACTTAGGAATCATTTTAAAATTTACTTTTTGAATTTGTTTCTAGTAGGAATGTTAGGTTTATCCATTGCTGGAATATTAAATGATCTGATTCCAGAACTATAAGCACCATTTTCAATTTTCTCAATAACTCTAAATGTTTTCATAACAACATCATATAACTCAAATAATTCAACCTTCATGTCCTTTATTTACATTCTATAACAATAAAGGTGGGATGATTACTTCTTTTTTTCTTGATATTTTTTAAATTAGTGAATAAAGTGATCTATCTCTTCATTTTTCTTTTCTAAGTATTTCTCGTATTAATTTGTGCTATCTTACAAAAATTTGGTGTACTCAGCCTTTAAATTGTCCATTTGTTATTTATATCTAATTTAGAATAGAATGCATACTCTTTTTCTAATTCATTTTTTACCTATCTCTTAATGTCTTCATGCTTCTGCACCTCCTAAGTCTTTGTCTAGATGTTTTAAGGTAAATTTATAATAACATTCACTTTCTTCTCAATCACTTGCTGATGTTCTTTTAATTGTTTTTTCACAGTATCTAAAATCTTATCGTTTTTTTCTTATTCAATCTATTCTAGTTGTTGTTTTCCTTTCAGCCTACTGTTCCTTCAACTTTCTGATTTCTTCTTTTTATTCTATGTTCTTGCATTATTGTCTCTCCAATTTAATACTTTCTTCCTTCTTCATTAGTTCTTTTTCCTTCTACAGCTTCTCAATCATATATTCTGCCTCTTTTACATAGTTCGAAAGAGTCTCTACTTTTTGCATAGCATCCTTCTGAATTTTGTATTTCTACAATTCTTAAGCACCCATTCTAGCAAAGAGCTTCTCTAAGTCGACGTCTATTCCTAATAAATTTTAGATTTCAGATAGTTTCTATTTATGTTCCTTTTAAAGAAAATCTACCTTCGCCTTCAATTCAGTATTTTCGTCTTACAGTTTCTTAATCAACTTATCCTACCCAGGGAAAGGACCTGGTTAATTCGAATTATCATCTATTGGCTGCGATGCTGTTATTCCTTTGGTCCTTTCTGCATATTGTAAGGCTGACAAACATTCTTCAAAATTATTTTCATTTGGGTTGATATGCACCATTAATGCAATTTAACTTTAACTATTGAGACAACTTTATAAGATTCTCGTCAGTTTAGAGTCTCGATATGGTATGTTTTTAGAATTCATCTGAGAAATAGCAGTCAAACATTTCGATAAGGCAGTCAAGCTTTAATTAATCAAAATAGCCTCCTAGAACTATCCTTCTTGTGTCAAACTCTTGGCTATTCTTTCAGAACCTGCCAAATCTACAAATTAGATGAATGCATTCATAAATTGCAGATTCTAGTTCTCCTTATCCTTTTAAACTAGGGTCAAAGTGATTACAGTGTGACACTTCTATCCAAATGATTTACTTTACTATTCAAGTTTCTCTCTCATTTGAAAACCCATTTATATCATATCTGTCAATTCTTTAGCCGATCTTATTGCTATTTATGAGATGTCTTTAATCAATAACTGCCCATCGTGGTTTTCATATACGCTTAGATTTTCATTCTCATAATTCTAAATTAATTGATTCATATTCCCAGAATCACGCTATTTGTAAGCCTTACCTAAGTCTCGCACTTAATCCAAGAATAATTCAGCCATCGTAGCAGTTATCTCGAATTCTCGGATCTCCTCAAATTCTTATGCTTTAGAAAGAAGATAATCTATGGCTCCTGTTATAATGCCCCTCTTGTCTGGCTTATTTTCTTCTCCTTCTTAGCCGAACAATGTGTAGCTCTTCCCACTTCCAGTCTACCCATAACTCAATATACAAGAATTGTGACCCTCTATCAGTTTCTGTAACATAGGCTCAATCACTTTGTACACATGTTCCTAAGTGGTGCACACAGAAGAGAATGAAACAATCTTGCTTTCTGCATTTTTGTTTGTTGGATCCTTAAATTAAATAGTTGTGTACTCTTATTGAAATACTCTCATTTGTGAAGTCAACCATCTTCTATTAATAATCAATCGGTCTCACCCTGGCAAATATCTTATAGTTTTGATTAGCATTGGTAATTCTGTTTTGCATTTCTTATAATAATTTATTTTAATTAAGTTCAAATATCATACATAAAGATCAAATATAAAGAAAGAGTTTACAAAATCTATTTAGTAAAATGAAATGCTTAACGCATAAAATGAAACATTATCAAATTAAAAAGCTCGATTATTTTGTTACTCGATGAAATTGGAAATACAACCTAAAGATTTATAAAATAAGCTTAAATATACATATTTTTTCAAAAACTATCCCATTTGAAGTTTAATCTTCCTATTCTCAAGGAGAGTTTACAATTAATTTACTATATTACTTAATGTATCTCAGCATATTTCTTAGGGTCATTTACATATCTTTTCACTTGAAGAATTGTTTTTTCAAAAATTGAAGAGCATTTTATTATAAAGTTCATAAAGAAGCTTAAGTTATCTATTATTTTCGTTTAGTTTCAATATATTATAAAAATGCTGGTCATGTTTAGATTATTTTATTTATAAATAAATTTTTGTATTTAATATCATTATAATTTTAAACAGATTGAGTTTATATATAAATTAATATATAAGTATATGAAGTAGAGCATATTAAATTAAATGTAAAATTTAAAAGGTTAGAAATATAATTCAAAATTAGAAATGTATTTTAGAAGGAATTTAAATTTTTTTTATCAACATTAAACTCATATTTGTACAAATAAAACTAAAGCAATACAATGTTTTAGTGTTATTATAATTTTCAATTTCTTTGTTTTACGAACTCTGTCTAATATTAACTGATTGAATACTAATATTAAATGAATTTCAAAAACATAAAAAGCAGAAAAATTATTTATTTTATTTTTATATTATTTAGAAGAGTATTATATTTAAACACCTCTGTCTCATTTATTTATTTATTTATATTAAAGAAAATGAAATTCTTAAGTGATGTTATCAGTTGAAAATTTATTCATTATAAGTGTTTAAGTGGCATTATATTAGTACCGTATATTTTTAATTAGTTCAGTTTTATAAACATAAAGAAATAGCAACTGAGAGTAAGGATTTTCGGTTAATTATTTAACAAATATCTCTCTAAATATTAAAGTTATGCAGTTTTAATCTGGTTTTAGTTGCATAGTGTGAATAATTTTATTAAAATAATTTTCCAAAAATTATCTACCTGTCAATCTCCAAATAAAGATGAATTAAAATGATAAAATAAAAGGATCTGAATTATTAAGAATAACTAGCCTTGAGATCTAGGAAGAACCTTAGACTATTATCTGGAATGGCCATTCCAATACTGAAATTTAGATATTTGTAGATGAATCATTTGGCAGTTAGATGTCATCATAGAGTTTAATAAAATACAAGAGGACCCTGGCAGCAAAGATCTTAAAACAGTGATTCTGAGTTATGAATATCATCTTCATTTAAGACAATTTTCATACAACATAATCTATTGTTTAATAAGTTGTCTACGATTGAATCCCAATTATCCTGAGGCCTATTGAGTTGAATTGATTGTGTATATATGCTCAGTTAATAAAGTATTTAATGGATCAAAAAAAATTTAGCTGGATTCAAAAATTTGGAATATGAGATATTATAAGAAACTAATAATTATATATTAATTTAAATTTATTAACTAAAGTCAGAGTTTGAAGATATTCTAATAAATAATTGGCATTACTCTTTACACCCTATTTTCATCTATCGATTAGATGTTGTAATTGGGAGTTTAGTAAGGGAGAGCAGAAGAATATTTTTCAAATTATTAATTTAATTACATACCAAATATTTAATTTACAATAAGATTAGTAACTTGAGATTCAGCATTAGTCATGTGAAACTATTATTAAAGCCACTAATATTGATATTTGTCAAACCGCATCCTATTAAAATAAATTTTCTAGAACAACTAATAAATCTTGTGAGTGTTTATTTTACAAATTACTATCATAGAATATCCATCCTAATTATAGCATAATAACTATTAAATTTATGAAAGATAATCAAATGTGCTCCTTCTTTATTTATTCATCTCTATGATAGTAAGTGTGAGTAATTTAGATTAATCATAATAATACTAGTATAATTGTTGGTAATCTTATTTACACCCGCTTGACAAGCTTATCTAGCAGCAAATCAAATAGTGTGCGATTAGAATATTAAAAAAAAGGCTAATTTCCATTTATTTATAGAGACATCAAATTTTAGTAAGAAGTTCGTTTTGAGAAGGGAGGAACTGTTAAGTGGAATAATTCATGGTACTTTTTTAGCTAAACTTTACTTCTTAAATGAATTATATAAATATAATTTTTATTTTTGCACATTAAAATAATTAGGATATAAGAATATCATTCAAGACATCTTTACTTTGAGGTTTGATCATATTGAGTATATTGATATTTTTGTTATGAATACATATTTAAGTTAGAATTGATAACATAGATATTTTTGATTAATTTAAATATGCTCATATCTGGAATGCAATTGAGGCATTCGCTGACTCCTCGTTTCTTCGCAGGAGTGTTCAACAAGCGTAAGCCAACCAAGAAGGATTTAGACCATTATGATATAGTGGTGATCGGTTGCAATTTAGGAGGAGTGTTGAGTAGACAACTTGATAAGGTACATTTGTAAAGTTTAACTCGGCATAGGTTTCTCATGGAAAATATAAGATTATGGTTGTTTTGGATTAGAATATCAATCAAATTACTCCAATTAGATAGATCTATGAATAATAGAAGACAGCCAAGACAGATTTCTTGCTCAATGCTAAATTGTCACTCAACATGTACACTGCCCACTCAGATCAAGTTGGATGTTCAACAATATTACCTGAAGAGAATGCCATAGTTTTGCGTAATGGTCGTAGAATTGGCTATAATTAATTGGTTGTTGCAATGGGTATAATCCTCAATAAATTCCAATAGGTCAGCAAGTCAATTACGATGCAATCAAGGGATTTGAAGAAGCTTGGTAAGACTTCGATTCCCCAGTGTTCACAAACCTTGATCACCCAAGTTGGAGATCCTCCAATCATAAATACACAAGATGGCATTACAATTTCAATCATGGTGAAGCATATTTCTGTATTCCTCAATTCCCCTTCAGTGGTGAGGTTGAATCCTACAACTTTTTGTTGAGTCAAAGAATCTGGGAATGGCAAACAGCAAATGGACGTCAATCACCAATCAAAAAGTTCACGATCATCCAACCAAATGAGCGATTTGTTCAATACAATGATGCTGGAGATTCCTTCTTCAAAGAAGAATTAAAACGCAGAAACATCAATGTTGAATACGGACTGAAATTGGTTGAAGTCAACAAACAATACAATACTGCCACTTTCGAAGACGTCAAGACTGGAAACAGACAGACTAGAAATTTCAATCATCTCTATGCTGTTGCTCCAACAAAGGCTCATGAACCACTTGTCAAGGCTGGATTGACAACATCAAAAGGATTATTGGATGTCAACATCAAGACATTGTAGCATAATAAATAAAAGAACATTTTCGGACTTGGTGATGTCAACGATCTTCCAACTACAAATTGTTTCTGGGCTGGATTCCACTAACTCCACGTTGTTAGAAATAACATCGAAAGAAACATAGCTGGAAAATCACTGAATGCTGAATATGATGGATATAGCAAAGTTCCCATCATCTTAGGTTAGAACACACTCACATTCTTATGTCACAAATACAATAATGAAAATGCTTGGCACAACCTCTACTTCTCTAATGGGGGTTTCTTGGCTGCTTTGAGGTAATTGTTCCTTGTTATTCAAGATATTATAATTGGTGCAAGAACTTCAAGAAGGCCTTTATTGACATCTATTTGGAAAAGAATTGGGGACCTCCCTATTACAAACTTAAGAAGAGTTTCAAATTGCCTGAAGGTGAGAAGGATGATCATGGATTCTTATCCAAATTGTTGCCAGGCAAGAAGGACAGTCATCATTGATATAAATCAATAATATAAAAAATATAATAATGATTAAATTATTTGCTTAGAAGGTGCTCCAATTACAATTTTAACCTCTCTATCAATTTAATAGATTTGCAGACAAATTACAAAAGAAGCAACAAGACAATTAGAAATAAGAATTCAAAAAAGAATTGGAATTCCTCGCTAGCAAAGTATATTCACAATTGCACATAGCCACAATTTACACTTATCGATTTTAGACAAAGAGCACTCGATGGGTTGCATAAATTAAAAAAAGGATTCAAGTATTAAATCTCTTCAGGAAACGAGGAGACTGAATAGCAATTGACATTACAGAAGCAAGTCTTAAATGCCATGTTTGATGAGGAATTGTTGAGTCCAGATGATTTGAGTGGAGATGTAAGTGTAGACTAATAACAAGCAAAAAAAAGAAATAGCTATGGTTGCCTAAGTGGAAGTGCAATAAGTGAATTTCGTGTTGAGTCAATATAGTCAGATAAGGAACATGCATTCGTGGGTGAGGGACATGAAGGAGAGAGGAGAACCTATGCCTGACAACCAGGAGGACATGATGTACAGGTACAAGAGAGACAAGCCAATAAAGAAATCTTTCATCAAATTTGAAATGAAGAGATAAAATTTCTCAATGAAGCAAAGGTTATAAAAGTTGAAATGGGGTCCTCGTAAGGAAGTGTGATATTTGATAAGTGTGCGCAATTATAAATATTTAAATATTTATGATTATCATTATTATAATTGATCATAATGTGAAAACTAACATGATAAAACTAGCCACCAATAGTTGAGCATAAACGATAGTGTCATTTTTGTAGTTCAAGTCAGTGCTTACATTAGTTGTTTATCCATAAGCATACTATAAAAATATAAACAAGTATAAATACTCCAGCATAAGGTTAGACTGATTAGAAGCAACGATTCTAGATCATGTGGAATCCATATTTGCAAATAGCGCATCCAGAAGAATGAATATGGCTTATCAGTGGAAAGTGTTGAATTCAATTTAACAGCACAATTGGCTTGATTAAGAGGCACACAACCTCCTTATTGGAAGACGTATCCATCAATACAAGTTAAACAAACCTATCCAGGTGATGCACAAGTGGCACAACCGAATTAACAAGCGACACAAGTAGCTTAGGCAGTCTTAATACCAGAATATTGGAAGTATCCGTCCATACAAGCTTTGCAAGTCTAAGGATTAAACTTATAATTACTGTTGAATTGTCGCATGATGCACAATTGGTTTGACATGGTTGACAGGCTGCTCCTGATAAGTAATATCCAGTATTGCATTTGGTACAGGTAGTATTGGATGAGCATTCTAAACAACCACCACTTGCAGAACATGTGGCGCAAGTGGCTGAACTTGCTGAACTTGCTGCTTATAAGAAATATTTTTATGAGCATCCAGTACAGGAAATAGGTGTTGAAGATGATCCACCACATTTATTACATTGTGAAGAGAGTTGTGTTTTAGCTCCAGCCTATGGTGGGCAAGATAAACAAGTTCCTCCTTCATATGCACCGAAATTCTTAACACATGTGGCACAAAACATTGTTTGAATTAGTTGATGTGTTAGTCAAAGTCAAACATGCTTATATTTGTACAGCGGCTATGCATGTAGGAGTAGCAACACCGTTTGTAGTAATATTGACTAAGAAGTAGCCATCGACACATTAAGTGACTTAAACTGTTGTATATGAGGGAGTATCTTATGGACCTCCACATCTCAACCATCCAGTTGATTAAGGATATGAAGAGCAGGCTGAGCAAGTGACGATGTTACTTTAATCCTTGATTGCATAGTAGAACTCTTAGCATTTTGTGCATGAAACAGTAGTACCATTGATTGTGCATGAAGCGCAACCTGTACCACATGGAGTGCAAGTCTTTGGAGTTTAGGTGTTCAAAACATATATGCTTACACATGATGTGCAATTCTAATTATTATCCATTTGAGTGCAGCCTTCAGGTAATTTTTAACAGGTTGAATTTACCAAAGCATATCCAGATACACATGCTAAACATGTTGTTGAATTTTAACATTTTGTACAAGTGAGACTTGGCTAGCATGAGGCACAAGTCTAAAATATATATATTACTAAATTTTACTGTTATTCCATTAGTGGTACTAATAAAGTAACCATCTGCACATGTAGTACAATTTGTACTGTTTGTGCAACTTGTACAAAAATCTAGGCATTTCTAACAAGTTCCAGATCCATCTGTTGTTGATCCTGTTGTCAATCCACTGAATGACCAAAAATACCCGCCATAACATTGTGTGCAAGTGTTTCTATATAATCATATTAAAATAATACGCTGAAGGACAATTCATACATCCTGCTATGCCACATGGATTGCAAAAACCATCGAAGTAATTGTAGTATTAGTCGGATGAGCTTGATACTGAGGGAATATAATCCCAATTTAAGTAATGTCCAGAAGAACATTGAGTACATACATATCGAGTACTACTATAGACTGTACAGGCCTAATTCTCAACGCATACTCCAGCAATCAAACTGAAACCTGAGTCACATTTACCACACACATAGGCGTTGGCTCCTGTGTTTAATGAGTAGCTCAAACATCCATTTGGCATATTCACACATATTCTAAATTTATATTAACATTCTCTACCCATTTAGCTATGTCCATCCTGGACTACAAGTTAAAGACCCAGTTTAGTAATAATCTGTACACTGATAAAATCCTCCCTCTATTGGTTGACAAGGTTAGCATGATTGCCCAGCCCAATAGTAACCTTTTATTTAATATAGAATAATACCATTCATGCATTAGAATGCTTGACGTGTTGATTAACCAACTTTCAAAGCACCAGTAGCTAAACAACTTAAATATGTGCAATCCAGAGGTGGTGATTATTGTCCCAAAACACCTATCAGCAAAATTGAGGCGATGAGTACTTTATTCATAATTATTAAAAAATTTATTAATCAAGATATATTTTATCTATTCCCTTAAAACTACGATAATTCCATCCCCCTCTTCTCGTATATCTAAATTATTTCATACTACAAATCCACATTTCCCTCTTTTCATCCAAAATGCCTTTCCTCTTCATGCCTGCTTCCCATCAAGACCTTAAATTCGATCCCAAAAGTTTTAAGTGAATAGCAAACACCTAAGAATATTTTTGTTGGTTGAATACTTCTAAAATCTTAACTTCATTCATTTTGCCATCAGAATTTTGATTAACTGTCTCCTCTCAAAGATAACTATTTATTCTTAAAATGTTCCTCCATTTGGAACCCTTTTGAATCCTTTTCTGCATTTACATAGAATGGAAATCTCAAAATGAATCAAAGTATAAATTTTATTAATCACGTGAATTTTTCTTGGAGTTTAGACGCAGTGCTGTTAATTGAATTTGTTCTTTAGAATTGGAAACATTACCGTAGAACAATTATCCCAAATAAAACAGAGAAAAGGAAATCATTATTTTTGTATCAATGAAGAATTTAAAATAAATCTGATTTTTCTTAAGTATTGAATAATTTGTAGTATAATTAATGCTCCTCATTCAAAAGCTGCATTTTAGTGTTACATATATTATAAATATGCTGTATTTCAAATGAGTCTTAATATTTAATAAATTATATTTGAAACTTGACCTTTTTTTGACTTTGATAAATGATATAGATAAATTATACTGATTTCTTTGGTCCCTAAAATCAAAAGTAACTCTTTTATTTAAATAAAATATATTTTGAAACTATAAAACCTTATCTTGCAATGATGAAAGAATTGATTATTAGAGTAGCGAACAGAAAATAAGTGATATTTTCTATTTGTAATTTACCAGTTATAAAATTCAACTTTTAAAATCTCAATAATATGAAATGATAAAATAAAAATTAAGACATAATTTATAGAAGTCAAGGAGATTGTTATTAAAACTAATAAAAAATAGAAATCAATCTCTCATTTTGAAATATTAAACCGATTGATAAACTTCTTAATCTATTAATATACATATATTAATACAGATTTTTTAATCTATTTTGAAGTTGTGATAATAGAACTCACACATTTTCAATTCCATAAGCAAAATCTTTCAATCGGGTGAATTATATTCTTGTTTAATTATTCATAAGTATGATTAGATTATAATGTTCTCTTTCTTTTAAATGTTAATGCTCATTTGTTAATAGTTTATTAGTGCCTACTAAGTTTTCTATTGAAAAAATTACACAACTGCTCACGCTTCGAAGATTATTACCAATCTCCCTTGAAAGATTTATAATTTCTGATGGCAGTACAATTATTGGGTATTTTCATTTTAATACCAATTTAATATCATATGAAGAAAATTAGCAAAATAGTTGAACTGAATTTACAAATATGATATTTTATAATTTTAATTGATACACTATAGATCTCAATTGGTGACTATCAAAATTAGTATGCCAAACATCAATCCATATTTGCTTGTAGGTTAAATAGGTGTATCTCCAATTGGGATAGGAGTATCTGTATTGGAAGAATTTGAATTGTCATTTGGATTAGATGGGTTGGTTGGAGACACTGCTTTTATGCCGCAAACAAACTAGGAAGAATAATAATTAACTAATTACATTATTGTAAGGTGAAACGCATTCTTGGCAAACTCTTTATTAATCTAAGAAAAATCCTGCTTAGCAAACAGTACAACCAGTGGAATCAGAAGTGTAACAATTAGCTAAACTATAGGTATTGGAGTCGTTTTGAATTTTTTATGTTAAATCGACACAGCCTCCATTTTGAAGAACAAAGCCAGCTGAACAGGTTAGACAAATGTTGCCACTTGGTCCAGTACAAGTTCCACAGTTGTTTTAGCAAGGGTAGCAAGGTTTGAAAGCATAGGATTTGGAATTGAAGGTGATGGAAGACTGAACTAAATAGAATCCATCGTTACAGGTGCTACAAGTCTAAATAATTAGATAAATATTGTTACGTATTTTGAGTCGCAAGTCTTGCAATCATAAGGACATCCCTAACAATTTCCATTGATGTCAATGTAATTGCCATTAGCACAGGTACTACATTGCATTGTGTATGGTGCAGTAGAACCGATGATTGTACAATTCTAGCATCCGCTGGGGCATTACTGACAAGAGTTAGTGTTAGTATTTAAAACATAACCATTTATGCATTATTAACAAGTTAACCCACTTTAATCTGAATTCTAAATACAAGTAGAGCAATTTATAATCTTGGTGTTACATTAATCGCAATTATTTCCATATAAGGTATATCCAGGAAGACATTACTAGCAATTTTGACTGTTAGAATTAGCAATAGTGAAGCAATTGGAGTTACTAGCTTAATAACAAGCATTTCCAAATAAGAAGTAGTTATCAGCACATTAAATAATGGTTAATTGAGTCTAATTTTCTAAAACCCCCTAACATCTTAAAGCATTATTCAAGGACGATGAACACAATGAGCATGTGATAGGAGCTCCATCATATGCTTAGACTTTATAATATCCATCTGCACATTCAGTGCAAGTGGGATTTGAATTTCCAGGTTATGTGGTACATAAGTTACAATTGAGACATTAAGTGCATGTAGTTTAGCTTGTTAAAGCGTATTAAGGACTGCATACTTGGCATTAGGTGTTATCAGAATTACACTGAGCACATCCTCCAAAAGAACAAATGGAATTAGCTGTGGATGTTGAACATGATTAATTAGATTAGTTATAGGTGTAAGGGGAGGAGCATATGCAATCACCATTTGTTGAGTTAGGGTCTACTGTGAAATTAGTATTGCAGGTAGTACAAACAGTTGCACTTGAACAAGTCTAACAATTCTTAGGACAGGCAACACATTGACCAGAAGCATTAGTTTAAGAATTTGCATAAATCTTAAAGGAATATGAATTTGTTGTAAGTGTTGATTAATACCAAAAGTATCCAGGCAAACATTGAGTACAAGTATATAATGATGGACAAGTAGCACAACCGGTATTGCATTTACTGCAAAATGGATTGAAGTATTGATAGTAATTAGTGTTAGTTGTCAAGGTGCTCTTAGAAGTTTACAATATGAAATCCCAATTGAAGTAATATCCATTTGTACATTAAGTACAAGCTCCACTATTCTAATCAATAGTCAAACAACCATTAATAGCAATACATATGTTGCCAATTAAAGTATATCCTGAGCTACATTTAGAGCAAGCCAGTGACATCAGTTTATCAGAATACTGCATGTCAGTGCATCCTGTAGGTATAGGTACGCATTATTAGACATTTTTGATGGTGATTAAGTAATATAAAGGATTACATTAGATTTAAGTGCAGGATGTAAAGTTATTGCAGGTTTAGCAAATACCGTTATTAACTGTGGGACAAGGCATACAACTTTATCCAGTCCAAAAAGATCCAGATTTACATTATGGAGTTGTTTATCTTGTTGTGCTTAAGGGAGCAGCAGATTTGAAATAATTAGAATTTTTGCCTGAAGCCACAGATCCAAAGTTAGCGGATTAAACTTAATTGTCAGATGGATTAGATCGGCAAACAAACTATTAAAATAATTATAAATAATATATACTGCTGCTTAAGGATAGACGCATTATACGCAAGAATTATCGATAATTTATGATTAGCCTTATTGTGATAACCATCCATTGATAGGATAGAAACCATAAGCGCACACATAACAGCCGTTATTTTGATTCTATTAGTTTTCTAAACAGTTTCCTTAGTCTTTAACGCAACCTCCATTTTGTAAGAAGTACCCGCTAATACAACCAGAGCAAACATTTCCTGGAGATACACATTAACTGCAACCAAATTGGCAGGCTAAGCATGATCCATTGGATTCATAATAACCATTGATGCATGTGGAACACGTGGTTTCGTTTGAGCAACTCAAACAAGTGCTCTTGCTGCTGCTGTCTGTAGTACAAGCCACACACGAATTTGAACTCTTGTAATATCCAGTGTCACATTGAGAACAGTTATCGATTCCTGTGCCAGTGCATTTAATACAATTTGCTATACATAATTAACAAGTTGCAGAGGAATCACTGTAATAATAATTAGCACATGAACTACAAACAGGTTTATTATTTTAATCTAATGAGCAACTATTGTCAGCACAGTTAGCACATTTGTAGCAGATTTAATTACTTTGTAAGTATGATGGCCAACAATCTGAGCACAATTATGAGTTAATTTAAGTGCCATCATTAGGTTAGAAGAGTTTTGAACATGTATTGGATGTTTAAGCTTGATAACATTAATTATTGACTAAGAAGTAATTGTTTATGCATTGGGTTGGTGTAATTACTTTGGTTTTTGAGTCATAGGTGCATCTTAAAGCGAAATTGCCTCCTGTGTTGCATGAATTGCATTGCGAATTTTCATTCAAATAAAAAGTGTCTTAACACACTGCGCAGATAGTTGAATAGGAGGAGCCTTGTTGAGTGTTTTTAGTGCATCCAGTGGCACAATTTTGAGGACATGAGGCACATGTATTATTAGCTAACAAAGTATAACCTGACACACAGTTGGAGCATAAATCATTGGCACACTCTGAACATTGATTGGAATAGCCTGTGCATTTGATACAATTGGAATTTTAGAGTTTATAATTAGCTTCACAAGTAAGACAGACTGAGCCACTTGAGCAGGTAGCACATTCACTCGGACATTTGGTACATGTTTTATTTGAATCTAAATACCATTTGGTTGTGCAGACAATGCATTGAGTATCATTTGTGCAGACATTACAGCCAGCTACGCAGGTTGTGCAAGATTGATTTTTCAAATAGTATGTAAGATCACAAGCTGTGCATTTGGTATTGCTCAAACATGATAAGCAGCCATTAATATCGGAAGAGCATTGATTGCATTGATTGTTGGATAGATAATAGCCAGTAAGGCAGGAGGAGCAAGTGCTTGAATTAGTACATGCTGCACAGCCTGATGGACAAGCACTGCAACCAGATGCAGTTAGGTAATATCCTATTATGCATAATGAGCACTCAGATACTGAGTTAACGCATGATGTGCACTTGGTGTCGTTACATTTGTTGCATGAATCATTGCTTAATTGATAACCTACAAGACAAGATGTGCAGGTACTGGAACTTGTGCAGGAGGTACAATTACTCTTACATTGAGTGCATGCACCATTATCTAGGAAGTACCCTGTAAGACATTAAGTACAAGCTGAGGAAGTAGTTGAGCATGTTAAACAATTAGTATCTTGGCATTTACTACAGGTACTCACATCCAAAAACAGACCAACTGTGCAAGCAGTGCAGGAATAAGTGCTTTAATTTATTTGGCAAGTTCTGCAGGCATCAACAGATGTAGAGCATGGGAGACATAAATTTCCACTCAAATAAAATCCTGGAGTGCAAGTCTTGCAAGTGGAGCCATTATCACAGGTAGCACAATTTATAATTGAGGAGAAACATAATTGACATGTAGAACCACTCAAGTAGTAACCAGTAATGCATGAGTTACATTTGGTTGCAGAAGTATCACAAGTAGCACATGGTAAAGTACACTTATCACATGTATTATCAGCCTTCAAATACATGTTGGTGAGACAAGTGACACATGTAACATCAGTTACTGCACATGTTAAACAATTAGAATTGCATTTTGCACATGTATTATTGTTAACATATTGACCTGAATCACATCCAGTGCAGACTGATTAACTTGAGCAGATGGTGCAAGGATATAAGCATTGTTAGCATTAGGATCCGTCATAATAATATCCTGCCAAACAGCCTGTACAAGTATTTTGATCAGTACACTTTGCACAAGGATCAGGACATTAGTTACAATTAGTGCCTGAAATATAATATCCATCAACACAGGATGAACAACTATTTGCTGGATTGTTACAATTGAAACAAGGATATTAACAAGCTGTGCAGGTTGTTCCATCTTAGAAGTAAGCACTGGGACAAGACTTACAATTACCTGCAGTATTCTCGCATGTTTTACAAGGGTTATTACATTATTGACAAGTGTTATTACCATCTAAATAGTATCCAGCGATGCAACTTTTGCACTTACCTGCACTATCAACACATGTGACACAATTGTTGGAGCAAACAGTACATGCTTGGCTGCCATCTAAGAAGTATCCATCTCCACAAGATTTACAAAGAGCAGAGCTTGAGCAGGTTAAACATGGAAGAACACATGTTGTACATGTACTTCCATTAAGGTAGAATCCATCATCACAAGACAAACAACTATTCGTTCCAGCACCGTTACATGTGGCACAAGGATTGGCACAGATTGTGCAATTAACACCATCTTTGTAATAGCCATCAACACATTTGTCACATTCACTGGCAGAAGTCAAGCATGTGAGACAAGGAGTTTGGCACTAGTAACATTGATGATCACTAGTTTTGAGGGAGTATCCAACAGCACAAGTTGTGCATGTGTTTTAATCATCACATATGATGCATGGGGATGGACAATAAGTGCAGGTAGCACCAGCTCCACTGCCATTCTTATACAAACCAGTGAAACATGAAGTACATTATGTAGCACTTGTGACACATTCTTTACAGGGAGTTTAGCATGGATTGCAGCCATCTCCAGTTCCATTCAAGAAATAGCCTGGAGCACAACTTGAACAAGTAGTAGCTGATGTCTTACAAGCTGTACAAGCAGTAGAACATTGAATACATTTTGTGCCATCCCAAAAGTAACCTTTAATACATCCAAGGCAAGCTGTATCGGTGCAATCAGCACAAGGAGATGTACATTAAATGCAGGTATTTACATTTAAGTAGTAACCAGTTATACATGAAGTACATTTAGTTTAAGAGTCAACACATTTATTGCATGGTTTTTAACAGATGTTACAAGCATTGCCATTTCGGTAATACCCATCAATACAACTTTAACATGTATTTGCATCAGGTGAACATGTAAGACAAGGGCTTGCACATTCAGAGCATGTTGTTTATCCAGAGGGTAAGAAATATCCATCAAGACAATCTGTACATTCAGTTGTAACAGCATTACATGTTTTACAAGGATCAGTACATTATGTGCATGTCAAAGGAGGAGTTGTGGTTAAATGGAATGCCGAATCATTACATGATCTGCATTCGGTGGCAGAGTTTTCGCAAGATGCACATGGAGTCTAACATGGAGTGCAAACAGCAGGAGTTTATGAGGTATCATAAAAATACCCAGAAATACATGTATTGCAAACAACAGCACCTGCAGTGGCTGAATAAGAGCAAGTCAAACATGGAGTTGTGCATTAAACACATTTAGCAGGATTTTGAGTAGTATCATAATAATATCCTGGAATACATGAGTCACATGTATCTCCATCAGTATTGCAGGTAACACAAGGTGAATTACAAACTGGACATTTAGGATTGTTGGGATCCTTATAGAATCCGTCTAAACAATTTATACATTAATCGCCAGCTGTTTCACATTTTTTGCATGGTTCTTTGCACTCTGCACAAACGTTATTACTTAAGAAGTATCCATCTGGACATGCACTGCATTAAGCAGGACCAGGGTCAGTGTAGGTACATTTTGTACACGGTTCAGCACATTAATTACAGGTTCCATTATTTTTATAATATCCATCATAACAGGAATCACAATTACTCTTGGAAGTAGAACATGTTTTACAAATGGCATCGCATTATTCACATTTTGAATTAATTAATGCAAAACCTGGCTAACAACCACTACATGCATCAGCTGAAACAGCACAAGCAGTGCATGGACTCTAACATTACTCACAAGAATTATTATTGAAAAAATATCCTGTTGTACAAGATAAGCAGTATGTAGCACTATTATTTGAGCATGTTGTGCAAGTGTTATCACAAGGTTGGCATGCATTTGAATTATCCAAATAGTATCCTGGTAGACATTTTGAACAGGTTGTACTATTTTAACAATATAAGCATGAGTTGCTACATTAACTTGAACAAGTGGGTGTTCCATAATATCCTGGGATACAAGAAAGACAGTTAGTGCTAGAATTTATACAAGTTGCACATTTTCCTGAGCAAAGTGTGCAAGTAACTTGGTCATTCTCTATAAAAGCACCATCAACACAGGTTTTGCAAGAAGTAGAACTGTTACAATATTTGCAATTTAAACTACATTGATTGCAGGATTAACCAGTTAAATAATAGCCATTTGAACAATCAGTACAAGTGTTGGCATCTGAGCATATCTTGCATGCTAAACTGCATTACTAACATTTATCATTTGCAGGGTAATACCCTTGAATACAACTCTAGCACACTTTAGCTCCAGTAGTGCATGCCGTGCAGGCAGTATCACATGGACGACAAACATAACTATTTGCACTATCAATGAAAAATCCAGCTGCACAGGCAGTACATTTCAAGGTTGAATCTCCTGCATCAACTGCACATTTTTAACATACAGATTAAGTTGGACATTCTGTGCAACTGCCTCCATTTAAATAGTAACCATCTTCACAGGCTTAACAATTGTTACCAGCTCCTGAGCATTTGATACAAGGGCTCTGACATTCAGTACAATTTGGAGAATTAAAATAGTACCCATCTACACAATCCTTGCATGATCCTGTAGTATCATTACAAGTACGACAAGGGGATGGACATTGTTAACACTATTAATTAGCAACCGCATAGTATCCATTGACACAAGAAGTACATTAGGTTGAATCACAAACATTGCAACCTCTTTGACATTAAGAGCATTGTTTTGCTCCGCTATTGTAATAATAGCCCACTTAGCATGTATCACAAGTATCCAATGCACTACACTTATTACATGCAGTTATGCATTATTTACAAGACCCATCTCCAGAGTCTTAAAAATACCCATCAATGCATAATGTACATTTAAAGGAAACATCACAAGTTTAACAGAAATCTGGACATTATTTGCAAGCATCGTTTTATATTTAATAGCCTGAATCACAAGCAGAGCATTTCACAGTACCATCTAATGCACACTATTTACAAGGACTTGCACATTCAGTACAAGCGTTACCATTCAAATAATAACCAACTAAGCATTCGGAACATGTAGAACTGTCACTACATTTTACACATTTTTAAGGACATTCTTAACAGACATCATTAGCTTATTTATAAAATCCATCTATGCAATCTGTGCAAACAGTAGCGCTGTCACATGTTGTACACCCTTTGACACATTGTGTACAAGTATTAGTTCCATTTTTATAAGAACCTGTTAAACAAGGCCCACATGAAGTATTAGAGGTACAAGTAGTACAAAAGTTTGGACATTTAGAACAAGCTTTGTTGTTTGGGTAGAATCCATCATAACAAGTTTAACATGTAGAGGTAGTTCCATCAGTTGTCCAAACTTAGCAGCCTGTCGAAACCTATTCACAATCATTTCCATTTAAATTATATCCCTAAAAGCATTTAGTACATGCAGTGGAAGATGTGCACTCTAAACATGGGAATGTGCATTTAGTACATGAAGGATTACCATCTCCGTAATAACCTTTACTGCATTTAGAACATACAGAACTTGAGCATATATCACATCCAACATCACATGATACACATGCATTACTACCATTAACGTGAAAACCAGAGGCACAAGTTTAACAAGTGCTTACACCTGTACATGTTAAGCAAGGATATTAACATTAAGTGCAATTAGGTAAATCTGGGTAATAGCCTGGAATACAAGTTAAACAAGTAGTGCTGTTAGAACATGTTAAACAATTGTTTGTACATCTATTACAAGAGTTAGGAGATGGGTCTGCTAAATAAAATCCATCATAACAAGAAGAACATTTATCAACTCCAGTATCAGTGCATGCCTTACAGGAGGAATTGCAAGTTGATGAACAATCAGCTCCATAAGAGCCATCAACACATGATGTACAAGTTGTACCATTTCCAGTGCAGTTCTTACAAGGAGCAGTACATTTAGTACAGGCGGGTCCAGCATTGTAATATCCTCCATTGTTTTCACATTCTGGTTGATCAGTAGTACAATTTTCAACACAATTTCTGCTGCAATCATCTCCAGGCACGCATGCTTTGCATTATCCAGGATTGGCTGGATCTGGATATTTGTTTGCAGCTGTGCAAGTTAGGCATGTTTGAACTTCATTAGAATAGGTACAAGTTGCACAATCTCCAGAACAATCATTTTTACAATTACTTCCGCTTTTATAATAGCTACTCCAACACGCTGTGCAAGTCGTATCATCGTCACACGCCAGACATCCTACTTTACATTAAGTACATGTTGAAGAAGTTTGATAAAAGCCAGGGATACAAGAATCACATGTACTTACATCTGGATCACAGGTCAAACAATGACTAGTACATTAATCACAAGAGGATCCATTCTTTATGAATCCAGGTCTGCACCCTTGGCAAGTGTTTGAATCAGTACATGTTGTGCACTTATCAGGGCATTTGTTGCAAGTGGCAGGTAAAGTTGCTGAAGGATAATAGCCAGTTGCACATACTTAGCAGTTAGTATCAGATGTGACACAGGTTGTACAAGAAGCACTACAAGGTTGACATTGATTACTACTTGGAAAGTAACCATCTTAACAACTTGTACAATGTGAAGCAGATTAGTTTGAGCAAACTTTACAATTAGCATTACAAGGCTAGCAAGCATTACTATTATCAAGATAATAACCAGCAAAACAATCTTAACAAGTTCCATTGCCATCAGAAGAATAACTATTGCATGGGAAAACGAACACATTACAAGTATCAGTTGTTATATAAAATCCAGTAACACAAGTTTGACATTTTGTTGGTCCGGTTGATTTGCAAGTGGCACATGGTAATTGACATTGAGAACATGTGTTATCATTAATCAATTGAGTTGAACAAGTATCACATGTGTCAGAGGGACACTTGAGACAGCCTACAGCGGAACATTCTTGACATTCTTTGCTAGCATTAAGAAAGAAGCCATCGCCACAATCAGTACATTCAGTGGCTGAATTACAAACATTGCATGGTTTTGTACATTGTTAGCAAGTAGTTGTGCCATTAGGATAATATCCAGGTAGACATGTTGTACAGGAGGCCTTTGTACACAAGAGACAATTGCTAGTACATTTTTCGCATGTATTATTATCAGGATAGTATCCGCCAAGACATTTGGAACATTCAGTTTTACTATCTGGGCATTCTAAACAAGATGGTGAGACTAGACTGCAAGACTTGCAATCTCCAGAATCAAGATGGTATCCAGTGATGCAAGATGAACAATTTCCTGGATCAGTTGAAGAACATTTTAAACAATTGTTAGGACAAGCTGAACAAGTCGTCCCAGATAAGAAATATCCATCGATACAACTTGTCTTACATGCTGTTTATGTAGTACATTAGAGACATGGTAGTTAACATTAGGTACAAGCTGCTCCATTTTTATAAAACCCATCAATGCAACTTGTGCAAGTATTTTAATCGGAACAAGTTAAGCATGCTTTTGGACATTAACTACAGGAATTGTTGTTTGGGTAGTATCCGGGGGGGCATGAATCGCACTTTGTTTGGTCTTCACCTGTACATGTAAGACAAGGGAAAGTGCAAGCTTTACATGTATTATCTGCCATTTTGACAAATCCAGGAACACAGCTCTCACATGTAGTGGGATTTCCTGAACAAGTTGAACAAGCATAACTACATTAATCGCAACTACCACTGTTGCATACATATCCTGTCATGCAAGTAGTACAGGTAGAAGCTGATTCACATGTGACCATAGGACTCACGCATTGTAAACAATTATAGTGAGTTGCATCTACTTAATTTTTATAATATCCACTAGCACAATCAGTACAATTATCAGCAGCAGTGCATTTTGTGCAAGAGAGTGGACACACTGAACATGCATTATTATTAGGATAATATCCATCGATGCAATTTTAGCATGAATTAGCTGCTGTGTCACAGGTCTTACATATATATAAGCAGGGTTAACATTGATCGGATGCTAATGATGTATTTTTCCAAAAACCAGTATCACAATTTGTACAGTTGTTTGCTGTTGTCTCACATTCCAAACATTAATTAGCACAAATTGTGCATTATTTATTATTGACGTAGTATCCAGTCACACAACTGCTGCATTCTACTGATGAAGTGGCACTGTTATATGTGCATCCAGTACAATTATTTGGACATTTAGTGCATGTTGCTGCATTCAAATATGATCCACTAGGACAAGATAGACAAGCATTATTGCCACTTGCATTACAAGTGAGACATATACTTGCACATTACACGCAATTGCTATTTGAATCCATATAATATCCACTAACACACTCAGTACCAGTACATTTTGTATCTGATTCACAAGTCAGACAATGATTAGTACAAATAATACAAATATTTGTAGAGGATACGTAGTATCCATTTGGGCAGGCAGTACATTTAGTACTAGTCTTTTCACAAGCATCGCAATTGGCATCACAAATGTTACAAGTTCCTGGGGTATTAGGATCTGTTAAGAAGTATCCTTTTTCACAAGTTTTACATGTAGTTAAATTTGTACAAGACACACAAGGATATTAGCATTGTTTGCATAAAAAGTTAGTATCATCCCAAAAATCACCAGAATAACATGATAAACACTGATCTCCTGAAGTTGAATTTTTACAAGTCTTACATGGCTCAATGCAAACCTTACATGTGTTTTACCCAGTGGGTTGATAAAATCCGTCATAGCAAGCCGTACAATAATTTTTATCGTTTTAAGAACAGGTTTTACATAAATTGCTACACTATAGACATTAATTGTTATTATTATAATAATATCCAGGAGAGCAAGATTAGCAATTCTTAGGATCAGATTAACTGCATGAAGTACATTCCGGAGAGCATTGGTTGCATGTATGATTCACATCGTCTAATACCAAACCTGAATCACAAACTGTACATTTAGTGGCATTATCAACACAACCATAACATGGATTTGTACATTTGGTACAAGTAACTGCATTTGGATTAGTTTTATCTAAGAAGAATCCAATATCGCAACCAGTGCAGTTATTGGCATCACTGCATTTAGCACACTGAGCTGCGCAAAGAGTGCATACTTTACTACCATTGACATAATACCCATCAACGCAACCTGTGCATGAAGTAGCAGAATCACAAGCAGTGCAATTAACTGGACACTCAGTACATGTGCCAGGAGCACTCAAATAATAACCTTGAACACAGGCTTAACAATCAGTTAAAGAAGCAACACAATTAGTGCATGGTAAAGTACATTATGTACAAGAATTGTTATTTTCAGAATAATAGTATCCATAAACACAACCTGTACATTTATCTTAATTATTGACGCATTTAGCACAAGGGGCTTTACAAAGATCACATGTAGTAGTACTAGATTAATAATACCCATCGACACAAGAGTCACAAGAATTGGCTTAGGTTGAACAAGTCGAACAAGGACTTGTACAAGCATTGCAAGGACCATCAGCACCTCCACTTTTGAAGTATCCACTTTGACATGACGAACAAGTGTTAGCATCAACTGTACAAGCCACGCATGATTTTGAGCAAGCAGTGCAAGTGTAATTTGGATCACCAGTGTAAAAGAATCCTTGAACACATGATCGACAAGATGTGGCTGAATCTTTGCAAGTGGCGCAAGGTGATGTACATTAAGCACACGTATTACTATTTAAGTATGTTCCTGCATAACAACTTGTACAATTTGTAGCACTTGTAATACAACCAGCACATTCGTTGGAACATTATGAACAAGTGTTATCATGTTAATAATAGCCTACAACACAGCTTTGACATCCATTTTAGGAACTCTAACATGTAGTGCATGGTTTCAAACAAATTTAACAATTAGAACCATCATATTCATACCCTGCAACACAATCTGTACACTTACCATCAGTACCGCAAGTGGAACAAGGGTAGGCACATTTAACACAATCAGTGTTGCTTAGATAATAGCCTGGAACACAGGATTAGCATTCTGTTTTACTAAGACAATTCACACAAGGAAATTCACAAGTGATACATTAATTAGTATTTAAGTATTTTCCATCATAACATTTAGTGCAATTAGTTGCTGAATCTTTACATTCTTAGCAGGTGATTGAACAAACTGAGCAAGTATTGCTATTCAAATAAGAACCTTTTGAACAAGCAGTACATTCAGTAGCTGAGGTCTCACAATCAGTGCATGTATTAGAACAGGGCAAACAATTATTATTATTAAAATATCTGCCAACATAGCATGCTGTACACTTAGTGGCTGATTCAACACAAGTAAAACATTTATTTGAACATTCGGTACATTTGTCTCCATCCTTGAAATACCCTGGGACACAGGAAGTACAGGTCTTGGCTGCACTTAAACATGTCAAACAATTTGCATCACACAAGTCACATGTGTTGGTAGCTCCATTTAAAAAGTAACCTGATGAACAGGATGTACAATTAGTTGATGAGTTTATACAATTTTCACAACTATTTGAACAAGCATTACAGGCATTCTTATTCAGATAGTATTTTGGTTTACAAGTAGTGCATGTGGTTCCATTCAAACAGTATTCGCAATTGCTAACAGCTAGAGTACATTTTGAGCATTTAGTTCCATCAAGGAAGGTTCCATCTGAACAGGATGTGCAGGTATTGCCATCTGAACATGTCATGCAACTTACCATTTAGGTAGAACACAAGAAACATGCACCACTTTTTAAGTAGAATCCTGTTGTGCATTTTGTGCAATTTTATCCACTTGAACACTATTTGCAGTAACTGATAGTGTCAGAACATTGGATGCATTATTGTCCACTTGTATAGTAGGCAGCAGAAACACAAGAGGTGCATGTTGATGAGTCTGAGCAGGCTGAACAATTTTGATCAAGTGTTGTGCAAAGAATGCAACTACCATTACTGAGGTAGGATCCAACTGCGCATTCAGTACATTTGGTTTCATCTGGACAAGCGTTGCATTTGGTTAACTTGTCCTAACAACGAAGACATTGGTTATTATTCAGATAGTAGCCTTTGACGCAGGAATTACAGTATGTGCTAAAAAGTGATGAACATGAAATTATACTCCGATTGGCAGGTTGCACAATACTGATTGCAAGGCAAACAAGAGTTAAAGCTTTGGAAATAGGTGGAGTAGTCAAAAGTAGTTTGTGCTCCATTGAATTCATCTGGAGTGTAGGTTGGGAATACATTGTAATATCCATCGGAACAAACAGTGCAGATACCAGTGCTTATACTAAAGGTTTTACAATTGTTATTTTAAACACATATTCCACCTTAAATTAAAATATTCATTTACCTATTTGAGTCGATTACCCATTGCATTGGAAACACACTATGGTTGAGCCGTCTGCTGAAAAACCTCCTCTTACACAGTTGGTATCAGGGTGTTTAATACAAGTTCTAAAATTATTATTTTTGATTACAATCCGATTTGATAATATCCATCCGAACATGTTACATAATTGCATGTATTTGCACTTGTGCAAGTACAATACCCTCCAGCTATCTGCTAGCATGGCATACAGATCTGTCCATTAAAGTAAGACCCTATTGTGCAAAACAACCATTACCCTTAGTACACGCAAATTGAGGATTATTCGAGTTAAGTCCCTAATCAGTATTGCTCGGTTAATTTATAGCAGTATCTCCTTTAACCACTATCGTCAATAGCACGCAAAGAAACAAAGATTTCTTCAAGTTCATATTTGTTAATATAATTTAATTAATACAAAATATCTTGAATGATTGAACTCTTATAATTACCTGATAAGACGACGCACAGAATTTGTCCAACATTTCCATACTTTTTAATATTTTTACTATTCTAAAAATGCAGAATGAATGCTAATTTATTTTTTTTATTGCTATAAATCTTATTAATATATCATTATCCTAATAATTAAACTAATTCTATTCCTTCTCTCTCTAAATCCTTCTCTTCTCCTTAACTCTGATATTAATCAAACTTAATTTTCTCACCCCCCTTTCTCATAGACTTGGAACTGTAATAAATCTTTTAAATAATTACCCCATCAAATCACAATTAATTTACTCTCTATGCCAATTGTTGATTATTACCCCGATCAATAGAATTCACTAAATGACACTACAGAAGGAAGTTGCCTTCTAAAAAGCTGTAGTTACTTTTTCGGACTTATGAAATTTCAATTATATATTTATTCAACTTAAAATTTATCAAAGCAAGTCACCCAAAGAATCGATGTCTAATCTCACAATTCTAGAGGAGACTTGCTACACACTTATTCATTTTAAGTATTATTATGTCAAGAATATTAATACTCAATCGTATAGTTTTAATTATTAATTCAATTAATGAAAGGACTTTTAATATCAATATCATAATTTCTGGAATTAATTCAACAATTCTAAGCGTCTTAGTCTTTCCAAACATAATTACACCTCTTAATGGATTATCTTACTAATACCTGAATTTCCTCATTAAACTTTATGTTAAATCAAAATAAAACACCACTCTCATTATAATTATCAAAAGAAATTTTTCAAATCCTCTTTTTTCCTATTCGTTTATATCATCCTATCATAATTTATAATCTTTTATCGATTTATAATCAATATAGCATCAAACTCATAAATTATAAAAGAATCAATTAAGTAATATTACGAGTAAGATTTTTTATAAGCCGCTTTCATCAGCCTAATTCAATTTCTAAACATCAAAAGTATAATAAAAAGTTGCATTTCAGAAGATTGGCTGCTAGTAAAAAGAATTAAATTAGTTGTCAAGATCCATAAAAAAAAGGATAAAAATCATTATTAATCTAAGTTTTTAAGTCATTGAATTTATAAATTAGTATGATAATATCGATCATTTTTATAAAAATTTCAATCATCTATTTTTGTTTCACTTGCTTATTAGATTGAGTAACTTAGTATAGAGATCCAAAGCCAAAAGGAATTTGGTATTGGCTTGATATTAATATATTCATTTTATAATAATAACTATTTTATGAAGAATAATGTCAAAATGTTAAATGATAGTGAAGAATCCATTTCAATATAAATTACATCTGAACTTTTGAGAGATAGTGGTAATAATAGATAATTACAATAAGAACGATAATTGGATTAATAGTTTTCAAAAATTATATTAGAATATAGTTTACACCGATAATGCTTTCTTTCTTATTTTTTGTTGTTTTAAATTCAAAAGAAATTTAAAATTAATAATTAAATAAGTATTCGTGGAACTTATCTTATTTTTTCTTAACAATACACAAAATTTTGCCCTTTTTATAAGCGATTTATTTTAAGGATAAATGAATTTTCTAAATGACAATTTAGAATTATTGAACGCTCCCCTTGATATTTTTATTAGATTAAAAATTAGAGTGAATCCTAAAAATTATAACTTAATTTTGAGTTTGCAACTTTCAAAGAACAAGAATATTATTTCGTACTATTTATGCTACTAAGAAACGATTGATATTTTTATTTATTTAATTTGCAATTTATTAGATTTACCTTTTTCAAGATCTCCAGAGATAAATGGCTGTAATAATTTAATACCCAGATAATTTTTAAAGTGATAAACTTATAATATAATAAATATCACAATTATCTAGGATTGCTCTATGCAAAATAATTTTGGTATTCGTTAAATGTTCGAATTCGAGAATAGCATAATTTAATTTATTAAGTTTTAAATTATATTTATGTTTAATAAATATAAACTGAAATTAGGAAAGGGGTTAGATCAAAGAAAGAGTATAGTAGAAATTCTTAATCAAAAGTAAATAAATAAACTAAATTTAAAGACTCAGAAAAGAATATTTTTAAACTACTAAGATTTCTTTCTCTAATCCACACATCTATTATAAATATCAATTATTTTTATTATCAGATTTTGATGAAAATAATCTGCTGATTATCTTAGCCTATGGTTTTCTCTACAAAAACGATCTGCCTTTGCTCTAAGAGAATCCTTGCTAAGTTCCTTGATTGGGAGAATGAATCTGAGGCAATACGTCTTGAGATTCAGCACTGTTTAATTTATACTAAATTTTGTTCTGAATTTATTGACCTCCTGACTCTCGCATGGTTTCTTAAGCAGTCTTTGACTTCCTCATCAGAGAATCCTCAGGATGAGCGTAGAGTATTTCATTTCCTTGGATGGTTTATTTGGAGGAATTGGTTCTTATGGCTGTGTCTTGTTATGATATTGGTCCATAACCATAAGGAAGATTTTTGGCTTATTACAATTTAGGTTAGATTTGAGGGAGAAAGGCAGTTGAATTACTTTTCTTCAAAAGATCATTTAAATTCTAACGATTGTTGAAACGATCAGATTCAAGGAGCGACTTCTTATAGCTGGGAAAGTCCATTTGATCTGACGACAGTCTAGTTACATTGTCTGTTTCATTTTATTTGGTATGAAATTGGACTCGCAGAGCGGAATCGGCAGTATTGATAGTCCCTTCCATTTTTTATCGAAGCATACGTGAACCTACAAAATTCTTGTTGATGGGTTTTGGAGGCTGCATTTCATTTTATTGATTTTTGTGTACGAATTCATCACGTATGTCTGTTTCTTTGATTCGTTTGATTTGCTCTTGATAAGTAACTTTATTGCGGGATTCGTAAAGTTACGGAGGAGATTGTGGCTTTTAACTAATACCTTTGATGACTTTGACAGGAGAACTAGAGATAGGATTAGTTTGGTACGTGATTTTTTATGGTTAAGCATTTAGTTTGTTCTGCATAAATTATCCATTATTTCGTTTGCTTGAACTCTGCTGCGTCTCATGTTGAATAAGACGTGGTTGAGCAGGCTTAAATGTGTATTCCATTTGTGGTCTTCCTGATCCCTTAGAACTAGTTATAGAATTTTTGAGGCCTGATTGGTTTGGATTGAAAAATGTGGCTGTTTGTTTGAATGCATCCTAAAGTCTGGAATCATCAAAACAATCCTAGTATTCGTAATGATTCATTATTTTAAATTATATAAAAAATGTTTAGAAATAAAATAGTTGTGATCCAAAAGAAGCCATTTTCATATAAATCTGAACTAATCTATTCTGATAAAAGCGATTAAATATCATTGAAATAGCATTTAAATGTATATTTAGTGAATTCTCGGAATTTTATTAATTAGAAAAATAATTAAATGGATGAATATCAATATATTCATGAGAATAAGAATTGGTAAAAGATGATGGTTCAATCGACCATTTTAGTTTCTAAAGGAATTACTTCGAATTAATTTTACTGTAATTTATTAAGCATTATTTCTAATTTATATTAAAAGCTGTTTATTTATTCTTCTATCAATTGCTGTTTTTTCAAGATGATTTCTATTTTTATGCCAAATTTCTACAAAGACCTTGAAATTTATTTGAATAATGGCGATTTAATTTAATTCTTTTTAAATTATGAGTTCGTTAGGACCTTTGATAGTGATAATTTTGGTTATTATAATTGGAATTCTTTGGTACTTTATACATTTGATTGCACAAGTAAGCATACCTATTCTACATTTAGGGGTTCTCATAACTTTATAAAGACGAGTCAGCCTTTTTGAGTGATCAATTAAAGGCATTGTTGGGAGTGGATGATATACAACGAAATTCGTACCGTCCGTCAGTAGAACCACTATATATATCAAACATAGTTGACCTAATTGTATCTTCCATACGAGGATTATGGCTTGGTCAATTGTTATACATACTTTTGCTTTTGTTCCTATTTTTCATAGTCGTTGGAGTTTTCTTCATTGAATAACCCTTCTAATTCCTCTTCAATATGATTGTGGGAGTCGTGACTGTGTCGTTATTTTCACATTATATCATTTAGACGAATGGCAAGGGATTAACCCGTGCGTTGATATCGGTATGATGTAAAATTTAAGAAGGCTTCATTTTCAAAGGAGGATTGTTATAGTTACATGTATTCATGCGGTTTCGCAATGCTGAGTCTACTTATAAGCTTATTTTTGGGGATGTATGTCCTAATGTATTATTTCAACCTTGCCATTTGGGGAGGGGAATTAAAATAAAAAGATTATGAAAAAATATCAATTCTAATGATAGGGTACCTAATGGGATTGCTAATGGGTGGATTTATATACAGAGAAGGTTTATCATTAATGAGTAGATCATTTAAAACTGCAACTATTGGATTAATTAAATCTGATGTGAACTTAAGTGTTGGAAACAGCAACATCTCCTAATTGACAAGATTGACATACATGGTTTCTCAGTAGACAGGCAATACTCTAATAAATTACTTAGATATTGGATTTGTCTTAGTATTTTTGTGTTGTTCAGTCCTCACATTGTTCTTGAATAGTGCTGAAGTTTTGGAGAGTGAAAATAAAAACATCTTTATGTTGGGACCAATCTATTTGATATGTTTAGGATATTTCGGATCCATCTGTTGTTATCTGTTGAGAACTATGTGTAGAGATTCATAAGCACCCTCTTTTACTGCTATTAATGTTAGGTGGCAAGTCATAATGGGAGCTTTGATCTCCTTCATTATCTTGGTTACATTCCCATTTAACTTTCTAATATCTCAATTCACCTTGAAAGGAAATAATAGTCAAGACATTGATTTAAGTGGAAAGTCCTCTACTCATGCTTGCTGGTGTTACTTGTTGGGATTGATATTTAATGTGATCCACATTAGTTTATTTGAATGGTATACATCTCATGGATGTTCAAAAGTTCGAAATCTCGTAAATTATTCAATTCAAATAGGGATTAGCAACGAGTGATCGCATTATGTCTATGAATCTAATATATTCCAACTATTTAGGAGATTTGTTCTCTGCAATTCCTCTGGTTCTCATGCTCTTATTAATCACAATTGTTTATTCCATTCAGGGATTTGCTGGATTGCTATTTGCTGCCTCTGGGTACACATCTGTCTTTATCATCTATGGTATCATATACTAAATTGGATGCAATTCATCAGAATCATACAAACTCACTTGCTTTGTGCATTTCAAATCTGAAATTTAAGGAAGAATTTTTGCCATTTATTGGGAAGCTAAGAATTACATGATCTATCTTAAATCCACAAATGCAGGAGCTCTAACCTTGATCTCAATAGGATTTATAGGATCACAGTTGTATCAACATCCTGGAACATTGGGTTCTCTTTTTACTCATTACAAAGGAATCATTGGATTATTGATAGGATTTACATTAATGTTTGTCTGCAGAGGCCTTAGTATATGGGCAATTATAAATATGGCCAAAACCTATGTAAATTTATTTATATCGTAGTTCATTTGCCAACCCTCCAATGATTCCGAAGGCAAAATAAACTATTTTTCTGACAATCGTATCATTGAATTTACAAAAGTTAAATACACTCAAAGTATTCTTCATGTGGCTTATAATATTCTCTTTCTGACTTTTACTTTGTTGTTAACAGGATATTTGTATGGCCAATAAGGTACAATTGCTGCTATGATTGGCTCATCCATAAGCATACTATTGATTCAATATAATGGTTTAATCAAAGGGACAGCCCTTGAAAATGCTAAGATTTATAATGAAAGTACTTCTTAAATGCTATTGATAGTTGAGGACAACAGAAAGACTTCCCATTATGTCATGTATGTTGCTGGAGATACCTACGCTTGTGCTACTGAGGAGAGTAATGCTTGTCCTTTAGTTGCTTATTTTATTTTCAGTTATTGTCTATTGATTTCTTGTCAAAATAAATTCACTTCAGCAGATCAATGAATTATTATATTAAATTCCAACATGCAATATCATTATCAAGTTTTTAATCTCCCATAGAGCATAGTAGTAGACTATAATTGAATAAATATTCTCAAAGCAGAAGGAGAAGATTTAAAGATGATCTTGCTAAAATCAAATTAACTATACTGGAGAAATATTCAAAACTAATACAATTATAATCAACAAAAGAAAGAGGTTTAAAATCAGAGTTAATGTTTGGATATCTAATTAAAATCAAAAGGAATCAATCATACAAATTTGTATTTCTAATTAAAAGAAAAAATCTTCTTTCACCTAGGTTATTATAAAGAAATTTACAAAATTTAATTTCATAATTAATTATTCATTTGAAAAATCTATCCTGCGTTAGAAATAAAAGTAGTTAATAGATTATCATATAATATTATAGTGAATTGAAATTCAAATAATTGTTTATCATACATAATAAATATTAGTTCAAAAATCAATCTGATTTTTTTATATGCATTCGCTATTATTATTATGCTAACATTTGAATACAATTATGATTTGTTTTATCTTTATTATTTTTGAAAATTGTTGAAGCCTAAATTCTGCATTATATTCATTCAGACTATAGAATATCTGATAAATACATGATGTAAGGCTAACAAAAGTTAGGCTAATATTTTTGGCTTTATATTTTCTTTCAGCTATTCCCACAATAAATCTATTTGGAAGCTTCGCTTGAAATTATTTTAATTTCTTATTTAATTTTCTTAAACGAACTAATTAAAAATAGAAACTTACTCAAATATATTTTATTTAGATTATCCCATCTTAATTTTAATTCTTTCATTCAATTGTAAATTGTCTGAGTTTATTTCACTCATAATGAAAATATCATTTAGAAATTCTAAACAATTTCTACTATCATTTTCAGTATAATTACTTCTAACTTTATGAAAAGAAATCTCTATCATCAAGAATAGTGAACAAATGTTTAGTTTTCAACGGTAAAGTGGCATCTAAAATAGAAAAAGCATGTGATTTTGTGGAGTCAAATCTCTCCTATTTATTGGAAGATGTTCTGAGTTTCAATGCATCCAAAAGAATTTCTATTTCAGTTTCATCTTTCTGGTGTGTGATACACTCTTCTAATCTTTCAAATAATTTCTACTGCTTATGTAAAAATACTTAAAACTATGCTTAACTTCTCTTATTATTTGTTATGGGTTTCAATGCATTTTTGCAACTTGATACATTGTTCTCTCAATTTATCATTTTCCTCCTCCAAGTCTTTGACTCTATTCTCCAATAGTTCGAAATAGATCTTCTTACGATCTCTTGAATATCTTGCGGATTCTCTATTTCTCTTCTATTTGATTCGATTTAGGTCTAGATTTCCATCATTAATTGAATCTTGATTTTCAAATGAAGATTGATCGCTGTGTTCCACGTTAAGCTGCAGTTGCTATTCATTTTTCCTTTCCATTTTCTATTGACTTCTTCTAAATTCGATTTGTTTGTCCCAGATTCTAGTTATTGGTTTAATTGTTTTTTTTGGTATTTTTTCCTAATAAAATTTATTAAATTAATTACTTCTGCTTTTATTGGTTTTATAATTTTAACTTCATCTTTTGAGTTATCTCCATCACTTCCACTTCTTGGTTATCTCTCAAAAGAACTGTCAGTTTTAATGCATAATCTATCCATTCCCAACATTTTCAATTAAATGGCTCTTGACATTTCATTAGTTCCTTGGTCTAATTCTTCAAAAATCTGAATTTTAGGAAGTTATAGTATCTATTGCGCTTAGGTGTAAGGGTCATGCATAACAGAAATTCGATTAAATCTTAATTGATATCAGATGATCTATTATAATAATTGTTTGTGTCTACTCATTGTAAAAATAGGGGTTACCAATTTTAGGATAACTCACGAATTGTTAGTTTTAAAATTAAATAAAATAATCTCATTTATTAATTTAAAACATTACCTTAAGATAAATCAGAATGTTGAATTAATTTTGGTTCCATATATTTTAGTATTTACATAAGCAAAATTTAATTTATCATCATTCAACAAGAAATGACAACACACTAAAAATTTAAAAAAAATAAAATTAAATTCTTCTATTCCATTTAATCATCCGATCATATTTGAATTTGTGGACATATTTGCAATAACCATTCCTTTTTCAATTGCTTCTTTATGATGCTATAAAATTGATATTTAATATACACAGATGCAAAATCTTATTATAGCTCACTTAAATATAATTCTTAAACAGTTCTTTAAAGATATAATGATAAAAGTTACTGTGTTGTAAATTACAAGAATCACTACTGCTTCTCTATTTAAAAGGAGTTTCATTAGCCTATAAAACAATCAATTTTATCTTCTATTGAGTCTATTTGAGACTTTAAAAATTTTAATACACTATTATTTTATCTCAAATGAATTAGAAATGATAATTAAGTTTTCATACTATTTTCTATGAATAATAATTTCACAAGTTCTTTTTTCGTATAGATAATTATTAAGATGTAGTGATTTATTAGTTATTGGGTTATATCTAAATATAAATTAAGATTTAAAATAAATTAGTACCTGATATGAAAAGGAAAGCCACAATGAAAAGAAATGCCATCTTTAATCAAAATATCCGAACCATTACAGTGAAAAATCAAGAGGAGTATATGAATAAGTTAAAGATGCAAGCAATCCGTTTGCAGATTGAGAAGATTGTGCATCTCGACCCTTTATTAAAATCTCTTCTTAACTCTAAACCGAATCGCAAACATTATGCTCGTCCATTGTATAAGGCTTAAAGCAATCGATCTTTCATAGAATCAAATAAGCAAGATGCAGAAACTCAACAAAGAGCTAAAAGTTCTGAGGGTTCTCAATTTGGGGACATGGGCATCAAATATAAGCGTCTTATATCAAGGGGGACATTTAAAATATAGATGCATGTAAATAAAATAAGAAGGAGATTTAGAAGATGTGTGACAGCTGTTTGTCTGTTGCTGACATATTTTAGATATTATCCAATTTTAAGGAAGTGTAAACGATTTTCAAGACCTCGCATTTCAATATTGCGCTCCAAACCTATTTTGGAAAAGCTGCCGATTTTACCGTAGATGGATAAAACAAACACCATAGATGACAGTGTGGCATCCAAGGAGCAGGTAAACTATTTTAAAAAGAAAAACTCTTCACAAGGGAACTATGATATCTTTATCAAAAGACCAATTCAATAGTTTATAATGAGATCTAATACTTAAACATATTCCTAGAAACGCATATGCAAAACTGAGCATTCATAAGTCAAAAGCATGGGCAATATAAATAAAAAATAATTACACGATAAATTGCTTATAAAGTCATCCTCAATCAAATACTTTCTATGAGTTGACACATTTAATCTTTGTTTTATGTTAAATTTAATAAACTGAAATTATATACTTATTTTTTAACTTCTTTACTAGATCACTGATCATTTAGTATATGATATACAAACACCGAGTCAATGTCATCAATCCTTCTTAAGATAACATAGTTCTCAATGAATATCTTCTAGTTTTAATGTAAATAAATAGAATCAGGATGTATAATTTAATTGATTGATATTAAAAGTTTTGATGAAACTTGCTATGAGATTTCAAAAAAATATTCAATTAATGTTAAGCTATGCGACCAATAAATTATTTGATAAAAAATATAAAAGGAATCTGAGAGCTGTTTGTAAAGTTAGATTATATTTCAAAAACAATATTCATTCATCCCAATCGCCAGACATTCCTTTTCTTAATTTCAAAATTAAACAACTATCATTTGGAATTGCTTAATCTTGTAGATTGGCTTTATCATCTAATAACTAATTTAAGATGTATCGACTCTCTTACTCTATCTCCAAAATATATTCTCATATCCTAGATCTCTTATTTGTAGTAAGGTAGCAATTTTCTTTTCAGAATCTCTACAGGATCAAGCAATGAGCACTCGAAAAAGAATACTCTATTTTCCCTTTTAATTCTCAAATATATTTTTAATGGTTCCATGCGAATATTAAATTAATTACGAAAATTGTAATAGTACTTAAATGGAAACCCTTTTTAGAAATTCTCAGATATATTGCTACTAACATTTTATAGATAAACTGCTTATCTTGAAAGAAAAGAAATCAATCTATGAATTGTAAAAAGAAATTCTTTGCATAGAATCATATGTTAAATTAGGAAATCAACTTTAAGAGAGTTGAGATTATTAAATGAAATGAATTTGTGGAAATCTGATTAAATTTGTTGCAATTATTATAAGACATTTTCTAACATCTTCATTTATTAAGATCTATTAGTGACGAAAATAAATTACAAAAAATCTAACATTTTTCTTTGTAATTCCGCAATTATTGTTTGGCTAATAATTGTAGGTTGATTTTACTCATCGCTATATATCACATCAAAAAGATGCTAATTTGAATATTAACTTTTAAAAGAAGCACTAGCTGGATATGAGTATAAAATTAATTTTGGAGGATATATTATTCGATAGAATATTTTTCAATATCAATCTTAATTGTAATAATAGGAGTATTATTGAAATTCTGTTTGAGTAGGGAAAATAGTTTATAATTTAGGAGATACTCAAATAAATAAATGAATTGATATTTATCATTATTAACAGTATAATCTATAAATCAAATGAATAACAAATTTATTTTAAATGACTATTAATTATTATAACTAACAATTTTCAATGGTCCTTGAACATGGGTGATGAAAACAAAGTCTTTTAATATTATTCTTTTCTTTCATCTCCCTAATATACATATCTCATTTTAGTTTCTTGTATTTCTTTTTCGTCATCATAGTCACTGAGATGCTGTTAATCATCACACATATTTATTTGATGCACTGAATCTTTGATGTCCTATGAATCTTTTAGGTTCTTAAGGTCCTCTCTAATAAGTATAAATGAAAATTCAAACCTAATTTGATGAAAACTTTATGAATCTTCTCTTTTCATATCAGGAGTTTCGGTTGCAACTTTTTAATGGCCCTGTAGCATCTATTGATAATACCTAAAATTGATTAATTGATATAAATATAATAGAGATACTATTGAGTAGTAGATTGGCTATTAGAGATTCTATTAAGAAAAGATTTGAACTTCTCACTTCTTGCAGGAGAAATTGCAGTCACTTCTTTCTTGTTCTATTGGATGTTGGGTTCTTAAGTATCGTCATTTTCGAAAAGTGTTCTGAAAGTGCTCTTCTATTTTTGAAAGGCTTCTTTGGGCACGGTCTCATTTTTGTTATTAGCAAGACTAACGAATTCTTATTCTTGATTAGGATTGATTCGCTAAACGGATTCTTTGGTTTATCCTGAAGCTGGACTATGAGGAGCAGACTTTTATGATTCATGAGACATATTGAGTGATTCTTCTTGAATGTCAGCATGAGATCCCTTGTAAGATTAAAGAATCATGATGGCTTATTGTTTGGAAGAGTTGTCATCTTCTGAACAGATGACTTGCTTATTCTTCTCCATTTCCAAAGCGTTCATAAATATTTCTTTATTTTCAAATGAAACATAAAGATTGTTGTTGTGAGATGAAAGTGAAGGGTTCACCTTTTGGATTTCCTTAACATTTTGATTGGTCTCAACTTTATCATTAAAATATTAGCAGAAGTTTTGTTATTTGGCATCTGAATTTTTCTTTTGATTACTGAAATCAGTTTTGACTCTTTAACTAATTGACTCCTCACTCTTTTTAGGGGGAGTGGGTTAGGTTCTGATGGGTTGAGTGATGTTTATTTATTAGATGTTTGAAATCAGAGGTATTGCAGATTCAACCACCTCAAAACTACACATACTTAAATACAATACTTCTATGCAATCAAAGACATTGTGGCCTAGACATCCATAGTACCCATTGAATAGAGTTGAATATATTGGTTCTGAATCTCCTACTAGAATTCACCAATCTTAGAGAATCTAGAATGATGTTGATTCATAACTTCTCTAAACACTGACATGTCCATGTTCTCCAGAACTCGTTTCCAATTGCTCTCAATCTCTGTTTGTATCTTCTTAGTGTCGAGTTAGTTGGCAGTCATCTATTAGAATAGTTTCGCAATGAAGGATAGGGTTTGTTGCTTTGAATTTGACAATTGATTCATGCTTCTTTGATAGATCTCTTCCAAGAAGATTGACAATTGTTATTTGGCTTCCATACACAGTTTCATTTATTTGTCATAATAATTTTGGAGCTTATTGCCTTGGCTAGATAATTGACTCAGGAGGTCTTGTCTATTGTTCTATATTTAATACAGTAAGGCCAGAAAGACCTTCATTTCTCTTTCTTTGAATTGGATATCTACTGAAGAAGACTGTCTGTGCATTGAATCTAGAGAGCTCTATTGAAAGGAGAGGGTTTGAGAATCCACTGTAGATTGTTTGAGTTATGCGATTTCAGTAAAGAACATTCCCTTGCCTGCCAATTTGACTGCACATTTGGAACAAAAGAAGAGATAATCGTTACCCTCTTCAGTCACATACTTAGCTTTCTTCTCTTTATGATAGATGCAATATCTCTGCGTTTATTAGGGAGTCTTTGCAAAGGGAGATTATGTTTTGACTCCAAATTGTAAATGCATTCCAACGCTATCTCCAATCTATCATTTATTAAATAGATAGTACACTTGATGCTTGCTCAGAACTACTAAAAGCACTTGGCGATCCTAAATTAAGGATATGGGATTGATTTTCTTTATCAAATTACATTATTTTCATACATTACAATTATTCTTCAACCACAGATTTACTTTTGCTATGCTCAGTATTTTATGAAGTAGTGGTAAACTTTTTAGGAGTTGGTGTTATCGTTGCAGTCTCCGATTTCTTCGGATCTTGTAATGATTGTTGATGATGGTTTCTAGATCCATATGATAGCGAATTGGTTGAACTGTGTCCTTTCAGTTTTTGCTATTGTATCTGTTGTTGGATGGATAAGTAAGGACCGAGATGGTTATTTTTTTATTTTTAATTGCTTCCATTAGCCTTAGGAGACGATACATCTGTTTCTAGGTATATTATTTAATGCATACTAAAATGATTTGAAAGCAATTATGCTACACTCTCCTTGATATCCAATGGAGAATGAGATTTTAATGGATATTTCGCAGTGATTGGAGTTAAAATAATTTGCTAGTCTTGGGATTGCTGTCTTTTAGATAATAGATTAATCATGTCTGAATCTTGCTTAGTAGTTTTAAGTAATTATCTTATTGCATCAGAGTTTGGAGAGTAATCTCTTTTTTTATTTGGATGATTCATGGCTGATAATTTCTCTTAAATAGACTCAATATGGGAATTGCTTTTATTTTAGAGTGACATATTAGATTTATGATTGGATTATTGAGGTTTCTATGATGGTTTTGTACAATAATTTTATTATTATGGAGGTGATTATCTGTTATCAGTTCCTTCATTGTGTTTTCGCTCAAAACAATTAACATGCAATTAGACAGGAATGAGTTACTGAAGCTTAGTTTTATCGGGCAACTTGGAAAGTTAGGAAGCTATGAATTATTAAGTTTGAGATGTCTTAGTTTGATGTGATATTTACGAATTCATTTGTTTTAATATATTTTAACAACGACAATTCAAATTCAAATTTAATATAAATAGTTAGGGGTTCATTTACATTCATCATTAAATTAAAATTAATTAACTTCTACATGCTTCTTATTCGAAGACAACTTGCCACTGCCTATCTCATTTGTTTCTTCGGGAATACAATTAGGATCATCTTATGGAGTTTTATGCTACCCGAATTGTTTGATCGTTGGAGTAGACTGGGTTTTATTGATGTTATGCAATGAGAATTAAGACCGCAGCTTCCTCATCTCCTTTCTCTTTTGAATACTGGATTCTTGCGCATTCATTCCTGCTTCGATTTGCTATTGAATAGTTATTTCATTTTTGATTACCTATGATATTCGCCTCTCCTACTTTTTGAATTGGATTGCTATTTCTTTTGCCCTGCCTTCAGTTTGAATTATGATTTATTCTTCGATAACCTAATTTTGAATCTCCTTAATTTTCTCCTCCTTCTCTTATTCTATCATATTTTTTTAATGAGTGTTCTCCTCCTCCTCTTCCTCGTCACTGTGACTGCTCTCTGTATTTTTTATTATCTTACAAAAGCTTTAGCTATTTTGATTCTTGTTGATTGTGGAGCCACATTAAAAAAATTTATCAACCACGGGTTCTTGAAAGCTAAAAGAAAGTATATTGTTATCTGGCTTTTTAGAAGTCTGGGGTTTGTTCATAAATGAATATTAAGCCTATACTACATTTATTGTGGGGACTTCAATTTTTTTCTTTTCTGGAGGAGTACTTTGTTTGGGTTATTCTGAAGGCTGCAAAATTGATGGGTTCGTAAATATATTTTTCAACTTTATTTCGAAGTATTAATGTGCTCGATCCTCGCATTCCTTATAATACTCGACTCCTTACTATTGTATTTAAGAGTAGATTATTACCATGTACAATTAAATCAGATTTTTCAGGGCTTCATTGTTGGTGTAATTGCTGAGCACTAAAACGATGTCGTTGCTTAAGATCTAAGAGGCGAAGTCGGCTGGCAACGCTTTACTTTGCTCATGAAATTATCATGAAATAATACTTGGCACTTTGAATTCACTTTGACTTGTGTTTCGAAACTACCATAGAAACAGCAAATGATACCATCTTGTTAAGAAGTTATGACATATGTTTTGCTTTTTTATATTTTTTAATAATTTATATAATATATAATTTATTTTCCATAAATTATGATTTTTTTAAACATTTCATTACACATCAAGTTTGTTTTTATTTTCAAACATTTTTTCATAGACTTATTCGTCGTTACACAACTTTCTTCTCAGGATGTTCTACATATATATGAAATTATATTACTGTTTCAATAAATGGATTAAATTTAGAGAAATGAGATCTACATTAACAAGCATTTCTGGTCTGAATCTCCTCCGCCATCATTTTAAAAACACGATTTAACTTCTTATGAACAGTTGTCTTGAAGAGATCGCTGTGAAGCCTCACAAATTACAAGAATTTATAGTGTTCCTCGTTAGTCCAGTGACCTAAATTTCAGATGAATAAACATACCTCTTTATTTTTTCACCTTTTTCTTTAAATCCAGATCCTCGAGCAAATCTGTCTTCTCAATATTATTCTAAGTCTTCACTCTATCCAAGCTTTAAAAATTATTCGTATCGTTATTGGAAGGGATTTGAAAATGATTTGATTAATTCTTGTTTAAATCTAATTATGACTCGTTTTAGCATCCCACTTGACACTAGTTATTCTAGACTTACTAATTATTCATCTAGTACCATTATGGGACTAAGTAATTTTAGTAATATTGCCAATAGTCTATTAAGTTAATGAGTAGATGCTTACTGTTTTATGGGGGGATGGAATAGTAAGAGTAATACGGGTTCATTTAGAAAGTTTAAAGATAAATGATTTTTTTAAATAACTTAATAATCTTAAATGCGTAAATTAGAGTTGGATTTATATACAATATTATCGGACAAATCTCTTTAATTCGTCAAAAAATATTAATTTTTAATATATATAATATAATATTTAAGAAAATAAACTCAAGGAATTCTGGCTGACTAGTTATTATTATTCGTCCTAACTGAGGAGGTATTTTTGACTTCGTATACTGTCTACGTGACTATTGGTTGCGCTTATTGCCTTTTCTTCAACGATTACAACTCTGTTTCTGCCAAAACCAACTTCTCCTGGACTTCGAAATATTTCTTATTTTAGTCTTCAAACTTCTTTTTCCATTGATTTGCCTCCTATTTTGAAATATTGAAAAATGTGTACATTAACATAGTGAGTTACGTAAGTCTCCGTTTTTGATTGGGATGACTATTAATTTTATAACATATTTTCCATTTCCTCATTTTTTTCGTTTAACTCTTTTATTTACTAGTCTTTTTCTAGGAAAGTTCTCTGGACTTTTCTTAATTCCAACTCCAATTTGGCGATCTGATCCTTGTATGATTAGGCTTTATTGTCTTGATTCAATTATACTTATAGTTGTAATTGATTGTGTTCTTAATATAAATTTTCGTAGTCTTGGTTACTTTACTTTATTTTGAGTTGCAATTATTCAATTTGTTATTATTGCAAGTTTATTTTATTCTGAAATTCTGTTGGATTGATGATCTTGGTTTTGAGTAATCCATTTTCTCTATTGAGGTTATCAATCACTTATCTCAATCTACTCATCTCAGTATTCAATTGAGTTAATCGACTGTCTTTCTCTAATGACTCAGTTTCAATATCTTAGAATCTTCCCTTCCATCTCTCCATCTCATTATTCTTCTATTCATTCAACACATTAACTCTTTCGACCTCGGTAGTCATCAAAGCTAATTTGCTCTACAATTCTCTAATCTGCTATTCCTTAGTTTTTTGTATCACACTACTTTCTTCATTGAATCCAAAAATCTTAAATTCAAGATCCTTGTATTTCTTTTGCCATTCCAGCACTAAATCCTTTTGCATTTTAATTTCATGATTCAAAATGATATTGGTCTCCTGTATATCTAAATTATAAGAAAATTAATTACCTCTCTTAGTATTGGCTAATTCCTATTCTACTCCATATTAAAATCTGACTTCAGCTTCGAAATCAGCGTATCTCTTCTTCCAAATGTCAATTTCTTATTACAATTCAAAAGCAATTTTCATATATTTTTGTATCTCCTCTCTCAGTTGATTTATTCTTGTTACATCTTCTCCAATTGATATTTTTTCAGTTGCTTGAACACTTCTAAGCTTAATATTCTCCATCTGTAAACTATTCAATTGATTTTCCAATTTTTGAATCTATTCTTAATATGACCGATCTAATTCTTCCCTCCTAATCACTTAGACGGGATGTTCGCTAATATGTATCTCTTCTATTGTAGGTTTGACAGGCAATTAAATGGGTTGCACTGAAGTGATTTGCGGTCTTATATAGGGCGATTGATTAATGTATGAAGGTATTGGCTTTTAAGGCGAAATCAATTATGGTTGCAGGATCTGAGGTCTTATTGGAGAAACAAATGAATTCACATTATTAGGCGATGCCGTAAATGCCATAGTTTATTGATCAGGGGATGCGTATGGTTTTGATGGTGATTCATAAGTCTTCATTCCAGTCATTGGAGTTAGATGATGCAAACGGGAATCAGCCGTTGTTGGTATTTAATATTATTGTTTCTAATCAGAGTTCCTATAAAGAGTGGGTCTTTGTTCAGTTGTTAAATTATCGTACATTGGTATTTTATTTTTGCAAATAAATTTTTATTTCCAAAAAATAAAAAGAAATCATATTTATAATGAAAAAATGGGGCAACCTGAAAATTGTAAAAAATATTATATAATAAGTACGCCAGAAAACTACAAATGAAGCAGAATCTCGTAAAACATCGAACCTCAAATCTAGAACTCCGTTGGATGATGCCTGTAATCCCAATAATCTTAGACATCAAATCAAAGAGTATTTTCCAAATAAATAATACTCTCTTCACATTCCGCGTACTTAAAATACATCAACCCAAATTACCTAACCCAACGATAAATCTCCTCCGAATTCCAAACTTATCAGTGTAGTTGATGCCTGTACAAATTTTGATCTAATTTAGTATCTCTACTTTAAAAAGACGAAATTTACCCTATAAGTAGACCAAATAATCGTACTTTGCCTACTAAATAAATAAATAATATCTAAACATAGGATTAAGTTTTTCGTGATTGTCCTCGTAATTAATTTCTATTAATTCAAAAGGTTTATACACGCAACTCTAAAAACCCTAGCCTATCATTTAAATGTACACATAACATAACTCCCCAAAGAAAAGTTTAAAAACCAGTCCAGATACTAAATACCCTATCAATTCGGAGACTTTCAAAAATCGTCTATCACGCAAAATGCCTGGACAACTTTTTGAAAGACTTGAGTAAATTCATTAAATTACCTCCGATTCTGTTAGATATAGAATTTCAAACCTAAAGTAGAACACGAGAGGGAATACTTAATAGATACATTATAAGTTCAATAATTTAACAATTACAAATTAAGATAATTTTAAAGAAGATATTGAGTCTAAATCTATTAACAGAGCTAAACCAAAATTACCTTAGACGTCTTTGGTTGTCCTAGAATATTATAAATCTCAATTGACAGATTTCGAACAGAATGAAATAAAAGATATTGATACTATTTATTATCTGAGACCTGAAACAATAACACTACGCTAAGTAACTTAATAATATAATAATGGTTTTGATACAAAAGAGTATCATTATAATTTAATATCTTAGTGGTGATTATATATTTAGATAATATGATCATATAATGTATCGATATGAGATGCTCGAAAAATTGGGACACGGCAGCTTTGGATAAGTTTTTAAAGTAATCGATCACAAACAAAATTAAAATGCCGCTATCAAAATCATCAAAAATGATAAAAAATTGCAAGATTAGGCAATTATAGAAATTGACATCTTGAAAGTAGTAAATTAAGCCGATAGTAGTTGTTGTTTGGTAAAAATGCTTAATCATTTTATCTTTCGAAATCATGTAGTATGATAATCATCATTATTAGAGTGTATCGTTTTTGAACTATTGAGCTGTACTCTTTATGAATTTATAGCATGCAACGATTTCTAAGGATTAGAACTTGATTTGATCAGAAGATTTGCTGTTCAAATATTATAAGCACTTATGTATTTATCCGAATGTAATATTATTCATTGTGATCTCAAACCTGAAAACATTCTATTAAAGGACTTATTAAAATCTGGAATCAAAATAATCGACTTTGGATCTAGTTGTTTTATTAACTCTAAATTATACACTTACGTTTAAGTAAACTCTCAAATGATATGATTTATGTAGAGTAGATTTTATAGAGCTCCTGAAATTATACTTGGTATACCCTATACAACTGCAATTGACATGTGGAGTTTTGGTTGTATTGTTGCTGAGCTGTTTCTTGGCAATTCATTATTTCAATCAAAAAATGAAAAACAATTATTGTTTCTACAAGTAGCAATTCTTGGAAAACCTACGAGCCAATTTCTAGATTATTGTCCTAAAATACATAAATTTTTCAATGCCAATTATGACCTTCTGGCTCAATTCAAAGAATCAGACTTAATAATTTCACCCAAACCTTTGAAAGAGCTTCTATAAGCTTGTCCACTTACCTTTTATGACGTAACTCCATTGTTTATTTAGATTAGTTCATTAGTAAATGCTTGTCATGGGATCCTAAATTAAGAATGAAACCATTTGAAGCATTAATTCATCCTTGGATTATCGAAGGCTTACCGAAAGAAATTAAGTAATAATATATTTAAGTATATCCTAGACAATAACATATCTAAAAAATGAAATTGTACTCAAAATAAAAGAATCTAGATTTCTAGGGCCAGACCAAGAAAATCAAATGATCAATATTTCAAATACTTCTTTATACAATATTTGAGAACATTAAATATGTCTTTTGTAATTTCTCTATTTAAGAATAAATAATAAAATAACATAGTAATTTTTTAAAATGTATTCCCTAAAGTTAATCTGAAGTAAAAAAATGTAAATAATATCCCATTCTACTATAGAAGTAGGCATTTATAGATTCGAGCAGTAATGAGTCAAAACTGATAAAGGCTGTCTCAACCCATAAAAGCTAGTTGCTAATGGATGGCACAAAACATAAATGAGGTTTGTATAATTCTATTAAATTAGGAATTATCGTTTATGATCACAATTATTTTTTGACCACTTTGCTATTATGGAATTATTTTATGAGGGGCTGCAAAAATTTCTATTGAATTTTAAAGAAGATTATTTTATCTCTAGCTAAAAATGGAAATCAAATTCATCAAAGAATTTCTTTTAAAATAATTGGCAAAATTCTAATGATTTCGAAGCCATAATTCTACAAGACGAAATACTTTAATCCTTTAATATTATAAATTCATTAATTTTAATTTACGTTTAATTATTAAATTATATTTATATATTTATAAAATTCAAAATATTTATAAATAACTAAATTAATTATGCGCAGCCATTAAGAGAATAATACTTGCAAATATACTACATACCCAATTATATTATAAAATTCTATCATCACTCTAAAATTAAATGAATGGGCTATCAAAATAGCTTTTACAACAATCTAAAATTAAATTTTATCTTCAATTGAGTCTTTAGAAGTTAAGAATGCAAACCAAAAATAATAAATATATTGCTTCATTAATTGATCGATAAAATAAAATGTGATATTAATTGAATCAAAATCAAACGTTACTAAAATCAATCAATTGTTCTGGATGCAATATTCCCTTTAAAACAACAAGTGATTTATTTTCTGAGCACAAATTTCCTGGCCAATATTATGCTGCAGATTTTTATTAATCGAATATTCCAAGCTGTTTGTACAGTGCTGCTACCAATTCAGAACAGAAAAAGGTTCTTTCTTCCTATAAAAATATAAACCTCAATATACCTTATTAGTCTATTTGTTAATATCTTAAACTGTAGATTTCTATTTAAGCAATTTCATAGGAGTGAGTGAGTACTTTTTACCCATATTTTCATTCACAAATTCTTACACTGTTTTTAAAAAATTGTGATCTCTATCAATTTCTAATTTTCTTATCATAATCTTTTCATACAACTCAAACCATCTTTCATCAATCATATCCTCTATAAAAATTAATATTCTAAATACTCCAAGAACACAATCCAACTCCGTAACAACCAGTAGCTTCTAGTATGTACAATGAACCTGATGGAAATCGTAACAAGAGTGCTGCATGATCATAATCAGACCCAGTTAATCCTCTCTAAATAAGGCAATTAGCTCCATTTCCTCTAAATAGAAGAATGTCACCAGTATCTCCTGTTTTCAAAAATTATTCACATGATATCCTATCAGTCTAAATATAACAATATGCAATACCCTCCAAAATCTAGGATATTTAATTAAATTATTGAGTATCTTTTTTGCTCCTTCAGATGTGTCCTTGTTTTCCCTTATAACATGAAACCATTTCATTGTTTCTTGAGAAGTTCCAGCTTTAAAAATAAAGTTCTTTGTGGATCCAGTTGGAATTAATCTACATTTAGCGTAAAAGATGATACACAAATTCAATAATATTGCCATTTTGGTCTTTGGTTTCTTGCAAGGAATATGACATGATATTGAAATCAAGAACTCCAAATGGTGAGTTTCTATTTTCTGGCAGATAATAAACCAAGCGATTATTATGGCAGACTGTCCATCTCTATTACCACCCTTATAAGAAATGTGGACTCTTTTTAAGAAGCATTCCTTCTAATTTAGGAGTTTTGTATGGTTCCACTTTTTTAGTCACAACTGAGATGTCTTGTTCTGCAACTACTATTGCATTTTCATCTATGTCAGGAATTTCATTATGGCCCATAAAATATGTGGACTTGAGTCCATTATGCTAGACAATGGTTTGGTGTAATTGGTTCTGAGTTTGTCCCTTGTTTTGGGCTCGATTCTTTTTATCCATTTGAGAGATAGCAAGAGCTGCTCTAAATTTTGCCTGGAAGTTGTTGTTTTATTACATTTAAAATATTAAAAATAAATGAGAAAGAAGAGAGCATTAAATGAATTCGAATTCGTTGAGAAAAAGGACAATGGTAAAGCCTAAGAAGAATTGGGAAAAGGAGCATTTGGAAGAGTCCGCTTAGCTATTGATAAGTTGACTGACACAAAGGTAGCAATCAAAACGGTATTTGATTGAGAATTATTAAGCCAGATTCCCAAAAAATTGCTTAAAGAAAATGCCTAAGCAGAAAACATTAAGCGAGAGATTAAGTTGCATAGGAAATTAGATCATCCACATATTGTAAAATTGTATCACTCCCTTGAAGACGATACCAATGTTTATCTCGTGTTAGAATACGTTCCTATGGGGAACTTATTTGTGTATTTAAGAAAGCGCAAAAATTTGGAAGAGTAAGAAGCCTTCGTGTATTTCCTGCAAACTGCATTAGCTATTGATTATCTGCATAAGAAGGGTATCATACATAGAGATTTGAAACCAGAAAACATTCTATTGGATGCATAAGGTAATATTAAAATATGTGATTTTGGATGGTCTGCGGAACTACAACCAGAAAGGAGAACATTTTGTGGAACACTGGATTATATGTGTCCAGAAATGCTAAACAGTTAGAGTCATGATCATAGAATAGATATTTGGGCTATGGGGGTTCTGTTGTTTGAGATGCTACATGGTCATGCACCTTATAATAAAAACAGATCTTCACAGGAAGTTGTCATCTAAGCTATCTTGAATGCAGCAACTACGAAAATACCATTTAATGATAAAATTTCAAATGATGTTAAAGATTTAATATCATCACTTTTAAGAGTTAATCCTAAAGATAGATTATCTATGGATGAAATTTTTACTCATAAGTGGGTTAAAACTAATGCAAAGGCATTATAAATAAATATACCTGAATTTGTTTATGAAAAAGGAGTAAATGAAACTGTTTAATCGATTTAAGATATTTCTATTGATTTTACAAATCTTACACAACCATCCAATAATTATTAATCTTAAAAAATTCCATAAACCTAATAATAAGTATTATAAAAATAGGACAATACAAATTTTTATTCTCAAAAATTACCATCATATTCACCATCATTAAATAATTCAACATATTAATAACAATAATAATAATAATAATAATAATAATAATAATAATAATAATAATAATAATAATAATAATAATAATAATAATAATAATAATAATAATAATCTACTACTCCTAATAAAAAACCATCATTTGATTAACTTTTTTAATCAACTCATAATACTAATGTTTAATTACCTTAATATGAATAATCTTCAAAGTCTCCTACTAGATTAACACCAGAATAGTAAAGATAAAAAAACGAATTATTAGGCATTCCTTCAATTGAGAAATCTAAATAAATGGAGTAATCCAATAGAATTAACTATTAAATGTAACAAAGTTAAGATATGTAAAAATCCTAATTCAGAGATCAATCACCCAATTAATCTATGATGAATTCCAATTATTAGGGAGTCTCTCCAAATAGAACAGATGTTAGTCCCTCAAGTAGAAAACCCATTTTTAATGATAAAATGGCTTAATCTCAAATGATAATCAACAAATACACTTAACAATCAAATAACTAATCAGGAATGTTTAAAAGCCAAGACATTGCTAATCAGCAACCCTAATAATCTGACGAGTTTACCAAATATATGCAATAAGAATAGGAAAGAAAAAGAAAGGAAGAAGAGTTTAGAAGGCAATAATTGGCTGATTTATAAAAAAGGGAAGAACAAAGATTGTTTGATGAATAACGACAAAGAGAGGAAAGATAAAAGCAGGAAGAATTAGAAAGATAAAGGAAACAAAGGGAGTAGGAATTAGAAAACTAAAGAAAGATTAAAGAATTTGAGGAGGAATAAAAACGTTAAAGAGAATAAGAAAAGTTAAGAAAATAAAGAGAGTAAGAAGAAATGTTGCAGAAATAAAGAGAGCAAGAGTTAGAAAAATAGAGAAGAGACTAAAATTTAGAATAGATTAGAAGGGAAAAGGAAGAACAAGATAAATTAAAAAGGGAATAATTGAGAAGAGAATAGGAAGACAAAGATCGCAAAACTAGAGAATAGGAGGAATAAAGAAGAAGGGAAGAATAAGCAAGGAGAGAATAAGAAGAAAGATAAAGAAGAGAATAAGAAAAATGGGAGTAGGAATAGAGAGAAAGGTTGAGAAAAGAGAAGGAAGAATAAGAGAAGAGAAGACAATATGAAGAATAATAATAAGAAAGATTAAAATAGTAGGAGAGATAAAAGTAGTAATATGAGGAACAACTTAGATTATAGAAATAATAAGAATAAGACAGAAAGTTACGTGAATATGAGGAATAGAAAAAACAATTAAATAGGTCTAATTCTAAAAATGTTAAAAGTCAAGAAACTGAGGAAGATAGGTAAGCCAAAAAGTTAAAAGAACTTGAATAAAAAGCTAGGTAGGAATATCAATAACATTTGGTAAATCAAAGCACTAGTAGTTATGCAAGTAAATAAATGACAGAAAGCAAGCAACAAAGAAGACAAATAGCTGAGGATGATCTCTTTGTTACTAATAATAATAATTCATACATACCTTAAAAATAGAAGAAAGATATGACTGAAGAAGATTATGAGTTAGAATAGAAGCTACATAATATGTTGGTTCAAAATCTTTAATTGGAACTACCTTCAGTTACCAAGACGATGAAACCTGATGAAAATAGCAATCTTGATTGGGATGTTAGTGTTATTGAATAATAACAGAAACAAGCTCCATTAATTGAATAATATGAGAACATGCAATAAGTTTAAGTTTAGACCTAGAAACACAATAAATCAGTATCACCAAACTGTAGACAAACAAGATTCACTCCAAGAGTTACTAAAATGGAGGATAGGCCCACTCATATAAATAACATGTTGGATGATTAATTGGATGAATGGGATCTAAGTGAGGATCCTTAAGTAAAATTGCTCAATCAATTGTTGGAGCAACCAGAGAGACCTAAAAAAGAAAAGCCAAAGCAAAATGCTAATTCAAGCGTTAATAATGGATATTCATCTTAGTCTTAATAGTAAATATCTATGTCTACTCAACCCACTAATAAATTTAGTTTTGGAGAAAATAAAGCAAAGCAAAATTTAAGACCAGAAACAGTTGAAAATGTAGAGGAAAGCTTTAGACAAGATAGATCAATGAGAATGAACACTTCAAGAGATAGAAGCAGAAATAAGATACCTGCTAAATCTAACCCAAAATATAAGCAATTCTAATAACAATAAGAACCAGTTGAGGAGTAGTATGATGATGATTAATTAGAAGATTTGAAAAGATCTAAATCTTCTAATCAAGAAAACACCTATGATTAAAAATTGAAGCAATTTTCAAAGTATGATTGCGATCCGTATTCTGTGAATTATCATAATTAAACCTAAGAATAGTATATTGAAACATATTATAATATAGATACAAACCAAGGAAGAGCAGAATAAGTGAAAGACAGAATAGAACTATTCCTTAGAGATCACAGCAAGAAATGGACTTTTTTGACAGACTAAAATTTGCCTTTGGATGTTTAACTAGAAGACAATGAACATACACAATTTATAACTAAGTTATTTTTTATTTCAATCAATATATTTTTATCATTATTATTAGATTTAGAAATCATAATAGAATTAGATAATAATTTATTGTTATTTGAAAATGGGTTGTTGTTTAAATTCAGAGAGAAAGAATAAGAATGAAATAAACTTGTATTAAACTAATAAAGAATGTAACTAAATGATAAACGAACTTTATAATTAAACATGGAGAAAAAGGGATGTGCGAGAAGAGTATAAACTATTTGTAAGAGATGTTCAGCTTAAAACAGAACTAAAAAAGAATTATAATTTATCCTTCTAAATGGCTGCTGATCTTGCAAAAATATGCAATTGTTTCAGAGAAGTTAGAGGGGATGGAAATTGCTTTTATACTGCTTTTGGATTTTAATATTTGAGCATGATTTTGATGAAAGATCAACCAAATTAATTTGAAGAATTTACTAAGAAATATGCTAATATAAAGATGAAAATATTTTCAAATAATTTTAATACCGAAGACGAAAAGATCTAGGCTAACCTAAGAACAGAATTTTTCAAAATTTTAAGTCAATTAAGAATGATAAAAGATAGGCAAAAAAGGAAAGAAGCATTTATCAAGTAATTCTAGTGTTATGAGGATTAAAAAGACATAGATTGTTGCTTATACGGATTATCAACTATTTTTTTTAGGAACCTTGCTGACCAAGTTGTTGATGAAAATAATTTGGCTGAGCTACTTTATGATAGAGAGAATTTGCTAATTTGGGAAACAGAGTGTAACAATAATGAAGTGGTAATATCGGCCCTGGCTAAGAGCTTAAAAATGTATTTATATTCATAAAATTTAAGAAAAATATTATTAGTATTTTTTTAAAATAATGGATTTGAATTGAAAAAGTACGAGGAGTAATATGTAGACTAAGTCATATTGTTGATTAAACCAGGTCATTACAATATTGGATTATATTAAGAAAACTGATTTACAATCTATATCATAAGGAATAATATATCATCATTAAATGGGCTTTTAATTAGCTTTATTATTTGTTTTCCATTTAGAACCGAATGGGATTTTTAATAATATATGATATATTATTTTTTTTACCAAAATAAAGGTGCATAATTGCGGTTTAGTGTTACCTTTTACAATTTAGGTTTATGCAATTATTCAAAATATTAATATTTTTATTAATTTGTAATTACTTTTCATAAATTATTAGTGTTAATGTCCTCTAATATTTTTTAGAATATATGTCGAATTCACAACAGTGAAGTAATTGCTATTAAATTGTCTGGCAATAAGTAACTAGATGATTATCTAATGTGTGTCTATTGCTTAACTGGAAATGTTCAATAATCTGTTGTACCAATAAATGAGATCTAAAAGTTGTATGAAACTAAATCTACAATTATTAAATAGTTGGAAATGGAAAAGCACTAATTAATGAAGACATCTCTTGGCAAGTTAATGGATACCTTAACTCAGTTGAAAAACGATTTAAATGTTGAGTTGGATAGAGGAATCCGATTGATCGATAACCAATTGCAGATAGAAAATCAAAAATCTCATTGTGAGCATAATGCTCCTCAAGATAGTGAAAAGACATTAACTGATTATATTTAACTCGTAGTTAACAGTGAATTTAGTTACTGTTAATAAGAAAGAAAAGAGGATTAATTTAATTGGATGTAATCACTATCCTAAGAGTTAAAGAGATTCAACAAAGTATCAGAAGTTTAATACTGCTATTTCATATTGGAAGATCTCAAAAAATAATATTTAATAAAAGATCAGAATATTAAGTCTTAAAATTAGATTCAACAATTTTACTAGTCGATTTCTCCTCAATAATAAAATGAGAGGACTCCTAAATTAGATTTTAATTGCAAGATTCACGGCAAAGAAATTATAATGTTTGATTTGAGTCCAGAATCAGAGAAGAATAGACGATTATGCTGTGTGGAATGCATGCCATCTCAATATGTTTCATTAAATAAGGCATAGGAAAAATGGTAATAGTTTGAAGCCAAAAAATGTAACTATTTCTAATAATAAATGTTTGATAAAGAATAGCAATATGAATAAGTCTTAGAATAAATCATTAAGATTGAATATTAAATTATCGAATAGGTAAAGGATCTGAGAGTAAATTTCGAATAGAACCTATTGATGATGAAATAAAAAAATGCTTTAAATCTCAATTTAATTAATTAAGGTTTTTAAAATCTAAATTAGACTGAATTAATGGAAAGAGCGGAAATTTTAAGTAAATCCGAAGAAATTTAATAAAGAATAATATTTTAAGAATATTAGGAAATCTAAGATTCTGTTCTGCGTTAGTTGAAAGAATAGATATAATAATTATATCATTATTAATAAAATTTATATGATAATCTAAGATCTACATTATGTAATTCTCAAGAAATAAGCAAAGCAACAAGTTAATCAGATTAATAAAATAATATCAATAACATACAGTATTTTATTACGGAAAATCGAGAAAATTCTTATAGTAATTAAATGGAATTTTGTACTCAAAGATCTCAAGAATCTCTAGAGTGGAAAAATGGCAATGAAAACTAATTCAATAATCTCAATTAATAGAAATTACATGTCATAAATGAAAATCGTTAGACTAGAAGCGCCTCCGCTTAGGTAAAATCTAAAATGAAGGAGAGTGACAAATAAATAATAGAAGAACAGCAAATAGAATTTTAAAATGAAAATAATTATGAGTTAATTGATAAATTTCCTGAAGAAAAAAGTTGTCATGCAATCTCATTTAATTATGATAACCAATTAATGATTAGCGGTTGCTAAAATGACATAACTGTTTGGGAAATCAAAAACGAAAAAATAACCAAAAAATAGCAATTAGAAGGCCATACCAATTTGGTGATATCTTTGTTTTTCAGTTTTAATAAAAATGAGTTCATATCTGGTAGTACGGATAAATCGATTAGATATTGGTAAGTTATGGAGAATGAATGGGTTTGTGCATAAGTTTTATTAGGCCATAAAAGATAAATTGATTGTTTATTATTAGATAATAAAGGTAACTAAATTATATCATGCAGTTGTGATAAATCAATTAGAATTTGGAGAAAAAATGAATAAATAAAATGGATATAAGTTCAAGTGCTAACAAATCATTAAGCCTATGTTCGATGTATTAGCTTCAGCAAGTCGTAGGAATAGTTTGTATCTTGTGGAGAAGATAAGATGATTATAATTTGGGAAATTGATGAATTCAAAGAATGGAAATTGAAATAAATAATTAGGAATGAAGACTATGGATATAGAATATGTTTTGTTGACGATAATTTATTAATATGGTAGCCAAGAAATATAAATAAGGCTATCATCTTTTAGTTGGACAGCAACTTGAATTAATTTAACTAGAGTAATTAAAATATTTAATTAATTTAATCAAGTAATGGATATCAAAACTTTTTCCCATCAATTTATAATGAATAAAAATAAGTAGTAATTAATAAACATGGAAGATATGTATATGTTTTGAAAAAAGAATTTAACAATACTTTTCTGATTTCTTAGGTGATTGAAGTTGGTCATTATTGTAATTATGGTTCATTATCCCCAAATGGCGAGTATTTGGTAATATGGGACGAAGGATCGAAAAACTTTTAAATTAGAAAAGCCAAATTCTGATGATTTTTAATAAGATTATCATTATTAATATTTTAATTGTTCAAAAAATCAATAATATTCATTATATTGAGTAAAGAATATATTATTAATACATTTTAAATTAATCCGTAATTGAATGATTCTAAGTGTTTTTTCTGATTTGTTTATAGAAGTTAAATCAGTATTAAATTGGCAAAGATTTATAACTTTATTCCCTATTAATAAAATTTCAAAAGTATTTCTATATGGGAACTTGCTAAGTTAGAACACAAAATATCAATAAAAATATAGATGATGAAGATTAAATCGAAACAAACTCACAACCAAATATTTAATAATTACAACTTACACCTCTTGTCTGTAACATTGTAGGGGATTAGGATAGAATGGACGATTTATTCTTAGATTTAGAAAGATAACCCTCTCTAAATCCTATTTAACAGACCACAAATCTGTAAGAAAATGTAAAATAAATTATTATGGTAAGTTCCTGCTCTCATCCAAGGGTTAAATTACTCATGATCCTTAATCTTAGACTTTAGACCATGCATAGCAAACAAATAAATCACCGAAGAAATCAAAAAACTTGAATGCTAAATTTAAAGAAATGATTTATTGAAATCCATCGATGGAAAGTACATTATATTGATTTATATTCATATTAAATACTAGAAGTAACTCAATTTACACTATTTTTCAAGTTCATTGGATTTCTCAACTTCTATTACAACATATTAAAAATATTTTAATATTTATTAAAAAATAATATCTAATTAGTTAAGTATGATCATTTAAAATACTAAATAATTACTAATCCATAATAATCTTAAATCTCAGATAAATAGATTTCTACATTAATAAGATTTGATATTAAATCTGACTATAACTAACATTAATAATATCTTTTTACATCAAGAAAATCTTGAAATAGAAATTATAAAAAATCAGATTCAATTTTAACTATTTTTTTCTTTGGTTATATTATGAAGTGTATAATACAAAATAATGCCATATCAGAAGAATTATAAATTATAAATCTCCCCTAATATCACATTACTTTATCTTCCATCTGGATTTATTTCAATTCCAAAAGTCCTCTAATTAAGAATATGAAATTATTAAAACATACATTTTAGACTTCTAATCCTTGAATCTTGTCCTTATTAAGGTAATTTTATTCAAAATTTCAATCCTAAAGACAAGTGTCGAATTTTCAAAAATTTCTTTCTACTCTTTCAAGATATTGCTCCTTGAATTCCACCTATTAATATCTACTTATCTTTTTGGAAGAATTCAATTTTTAAAATGTTCAAAAATAAAAATTTAAAAATATTACAAAGTCAGAGATAAAATAATATATATTTAAAAGCTTTAAATATCTTTGAATCATATTTCTTCATCAACTATTTCATAACTTCCTGGTCCTAATTCAGAATATTTCTCATCCTTAAACCTTTTTGATTTACCAAAACTTGAATTTATGTTACTTTTTTTAATATATTCAGATTAACAAAGAAAATCTTTAATTTCATAACTACCAGGTCCTAATGGGTTATTGGAGTTGGATTTTTTCTCCGAATTTGACTTTTATAGGTTTTCATTTTTCTTGTCAACCTGGTCAATCTAAATGAAATCTTTAATCTAATAGCTTCCAGGACCTGGAGGATTAAATTTTACATGAAGGCTCCTTCTGATTGTTTCCATCTTCCTTCTTCTTGCTGCTTGTTTGATTTACATTGCTGATTTCGGTCTCTTTTGCCTTTCTGATTGTTCTTTGGTTTCTTTTTATTTCTCTAATTCTTAGATGTATTTATCCTCTTTCCTATTGTAAAAAGATCTTACCATGACTTTAGGCTTAAGGAGTCTTTCAATTCTATCTATTTTTTTTCTATTTACTTTATAATCAATTTTATAGGCCCCAGGTCCTGGAGTTATAAAGTGAGAATTAGGCTGTGATTGATAGCTTGCAGTCCCAATAGAGATGCTTCTGCAAGACTTTTAGTTTAACTCATAGGTGCCAGGACCTGGGGATTGCTGATGGTATTCACTATTTTGTCTTGAATTGAAAACAAATGTTTTTGATTTTATTTTCTATATAATATTGTATTATCCAGGTCCAGGATTTTAGAATTTTTCTAACTATTTTCTATGACTTTTAGAAAAGGTAGCGCAAGGACGATTTTGTTGTAAGTGAGCTGGAAATTAAATTTCGTAAGAACCAGGGCCTACACTCTTTTTTGATCGTTAAGAATTTTATCTATAAAAGGTGTATGAATTAGAGGTTTCAGGAAGAGACCAGACTTGTTCTTAAGAGTTGATTCTTATTCTCTTATTTGAATATGGTTTATTTGTCATTGCTGACCTATTTGACTATGCAGTCAATCTCAAATCATTAAAGAACTTATTGACATATGGCTAACTGGAAGCCACTCTAATATGATGATCAATTTTGACTACATTTAAGCAACTGGAAGAATCTCATCTCCAAAGTGAGCAGCTAACATTAAAATTATTGTTTCTTAGTTATAATGTTAATTAATTTATTTGTAGTAATTTTCTTGAGTTCATTTATTTTAGATTTGATTAATTCACCAAATTTATTGGGTTTTCTATAGTTTAATTATCAAATTTAAAGGGCTTTTCAATAAAGTAGCTATTTCAATGTGATAAGTATGATATTTTGGCTGTCAATAATTTCTTACTATAACTTCATATTGATTTATAATTTATATTTATAAATACGACCTATGGAGGTTTCAATTAGTTTGTTTTATAGAATTTCATTGAGATTAATAAAAATTAAAATTCGAAAAATATGTAAAATGATCAATAATAAAACCAGAAAAATTACCGATCCTAACAATTATATGATTCTACATAAAGTTCCAACCCCAAAAAAAATAAAATCAAAATTCTCAATTCGACTTCAATGGATGTTGAATAATCTTTTTATAATTTTTAGTTTCATTAAGAGTCATAGGAAGTTAGAAAAAATGATTAGATGAATTAACAATTGCCATATTAGTATCCCTAATAATAAAAATAATACGGATAGCAATAGAATGATGTAAGGAATTCTTAAAATGAGTTTTACTAATAATCGAATAATTTTTCTAATTAATAGTAGTAATATTTTCCGCCATATTATTAGAATTAATAACAATACTACTCTAATTAAGTATAATAATAGTTATATTAATAATAATAATAGTAATAACAATATCAAGGCTAATAAAGGATAAATAGTTTAGAATTTTCATAATAGTAATGCTAAACTAAATTTTAATAAAATACATAAAGTAATAGTAATTGGTATAATTAATAAAATAGCTCTTCTAATTTTGTAGAAATTTCATAAAATAATCCAACAACTATTAATTCTTAATAAATTTTTTAAATCCCTCAAGTACCTATTTAAGTTACGACCTGTCTACCAAAATTGAAATAAGATGATTAGAATAAACACTCATGTCATTAGTTAATTGACTATTTTTTTTCGCTTGCAGACATCGAAATAAAAGTTACAAATATTGATAGGTCAGTTTTAGCTTATTTTGACGAAATTAAAAATAATTTGGGCGATTTAAACTTAAACATCTAATATCCTACAATAGATTAAACGCAGTACCTTAATGAGAATCTTATTTATTAAGTTTATGAACAGCCAGAAAACAATATTTCAAGATAAGAAAAAATGACTATTTTACTAAGCCAAGTAATTGAGAAATTTTTTATTGAAGCTGAAAAGCAATAAGTAAAAATTAAGATTCACGAATAAAAATGTCAATATAAAATAGACTCATAATAACAAATGGTAGCAACTAAGTTTTATCAAAATTTTAAAACATCTTGGGACAGCTATGTTGTTTTGATTGCATCACTTAAATCTGAATTCGAAGCAAAATAAAAATTTAAATTATTAAAAAAACCAAGAATGCATGAATTATTTTGCAAAGCTCTTGATGTAAGAGAACCAATTATGTTTTTGGCCTCTGACATTAACCTAGCTTTTTTTCAAAAGAATCAAATATTTTTAACAAATGCTATGGACATTAAAAGATAAGTTAATTCAATAATAGTAATAAACTATGTATATGATGTTAACTTGAAAATTCATGAGCTATAGTAAAAACTTGATGACTTTTTCTAGAATCCCTAGATCATGAAGAATGTCAAAGAGACTTTTGATATTGATTGTTCTATACCAAAGGATGTGGATGAGATAGATAGAAGCATAAGAAAGCTGAAAGAATAAGAAGAATAATTTGAAATTATAGTTACAAACCCAATATCAAATGCTCAAAATAAAGGAAAGTATTTAGTAGAGGCTGAGATGCAACTATGGATAGAGGGCGATCAAACAGAATATGTTATTATGTAGAAACTGTAAGCCGTAAAAAAGTAATTGTATGAAATCTACAATCCCAATTTAATTATAAAGGTAACAGAATAGGATAAAATAAAATTGTGGAACTAATTTTTAGGCTAAGAATTTGAAAAACAACATAATTTAAAAGAATGCATAACGAAGTAGAATAATATTGAATTGACCATAGAATTAAATGGAAGATAAAATGCTATTTTGGAAAAGTAACAGAAAATTTTACAATATTTAGAGCAATTTAAATGTATTATATTATATTGCTAATGTGACAAAGAAGTAGCTCTTGTATTACAGAGTAAGGAATTTTAATTTCAAAGATTATTAGTTAGTACATTAATAGAAATTGCTTAAGAATTTGGACAATGTTTGATTAAAATGATCGAAGTTAATTAAAAATTATAATTGGTAGTTGAAGTTTATTACAATCAAATTTAATACAAGCAAATTGTTGTTAGCCAAAAAATTTAAACCTTTTTTGAAAATTTGGAATATTAATATGTTGAATTTGACTTCAAAGAATTTTTAAATTTTATAGAGATGAAAGAGATTTCATTTTAGGAGACATTCCAAGTTGTAGTATCAAAGTTTGGTTAATAACCAGGAACTTGGATTGTTGGAAAAAGAGAGAGTTTAGAAGAAGTAAGTAGCTTTTTGTTTTAGTTTAATTAATCAAAACAAGAAGATTATGTTTCTGATTCCATTGATTGTGATAATAAGCTGGTTTTTAATAAGCTAAAATAATTATAATCACAGTAGGCAAATCTTAATGCTGGTGATCGTAATGTAATAATTAGTTTTCCTTAGGAAAACAAGATTATGATTTAAGCACCTGAAAAATTGATTAAATAAGCAAAAGATAAATTTGATAAGTAAATTAGGGAACTAAAAAGTTAAGTTAAAACTAAAATTTGTGATTTTTCTGACAAAGAAATCAAATTCATAGACAAAAATTTTTAAGCATAATTGGAATAATTAAAAAAGAATAATGAAATACAACTTTTTAAGACATCTCAAGTTCAAGTATAAGAAATATAAAATAGCTCCATAGCATGTACATTGCTATATAAAAATAAAAGTATACAGATAATTTATGCTGATATATCTAAAATTCAATGTGATGCAATAGTAAATTCTTGTAATAGTAAAATGTCTTTTGGTGATCATTTACAATTGAGTGGTGTTGCCTAAAGTATTTTCGAAATGGGAGGGACTTAATTTTAATCATTTTGTTCTGATTACATAAAAAAGTATAAGGAATTATAATAAGGAGTTGTGTGCACATACAAAATGCCTGCCCAAAGATAAATAAAGTATATATTGAACGTAGCTACTCCTATTTATTCTAAAGGTGATTAAACAGATGATGACTTGAAAAAGATTGAAGAGAACATCAAAGCATTATTCAAAGAAATTAAGAACTTAGACATAGAAACTGTAACCATTCCTATCTTCGGAGGAGGAGCATGCGGTTACAGTTTTAATTAGGCTGCAATGGTGGTGCTGAATACTACGATAAATCAATTATATGCTGAGAATAACTCAATTAAAAAAATTTACATTGCAGAGTTGACTGATGTTAAAATCGACTAATTGACTAAAATACTTAAATAGCTGTTAGAACCACCTTTAGCATAGAGAGAAATATAATATTAATGGTAATGGTAAGATCGTAGTAAATTTAAAGATTATGATGATGAAGAGATCAACAAATAAATAGATGAAGCATATGAACAATTTTTACTTACGGGCCAAGAGTAAAATATATTATTGAAGTTTCCATACTCTAAAAAGCCTGGAACTCACTAGATTGATTTTCAGAATAAAACTGTTACTGATATTTCTTTATCGACAACAAAAGCTTTAATCACAAAACTGGTCTCTAATTCAAAAAAGTATTTTTTCGGTTATGAGTAGGTTGATGATTAGCTAAATGAATACATAATGATCTAAGAATTGAGCAATGTGACCTAGTTTGATATCTTTTATAAATAACATTATGTAATAATTAAGCAAGGAGAAATGTATTAAATGAATTTAGAAACTCAATACAAGAGATAAATACAGAAAACAAAATACTAAACCAAGAAAGATCCTTCAAAATAATAATATAATTACTTAGTTGATAAATAGTATTAGTTTTAAGTAACTCAATATCAGGTTTCGAAATTGGTTAAATAAAAAAACAATTATGGACAATTTACAGTCTAATCTTTTAATGATAATCTCAATGAAACCATTATCAAATAAATTAAATAATATTTATCAAGGGAGACAACGAAGCTAGAAATTTATATTCCTAATTTACAAGAGGATGAAATTGAAAATATCTAAAACTAAATTTAAAAGACTGCTCTATCTAGTGAAGGGAAATTCCTTTCGGGAAATAAAGTTATAATAGAGTTTTTTAAAAAAAAATATAGTCAAATTTGTTAAATTATTGAGTAATTTAAAAGTAGAGGAAAATCGTATCCTAAAGAATGGATCCCTTAAAATGAAAATTATTTGAAAGTAGCTTTAAAATCCGATTCTGAAGAGTTCAAAAATATTTCAACTATGTTTAAGAAAACTGATAGTGGAACCATTTATGAGATATATAGAATTTAAAATAAATCATTATGGGATAATTACATTAGTGAAAAAAATAAATTGATTTAAATATATTAATAGAATGGGGTTATCTTGAGTTAAATCGAAACTGAAAGGTACTTATGGCATGGAGTAAGAACAAAGCACCCTAAAATTATCTATTCCGGTTTGAAGGAAGCATTTGATTACTCCTACAGTGATGTAAATATAAATTAGGAAAATTATAGGTTGGCTTATGGGGAGTTGGTATCTATTTTGCTGAAAAGGCTAGCTATTCTCGACATTATTCCTACAAATTACAAAAGGCTGATTAATAAGGAGAAGGTAGGCAAGTATTTTTATGCTGTTTGATAACAACTGGTAAAGTTTCGACAATGCCATAAGATAAAAATATCAAAAGACCACCTTAAGGGTATGATTGTGTGTCAGGTTTATCTAATGAAGGTAATAGTAATATATTTGTTCTTTACTCAATGGATGTAAGAAGAGCATATCCAGCTTATGAGATTATCTTTTCTTGATTTATGAAAATGATATAATCTATTATTAAATAACCTTATGAAATGATACTATAAAATTGTTAAAAAAATTAATGAAAATAATATTCTAAATAAATCTTTATTCCAAAACAAACAGAGCTTAAAGGTTTGTAGCAGTTTTAAGAAAAGCGTTTTAAAGGAGTATGTAAATCATAATTAGCTAATTAAAATTCTATGAAAATATATAATTAATGATTTATTTGGTTTTAGTAATTTTATAAAAAATTATATAATTTCTTCTATTTAAAGAATGGAGCTATAATTTATTACAATTGAATTTTATATTGAGTTGGGTTGGATGTAATTTCGTCAAGTTTTTAAGCAAATATAAAAAATCTTCGATATTTAACAGTTATACAATTATATCTGTAGCAGTTTAAGTATTTCATTATCGGGTTGTCTTGTTTGCTTGGATACTTGATATTAGTTTTGTAATCCAAAAAATAATAAGAGATTTTATTAATGGAAATAAATAAAGTTCAAAATAAAGCAAAATATGAGTCATTTGATTATGGGTAATATGAGAAGTTAAGAAAACTGTTTCACGATCCTAGTTTTGAACCAATTTAAGTAGAGGAATTGGATCTGTCAAATGAGAAGGCTACTCAAATGCCAAATGTATTATGTTTACAACTGCTCACACATCTTAAGGTTTTAGTGTTGAATGGGAATCAGATTCAGAGGTTTCCTGGAAAATTGGTTGCAAAAGAGTTACAGTCGCTGACGATTTTGGATCTCTCCAACAATCTAATTGAAGAATTGGATGATATTGCAGATATGAACTTGCCAAATCTGTCAGTTTTGGATTATTAGGGGAATTATGTGTGTTAATATCTGCTGAGGATAACTTAAATATAGCAATTGTTATGTCCAAAGAGATATGTGAAATACAATCCAGTTAAAGTATTTACAGCATCATATAATCAACTTCCAGTCTGTAGGTTGACAGAAGCCTAGTATTAGGAGGAAAAGAAGTGCTTGAGATCAATATAGAGAGCACCTGAAGAGTTCAAACCTGAGGAATTGATGAATACGGTGTCGAAGTTTTCACATAAAAATACTTTGGGGAAGTTTTGTTTAGAGATGTGTCCAGTTCCAAGGAAGACAAGATTCAAGAACTTAGAATATTTGAATGGTACTTAGATAACGAAGATGGATATCATGAGAGTGACAGGAGTTGATAATTATAAGTTGGCATTGGAAGTGGAGAATTCTGAAACTAAGAAGTATAAACATGCTAAGAAATCCAAATTGCATAATGAATACATTTAGAAGTACATAAAAAGAGTTCAAAGATTATTGGAAGAGAAGCCATCTAATGATCCAGATGAGATTTTGAAGGCAAAGAAAGTAAAGAAATTGGATTAAAAGAAATTTTCTGTTTGGGAAACTCCATTGGATGTATAGTACAAGGATTCAGAGTTCACAATAGGGATTGAAGAATTTAAGTAGTAGAAGAAGGAATTTGAGGAATAAAAAAAGCAGAAATTGGAGAGGAGACATAAAAAATAAATAGAAAGGATAAAAAAGAAGCATCCTTCATTTGAGGAAAGTGAGAGCGATCATGAAATCAGAAGGATGTATTTGACTACTAAAGTAAAACCTAAAATGAATTTAAGCAGAGATGAGGATAGAATATACAGATCTTCAGAAAGTTCTTTGAGTGAAGGAGACAGTCCTCAAGAAAGATCAAGTACGAGTCAAGAGAGTGTGGAAATGAAAGGACCTAAATCAGTGGCTAAAGTAGAAGCCAAGCCTATTAGTTACTATAGGAAAAAGACGAAGGAAGAAAATAAGAGCAAGGAAGTAGTTCAACAACGAAAAGTACAGCAGTAGAACAGACAACAGAGAATAGAAGTGATGGATAATGAGAATAGTGAAAGTGATAAGGAGACTCCAACAAGACAAGTCAAGAAATCATCAACACAATAGTTGTTAAAGAGTCATCATAAATAACAAACCTATTCTCCAGTTGCTGTTCCTTAATAGGCAATACCTGCCTAAAAGATTATAACCAAGATGCTGCATGATGAAAATAGAAATACTTTTGATCTCAGTAATAAACTGAGTGCTCAGCATCCTGTTGTACGAGAAGGAGAGTATAAGGAGTAGCAGTTCTAGAGAATGTTGAAGGTCAAGGAGTCTGTTTAGAAGGAAAGATAAGAATTAGAGCAAATACGGAAACCAGTAACTGCTCAACCACAGGTAAGGTAGAAGGTTAATCGTGTGATTGTGGATGGTTAGAAGAAGAAGGCTTTGCCTACTCCATAAAGAGAGTTGGTGAAATTGCATGGGGATTTAGACAAGGCAGAGTTCCAAAGGATTCAAATCCCGTTGGAGGAGATGATTCCAACAGAAGAACAAGGAGTTCCTGAGAGGTTCAGACAGGAATTTCTATATAATGTCGATAGTGAGACTTATAAGGAATTGCTGCATTACAAGGGTATCTTAGAGGAGAGTTTGAATCTCAAGGAGGCTTGGAAAGAGATGGATGCGAAGTTAGAAATTCTGGGAGCCACTAAACCAGATAAGGAATTGAGGTTTAAGGCAAATGATTACAATGCTGTGCATACATATTTGAAGGCTAAATATAAGGACAAGATTAGTCCTTATGAGATGAGAGAAATCATATATGGAGCTAATGATTATGACTTGTAGTCAGAACCCAGGATCTAGGAGAAGGATATCATGAAAAGGTTGGAACAAGAAGACGTTACTTAGGAGGAGAGACAAGTATTATACAAATGGATTGAAATTTTGGATGACATCAGATTGAAATAGACTAAAACTGATGATAAGAGATTGAGGAGAATTGAAATCAAAGAAATTGAGAGAGCATAATCGTTTGCACATCTGTAAATCAAATAATGTATTTAATTAGTGCCTATCATTATTAAAAGTTAAAGAAGTATGTGTCTGCAGATAAACTTTAGAAGTATGTAAAAATGATGGGAATACCCTTAAATGAGATTTTGAACCAAGATAATTAAAAGCTGAAGACAGGGCAAAAGAAGAAGACGGAATATGTTAACAGATAGAATTACTAGTAGACGAAAGTTCAGGCTCAGAAGAAGGAAAAGGAACAGAAGGATTTGGCAAAACAGATGCTGTAAATTGAGGAGGACAAGGCTTAGATGTTGAAGGAATATGAGGAAATCAATCAGCAACGATACAGCAATATTAAGGCTGAGATAATGAGTGACAATGGTAATTTGGCTACCAATGATCCTTATTATCTGAAATGTCTTAACAAATTGGAATAGGATAAGGTGGATGTGCTCAACAAAGTGGCCAAATACAATATTCCATTTGAAAACATGGTGGAGTAGAATCTAAGAAAATTGCAGGACCAATTCATTACTACTTAAGGTCCAACTGACTTGGAGGAATAAATGATGAAGTATTGATTCAATAGTAACTATTAGGTATGCTTCTGAGTTCAAGGAGAAGATCAAATAAAGAGAACGATTGCAGTAGAACATCAACAAACATATAAGTGAAACTCAGAAGAAATTGGATGAATTTTGGATGTGGGAAGCCAAGGAAAGAGAATTGAGAGATGACAAGGTGGCTAGTTTGATGAGACAAATAAAGAGACTAGAATTGGATGATTAATAAACTATATAATTCTGATTAGAGTCCATCAATTCAATCATTGCTGTAGTTGATTTGTCTCCTCCCTTACTTCTATAAACATTTAAGCAGCACTCTTCTCCCAATCCAACAATATTAATCTCACAAATAGTACTCCAGCACTTACTGACAATCCACAAGCCCATCCAAACCACAATCCTTTCAATCCATAATCATGATAATATCCCCAATAGATGCCGGTTCCAATTCCAATTGCATATTAACATAGCAATTAAACATTTATGGTAAACGCTACTTCTCCCAAGGCACCCAAGAGATTTGCCAACATAATTTACATCCCACCAATCGTAAGAGTTGGTAAGAATAATTTTAAGTTGTTAGACAAAATAAGTGATGTTTCGTTGTCCATATAAAAGAGTGCAATCCATTATTATTTGAATACTACCAATAAGAAGCATAACAATATTCCAGTCATCAAGCTGGTTGCTAAATAATACCAAACATGCTTTCTTCCTATTTCATACTCTTGCTCTTTAAATAATCTTCGTATTCTAGAAGCAGCAGTCATGGCTACTCCCAAGAAAAACATATACAGTGCTTGGGCTGTAAAAATGAGGCAAACACAAACGGAGAATTCTTCATACGTTAGCCACAATGCAAGAAACCCCATTATTTCAAAAGACACATTTTATAAATAATTTTTGAAGGATGAGTGCAATAATCCATATGAAAATTAAAAAATTGATTTTAATGTTCTTCTGTCCCATTCAATCCAAGCAGGATGATTTTATTAATATTTGAAAATGTAAATATACATAAGCAATGAAGATGTACAACTTGAAAAATTCTTACCCCAAGCTGCTCCACTTATGCCGAGGCCCAAATACACTATCAATTGTTTAGATAAGTAGATATGCAAAATCTGTGTAAGTTAATGAATTGATTTACAGTAGTAAATATTTGTATAACTAAGACTGGATAATCAATGCCCATGGAGGTCAGGTAGTTCTTGGTGCAATCGAAGTATGTGAATGCGTATAGGGCTGGTAGCATTTCCCATACGTATTGAATAGCCTTTTCAACTACAATGCTTCAATATGAGAATGATAACCTACTTCGGGATATTGAATTAGGAGAGAATAAAGGTTGAACCAGCAATAACAGGGGTAATCAAAATCAGAAAAACTCCGTTCAAAAGCAACGATCTTTGATAGGAGATCCCAATTTTCACATATTGATGCTATTTAAACTACCTAGTCATTATGGAGGTGATGCTAGAATTCATGCAAAGTAACAATCCTTTTACAAGCAAATTCGCATATATTGTCCCAAAACCTATTCCAATCACATCTTCAATAACCAAATATCAATACTGTCTCTCCCTATAATGAAATACATATTCACCAACGTTGTAAGTATACTCAATTCCTAAATTTCATAAATCTCCATCTCATACCATTCCAATAACCGTGGGTAAAGCCTTCACCAGTAAGGTTTCGAAACTGGATATGAACTGAGAAAACGTTGTGATTTCAAGACTCTCCTCTGCCATCTATAACAATTATAAAATAATTAAGAAAATGATTCCAATTTAGATATTCAGATTCCCACAATACAATTAAATTCAACTTAATATTCCAATTATATCAATGAGTGTTGCTGAAAATGGGGGGTAATTGATTGGCTTTGACCTTATCAAAATCGATGCTCTTCTCTTTCTCCAGATTGACTTCCCCTAAAACTGCCACTGTGTCTCCTCTAATCACCTATAACCCCGCATTTAAAAATTGAACTCCAGTCTCTAGTGAATACACTCTCTCCTCGCTGTTTTGTAATACACAATTCATAGCTTGATCAATTCCAATAAGAGTCCATTAAACATATAGGAGAAATCATACCCACAAAACACACGGCCATCAGTTGTAATGGCCTGCACCTTCTTATTCAGCATAATCTCAAATGGATTCACTCCTTCTTTGTACATATATTTGAAATAATATTATTATATGAAAATAATTTAATATCACAGAATAAATGGAATTATGGCTTTTCTGTTTTTGGGATAGTTGTCGAATTTGTTCTTATACCATTTATGGGTTGAAACGGCTCTAGCTGAAAGAATTGACAAGGTTGAAAAGAAAAATAGGAATCCGCTCCATTAGCCACTAACCAAAAAGTACCCAAACCTTTTTTATTTTTTAATTATTCTTACCATTCAATTATTTCACCTAAGTAATGGCCAGATGATACCAACTCAAATAAATTGCCATATGGAATCTTGTATTCATTTGAGTTTTCCTTCTTCAACCCTCTCAAGATGTTATCACATTTGATATTAGATGTCATTCCATAGATGAATATTAAGATTCCTACAAGAATTCTTAAATAATCAGGGAGGTATAATTAAAGATCTCGATTTAAATGAGTTGTAATTTAGATATAGCCGTTGCAGGTTGTAAATAAGATGGCACTAGCCACTACTTCAACGGGGATGGGTCTTGCAAGTGGAGATAGTCTTAAGTCATAGATAAATTTGCAAATACCTTAAAGGATAGATGATCACACGATTGAAGTAATGGGTGACGAACAATAGAATGGGCAATCTATTGAAATCAAGGCTGATGGCTGGGAGAAAATACACAAACCAAATGAGGTTAGGGCATTCGTAGAGGATCCACCCTATTCTTGGGGGCAGAGTCAACTTCATGTAATGAGAGAGATGCTTGCCATAGCCTATTTTTAGGAGATCAGCAGTCCAGGCTGCCAAACTAAATCCTAAAATGATGATTACGGATATGAATTGAAAATCAAACATAATTAAATAATATTATTATTTCTACAGCAATATCTGATTTGAACATGTCATTAAAATTATTAATATTATTATTATTATTAATTAACAAATTTAAATTAATCTATTACAATAAACTCTACATTGATAAATTTTTAAGGCCCATTTGTCTCATAGCATTAAATTCATTTATTTTTAATATTTATATATATAAAATTTTATTAATAAAGTTAATTAACGTTGAAATGAATACTGTTTAATTAATACAACCTTGGAGGTAAGTTTCACCCCAGGCGATAGAAGCCTTAAAATCCTTAGAGTAATTATAAACTATCTCAAATGCAAAAATAGTTAAAAGAATTACCACCACATCCCCAATCAAGCAATTCTTCTTAAATGGGAGATAACTTACTGTCTTTGGAAATAACAGTCAAACTAAGATAATTTAACCTTGTTCTTACCAACCGGTTCATTAAACCGATAGAGTTCAACCATAACATAATAGAAATATTTCAATTGAAATGCTAAATTTTAAATAGTAAGTCCAGGATAATATATTGCTCTAAACTGTGATCTCAAAGTACGAGTCCTCTCCAAAAATGAGTACTCCCGTCAAGAACTCTGGAACATAAACTCCTACAATGTTTACTCGAAATTCATGCGATAATATTCCTCTACCGAAGGAACCCAACAAAGTAATAGAGTCAAGAGAGAATAAGTCTCCATAAGTAAATTTGATCCAAAAAAAGAAATTAATTTTAAATCAAATTTTATAACTTGACAATGAAATAAAATTAATGTAGGATGAGGAGGCAAAAAGAAGATTAGATCCTTTGAGACAAAAAACATCAAATTAAACATCCATAGCTCCAGTTTCCATCAGGGAATCCTTAGAGAAATAAGCAAGCACCAGTACTTTTATGTCGAAATTGAATGAATGGATGAAAAAAAAGAAAGCAGTTCCCTTAGATGAAAAATAAGATGAGCAATCCAGTTCAATATAAAATTCAGTTTTAAGGGATGTATGATTATGCATAATACTTAGTGTACTTTCAAGGGTAATTTGACATCTAAAGATCAAAACTATGAATCATTTTATGATCGCAACATGAAATGGTAAAGGAGAGTAAATATGAAGAAACAAAAGATGAAAACCTAAAAATCTATGATATAATTGAAGAAAGATTCAAAATCTCCAAATTAAAAGCCTTCGAGACCAAATTCATCAGAATTGAATTGCTGGATAAGGGGAAAAGAATTAAAACAATCTCAATCTCCCTAAAAATAAAAGCAAAAACAGAATAAGATACAATAATAATTGGCCAATAAATTGCGTTTATGAACCCTATATTATATATCAGCTTTTTTATTGTATAATCCATGGTTTTTGATAAATTCCTTAACAATTAATAGTACTATTGCATTAATAACCAATGAATCTAATATAGTTGAAATTATTGCTCAATTTTAGATTAACAATCTCTTGTGTTTGATTATATAAATAATAATTTTAATTTATGATAGTATTTTGTGCTAATTCATTGCCTTAAGTGATTGCCAATTAGGGGTTGAGACAATTCTAAGTAATAACCTAGAATTTGAAACCATAACTCATCTTGAATTAGTGCGGAGGGGATATTGAAACAAGATCACAATATTTTGCAAAGTATTTAAGCAAATTCAATGAACCATTTCATTTAATTGGATATGGAATTGCTGGGTTGGATTTAAGATATGCCTTGAGTCAAAACAATAGCATAAGAGCGAAATCTTTGATTACCATAGGCACACCTCATCGGGGATCAATTTTAAGCGATTTGTACAGGAGAAGAAGAGTTGAGGATGATGTCATTGAGCCCTTATGTAGAGTATTGGGAATCAGATAAAACTATTTCGAAGAAATTAACAGTGAAAACATAAGGGATTTCAATTTGGTAACCACAAATAAAGAAAATATTAAGGTAAATAAAATTAGAATATACAGTATTTTAGTTTGAATGCAGAGACTGAAGTTGGATAGATGTCATAAATTTATCAAGCCAGTGGGACCATCATCGAAAGTGAAAAGGAATACCCAGTAGAGAGTGGATCCGATGGAGTGTTCGCTCATAATGAAACAAAGTGGGGACAACATGTTGCTACATTGGATTGCGATCATGGGGCAATGATTGGAATACCAAACTAGAGAAATGGTGAATAGACTGTGGATATAATTCAATAATTGATCAAAGACTTATGATCAAATAAAATTATATTAATAATTTATCATTATTTGTTTACTTGTATGGGATCCACCTTTTTCATTAGCTCATCAAAATCAATCTCATAATCTAGAATATAATGCTGAATCTCATTGACAAATGCTTAATATTTCTTTTCATTGACAGGCTTCCCTATTAATATAATTTAGTGATAAAACTCAAGTATCATATGAAAATAGATTTGGAACATATCAAAGATCCTAATACAAATTTTAAATATTCCCATTGGACAAGCCTTTAATAATATTAAATATATATATACTGTTTAAATTGTAGTTGATATGGTTAATTTTCTGGATTAATCAATGTAAATATTCATCGGTGTGGGTTCTCTTATGAGCATGTTGGCTAAATAAATAATGTCGTCTGCAGTATCTATTGAAAATTGGATTTCAGAAATGCTTGTTTTCATTATTATAACTGAGTCATATTGTGAGTTGGCTTAATTGGATGCCGAGGACTCTTTAAACGTCATCGTGTATGGGATCTTCAAATCTTCCTGAATCATTTATTGAGTCCTCTGATCAACAATTTGTCTATTGATTCTATTTATTGAACTTGACCAATTAAATTGAAATTAATCCTTAGTTTCAGGTTTACTAAATATTTCGATTCTGTGCTAATTGGAAGCAACTTTGGAATATGGTGCCATATCAATCTTATTTTCATCTGTATTCTTGGATTTCAAGTGTTCATACATAGAGTTCATAAATTTTCCAAATATCTCATAGCTATTAGAATTGATCTCTTTAGGTAATTTACTAAAAAATTAGGTCATATTAATGAATTGTAATTATAAAAGATTTTAAGCATCTTTTTATTAAGTAATTAATTCGTCATCCTTTCTACTGAATTCTTTAAAGAGCATCTTAAGTTCTTCGTTATTTTATAATTAATATAACAACATTGTTTACTTAAATCTAGTTCTAGCCAATTTCTTTTAAAATCTTTGATCTTTGTATAAGTAATCCGCGCCTCTATATTATTAATTATTTGGAAATTGAGGTTCCAAATCTTAAATTTCAGGTTCTTTTATGAAATACTCTTCAAAGAATGAGAAATCCTCATCTGTATTCTTAATTGGGTTGAGAAATTTCAAATAAAACCTATAGAGAAAATTAAATGTCTTGATTAAATCATCATAAATACAGCATTTTGATATAATTTGAATCTAAATTCTATAAACTTTTCAAGCAAGCTTGAGGCTTTGGACTAGAATAAATGTCTAGTCATTAATGTGAAAGTTGGCAATAATACAAATTATTCTTCTTCTTTATAATACAAGAGGCAACTCTGAAGAGGGTCGAAAAATAATCTAAATAGAAAATAAAATAAGTACCCAAAGTTTGCAGACCAATAGAATATTTCTATTAAATTAAAAAACACTTTTTTGAGCATAGAAGCATCTATATTTTTCAATTCCTATATAGGGGAAATTAATTCAAAAGCCTCCTCAAAACCCTCATCTAATTTATTTAATTTATTTCTGTAAGGAATCTCAAGCTTTTCTCCTTATAATCCATCATAATAATATTAAACGTCGAGGCAAGTTCCATTCATAGTCATTTTGTTATCTTTAGCTATTTTGGCCACTTTAAGGTTAATTGAAATTGGAAACCTTTTACACTAAAATCTTACTTATTATGCAATTAATCTTAGCTATGTTAGTATTACTCAAATATATATTTGAAAGATTCCTTAGCATCTTGAGAATTAAAATTTTTATCGTGGTTTATTTGGAAGCACTAAGTTTATTAGCTATAAGAGATTATTTTTTAATTCATTTAATATTATATACATTTCCAAAGTTTCCAATACTACTTTTTGGAATGCTTCAAAAGAATGAATCAATTTAATATTGTAGGTGTTTAAATGTATTATAATCCTTGAAAAGTGAAGGAGATTAGAAATTTTAACTACTCTTTATAATTGTGTACACCATTTTTTGTAGAAGAATTGATCTAATTATTAATCCCTTATCATGAACAGGAAGTGAAAATTTCTCAAATTTCAAGAAATGATACAGTTCTGCCAAAAGGAGATTGATTTAATTAGGATATTAATATATCCACATACCCTACAGGGTAGATTGGAGGATTTGTCAAGCGCTAAACGTTTCATTTTGATCCTGTTTTAATCTATCCTTTATCAGGAACTCACAACCAAGAAAAGAATAAACTTAATAAGTTTTTCTTATGGAAATTAAAATTTATCATAGATGACATTTTAATGGAAAAACTATCCTTAAATTAAAAGGCATAGTAAATATTCAAATATTTCATTTATTCATATTTTGTGATCCGAAATGCTTAAATTAATTTTATATAATGAAAATTTCGATAAAAAATTTGTTGACATTTTTTTAGTATAAAAATCACTTAGATCAAAATTATCTTGATATCACCTATTTAAATGTGTTAAGCTACCACTAGAAAATATGTAACAGAGTATTTCATATCATATAATATTTTATTTAAAATCCTAAATGTGCCCTTTATTTAACCAGATACAAAATTTAAATAGATATGCTGTTTCTAGAGTCGAATATTACTCATTTTTCATATCTAATCTCCAAAGAAGGATTTTTTGAAAGATATTAGTCCTCTTATTATTTATAGGAGTGACATTTAGAAAGAATCACATTGAATTACTAATATTCCTCAATGAATAAAATTTAAAAATTGTTGATAAAACATATATTTAAAACATAAATAAGTTGTTTTTCTCTATTGATTCCAAGTTGTTTTTAATTTGGAAATATATATATGAATTTGTTCAAAATTTTATAAATAATTAAATTAATGGACGAATATATGAAAAATTTTTTTGTTCTTAATCGCCTTTTAGTATTCTATTATTATTAATTAGTTTAAATGACAGACAGCACATGTCCTTTCTGTAAAAACAATGGTTACTTCGATCAAAGTACATCCTCAACATATTGTAAAACAAAATCTTGCAATAACAGGGTCATTTAATTCGGAACAATTAATTATGAAGATGAAAATAAATTGGGTGACGTTGATCAACCAGGAAATAGATAATCTAGAAATGGAGGATATGAAAATAAAATTGTTGCTTATAAAGAACAGCTTTGTGAAAAGTAAGGAATAAGCGATTCTAAACAGAGAAAATAATTTTAAGAAAAATTTGAAGCTGGAGAACATCAAATATACAAGTTGAATAGATATTTCAATATGAATGAGGCATTCACTAACGATGCCATCTATAAATACAGATTCTACATGAAAAATATATCGAGCGAAGTAAAATTCTTTTATAAAAATTTTAGATTTCGAGAAAAACATTTTTGGACATATCTTCTTATGTATTCTATCTAACTATTAAAGAAAGATAGTCAAAGCATTATTATGATTAAAAATTAGGCAAAATTACATTAGAAGAAATAGCTAAATATTCCAATAAGACGGCTCAATAAATTAAATAAGCAATTAGAGTTTTAAACAATAAAACAATTGGCTTCACTTTAGAATCAGATGATCGTAGTTAACAAGACATCTGCTAATAAATTGCACTTAAAATCTAGAAGCACAATCTACCATTTACTGAAGATGAAACTTTTGCAATTAAGGATATCCCGCGTAGACTTATGGATAGCAGTATTATCAGAGGTGAAAAAACTTCAACAATTGCATGGTAATATTGTATATTAATGGCTAGTGTTGCTGAATTCATGGTATCATAGCTATCCAGCAATCCTAGATTAAATATGTTAACTATCGATTAACTTGCTTAAATGAATGAGGTATAAAAAGACACAGTTAAAAAATTATGGAATGCTATTATTGATAATTAATCTTCGCAAAATCATATTTCTAGATGGGAAGGATAAAGATCAATAACAGAACTAAAGCATATAAACTGAAAATAGAAAATAAAATAATAATTATTACATATATTATTCTTAATATAGATATCCTCAAACTCTATCAATAACTCAGACCGATTACTTTTCTGCCATATATTTTAATTTACCATTTCTTTTCTAATTTCATATTCTTTATGGTTCAAATCAATTAGATAGTTAATAATTTTTGGAGATATTTGAATGCCTCCTAACCCAATTTAATGGCAATATTGCAAAAACTTAATTTATTACGATCATTCAAATTATTCTATTTCTTTTAATAATTTTCACTGAATGCTCAACCTAATCAATTCTCTTTTCTAGCAATTACTTACAATCCCTTACAAACATCATTTTTTGATTCCAACCTATTCATCCTTCATTATAATTTTCTCTTATTTTTATGATATTTTACTATAATTAATGTAGACAAATTCAGCAAAGATTTTTTCATATTTTTATTTATTGTATAAAAGGGAGGAGGATATGGTCTTAAAAGATAGATTAGAAACTCAATGAGAGATATAAATTTGATTAGAAATGTGATAAAAACCTAATAATTAAAATTCTATTAATTTCTGAGTGGAATATAAGTTTTGCATATTTTTAAAAAAAGAAAAGACGCTATTAGAATTTAGAGTAAAATTTAAAATTATTAATAAATAATACATTACCGAGTATCTTTTAAGATAATGTTACATAAATTCAATCATCTTTTTTTACCATTTGCCCATCTTTATTATTTAGCATATCATTTGTATTTTATTAAAGTAAATTGCTCATTCTATATAATAAATTTCAATTAGATTAGTTAAGATTAATATTTGTAATAACAAATTTATTTATTAAAACAATGTTTTATTTAATTTTTTTTATTAATGAGTATTCAACATAAAGAGAAATAGTTATAAGAAATTAAAAAAAGAATAGAAGATATGATATAAGATTGCATAAAAATACAGAATTTTAAAATCAATGTATTTTTAAAATTTGATTCGTAATTTATTTTTACATATATTCAACTTAGTGATCTAAGAAAATAGGTGAATTCCTCTCCACTGGCTAAGTAATTATGTAAATAGATAATTCTACTAATGCTAACGTGTCTAAGGGAGGCTTATGACAAAAAATTTAAGAAATTGCCTGATTTAGAAGAATTTTTTGTTAATTATGACGAGTATGAAAAGACAGCGAAATATTTGAATCTTGCTTGCTATCATATTGTAATTGATTGTTCATGATTTAGTTAGTGTTAAACCCTTAGTCAAAAGGAGAAGTTTAGTTTCTCTGAAATAGCTCTATGCAAATATATAAAAGACAATATTTAACATATTCAAGAGACTATATTTAAGAATCTGCTGAATCATCTCGAATAGATTTATAAAAAATAAGAATATGAATATGTACATAAGAGGTAAGAGAGTGAGATCTTAAGCAGAAAAATAGAACATAATAATTCTATCGATTAATTTAAGACTTACATTTAAAGATTATTATAGTTCTCATAGAATAAACTGCTCCTTCAAAAAAGAGATATTAATGTTTTTGATGATTTCTGTTAGATGTTGCTGTTCAAATTTATAGAGGATCAATACCAATAAAAGTATTAGAGATGGTCTCAAGTTTATTCAGTTAAAGATTATCTAACATTAGTGGAAAGGGAACAAAAATTGAATTAGGAATTGTTTATTTCTTTAATAGAATATGAAACATTTGAAGGTCATTAAAATAATATTTTGAGAATAATATATGAAAAATTGCTGATTTCATACAAAGGGGTAATCCTAAGAGATGAAAGAGGGCTTTAAGGGTTGTTGAAGGAATTCCTCTAGAGCTATGATTATAATGATAAGAAAAGTGCTAAAGAGGAAATCATTCTAATCTTGAGAGTGTATTCCAAATTCTAAGACAAGGAGAATTACTTCAATGATTTTAAATATCACTTTTAGTCCTTTGTAAGAAGAACAATAGATGAGCAATACAAGGAGGAAACTCTTCACCATGAATTAGAGAAATAAAAGTAGAAATATAAATCTCTGGTAAAGATTTTATGCGACATTTATGATAAATTTAACGATCTGATTCTGTAGTGCTTTAGGAAGAGTACTGATTTCAGAGGAAGATATGACCTTGAAATGATAGTCAATTCTGAACTCAACTTATTTTTCATAAGTTTAGAATAAGTAATGATTATTTTATTACAAAGAGTATTCAATTAACATTGCAATTATGCGATTATGTACATGAGCTGATAATGTAAATGGCCAAAACTGATGATCTATAATAAAGAGAAGAGAATTATGATGAAATTAGAAAGGTATAAAATTGCTTGTTACCATTTGTGAAAGATTACGAATACTATCTGCTTGTAACGATTTCAATCAATATCATAGATTTCTTATTATCGATTGGCTTCAAGATTACTTGGTTATCTGTTGTTTTTTGACAAGAATTATGTAATTAATCATCTAGAAACTGAAAGATAAATACTTGATAATATGAGAAGGTTCTGTGGGAATAAAAAACTAAAAAAGTTTTATAAGATGATTGATGAAACATCAGAAATTGCATCGAAAACACAAATAGCTACTTTTGACGGAGTCCCTTTAGAAATTATTCAAATCAATAAAAAGAAATGGCCAATACATTATGGCAATGACCAAAATGTATTTAAACGTTTTGATAATCAAAAAGCAGATTACCTTAAGATGCAGAATTAGCAACACAATATTATATTTAGTGATACCTTATCTTATGTTGAGATTTATTGGAATGAAGTAAATAAAAAACTGTTGATAAATTGCGTTTAAGCAGCAATTTTATTATTGTATGACAAAAATGAAGACCCAAAATCCTTAAATTAGATCTCGGATTCAATCAATTTAGAAAAGGGCCAAGTTAAATTTCAACTAGATAGAATGGTATTGAATTCATTTTATAAAAGGTCAAACAAAAAATCCTATGGAATGATGAATAATTTTTTTATCTAAATAATTCATAAATTGAATAAGAAATCAAATAAGAATGGATTATCATGGAACACAACATTTACGAAAATGAACGATATATAAATGAAAGTATGTGTTATATCTAAATCAAGTCAAACCTGTTGTTGATAAAACATAAGATTTTAAGTATCAGCTAGATGCTTATATAATGAAAGTCCTAAAAGCAGAATAAAGAGTGTTTCACAAAACTTTACTCGAGAAAGTTTAACAACACTTTTACCCAACCCTAGTAACAAACGAGTAAATCAAAATATCGATTGAATTCCTCTCCAAATACTAGTACATAAGTAGAGATCCAAAAGATTAATCAGCATATCTATATGAATGAAGTTAGAATTATAGTAACAAATCTGTTAAATAGCAAATTTTGTCTGAATTTAAACTCTTAACATCCCAATTATTCTTTTACTATTATGATTAGTTGAATCTCTAGATTATCAAATATGTATTCAACTATATAACTCTATTTTGTATTATGGGTGTTAAGGGGACTATAATATTATAACAAGAAAGATTTACAATTTAATCAAATTTATTATATTAATTGTGTAGTTAGCATAACTAAGAGTAGAATTTTGAGTTAGATATCATCTTTAATTGACAACAAAGAACACTAATAATCAAAAATTATTGATTTTCTGTTAATTTTAGTATTGAGTATTATACAACCCAATTTTAGTGGGATTTCTAAAATAATTCAGAAAGTTCGTATCTCAGATATTTTCATGTCATGTTTCTTTAATTATCAAAATGTATAACGTTTTTCTACTTCTTTTTCAGATTTTTTATAATATGATTTATCATAAATTATAATAAAATATGTAATATAACCTCTGAATTACTAAAAATATGTTTTTTCAACCACTATCTTTGATTTGTATGATCATGAGTCCTTTTTGTTTTCTTTAATATGTATTTCAATAATTAAAAGTAATTAATAGAAGATTGAGTAAATAAAGTGAAACCCTATGATTGATGACTCTGATCATACAGGGAAGTTAATCCAATGTAGACTTTTATTAATTCAATCGAATATTAGTTGTAATTTCTCTAGTTCGTCAGAATTCATTGATTATAAAAAACTATTATTTTGTGAAATAAATCATTTTATTACATACTATCAATGTTATAAACTGGTTTAGATTTGTTTAGAGGTCATTCATTATTATATTTTTTGATGAATTGTGTTAAAATAAACACCAACTAAGAATGGCATGAACATGTGATGAGTAGTTAAAAACCAGTTGTTGTTAGTTTTTTCGCTGAATGGTATGGATATTGAAACTAATTGAAAATAGGTGTGCCCCATGCCATAAGCTGAATCCTCAATTAATCTAAGAAGCTGAGAAGAACTGTGAAAAATGGTAACTAGCTTTTGTGAATGTTGACAATGAGGAACTTTATGACGTCGTACAATAAATAGCGGTATAGTTTAATATTGATTTATTTTAGAAAGCCTAAATTCCATCAGTTCATTTACTAAATAGAGGAACTTCTATTGATTCTATGACTGGATATAGCGAAAGAAAAACTAAATCCTTCATAGATAAAGTTTGCAGTTGATTTTAACTACTTGTTTATACATGTTTTGTTATAAATAAATAATAAAATAGAGGGACGGATTGCACCATTGAACTTTCAGAATAATACCTTTCTTTTGGCAACATAAAACTAATTTTAAAGTTCTAAATATTGGACTTATCATTATTGTATTCTTACATCACCTTTTATCGAGTCCAGTGTTCTTACCTTAACCAACTCTAATAGAGCATCTCTTATATTGATATCATCTATTAAGGATCGATGATACAGATGTTTGAACCTTATTATTCTCAATAATTGCAACTGATTTGAATTATAATCTGAAACAGTTTTTCATAATTATCTTCCTCATTAGACTCCTCCAATTTATCAAGGAATATAGAGAAGATGATTAATATGATGTTTATATTGGATTCTAGTCAATTATTTGGCAATAAAATGGTTTCCACTTACGCGAGCAAACTGTCTAGAAATCAAAAGTATGGCAACATAGAATGGTCAACCAATGACAAATAATACAATAGATTTTAAATAGTCCTTCGGTAATCGAGATTCCAATATCATATTAGAAGATTTAGAAAATATTGTATAATTAAATAATCTTTTATAACGAACCAATATTTTATATAATTAAAATAATTAGTCTAGTTAACTGAAGAAAAATAAGTGTAAAGCATCCTCTCTTTTGATACATATAAATTAGTTAAGTGGTTTAGAAATATATTGAATGGAATTGAGTTTGAAGAATTCTTTTAATTCATTATAACATGCACTATTTATTTAAGCTATAAAATGATTCGGGATGTCTCCATACATTATTAAAAGGATAATAATCATAATACTTTTTATTGATAACAATGGTATTGGTATGATAATCTGATTTATTAATATTTAATAATCCTTTAGCCCACCCTAAACTTTACATAGCTTCTGTTCTTAGATGTTCATTCTACATAGTAGTAAAATTGCTTTGAGCGGCAATATGTTCATATGCATAGGATGCTTTTAAAACAGTATCAGCAATAACTTAATATGCTAAAGAGTAACCAGTCAAATAAACACTATTGTTTATAGGATTTGCTTTATTTATTCACTCTGTTTGCAATGAAGTCATCAAATCTGAAGAACTCCTAGAAGATATATAGCATCTTTTAGTACCAATTCCTTATATTAAGTGATAGAGTCCATCTTGTCCTACCTGAGTATGTGGGAATGTAAATTTCTTCCAATTACTCTGAATTATATTAATACAACTTTTTACTTATTTTAATGGTGCTCTAGTGAACCAATGAACAACATACTTCTATCCATATGAAGTTTAGTCTTTATGGGTGAGACCATATTAAAATGTTGGGGGACATATACGATTGAAGTGGCGATATGCTTCTCTTAGTTTCTTATAAATCCCATCATGAAAGAATTCGTTCTCAAAATTCAGATGTGCTGATGGTTGACAATGTTGATCTATCTCAAAATATTGCTTATCTAATTTATTCAGCACTTTTTTATTCATCCACCTCTTATACATATAGATTTGATGCATTGCATTTTCAGTCCTATATTAGGTCAATCTTAATACGCCAATCTATAGAAATTTTTAATGGAAAGAAAGGCTTATATTGAAACTCATGGCTATCAACTCCAATTGTATCTTAACCTTCATGGTCCATTTAAAATCCTCCAATCCCAACAAATCTGAATTTAGTACCATGTTTTGTATTCTTTATTGCTTGAGTCATATGAGCTAAATGAACATCAGTTTAAGTTCAAGCTGCAAATAAAAATATTGTAGTTTATTTCATTTTAAATATTAATCAAATAAAACAAATATTTGTTAGAAACTAAAGAATAAACTAAATTTATCCACCAGATTAATGTTTAAATTAGAATTACTGAATATATTTAATTATATATAGGTTCTGTATTTCATTTTTTAATATTAAGACCTTTATCTAAGTTCGTATTTTTAAAATAAAAGTAAATAGGCAATGATATTCCTACAACTTAAGTATTATAATTTATATATAATTATATGATATATAAAAATATCTAATCATCCTAGTTAGAGATTGAGTCTACAGGTTTCAATAACTGCATTCTACACTCTTCCTTGAACAATGTGACACAATTTTTCATATTCAGCTCTCAATTTAATATTATTTCCTTCTTAATTACTCATGAGTCTTTCTAATTCCAAAATTCTTTGATGTTATAACTACAAATTAGTCTTATGCAAAGCATATTATCTTTCTTATAGCAATCTTCTTTATTAAATATCATCCATTCCTCTATCTAATAATTATAAAGTCCAATACCCTTTTAAATGTTCAAGATGAAGAAAGTTTCGTCTATTTTTTTAATTAGATTATCAATGTGATGGTCTAAAACGATGTTATTATTTATCAATTTTTCCTGTTTAATACTTCTCTTGCTAATTTGTAGATGCGTTTGATGAACCTTTTCCCTTTCCTACTATATTTATTCCTCAATTAATTATCTATCTCTAGTTAAATTGGTTTCTAATCTTTACATATCATCCTAAATGGACTGACTTTCATTTTCAGCTCTCTTTATTATTGATTTAGAAATAATACTTTCAATGACTGCTATTATTCCATCTCCTTCTTCTTCAACAATTCAGTTTAATGATTATATTTAGCTTTTTCTTCTATAAGTAGCCTACCTTCAACAGCCTTAACATTCTCATCGTGATCTAATCTCATTTTCAAAAAGAATTCCTTCATTCTTAATAACTATTGATTGTATTGATCATTGGCCTTCATTAATGAATTAAATTTGCTCTGGATTCCATCTAATCTAGGTTACCAATTAGAATTAATTTGATCAATTTACAACTAATTAATTACATATTAATTTAAACCTTATTGTCATGTCTGATCTATGATAACTCATGCATATATTCATTTTCCAAAGCCAACACATGTTTATTTTTGGCCACATATTCATTCATTACTTCTTATTATCTATAATCACTCGCCTTGCCAAGTTCATCAAATTATCGTTTAACTTAAGTGTATTCGGCTTCAATTATAGATTTTCTGGTCACTTCCTCTTCAAAATGTCTTTTAGCCATACTGACAGCCTGCTCTTTGGATAGGATCTCTTATCTTAAGGCATTCATCCTATTCGTAAGTTCTTCATTCATTAATCTATTCTATCTTAATTCCTAATCAATTTATTCTTTCAATTGAGCAACCCTAATAGCATCATTTTTTTTGACAGCTCTATTATCAGGTATGTTGGTTGTAGCTGCAGTTTTTGGCATAGTTTTAACAGGCTAATAGGCATTTCTCTGCGATTCCTTGATGCCTGTTGAGTTTTTAGCCATCAAATCTGTTGATCTATTCTACTCAATTCTCTCTCTGATTTATGTTGCTAATCCTTCGGGTATCTTATTGCAAGAGACATCCAGAAATTTTAAATTTCTATTGCCATTGAGTCCTTCTAATAAGTATTGAGCTCCTTTTTCTCCAATTTCGTTCCATTTTAAATTCAATGATTATAAGGATGTATTTTGCTTTAACATTTAACATATTCTGGCACAATGATCTGCTTGTATTCTGTTGTTCTTTAGATCGACTAATTGCAATTGGTATGATGGGTTCATCAATAAATCACACAAAGCACCCACACCTCCACCTATAGCATTCCATTCAGCGATCAGAGTTCTTGCGTCTGGACTTATTGATCTGCAAATTCTTTCAAATCCTCTTCCATTTATATTGCATCCTCTTAGTTCAATGTTAATGAATTGTGTATTTTGAGCCAAAAATTAGGCTACAACAACACAACCCTCTTCGTTCAATATTTAATCGGATAGAGTGAGATTTGGAGCTTTCTGAGATTCTAAAGCTTTCTGGAGCTTCATGGATTTCAAATTTAAAATTAGTAGTTAATTAATGAATTATCAAAACCCCAATTGCTTAGTGTATTATAATTTGAAAATCATATAATTTTTGTAATAAATATTTTTTATAATAATTTTTGTAAAGTATCTTACAAGATAAACTCGTAATATGGTAATGGTAATTAAATAATACGGATATAATATCAAAGTTGGGCAGTATTCTTTTAAAGGTTTTGCAAAATTTCTTCTGTTTTCGAAAAGTTTTAGTTCCAAGTGTTTAGTATTTGAGAATCAACAACTTTGGGACTGTCACAAACTGATATGATTTAGGTATTTGTGATTTCCAATGCCAATTGATCCATTGTATAAGCCAAGAGGATGTCTTTCACTGAAACACCTGAGCAATCACTGGTGGAGACCTCAACATTGACAACATTCTCTTTTTGTGTCCATTTGGGATAGTCTATTAAATAGTTAGAATGAATTAATTACGATGCATCTCTTCAGCAACCTTTGAAATGGATCCCATGAATGCGAATGTCTCTTTGAATGAATTGAACTTGAATTCCTTTTGGATTTTGGATGAATCCTTTGTTGGGTGCCATTACAAGGAATGAATCTCAAGGGCTGAAGCAATTTCCTCTGAATTCAATTTAGTTGCTGAAACTGATGAGACATCCTTGAAATCTCTGACGAATATTTTAAGGGAGTTGATAATAGCTGGTGTTTTGAATCCTTACTCTGAGATGTATCTGTACATGTTATTATTGTATTTAAATTATTACAATTATCCGGGAATCTTAAGGGACTTATCAAAGGTTTATTAATGCGAACCATATTATTTCAAACGCAATATAATGAACAGTTATTTATTTTTTAATATTAATCAAGCAATATTTCAATTACCCATTGGATTCTGAATCTTGTTCGGATCGAAATTCTACGGCAACGTCTGGTTAGGATAATTGTGATTTTAAGGCAACGTTTAACCTGGATAAAACGCAGGTGGCTATTACTGACCTTAAGGTGGAGGTGGAACATAATTTTACTAAGCAGGAGGTTATTAACCGGGAGGAACATTTGGATATGCTTGATTTGGAGGAGGCACATTGGGATATTACTGGCCAGGAGCTTGATTTGGTGGTTGTGTCTATGCTTATTGATTTGGTGGCATTTGATTATTGGGATAGCCCATTGGTTAATTATTAGGATAATTCTAAGGTTAACCACCTGGATAATTAGTAGGGGGTTGGTTATTAGGATAAGGTTATTGATTTTAAGTTGGATTTTGATAATTTGTATTTTGGTAATTTTATGGTTGATTGGGATAAGCTTATTGATTATGTTACATAGTTTAAGCATAATTTGGATATCCTTGTTAATTAGGAGGCATATTTGGTGGATAATTGGGTGGTTAATTTTGGGGATAATTGAGCGTTTAACTTGGAGGCTAATTTGGATTATATCCTTAGGGTTAATTGGGATTGTATCCTGGAGGTTAATTTGGAGGATAGTTTGGATTCTAGTTTGGTGGATAGTTTGGAGGTTAATTTGGATATCCTTATTGTTATTGTGTGTTTGGTTAATAACCAGGTTATTAGTTAGGAGGGTAAGGGGGTGCATATCCTTATTGGGGATAGTTTTATTATGGGATTTATGGACCTTCTAATGTACCATAGAGACCTGTTAATGCAAAGGGATTTTACTATGGATATTATGCTTATTAAGGTGGATAATTTGGGGGTTGTTGATATTACATAGATTAATTGTAGGGTTATTGATAATTTGGTGCTCCTGGTGGTTTCATCGGTATAACGTTGTTTTATTGGTAATATTAAGGATTGGATGGGATTTAAGGTTGCTGTTAGTATTTCTAATCTGATAACCATTCGAACTATATGTAGATCTATCCAGCCGATTTGCCCTGAATTGTTAATGATTATTTAAATTACTTTGTAGCTTAAATTAATCCATTCAGCTGGTTTGGGAGTATCAACTAAATAAGTCTAAAGGGCGATAGAGCATTCTCCAATTAAATCGTCTTTGCTTACTTCATCTGAGTCCCAAACTTAGATTTCAGCGATATATTCATTAGTACGTCTAAAACTCAATGATTGATTCCAAGAGGGATGCTTCCCTGTTAATATTTAAATGTCTGATACCTGCATCCGTATGTTCTCTTGTTCTTTGTGATTGGTTGCCTAGAATGACTTTGCAGTAGGGATCCATTTTACCAAGGAACTCAGTATCACGAGTTAGTTTGGCTTTGAGAGGTTTGATAATTAAGGTGCCAGAACCGACTAATGACATTTTAATATTTTTATATTTGTGAATGTCTAAGAAATCTAATTTGGGTAAGGCGCTTCAAAGACAATAGTAAAGGAAAATGAATGAGGGGGCAGCAAAAGTTTAGAATTAAGGATAGTTCTTTCACGATGGGAAGGTAGTAAAGGAGGAATATCAAATCTAATAAGAGAACTTGCAATCTATAATTGATTAGAATCCTTTAAATGAGTATTTGTAGATGGCAGAGATGGCAAATATCAAATATTAAGCAGAGAAGAAATCAGATGTGGTTGTAAATGAATAGCAGAAATAAGTAAAAGAAAAGTGGATAATTTTTAGTTAGTGATCAATGTAAATGCAATAAGAAAGGGACAATTACCAAATTCATCCGTGTATGATTATTAGAAGAACCAACTGTTGGTTGACTTACAAATACCAAGAAGACCTAGATGGGATGAGAAGACTACAGTTGAGTAATTGAGGTTGATGGAGAATGAGAATTTTTTAAAGTGGAGAAAGGAATTGGCAAAGTTCGAAGAGGAACATTATTAGATCTAATTGACTCCTTATGAGAAGAATATTGAAGTTTGGAAGTAATTGTGGAGAGTGGTAGAGAAAGCAGATATTTTGGTTTAAGTGGTGGATGGAAGAGACATCCTGTTCTATCATTGCAACGATCTGACTAAATACGTACATGAGGAATAAAATAGAGTTTACAGAAAGAATCAAACAAAGATCAATTTTCTATTGATAAACAAAAGCGATTTGATCTCTGATAAAATTAGAGAGGAATGGTCAGCCTTTTTGAATTCAAAGAATTTAAATCACATGTTCTTTAGTGCCAAATTGGAATAGGAGAAAATTGATAAGGAAGAATAAGTGTAAGATGCCACCAATATTCTAATTTAATAAGAGGAACCTAAAATTGAAGAAAATATAGAAGCATTTTTAAATACATCACGAATTGCAGATAGAAAGATATTGTTATCAGAGTTGAAATCACTGGTGTAAAAGATTAGGAAGCAAAGATAAGAGAATGTGGAAGACAACTAAAGTGATTGAATAAGATGATCATGACATATAACATGATGAGAATACAGTCATTATTGGAATGGTTGGATATCCTAATGTTGGTAAGAGTTCAGTTATAAATGCCATTTGTAATAAGAAACTAGTTGGAGTTGCAGCAAGACCAGGAAAAACAAAGCATTTTTAGACAATACCATTAGAAAAATATCTCTTAGTATTCATCCTTATTCTAATTTAAGCTATGTGACTGTCCAGGTTTAATATTCCCCAATGCTTCATCTTCCAGAGCTGAAATGGTATGCAATGGAGTTTTGCCTATTGACAATATTAAAGATTACTTGAGCCCAATGGATTTACTAGCTGAAAGGATCCCTAAAATTGTTTTTGAAAAGCTTTATGGAATCAATTTGCAAGAATTCAAAATTATTGATGCCTCTACTGTGCTTTCGACTTACAGTTAAAAAAGAGGCTTCATGACAGGCAGAGGCTTGCCAGATGAAGCCAAAGCATCTAAATTAATGTTAAAGGATTTTGTTAATGGTAAAATACTTTATGTGAAATTGCCACCAACCTACTAAGGTGAAGCAATATGGTAATCCAATCCTTTAGAAGATTTAGAGAACCTAATACATTAACAATAATAAAATCAACATCAGATAAATGATGATGCCAATATTGATAATTAATTTGAAAATCAGTTGATTTAGGAAAAGAAAATCACGAATGAAGAGATTCTTGAAATATTCACTTAAGAAAACTTGGCTTAATTGATGGAAGGCAAGAAGGTTCATGGGATTAAATTAACAAAGGAACAAAGAAGAGAAATAAAACACAATTTCTAAAGAGGTACTATATATTTGTAACAACATTTTAGGTGATCCTATCGACATCAAAAAATATCTTAATTTATAACAAAACTAAAAGGAAACTCTATATAAAACATATATTCAAGGTAAAAGAGGGTAGATATGAGAAATATTGTGATTAGTAAAAACTCAATATTAATATATATTCAACAACACTTTTCCTTCTCCTTTTTGTTATCATCTGTTTGTTATCCAATTTTCTACCCTTGAGTTTACTGACTCCTTTATGGTCTTTTAAATTTATTAATTATATAAATACCCTTATCCTTTTAAGCCTTGGGAGTCCTTTTTTGCAATCAACTTTTTTGCCAGTGATATGAAAGCCTTAGATACCTAATCTGCTGTCTTGGCACTCACTTCCATATGTGCCATTCTTTTTATAGCTGCATAATCCAAAGCCTTTTGTGTTGATACACTTTCATAGGATATCATAATCTTACGCTTTATCCTCGACGTCACTCTTGTTTCCTAGCAATAGCAGCTCGACATTCTTCTCAGCATAAGACTCAACCTCGTTGATCCAGAACCTATCAATGTCTTCAAATGACCCTGTGGATGTAACATCATAGACCATCACAATTCCATCAGCACCCTGCATTCTAATTCATCCCAATACCTTATAATAAGCACTGGTTATAGTTCGGAATCTCTCCTATCCAGCTGTGTCCCAAATTTGAAGCTTGACCTTCTTCCCATCAATTTCCAATGTCTTGAATCTGAAGTCCACGCCGATTGTTGTTAGATAGGAATCGCTGAATGTGTCATCAGAAAATCGTAGTAACAATGAAGACTTGCCGACTCCTGAATTCCCCACTATCACCAACTTAAACAAATAGTCATATTCCTTAATCATTAGATATTATAATTATTTAAATAATTCATACACAGAAGTCATCGGTACATATAATACTATTTTAAACTATATTGAATTATTATTTCGTTTATAGAATTATAACAAAACCCATCTTCAACTCAATATCAAAGACTTATATTATAATATATAATGTATGTTGCTTATAATCAATTTTTCTGAAGGTTTTAATGAACTCTAGGTAAGAGAGCGTTCAAGCAACCGTATCCCAACAAGATGAAAGGAATTCAGATAATAACTAATCATAATTTATGATAAATATCTTATCTTTTGACTGAAAACACCGCAAAGACCAGTAAATATCGACTCATTCTATTATTTGAATAAAAAATCAATCTCATTAATTAAACCATATTAGAATTAGGAGAAGATTAGAGATTGTTTATAAAATGCAATGGAATCTCAATTTAATATTTTATATAAAAATGTAAATTATATTCCTAATTGTCTGCATTGTTGCATTTGTCCAAGGCAAATTGAAAGTAATCAGGCCAGCTGAATTGGTGGATCGTTTGGGATCAAAAATAGACATGGCTCTAGCGAATTTCGGGTTTTAAATTATTTCTAGTAAATTAGAGAAATTCCATTCGGACATCGACTGGTTGGCTACGTTGACATGGCTTCTCCTACTGATGCTTGCAGTCCTCTTGAGCCTGCCTAAGGAAGTCAATTTTTATTGATAGAGAGGGGAGAGTGTACCTTCGTAACTAAGGTCAGGAATGCATAGAATGCTGGATATTCATTAGCTATTATTGGGAATAATAATGATGACCCATTGACTTCTGATTTCGTTATGGCTGATGATGGTCATGGACACTCAGTACTTAAATAATATAATGATTAAGGTTAGCATCCCATCAATATTCATTACATCAAGGGATTTTTAAATCCTGAAACAGTACTCTACTAGAATTGGTGACAATTTGGATGATAAGGTGTTTATTTTAGTTAAATTCGACGTTCAAAAGAAGGAACGCATTGATGTGTTGCTTAATCTCAAAGTAAATGACAGAGATTCATACAGAGTGATTGACGAATTCTCTGATTATTACAATCTATTATAAAAGGAGAATGTCAATTACACATTGGTTTATGAAATCTTCAGTACTAATACAACAGAAACTGAGCATTTCACTGACCCAGATAATTGTATCTGTTCAAGAAGGTATTGCGCAGAAGATCCAGATGGAGCTGGCATAGCAACAGGAAAAAATATAATTCAAGAGATTATTAGACAAACCTGCATTTTCAAATTATACGCAGATTAATTCTTTTAGTATATGGTACAACTTCATGCTAATAATAGGATAAATTTAATTTTCAATGCTCAAAGCCTCAAGCCTACTCTACTTGTGGTAGTAAGATCATAACCAATTTGCAAATTTCAGCAGATGAAATCAACAAATGTAGAGATGACTCATTTATAGATGTTGTTAGCAACGAAGTAACTAAAAATGAGACAAATGCTTTTAATACTATATTAGAACACCAATTACTATTAAAATAATAGGCTGGATGGTTTATGATTCCTTCAGCAATAGTAAATTCCGTAGTTTACAAAGGGAGATTGACAGGCAAGGGAATTTTCGGTGAAATTTGCAACAGTAATCCTTATATTCAAATTAATAGGCTTTAATACTCCTCCTTCAATTTGCAAGGATGAAGTAGAAAACTACTATAATTAGGGGAATGATTACTAGTACCTGATTTGGCTTATTCTTATTATCTCAATCTTAATAGCTATCTTCGTCATTATTTTATACTGTTTGTTCAAGAAATTTGTGAAAAGAGACAGCGTTGAAGTAACCCAAGTGTAAGTAAATGAAATGGTCAGTCAATATATTAAATTTTATGAAGGAAAAGATTAACAAAAATAAAATTCTTTTTGAGATATTAATGTAATTTATTATTGAATAATCAAATTTTTATACTTATGACATTGGATGTTCTGCTGAATTAATTATATAAATATAATTATGATCTATTAACTACAGTATACCACCAAACTATCAGAAACCCTGAACAATAGCAAAGATTATTGCTCATTGCAAAATACAAAGTGGGTTGCTCCAAGACCCAATTAACATCGGATGGAGTATCTGTAATTCACTTAAAGAAACAAAACTCATTCTAAATACCCACAAGATATGCTATTCTGTCTCATCTCTAAGGGACTTGTTCCAATATAAAAATAGAAAATGGTTAATTTTTCATCGAATGATACTTCATGCAATTACAAGGATATCACTTCTGAAATTAAATAAGAACACCCCTATTTTAGTTCAAAGCTCAACCCTTCGATTTCAGAGGTGGACAGATGTCTCTAAATTAAATAACCACACAGAAAATAAAAATGTATAATCTCCTCCTTCAGTTTATAGCTATCCGATCCTACATTAGGGGCTAATCAAAGGATAAAGATCCAATTGAAATTTCTACCTCCAAAAGCTGTAAATTGATAAGTCCTGTGACCAATCAAAGGGATTAAAAGAGACTAGTTCATCGCTTTGAGTCCAAGCAGAACAATGACAAGTTTACCAGAACCTCATCCACTCCTTTCATCTATAAGACGGCCCAAAATGATAATCTGACCAGTCGTTCAGGTTCACCAACATAAAGATCTAAATCAAAGTCAAATAAAACTTAAAAGCAAAACACTCAGTCAAAATTGACCCAAATTAATGAGGTTAGATCTTTTCAACGTCATCAAGATACGCAAGTATAATAATCAAGTAATTAAAAAATTTCAGAATCAGCCGAAAAGAGATTATAAGTTAAAAGAAAGAAAAGACTAAAATTTCAAACAACAACTTAATAACAGTAAATCTTATAACAACAAAATTCTTAAAAGGATAAACTTAATTAAAAGCACACTTCCTATCGTTGCTTTATAAACAAAATCAATTTTTCCAATAACCAATGCATTTAATCTCCTTTCAAGATGGATGTTCCTGCTTATTACTTTTATGTGGGTAAGGGCAACAATGGAAATCTGTTAAAGAATCTTTTCAGATAGAGATGGTGGTGGCAAGAAGTAGATACATTGGATATAAATAAAGTGAACATGGCTTGGACTTAATTGAAACAAAATGCCCTCATTGACTGTTTACCTACTTTTAACATTAATGATACGAATGATCCCTTTGTTCATGAAGATACTGTTGTTGGATCAAATGACTCAGAATTAGACATACATATTAAACCTAGATCATCTTTAAACACTCTGAGTATTAACCAAATCTTAAAGTAATCCATCCAATCTAAGAAAGATTTGTAAATCAATAATTTGAGTTTATTGAGGAGGATCTTTAATCAAGTTGATTTACACAGGATTCTCAATTATATGAAATCAAATAATTAATGGGATTCATAAATTGTATTCAGTGATTGCACTGAGAAACTGTTAATGTCTATCAAAGGAGTAAAATATTTACATAATCGCTTAGTTACAGACTGTCATTCAGTTAGATAGTAGGAATTACAAAATGCACAATCATATGCAAGACAACTGGCATTTAGGGAATAAGAAAGCTCTCTTTTACAATATGAGAAATTACTTCAAAACCATAAAGGAAGATTACACTAAGTATATTCCTATTACTTTTCATATATAAACTGGAATGACTGATGCTGAATACTTCACATTTGTTGAGTATTATAACAAAAGACAAGAGGAGGTCAAAGAAATGGAACGTAAATCATACTTGGAGCATCGAAGAGAGAAGAAACCAAAACCAATTAATCTATGGATTGTGAAGCCAGGGGAATGCACTAACAGGGGAAATGGAATCACTGTTTGTTAGGATTTACAAGAAATCAATAAAATCTTAAATGAAGAATAGCCTGATGGCAGACAAAGAACATATATTGTTTAATAGTACATCGATAATCCATTCTTGTACAATAAAAGGAAATTTGATATTCGATGTTACATGTTGTTAACTTCCTAAAATGGTATCTTTAAAGGATACTGGTATTAGGAAGGTTATATTCGAACTTCATCAAAAGAGTTTACAACTAAATGTTTGAATAAATACATTCACTTAACAAATGATGCTGTTTAATCAAGGGATGAAGATTATGGAAAATTTGAGTTTGGTAACAAGATCTCCTTTCTTGAATATTAGAGATACCTTGATACCTATCACTCTTAATCTAAATTCAATTTTTTTATAGATATCTATCCTAGGATGAAGAGTATTGCTTTGGATCTCATGAAGGCTTCATATGGTAAAATAGATCCAGAGAGAAGATCAAATAGTTTTGAAGTACAAATTAATTATACACTAAGTTATTTGGATTGGACTTCATGATCGATGACAATTTCAAACTTTGGCTGATTGAAGCAAACACAAATCCATGTCTAGAGCAATCTTGTCCACTGTTGAGTAGAATTATTCCGACTATGGTGGAGAACTTATTTCGGTATTCAAAGTATAATTAACCCCTATTAGAATTGCAATCGACCCTATTTTTCCTCCTCCTTATTTTGAAGAATGGCCTCAAAATAAGAAGTTATTCATTCCAGATAATGTGTTGGAAAACAATCGATTTGAACTTATTTTCGATGAATTAATTGAGAAGAAAGCTATGTTCAATTTATACAGGGATACTATAGTAGAATAAGATGGTTTCAAAATAGAGGAGGAAGAGGAAGAAGAAGAAAAAGATTGACACTCCATTGTAATTATTTATATTTAAAAATGTATATAAAGGAGATCAAAATGAATCATCTTTTTTTATATTTGAATATCGATAAATATTTAATTGAAAAACTGTCATGGTGAACAGAGGATCAAAAATAAATAGAAATGCAATATTGCTAGATTTTAGTTTACCCTCAAATATAGAAATTATGTTATAAATTCTAATATTAATAATAAAGTTGTTAAATAAGTAAAATGCAGTTAAATAATCAAATGGATGCAATATTCTAGCAAGAAAAGGAATAAATTCTTGCAGAATTTGAAACCAAACTTCGCAGACTACAATTACAAGTTCAAAACAAATAATATCAAGATGGAAGTGAGTATTTCGGTGAACTCAATAATGAGCTCAGATGGGGTTAGGGAGTATACTATTATTTTACCGGAGATGTCTATGCTGGATAATGGGCCAATGACTTATTTGATGGAGATGGAACCTATATATTTGCATCTGGGGAAAGATACCAAGGCCAATTGAAGGAAGGTAAAAAGCATGGTTTTGGTACCTATTACTATCTGAACGGAAATAGTTATACTGGCAATTGGGCCAACGATAAGAAGTAGGGAAGGGGAGTGTATGTGTATGCATAAACCAATGAAAAGTATGACGGTGAGTGGAATAATGGATTAAGGCAAGGTTATGGCACTTTCACATATTAATGCGGAGTATATGAGGGCGAATTTAATAACAATCTCAAGGAGGGCAAGGGTGTATTAAAATACAAGAGCGGAGCACTCTTAGATGGGGAATGGAAGAAGGATAAAGTGGAAGGAGAAGCCAAATTGACATTACCCAATGGGGATTATTACAAGGGCACTTGGGTTGGAAGTCACATGAATGGCTATGGGAGATACTAGTATCAGAGTGGTGGCTATTATGAGGGCTGGTGGAAGCAGGATTAATTCCACGGTGAAGGTATGTTAACATATGAAAACGGTGATATATACAGAGGGGAGTTCCAGAATGGTTTAAAACATGGAAAGGGAATATATTTGCACTAAAATGGTGATTAATATGAAGGAGAATTCAAAAATGATATGAGAGAAGGATCAGGAGTATTGAGAATGAAGAATGGAGACAGGTATGAAGGAGAATGGTCGAGTTCACTTAAGGAAGGAAAAGGCACTTACTATTTTTCGAATGGAGATAGATTTGAAGTATTCTTTTTAGTCTAAAAGTTAGGGTAATTTTGTGGCAGGCAAAAGGTCTGGACACGGGATTATGTATTGGTCAGAGAAATCTTCTGTGAGTGGATTTTGGGTGGATGACATAATGAATGGATAGGGAGTTATCATAAAAGAGAATGGAGATAAGCTGTAAGCCCTATTTAAAAATAATAAATTAGTTGCATGAACTTATTAATATATACTATAATTATAAATTTAATCATAACTAATAAACATCATATTCATATATCATGTAATTGTCATAAAAATATTTTGTATTTATAAATTATAGTATTTTTATTAATGTTTTATAACCTCCCAAGAACTCCATATATGTAAACACGAGTCCAACCTAGAGTTTTATACAACGGATTTGAGAAGTACAAGTAAGACACTATATCAGCACAAAAATTGTGAAGGTCCAGAATACTTTCGAATATTACCATTACTTATAGAAGAAAAAGGAGTATTAGGATTAGCAAAAAGAATTATTGGAAGGATTAAAAATGGAGAATGATGAAATGAAGAAGCTGTCCTATTCAGTGAAATGTTTCGGAGTAAGTAACAAAGAAGGAAAGTTTGGAGTACAAAGTTAGCGTAAATTCATGGGTGGTTCATTCGAATCCCAGCCCACCTATGAGGTTAATGTGTAGAGTGAAAGAATATCCTATCCCTTCAAGTCAAAACGCCTTATGACTAGTCGAAGGTTATAAAGAGAGAAATAGAAACCCCTTTCAGAAATCATCAAATTGCCAGAGAGACCCGAAACAGTCAGAACGGAACACCTCTCAAATGTAGATAAGATAGTTAGGAAATCACGTATAAAGTTCAAACAATAACATTCTCAACCATAACCAGAGATAGTATTCGAGAAAGAAAAAGCTAAGTATCAATCTTATAGTCGTCTCCTCTCAGAGGCTCATAGTCATGAAAGCTTTTATAAAATTCTTAGTCCTTGACTTACATTTCTTTTATTATTTTAAAGTTGATTATTATTGATATCTAACTATAAACATCATCTATATATCTAGTAAAAAAATGTTGACATAGAATAAATAAGCAATTTATAGTTAGATTTTTATACCATTCAGATTATCATCTTAGGTAAAATTCTAATTTGAAGAACTCACTTATTTTTTATATCAATTTAATCCTATTATAAGGATATCTCATCTGTATCCCTTTTTTATATAAACATATTTTATAGAAAAAATAGGCTACATATAGATTTTAAATATTCAAATCCAATATATGCATAGCATATAATCCTTAAATAGGCAAATCTAATTTCTTTAGTACTTTCTCACGAACTCTTTTCTTGGATTCTTAAAAAGTCAAGGATCTTTAATTTCTTACAATTAAGAGGATGGTTGTTCCCTGATTGATTTTCAATTTTTATGACTATACAATCTGACTTTAGTGTGGGTTTAATAAAACAAAACATATTGTCATATATATATGAGAATCAAGAGTGATATGATGATGATATATTATAGATAAATGAATCAGGTATTGTACATGACCTGGCAATGGTAATTTATGCTAGATGCCACATGATACATAATGTAATTATGATCACTTACTGATTCTATGTGTTTAACATCATAATATAGGTTTTTATCTTTTTATGCAGCAAGAATACATTTTACCAATTTAAGTTGCTTCAAAGATGTGATTTAATTTCTATCGAATATTGATTTTTAAATATCTTGTCCTTCGTATTATGTATAGTTAGCAATAATCGATTATCCTCCAAAGAGATCTGAAAGAGTGAATGAAAGTTGGAAAAGTCCTCTTTTTGAGATAGTTGGCTAAACACCCTGCACTTGGGCCACTAAACACACAAGATCTACTTTATGGCCAAAGTAGTTTGGGTAATCCTGCTGTTAAAGACTCTTGAACATCTTGAGGCTCATCGGCACTATGTTAGAGCTCTATTTGCCTATGATGGACTATGGTTTTTTGCTGCTCATACCTCCAGTGTATAGTAATGACTCTCCATCTACATTTATATTAAAATAATTGAAATTAATTTCACAGATCTATAAATTCTAATATCACTCAATAGTATAAATAAGATATAGGTTAAGTGGAGCTGAAGAATTATGTAAATGAAGGACCCTTTATAATATATGATCTAGTAAGTAATAATAATAGGTATATTTTGAATGGCAGTTGTTACATATTTATCATATTGTATTTATTCGATATTGGTAAATTACTCACTATCTATGAGTAAAAGGATGCATCTATTGTAAATGAGAAAATTAATATATTTTACAATACTCTTCCCTTAATTAAAGAATATATTTTATGATAACATTAGTACTAATTATATTTCGGTAATTTAATTCAAATTATTATAAAAAATCGTTGAAGCCTTTAAATTATATGTATATATATAATTAAAGGTTTTAATAATTAATGAATATTTTTTGAATATATAAAAGGTATTTGTAGCATTGGATCATAAATAGCTATTATATTCATTCATTTAGTGATAGTTTAGCCTCGTTTTGTAATATTTAATCATATATTTCTATTAACTTGGCTCCTAATCGATATCCACCGATAGATAAATTTTCTTCACAAAAGGCAATTGCTTATTTTTCATAATCACTATTGTAAGAATTGGATGTCGCTATCATTGGATACACAAATTGTTGTGCTTATCTAAAACCAAGGTATGTCCAAACGGAAGGATTACTACGTAATAATTTGTTTAGTACGTCATATCGTAGTTGCTGTATTTTGATTTTGGGAATTTAGCAATTAATTCCTTCGACCACTTGTCTAGATACTAACTATCTGATTAACTTAGGGGTCGAGCCATAAAACTGTTATTGGGAGCAAAGGAAACTGCACCAGAATCCCAAAATGAATGGAAATTCATGAGAGTTCCATTCGATAACTATATATATATACATTATAAATACTTAAATCTTCATAAAGTTGCCACCTGCATCTCCATTAGGATAGCTACTATTCCAAAAGGTAACATCGTGTAAAGGTTGATGGATATCACCAATAACATGTAATAAAACTCTGATCATCTATGCTTTGAAAACTGTATGTCGATTTTTTGCAGTTTTTTGGTTAGTTAAAACAGACACAGCTTGATTAATTGCATAGATGGAGTTGATATTTCTACCTTAATCGTCGATTTTGATCAATAACCTTTGAAATAATCAAAAAAAATACCCATCTGGATTTATCGGTCTGTCAGTGTAGTGCCAATCATTTAGAAATCCAGTTCCTGTTTCTTTTATATCATCTAACCAGACAGCTGCTTCAGCAAAGGTGTTAGATTTACCGTCTGTAAGGGAATTGAAGTCTTATACTAAGGAGTCAGCCCAAGCTAATACATCTGGTCTATTGTCTTTCAAATAATTCTTGGCAATTTGGGCTGTCATCATGTGACCGACTTCCCACCAACAATAGACCATTGAAATAAGATAAGAGAAAACAAATCCTTTCATTAATACGATTATTAAATACTCATTTTAAGTAAAAGATTACCTCATATTTATATAATCAAATTTTTTATAATAACTTATTCCTAATTAAGATTTACTTTAATCATATTTATTCCTTTATTATATTTGCAAAGTATTAAAATCCTACTATTTAATTAATCTCAAATTTCCAATTGTTATTTAAGTCTGCATAATCTCTTATTTAGGAGAGTAACATATGGATGTATTTCTTGTTTTCCTGACACATTTTTTCATTAATATTTTATTATGATTAAATCTTTGTTAGTTGTATCAGATAAGACTCATTCATCCATGACTGTTGGATTAAAAGATACTAATTTATTGTAAGAACTGAATGAGTCAAGTCTGCTTACTATTGAGATGGGATAAATCTTCAACTTACTATTCAAATATCGAGTGAATTTATCTAATAACTATTAGTAACTAGGTCTCTTATCAGAACTCAAACCAACGTAAGCTAATATCAAATTTTCTAATTTCTCTAATCAGAAATATATACGATTTTTACTATTTAAATTAAATTTCTTAAGAATTTAAAATATTAATCGAATTTTTAAGATAAACAAACTGTCCCATTTTTATTGATTTCTACTCTGTATGGAGTTACTTCAGTATGTATTGTTATCATTATTAATCCAAAAATAAATATGTTTGCCTTCTCAATTGAATGTTATTGAATAATTCATTAAAAGCATTTATTACTTTTGGTGCAAAAACACCAATCACTTTTCAAACCTCCAGAATAAATAAGTTAATAATCACTCTATTAAGAAAGAATTTACTATTCAACAATTCTCACATTATCTCAAAAAATTAATAATTAAGAAAGATAAAATTAGCATGTGTCTATTTTTTTTGAGAATTTATTTGATATGCATATCTCAAGTGCCATTCAATATTATCTAATATTACATGCATTTGTGAAATGTTGAACATAATTATGATTCAATTTCATGCTCAATCTTATTTATTCTCATTAAATTATACTATCAGAAGAAATATGAAAGCTTTCTCTTCATTTAAGTTTTCAAAAAATAAATCACTATTAAATTATATTTGTTGAATATTATAAATATACCCTAAAACAAAAATAAAAGTAGGAGATAATATACATGAAATATTGCAGTAATGTAAAATCATATATGTTACAAATAAATCAATAATAATAAAAACATTTTTCTAAAATTCATATTTTTGTTACGTATTATTAATGAATATTAATTTAATAAATGAAAATGGGAAAGAAATAAAAAACTAAATAACATTTATTTATAATTAAGTGAAATTTATAAATAATATTATTGATAAAATTTTAGAAGGACAAATAAATTAAATAACAAAAGAATTAAAGGATTAAATATAAGTATACAATTATTTAGATCTCTGTATGTTATTTTTGATGAACTTCTTACAAAATCTATAGGCAGCGTATTTTTCTTAAAATTAATTAAATTTTCATTAATGTAATTATTTTTTATATAGTTGCATATTTATTATTTAAAGAAACCATTAATAATATATTTTATCTATCTTCAAATTTCTTTGTAGTATTATAAGCTAAAAATAAAAAGTTAAAATGTATTTAAACAAGATTTTTTATAAGAATGATATAGTATTGATATTTAAACTATTAAATAAATTTATACATTCAACCAAGTAAAAAAGATAAAAACAGAGTACTGCTTAAATAAGTAATATTTTATGAAATATAGCACTTTTTTAATGATGTCATTTTTCTTTTAAAGTTATCAAAAATTTTGGGTAAATTCTATTTCTCTTTATATAGTAATCTTCACCTTTTTTATAATTATTTAGAAATTAATCACTTATTAGAAATGATTATTTCAAATCTTACGGCTATCCAAGTAAGACTTATATTATGATTATCTGCTTTTCTCCTTTTGAGGTTTCATATTAGTTTTCTTTAACATAGGTCATCGTTTTACCACATTTTAAATAAGGTCCTTTTTTCTAAAAATAATAGTTATTTTTTACATAATCATAAGAGAGAGACAAAATTACTTTTCCAAATATTTCTTAAGGACAATCTTTTTAATTTCCAAAAAGTAACAATTATTCATTCCAACCTTCCAAAGATCTTTTGGTAGATAAATATTTTGCCAATATATCATAATTTTGAATCAATTAGATAGTTTTAATCTTCAAAAATGGAAAAGATTATTTAACTTCTTCATAATGAGATAATAAATCATCACTAAAATATAAACTTTTATAGCTGCAAGTATTCCAAGTTTATGGAATATAATGTAAAAATTCTGCTACTTCTTGAATTGATTTAAGATTATTTCCAATGTTTTGACAGATATTGTTTTATTTTGAATTAATACCCCATCCATTTGTATAGTGTTTTTCTAAAGGTATTTTAAAAAACTAAGGTGGATCTAATCATTAACTTCAGGTAGCTTAACTTCAAAATTAATTTCATATTTTTCTAAGATATTCCAGATTTCATTTAGTATCTTTTCTGTTTTATCACTTTGTTCTTCAAAATCTTAATAATTATTAAGAAATGTTTTTGCTTTGAAATAAATTTGATTGTCACCTTTATTCAGTTGAGGAGCCTTTTCATTCAAACTATTATCTATGAAGTTTCGTATATATCAAGTAAATGAATACTTTTCAGTACCTTTTATAATTAAATTTTGGCACCAGTGTCTAATTTAATTTTGTAAAACTCATCTTTGCTTTTGAAAAAGATTTAATATTTTGTTTTTTCCAAAAATACTGTATATTTTTATTTTTTCTTTGATTTCCTTTTAATATATTAATTCAAAATATAGTCTGCTTGCTCTTAACCGATGTAATAAACCCATCTTTTAATGTAATTTCTTGGGTTTGAGTACTAGAATGATCTGTGATTTTGCCTTTCTTCAAATCGATAGTATGGGTTCTAGGTTTATCATTGTAAGGAAACTTTAACAATAGTTCATTTTTTTTATTGTCTATTAGATAGATTTAATAAGCAGTTTCAATCTGTTCATTAGTTATAAAATTATATTCATCAAAATAAGCATTATTATACCATTTCCATTAGGCATCCGCATACCTATCATACTTTAAAATAGATATTTAATTCACCAATTCTTTTTCGTACTTAGATTTGAGCTTTTCATTATCAATAAAAATAACAAGTTCATAAAATCTGGTTTGATGCAATTACATAAATTCTGATAATAAATCTACGAAATTGTCCTTCATCTCTTTTGTATACAACTCCAATCTATCTATATTAGGAACCATATTTCTGATAGAACAAAAAATACTCTTAAATATCCATCATGGAAGAACGAATTTAGTCCTACTTTTTATAAGAAATTTTCAGATCCTAATTTTATTTATTCTTCCATCTCAAAGAGATTTCACACTATAAATTTGTGTCAAAATAAACTTCTTTTTTTTTGAATTTCATGAATTAAATTTTAGTAGTCTACTAGTTAATTTCTTATTGATTTTTTGTAAGATTGAAACTTAATTCAAGCATCTATTATTAACATAATTTTTCAAGTTCTTATTGACAGTTTTTATATAAGAAGTTTGCTTCTAACCTACTTATCTTTATAGGTATTTCTAATAATAACTGATCTAGCTTTTGCTCATATTTACGAAAAATACATAAGGTTGTCATATCATAAGATGGGCTTTCAAAATAAACAATTTCTTGATTTGATGATAATGTTATTGATAGTACCTTTGACGACTATTCCATTATTTTATTCTTATAATCATAAAATATCTTTTAGGCATACAATTTTGATTTTGGTTTATAGTATAGATATATTAAAGTCTTATAACTCTCAAGTAGAGTTTTAATTTTGTTTAAATAATCAGAATGTAATATAAAATATAATTATTGATTCTAAACGTACAGCAATGCACTATATTTTGATTAGAACTCCTCTGTTGTTAGTCCTAACTGGTTAAGTTGGTTCATGTAAAACTTGCAATCTCAAGCTTACTCAAAGTTTCATTTAAATAGTTTTCTAACTATATTAAATCAATTTCAATGAATTCATTAAAATAAACCACGAGTTCTATATATTAAATTTGGATATCTTTTATATATAAAATGTTTTTTTATTAAGTAAAATCCATTAATAGGTTGGTTAAGACATGTTTTTTTTACTAAATACCTATTAACTCTAGATGTTTACTTAATTTTGCATCTACCTTTAGATAAATTTATGAATATTTTAGAGATTCTAATAATTTATTCACTTCATTTCTGAATGTTTTATTTTAGTGAAAAGAATTTTTTAACTTTATACCCATTTCACAATCTTTAAACTTGATATTAGAATTTGTAATTAATGGTAATTTACAAATAAATTTTTGGAAATGTTCCTTGTCCCAATTATTTAATCTCAGTATTTTCGATGCTCGATCCTGAATTTCTTATTAGAAGACTTAGTCCACATTAAATAAATCAGTATATGATTCAATTTCTAAATATATTAGTTTTGTGAAATTAGGAATTTCGAATCTATTATACCCAACCCTAATATTGACGTTTTAATATTATTTACAAAAATCCTAAGCCATTTCTTTTAATTCTGCACGTGTGCATTTAGGTTTTGTTATTTAGATTACAACAGTGTGAGACTTAAAATTATCAAAAACAAAACGGTTTAAGAGGATTTGTTTCTATAAAATCTGAGGATTGTAATTATTTTAAAATGCATTTTCATCCACATTCAAAATGAATATCAAGTTATTTAATTATCTTGCAAACTCATATGGTTCTTCAACTTCACCTAGGAATAAATTTCCTTAGTTTGCTTCTAAAATTATTGCTAATTTGTCCAAGTGGTTGTATAAAAATTCTTTTTGGAATTCTTTTCAATTTGATTTTTGCAAAATACAGAAAAAAGTATAATTTTACTTATTTGCTAATTTATTTATTCTAAATGTTGTTATTTTAGCGGATTTAGTTATTCTTTGGTTTTATATTCACTAAAATTCTAATCTGGGAATATTTTCATTGAAAAATGTTTTGCCTTCTCATAGAAGTAATTCTTCATTAGATTATGAATAACAATAAATTTTACTTTTTTTGATATCCCTACAACCTCATTAAAATATTAATCATTCTAAAGTGGGTCTTAAAACAATTTATTGTGATCATTCAATTGAAAAATATTGCCTTTTTGATCAATAATGTAATTTTGAGTTTGAATTAATACATCCTACTTGTTCTTATCATATTCCAAGGAGATTTCTCCTTAAAGTTGTTTCACAATCTCCAAAATGTTTTATTTCATATCTATGCTATCTACACTAACTTTCATTTTAATTGAGCACATTATTATATTTATGTGAGGCTTTAATTGATTCTTGTAGTATGGAAATACACTAAATAATATCCTAATATATTCAACTTTTAATGTTTTAGGTTAAGGGGATACTATGGTTTAACATCCTAAAGATAGAATATCTTTAAACAAAGGACTAAAAACAACCCTCACTTATTAAATTATATATTTGATATAAAAATAATAAAAATAGTTTGGATTAATTAGTAACTTATTTTAGATTTCTTTTAACTGAATTCATAACATAACATCTGAGTACTACATTAGATGCATATTATTATCATATATATAAAAATGAACGATTAGAAGAATTGCAAATTCTTCATAAATAATACTTTGAAAATTAATACAGAAATTGTATTGTATAATATCTTGGCAAATGAATATTTCGAAAGAAATTACTTTATAAATGGCTAATCATTTATATTTAAACCCTTGAGATTCTCCATAATAATTAACTATGTCAAGGTTAATTTCCATTAAAAAAAAGTGAATGTAACTTTCATATGCTTATGACTTTAGTTTACTTTCTTACTCAATTTGAATTCTATGCATAATAGTTCTATTTCGATTTATACTTTATAAATTGGTAACCTAAATACTATTCAATGAGAATTCATAATTCCTTATTATATGAATGAATAAAATCATAAAGTGAATAAAAAAGGTAGTTAAGTTGATTGATATTAATATGCGTAATATTAATATTACAAATTTTTGAAAAAATCGATTTTATATACACAGATACAATTATATAAGAGATCATTTATCCCTGCATGATATCTTTCATTATTGTTTAATAATAACTATAATACTATTATTTTTATTCCAATTATTTAATTTTAATTTGACTTCCATAAATTAATAATAAAACAAATATGTTCCTTTATTTTCTCCTTATATGCCAGGGCATGGGATTAGATTTTAGTTTTCTCAATGACACAGAGCAATACTAGACCAATGTAATGATGAATGTGGAACAGTAATCATACATCAAAAGATTAGATGATTTAGGCAAAATTTTGTAAGTTATTATTCTAAATAATTTAGGTCTGTGAATTTCACAGGGGAAGACGAATCGAGTTAATTTTGCTCACCCTATTATTAAGGAGTAACAATTCATTAGGCACCTTCAGGATTCATATCATTAGTACACGAATTTTCAAAGAAGGATATTGATGAATTGGGTGAAGAGGACTTGTATCGTGGATATAATGAGAAATTATCCTCATATGCTGTGAGTCCACTTGGAATTAGTATATTATCCTCAAAAGGGAAAGTTTATTTCATTGACACAAATTCAAAGGATATGTCTTTCTTCAATTATACTCTGCCATTGTTAAATGAGCATTAACAGTCAACTCAGTTGGTGTATGATGAGAGATCAAGGTATTTCTACGCCTTTTTGAATGATAATTCTTAAGTCTTAAAGTACTAGTTTCTTAACAATGAAATACAACATAAACCAGTGGCAGGATGGTAGACACCGACTGATAAGATGAGAGTTGTGGCTAGTAATGGATGGCTATACTCAGCCCAAGAGTCATAAGGTCTATTTATTTATGAAATCTAATTGCATGGGTTGAAGTTTATAAAATCATTTACTTCTATGGATCTGTACGACTCTTAAAAAGACTTGTTCAGGATTATAGATGTTGCAGTTTATGAGGATAAGTTGTATGTTTTAGATTATTACAACGGAATTACACAATTTAATATTCATTTTGATGGCACATTTACCAAAAATGAAAAGTTGGGATTGATTAAGTATTCAGATTGCAAATCATTTTCAGTTAGAGGATCAACAATTATATTGATATAAAGTTATCAATCAAACTCTGAGATTGTTGAGCTATTTATCTAGGATGATAACTATTTGGAGATGAGGAAGATATACACAAAAAGTCAATTGAGAAGGGCAGACATTCTCGATGATGATTTTGCAATTATTCGTGGTCTTCATGATCATAAAATCATGCTTATTTAAATGCCCGAATAATATCTTGATCAAGATGCAAAACGATTGTAAATTTAATTATTCATATCTTTCCAGAGACAATTATTTCTTTAGTGGAAATCTCTTGGGTGTGAATAAATTAGGTAAAAATAATGAGACCCTCTTTGCCATATCCCCTCATGGATTCTACGTTTTCATTTACAGAGCATATCCCACTATAATCATCTGCAACAGTAATAATGTTGAATCAGGATTATACCAAGCGAATGTAATTAAAATGTTGAATTTATCAAGATGTAAATCAAGAGTACTGATTGCGATAAGAAAACAGATAAGTAAAATCATCTCCAATATTGTATCACCAATCATCTCTACAATTTCGAAATCAAGAAACCCTTGCTTTCACCAGAACAATAGTAAATTACTATATATCTAACTATCATCTTGATATCTATTATCCTCTTGTTGGTCGGATGCATTTTGTTTCACTGCAGAAGCTATCAAATTAAATTAGAAAACCTAGAGAGATCAAAAAGAAGAAAACACTCTAAGCCTCCTATTAAATTAGAAGCCTGAAGTTATAAACATAATCAAATATTTAATTATGTAATTCAAAATAATATTCTTAATTTTCAGCAGTTTCTAATCTAATAATCTTGAATAAGATCAGTTTTATGATTAAAATAAAATAGATTTATTTTGAAAAATAATTTATTTTTTTTATTACTTGTTAATAATAAATTTAACCCAATAGGTATAAATAGTTTATTAAAATGATATTAATAAAAGTTAAAATAATAGAAATATCATTTTGTCTTTAATAATAGATAAATATAGATATATAAATAAAACATACAGATACTAATTTTCATTATAGCTTCTTGAGTAATGATAATGTATGTTACTCAGTGAGTACTTCAATCGGCAAATTAGTTAAGATTAATCTTAATTCTATCAGTCTTTGATTGGTTCTATGTATCCAACAACCATAAAATAAAAAATGAATCGATATGAGGAGCAAACCAGTTACTAAATAATAAGTATACATCAAATTTAGATCATTTTAAGTTATGCTTAATACGGATTTCAGTATAGTATCTACAAATAGGTTGGTTCCATCTGTAGTATCTAGAAAGTGTTCAATCAAGGTGTTTGTAAATTCCCTTGTATTAAATAATTCTAGCACAACAGATAAATCTGGGTAATAATCAACTTAGTTTGTTTCATAATAATAGTTTTATTTGAAGAATTAATCTAATTTGCTCACAACTCCTTAAATGCCTTTGCTTAAATAATCTCTATTATCATCTAAACGAGTTGGTGTTCCATATTTTTCATTAAAATTGGTTGTATTGTCATAATTGCAGAAGGGAATATCTTAACTCAACAACTCGCAAAAGTCATTTGAGAATAACATTAATAATGTGTTTTCATCAGCATCTGTGATTTTATTGGATTCAATTATATTTTCATAAATTTAAGTGATATTTTCAAAATAGATCGAATAAAGGGAAATGAAGATCTTAATTATTACTCGTTAGTCTCTAAAGGTCTCTATTTCTTCATCTGAATAAATATTCAAATCAACTAATTTGTTATATAGAATTGGTTAAGTCTTTGTAATGAATGCTGTACTAACTACGATATCTAGTTGAGAAGTAAAACGAATAAAGCTGAGTGTCAATTATTAGGTAGGTAATAAATCGCTCTACTATTATTTAAATAATAAAAAGCCCCCTAATAGAAAAAAAAGAAAGATAATGCAAGTTATCGTAATGATAATAGTTGCACTCCAAATGCTAGTATTTGTATTATTAATTTTTGAGTTGAGCACTACATTTAGGTTTTTTTTATAGTTTTTTCTATCTTCAATCATATGATTCATCTTAATTGTTGATCCACCAACTTAAGATAATTGATACTCTTTAAGCACTCTAGATTATGTTTACATAGTATCAATCCCTATTTAATTTAAGGGAAAGAAAAGCAATTTGTAATAGTTTTACTTTTTCCATCCATATTTTCCAGATAATTACTTTAATGTTTCTGTAACTGCTGTAAATCTGGTTATCATCTCTTATGCTTAACTCAATTACAATCTTCCAACTAGTATCAATATTTATTAGCTATATTATTCTATTTATTTCCAATAGATCAATTAAAATATTATTACTAAAATCAAGAATAGTATTTCTATAATAATCTAAGTTTAAAATTCTTCAATCTGGCTTTATTGCTACTCAAAAAATAGTTCATTAAGCGAATCTATCAATTAAAAGTTCATGTTCACTACATTTTTTAGATTATATCTAAGCATCAATAAATTATCTAAATAATTACGATCAATCAATTAAACCAAAGTCTTTATGTTGTATTTAAGTGCTTGAAACAAAGTGTCGGCCACATTAGAAATGATATTGATAAAATAAGTATATGTAACATTTTCATTGTCTTGATACAGAAAATCTAAGTTGATTGAACTGAGCATCCCAGATTATTCAATTCCAATAAAAGTATCGTACATATTCCGTAAATTATCGAAAATAATTGAGGCTAAGTCTGCCATTTGCGAGATTGTTTAAGTTATCAAATAATCGCTGCTTTCAATAATTCCAAGACTGTTGAAAACCAAACTCCAAGTGTAGGTGAAGACCTTAAAAAAATACCTATTAAATAATGTTGGTCCATTGATGTTTGAGAGAGTTAACTAAGTTTAATTGTTGTAAGAAGTAATCATCATTAAATGAGCAATAATATAGGTAGATACTATCAGTATGATAATAATATTGATAATGACCAGAACTCTTAAACTATTAGTCATTTCTGTTTTTGATTAAAATTTCTTAATTGTAGATATTGCAGATATCCCTGAAGTTCCAGAAGTAATGCTTGATTTTGATTTCTTGGCTTCTCTTTCTAAATCTTCATTTTTCTAATTTAATCTATTATTTTGTAATATTTCCATAAGATTATTGCTCTTTTAGTTTTGATCCTTACTATTACTTTTGACTTTTGATGAATCAGCAACCTCAATCTCATTTCCTATATCATCATTCCCTAATTCCAATTGATTCTATAAATCCATAAAGTCCTTATCTATCAATTCCTACATATGCTGTTATTTAGAAGATGGACTTATGAAATTGATTCTTTAAGATAAGGGTCCGTAACTTATACTATCTCTTGCCGATTCCATTCCCAATAAGTCCATATAATTCTATTATACTTGATTCTTCCCCTCATATTTACTCAAAAGTCTTGCAAATCCAGGTTGGTGTTACTTAGACATATGAGGTGTAACCTCCTCTTTATCTACGTTTAATGATCCCAAATAACTTTCACTTGGATCTTAAAAGGTATGCATATTGCCTTTGTTTGTAGTCTAAATTGAAAAAGTATGTTGATTATTCATAAGGGATTCGTTAGTCTTAAATAATTCATCAGCCTTCCTCAAATCATTTATTTCCAAAATAAAATAACTCCTCCTGTTTTCCTTTTTTCCTATTATTTTGTACACTATATTAATTTTAGCAATATACTGTTACTTAGCTTTACTCTAAACATAATTTATATTACTTTACTTCTAACACTTGTAATGAATTCATTAATTAACTATTGAATGTACCATTGTAGATTGTTAATGCTTACAAGATGGAAACCCCTTTCAACTTTTTTGTGTCACTTACAGACTACCCTAATTATTAATATATTTGAATATCTGCCTTTCCTTTCTCGATTGAAGCAAAAGAGGCTCGAGATTTAAATAAACTACTATCATTGATAAATGAGTTCTATTTTGATGAATAACCCAGCTTAATTGACATCTCATATAAGTCTTTATTATTGTTATACTTCCAGATTTTATAAAACTTGTCTTACTAAATATATATAGATTCCTTTCCAAATTAGTTCTTTAACTCATTCAATATCTCCATCATATTCGGAATTATTAAAAAAGCATTTAACTGACTTAAATTTTCATGTAATATTCTATATGATTGATCCTTAGAATTGATAATAGTGGAATTAAAATTCTCAGTCGCCCCGATTAGAAATCCATCTTCCCCAAATAGTAAATAATCTGATGATTTCTTCACTTAAGAGAGACAACCAATCAAAACATAGTCATCTAATTCGCTAAAATTGTTATCAAATTTAAGTTAATATGAAACGAGCATCCCCTCTTTTGATTAGCCAAAGACTTAATTGTAATCGTCAAAGAATTGTGACTTTGCAGTTTACAAATAATTTAATAGTAATTTATCGTGTCTCTCTGCAAAAAAGGGGGGCATTAGTCCTGATATATTGTCAATCTAGGCAAATTCCTGTTCACTATAATTAAAAAACTAAGACATCATCTTCTTATCTTGATTGATTATCCTGCCTCTATTCTTAACTAAACTTAACATCAAAATAACTGCCCTTTCTTAAATAAAGGATAGATTTGTTAATGTATCTTCTTATAGCGTATGCTCAATATTATAGACTTCAGTGATGGCTGTTTCACACATTTAAGTGCTATAATAATCATTCATTATAGAACTACAGAAAATGGATATCAACTTCAAATCCTACACATTATTTGAAATTGACAGATGATCCAGATTCTTAATATCAATTGAACAATATTAATTTATTTGATTAGCCAAATTAAATATTTTTTTACTTTAATTTATCGCTAGTCGTTCTAATTCGTATATATTATTAAAGCCTTTAATTTGTCTATTCCAAAAACTAATCTTATCATTTAGTAACTCAATCACTCTGGGAATAAATTGATCCTGAAATTAGAGAGCTTCAAAAATTGATTCAATGCTCAATTGTCTTTCAGTAATAGCCACTTTTTATTATCCAAACAATTGTTGATTGGCTTATTATTGACTTTTTATTAAAGCTTAAAGATAGATGCTCATTTGATATCTAATGTTAACGAAGTAAAAAGACTAAATTTATTACTTGCTTTGATATCGCTTCAATTCCACATAGGCTAAGAGCGGCTTTTTGCAGAATATAGCTACATAACTTATATACAAGAGTTATAATTCTTCGTAAGTCGATTTCGAATCTTATTATGCTCTTTCTAATTCTGTGTTTAAGATGCAAAATATGGTTTGATGTGTTCTCTAGATTTAATTGTAATCTGTTCTGTAATTCTACTTAAGCCAATGTTTTTAACAAACTACTTTGTGTCCTTTCCAATATAAATATAATTCAAAGAACTCCTTGTTTTTTTAGTTTTCATTAGTAATCAAGTATTTGAAGTGCATTTCCTAAGTGTAATGAATACAAGTGAATGGAGTTACTTCGCTATCGAAGACCGATAAACATTTCATATTGTAGAACTAATAACTTAAATGGAATGCCATGAGACCCAATAACATTATCACATATACTAATTGATCCTCCTGGAATATTTATTCATTATTGGTTAGGATGTTTATGGTTAATATGATTAGGATTGCTATGAGAGTAAAATTAAATGAAAATTATAATTAATTGATCTAAGGAATTGATGGCTTCATAAAATATGAATCGGATAATCTCAATAATAATTGCAGGAATAATATTAGTATTTAAGTATATTGAACTATTGTATCATAATCAACTAGGTACAAAATTGTTATTAAAATTGAGAAACAGTATTAAATTGATTGCAGTCCATTAAATTTTTGTTATAAATAATTAAAAGGTACAAATGTATACGCTCTCAAAAAATATTGCTACAAAAATACAAAGATTGAGAATATAAACAGTGTTATTAGACTCAAAACACTTTTTACATTAAAAATTGTTTACTCTTAATTAAAATTGGTTCGTCCTATTGTGATAAATGAAATTAGAATAAAAAGGATTGGCAATTAAAATATAGTAGTACTAAGTACAAAGAAATAAAAAATAAATTTCCTAAGTGAATAATGTTAATGAGGATTTATATCATCCTGTATTCCTAGGATTACTAAGATAGCGATAATTGTCACAAAAGTGATAAGAAGTAGAATCACAAAACCAAATGCCACATCTCCAAAATTAAAATTAGATTCAAAACCATAAGGTATGATAAGTGAAGCTTAAGCAAGCTTCGATAACAGGTAAAAGTGTCCATTGCTGTAATGCCACAAATTCCAACCACTTATTGGTAACATAATGGCTAGGTATTAAAGATTGATAATAAAAGCAACAAAGATGACCCAGAACTCAGAGGGTTGGGTATTATGAGGTAAATGCGCTAAACATGACAACTATTCAAATATTATAAATTTCATAAAAATAATGATAATTTAACAAAATAAACAACATTATCTATAAATTAATTCCTTATAACTTGATTTTATTTCGATTCTGGAGAAGATGTAAAAATTTGGATTATTTAATATTTCATATTGTGAAAATAAAGTATATTTAAATAATATTGAAACTATAAACATAAAAGAATAAGGTATGATTGCTATTTAATAAGTGAACTAATATTATTTTGATCTTAATTTATATTTTTATTTCATTCATATTGTTAATGTGGTTAATATTAACGTTATTATGTTTACCCTTATTAAAGTGCAATAGATAAATTGATAATCCTAATATTTATCAGCTATTTAATGGACTCATCAATTATAATTTAGTATCCTTTACAACTGAGCTTATTAATTATCAAAAATATGATTATTTTTATTTTTTGTGTTATGTTTTTTGCCAACCAACTAATATAGTAATCTAATTATTGCGACAAAAGTAATTTGCACTTTTCAATCAATTTAAGAGTTTCAAAATTTGCAAAGCATGCATACTAGTGGGTTCGTCTAAATTATATTATTATATTTTTCGGTTATTTCCATATTCCAAATCATCTACTTAATAAAAATCTGATCATAATTTGATATTGTTGATTTAAGGGGCTGAGCATAACAGTATTAATTCTCTTGAATGAATTAAATGCAAATTCAACTGGTTTTGAAAAGAGTACAATGAAATCAAAACCTCTTAAATATGCTTAATGAGTTATTTAGATTTTGAACTCGCTTCTTATTTTTTCCGCGATTGTCTATTATGAGTTTGTTTTGAACGTATTTTCGTTTTTTTTTAATAATATTAATGAAAGTTATTGTTTTCATCGCTCTTTTGACATGCATTTTAGGTCAGCAACCTGAGATGTTAGAGCAAATAGCATAAAATAGTTTTGGTAGATAAATTTTGTAAACAATTTAATTGGAACTCACTTAAGAGTATAAACATTTTGAATTACAATAGAAATGCAGCCAGATAAATTTATACCATGCTTAACAAACTATTTTATGATCTAAGAGATGAAGATGCTCGTTCAAGCAAAGCAAATGGAGAAAGATAAACATAATGCGCTGATCAATTTGCATCAATCAATTCAATTTAAGAAAAGGCTGTTGTTGCAAAGGCTGATTATGAAAGATAAATCCCAGGGAAATAAGAAGAGTTAGCAAATAAAGTAGCATAAGTTGAATAAAAAAATGCTGAGATCTAAAGAAATGATTAATTATAAATAAACTTTTCAGAGCAAAGAAGAAAAGAACATGAAGCTTATGAACACAAGAGAGATGAACTTATTGGTTTAATCAATGGTTTAAAATAAGCATAATAAATTATTAGATAATTATAAACTCCTCATCCTGGAGGTGCTCTTGTTCAATTGAAGGATCATCATGAACAATTATGTATCTAGTTCCTTCTATCTAAGTAAAATCATATGCTGCCAATTCAGAATTCAAAAGTATGGCCTCATTATTAATGGAATTGTGCACAGATACTAAAATACATTCTGATAATGACAATGTTTAAGTTATTGTTGACATCATCAACGACCTAATTGAAAGCATTTACGATGTGCAAAAGAGAGAAATGTATGCAGAAGATTGGGCTGAAAAGTTCTTCGAATAAGATTTGTATCTATTATTATTCAAATTTAGACTTCGATTTTCAAAAGAAAATGTTAGATTGTCAGGTTAAATTGCTGATGATCAGGCAGCTGCTGAATTTGCTTAATAAAGATTGGAGGATCTACAACAATAGACTCTGCTTTAATAAATTATTTATGATAATAAGGAGGTAGAGAGAAAGTCTTTTGAAGTAGCTTGCAAAGAGGATAGCAATGCTGCTGAATAGGCTAGAGTCTCAAGAAACGAATAAATTCAAATTGTACTTCAGTTATTGGAATTATTTGAAAATAATTTCAATGACAGAACCAGAGCAGCACTTCTTTAAATAGTTGTATGAAACAATAAACAAAGTTAAAAACATATATTATATAAATCAAGATAAAGTTTATGATTATAGCATGAGTCCTTTCCTTGATTTTTTCTCAAAGAAGGTTGTAGTCCTGCAAAATGAGACCTTTTTTGAGCTGCTTGCTGAACTACCACCTGACCCATGAGATTTCGCTGTTACTTATTTCAAAATTCCTTTTCCATTTCTCGATCTTTTTTTCTCCGTTGACTGAGAATCTTCACTTTCATTATTGTCAAGCACTTCGTATTCAAAAACACTATCTAGTACAGTATATGATGGAATTTCTATTATTTCTAATTATTTTCCAATAATATTTTTCACTATTGGGCTGTTAATTACTATTTTCTTTGATACTTCACTTGATAAATTAGTATTGAGTGTCTCCATATCTATTTTATTCATACAGCACGATCCCATTTTACAAAAATATTACAATTTTATAAATTAAAATAATTATCGTGGATCCTCTTATTGAAATTAAAAATTTATCGAATAACACCTGTTTTTCGATTAAAATTAACGCCTTCATCTCTAGCAAAGCTTGTTGAATTGCTATCATTTTCATTATTCGAAAAAACCTTCTACTGTTTTTGCCTTATCACCCTGAAATGTTCTAGAATTAATTAAATATTTATATTGTATCTAAACTAAATTGATGGCCATAACTTTTATTAATAATAAATACTTATATCAAACTATGAATGTAAAGTTTGATCTAAATGATCTCAAAACTATTTTTATTCATTCATTCATTTATTATTATTATTATTAAATATATACTGATTCTATTAAATTATATTTGAATTGCATTATTAAGATATCCAAAAAATCTATAGAAAAATACCTTAATTTACCAAGAATAGAATACTTTAAGAACCTTATTAATCAAGTTCCTATCATTATAAACCTTGATGAATATTTTGAAATTAAATTGATTTAGGATTTATCTAAATATTTTACTCATATTTTTATTAAATTTACTTTATCAATTTCGTAAATAGAAAATCCGATAAGCCATTCTTACAATTCTATTACATTTATTATTTATTTTATTATTCTTTCTTCCAAATACTTTAAAAATATGTAAAATTCTCTGGTAAGGATTCCAAAGTAAATTTATTATTTTGTTAATAATTTTGTATTCATTATTGATTAAATGTTACTATACAATTTGCTAATTTTTTCGATTATATTACAATCTAATTTATTAATATTATTGTTTAACTAGTCCCTATGAGTTCTTATTATAAGATTTAATCCTATTTAAATATCTACATGTATGATTATTAAATAATCAAAATTATTAGATTCTTTGATAGCTTAATTATCATACTTTAAAATTATTTTGCAATCTTTAACTTTCTATTTCAATATAAATTTATTTAGTGCCTTAAATTGTCACTATTTCAGATTTTCAGTAATTTTTTTACAATTGTTATTATAGTACCAATATTATGAGACAGAAATACATTCCTTTTTTTTTACTGTTATTTAAAGATATATCTCAAGTTTAGAGGAATTGTATTTGATAGTTATATCTATTCCAAATACCTTATAAGTATTGGTCATATAATGTAATTTTATATTCATTTCTAATTATTATTTATTTTATTTGTTAATCAATCCAATCCAGGAACAGGGAATTGAGAACTGAATGACACAACATCTTTCTTTAGTTTTTGTATATCAGGATGTTAGTCACCATTCTTAGCCAACCAATCTTTGAAATCTTGAACTTTTGGTCCAGCTTCTCCCTTCACCTTTTAAGCTATAGCCACACCTCTATCAATGAAATCAGCTATTTGTGCAAATTCATCTTAGTTAACTCCTCTGGATGTCATAGGTACTGATCTATTCATAGAATTATTGACTATTACCCCATTCTCAATCCATTTGGTACCAAAGCTGACTTATCCTTTGGAACAGTATTCTTATTTACAGAGATATTGACAGATTATAAAATGGATTCCACTCTTGCACCATCAATTGATTTAGGTTTTAAATTGACCAATACCAAGTGATTGTCAGTTCCTCCTGAAACCAAAGAAAAGTCTTAGAATAAATTAGAATGAATACTTCTCTTCAATAATTCATCCGCCAATTTCTTGCTATTCGATAGGACATTCTTTTAATAGTTCTTGAATTCAGGAGTTTTGGCTTCTTCCAATGCTACAGCTATGCTTGTAATAGTGTGGAAATGGGGACCTCCTTACAATCCAGGGAAGACAGCTTGGTCAATTTTGGTTTTAAGATCATAATTGATGGGTTTTCCAGTCTTATCAATTTCTTTTTGACCAACTCTATAGAAGATAAGACTTCCTCTTGGTCCTCTCATTCTAAAGGATAATATGGGGATGGATACGATTTGTGAGTTGTAGTCATAACAACATCTGCATATGGGAATGGACTTGGTAATTATTCAGCTGCCATCATGCCTGCTGTATGTGAAATATCAGCCAATAAGTAGGCTTTGACACTATCGCAAATTTTTCTAATGGCTTGAAAATCTATAATCCTTGCATAAGCAGATGCTCCTGCAACTATTAATTTGGGTCTGAAGGCCTTTGCCAAAACTTCCAATTATTCGTAATCTATAAGTTCTGTTTCCTAGATAGTTTCTTGATTGCTTCTTACCTCATTTAATCTGTATGGCATGACTTCAAAGTAACTGGATACAGCGGAAACCTTTTTGGTCTCAGTTTGATACCCATGTGATAAGTGACCTCCATGTGGAAGATCCAAACTCATAATTCTATCTTTAGGTGAGAGCAACCCTGTATAGATTGCAAAATTGGCAGGAGCTCCTGACAACATTTGAACATTAACACCCCATTCATTAGAATTCAAATTGAAGGCATTAAGGGCTCTTTATTGACAGAGTAATTCCACTTTATCATACACTTGTGTTCCTCCATAATATCTGGCTCCAGGGTAACCTATTGTTCGAGATGTACATCTTTGTACCTTCTGCATATTTGGTTGACATGACAGAACCCAAAGCTTCGAGGACTGCCTTCGAGCTGTGGTTTTCGGATGGAATCAAATTGATACTTTCTCTTTGTCTTTTGATTTCCTCTTGGATGAGACCATATATAGTAGGATCAGCCTGATTCAAGGTTAATCTCTATCTTGGGACTAATCTGGAGAAACGAAACAATGAGGTGTATAATTACATTAATAATAATTTAGTAAGTGACGAACTAATATTAAATTTAAATTGTGATAGCAATAGTCATTATATGGTCGTATTGTTATGAATGATCAATATAAATTCAAATATCTATTCATATATTAAATAATTGTCAGATCTAGGAAATACAATCAAAATAAATGAAAAAATCGTCATTATCCTTCTTGATCCTTTGGCATTATTTCATTTTGAATTTGAATGTTCTCATCTAACTATTCAAAATCCATGTCCTGATTGCTAATTTCAGGTTCAGAATTGGCCTTCTCGTAGGTTTGGTCTGATTGTTTGGCGATAAGCAGTTGACCAAATTAAGTCAAGGGATTGGATGGTATTGAACTATATCTAATGAGTGTAGTGTTGTCATCCTCTAATTTATCCAGTTGTTCCTTAATTGTGAAGAGACCCTTCTTTGGTAATCTTTTGATGGAGTTAAGTCTAGGTTTATCGGTAGTATTAATTTCATTTTTTGAATTCTCATTATTGTGCAATAGTTTCTGTTATAGCTGTTCAATTTGCTTCTCTTTCTACTACTTCTATTTAAGTTTCTCGGCTATGAATGAGGAATATTTACCATTTTTAGTAAGATCTTCTGCTCATCATATTTCTATAGTTTTTTGGATTCTCTCCTACTATTTTGAATGAAGTAATCCAAGATCTCTGAATTCATTAGTTCTGGGTTACTCTATTTAAAGATAATTGAATACGCATAGAGTGAGTTTAAGTAGGCTTATAAATTGCACTTTCTAGTTTCAATTTCTTGAGGATCGTCATTGGTGATGCCAAATATTTTTCTTTTTGGAAATTCAGGTAGTACTATTTTGGTTTATTCCTTGAGTGCCTGATGAATGTCTCTAAGATCGGAGTATCTGGTTTTGAATCTCCATTTGGATTTGTTGAAGTTGTCAATGACTTACACGAAGTACAAGACGAACATATCCAATTGTTGATATGAATCGATAATGAAGTTATACTATTAAAGTGGTCTATGAGTTAGGAATGAAAAAGCACCTGTCTTCCAAATATTAAACGAGATCACTTTTGTCATCGTTGATATCGGGTAGTAATTGTTTCAAGCAAGGGAGAGAATACAGTTTGTCAATCTTTAATAGTTGATTGAAATAATCTTGGAGATCAGATCTCTAATAATGAAATGACCATCAATTTACACGTCTTAAGATGCCCGATTCGGAGTCATTGTGACTACCAAACAATTTCTTTCCAGGAAAGGACGGTAAATTGACGGATTGTCGTAATTGCTATAGTTACTTATCGATTTTGTTATGCAGTTTTTCAGCATCCGAATATCTGAGATGTTAAACTTTGGCTGAACAATACGAATGAGATACGAATATGACTACATAGACTATCTTTTTATTGATAACTTTGTGGTGTGGGATTCTGCAACTAAATTCTTAATTTGCTAACATTTTTAATCTTAAATTAATAATTGTTAATATGAATGACAATACCCAAAAACAAAATCTAATTGTTAACATAATTATATATAACATATTTCTTTATTATGTAATTGTATTTCATTATTCAACATCAGATCCGTTATTTATTTTTTTCAATTTCCTTGAAGGTTGAGTAGTTTGCGCAGGTTCTATTTTTACCTTTTTCTTGATGATAGGCTATATCAATTCTTCCTTATGGGCAGGACAGATGACGAATTTCTTAGTGACCTTCCTTATTCCCTTGGGAGCACATTTCTCATGATAACTCTTCGGACATCTCAAACATTGTATCATCTTTTGATTATCATCATTAGATTCTATTAAATAAATGATTATATCCTACTATCTTTGCATTTTTCACAAAAATGAAGAGCACATTTGAATTTCTAACGTTCTCCATCTAAAATTTTGAAATTCTTGCTAGTTTAAACACAAGCGAAATGATATAACTTATGACAATTCAAACTGCACTTAACCAATTCCGATAATTATTATTAGAGCTGCTATTGTGCCCTTGCTCTTGTGATCTTTCCAGTGGCAACTATGATTTACTAAAATAATCATTTAATTATTAATTACTTCTCCTTGATTGTCATAATAACCATCATCATCAATAAACTGTTTGTCCTATTAAGTTTTCTTCTTTGATTGATTCGGATAGAAAGTGCCTTATTTTAGACAAACAAAACAGGTTCCTTTATACTTTTCGCAATCCTGGCACACATATTTAATATTGATTTCCCCTTGTGTCTATCCATTATATTGTCCACCTTCCAAACATTCCTTATGAAATTGTCTTCTGCAGAATCCCCTACAAAACAAATCACATTTCTACTTCTCACAAATTGCACACAACCTTATTTACAAACTATTAAATTTATAAAATAATCTTACTCTTAACTGGATTTTGTTTACAACTTTTTGTATTCCTCATATTCTGACCAATTCAATTCAAAATTCTTAGTTGGTTTAGGTGTTTCAATCACTTATTATGATGTGGGGGCAGTGTTGATCATTAAATCGTTTTCTGTGATTTTTTTGAATCTTCTGGAAGGTTTACTCAATTCAAGAATCCAACTATTGGCTAGATTTTTGAAATCCTTCTCGAAAAACTTGCTGAATTCAATTAAATTCAGAATATCCAAAATTGTATTCTCCTCATCAGCATCATATCCTTCCCTACTTAATTTAGATTAGATGATATTATTCACACACTCTGAACTCTCCAACATTATCTCTTTCTATTACTAAAATGTCTTGATATTCTGATCCTCCTACAGTTTCTTGAGAATCTTCTATGACTTAGATTCTTGATTCTTGAGTACTTTCTACCAAAAGTTGGGATCATCAATATCAATCTGTTGATTAGCCTAATCTGGAACGTAGGTTTGTTTGCTGATAGTATATGCCCCATTAATTAGAGAATACTTGGCCACTCTCGTGTTATTTAATATATCATCAATATTCTAATCGATTGATTCCTATCCAAAATGTTCAAGCAATCCCAAGGATCCTTACTTAAGCAATATCTCCAATTCCTTCTTACTCAACTTCCTATTGGTTTGATCTGCATTTGGATTGACCACACTATTGGCTGGATTCAGACCAGAAGACTTGAATTCACCATTCATAAAGATAGCCTGATCCAAACCTAATTTAGCAAAGGCTCTTTCAAACATCTTAGCTTCATAAGTGTTCTTGGTAATGAATCTATAGACAGTAACTTATTTATCTTGTCCTATTCTGTGCGCTCTGGCCGTTGCTTGAATATCATTCTGAGGATTCCAATCACTGTCAAATATCACAACAATTTCAGCTGCTGTTAAATTGATTCCTTAACCGCCAGCCTTGGTTGAAAGTAGAAACACCTATCTTCCTTTCTTTTAATCATTAAATCTATCTATGGCATTTTATCGGTCAATTTATTTGATGTCTCCTGTTATCTTCTCATACTTGATTTAGTTGAATTGTAAATACTCTTCCAACAAGGCCAACATGTTTGTGAATTGTGAAAATATCAGCATCTTCTTATCCTCCTTTAAGAACTTCTTGAGCATCTTGTCTAACAATACCATTTTACCAGAATACTCAATTAATATCTTTTAGTATTCCCCCTCATTTCCTTTGCTTTTCTCTAAAATATCAGAATGCATCTCCTTCAACAACAATGGATGATTGCACAATTTACGTAGATGCATATCCAAGTTATTCAATGATGCTATCTGAGCTGTCTACTAGGAGAACCCTTAAATCAATGCCGACTTGTTTCTTTCATATAATGCTCTATATAATGTTTTCTGAACATTAGTCAACTCTACATCGATGATGTTCTCCTACAATGGTGGAATCGATTGTTCGACATCTTCCTTCTACCTCCTCAAAATATAGGGTTTCAATGTTTTATTCAATTTCTCAATTTGTTCTGCAGTGTTCAAGTCTCCAAATTAGGATTTGAATTGGTTTAGATTTGGGAACTAATAAGGTTCAATAAAGTTAAGCAAACTCCACAATTCTTCTGGGTTGTTTTGAACTGGAGTACCTGTTAGAATCATAATTCTTGAACACACTAATCTTTTAAGACTAGCCAATATTTTGGCATTCTGATTCTTCAATCTATGTGCTTCATCCACAATGATAAATTGGAATGGGATTTATTAAATGTAAGTTGAATGATCCTAATTGAATACTTCGAAGGATGTTATCAATATTTAAAATTTGTATAGTTCTTACGATGGCAAGGTATTGCCTTTCAAGGAAATGTCTGTGTAGAACCATTCATAATCTCTTATGGCTTATCTTCCTGGTTAACCTTGTTGATCGTAATAAAGAACTGCATTCAACGATGTCCAATCTTCGCAAGATCTCTTCCAATGTTATAGTGTTGATAATGGAGCTATAATTAAAAATGGACCACGACATGACTCCATTGAAACCAAATGATTTAAGAATGCTATTGATTAAATGGTTTTTCCCAATCCCATCTCGTCAGCCAAAAGGACGTTTCTATTATTGTAATAAGCATCAATCATCCAATTCAAAGATTCCAATTGATAATCTCTCAATAACTTCCTGTCCTTATATATAGTCTATGTTCTTGGAGTGTATTGATAAGGCTTCTTATTCTTGCCAATGTCTAATTGGTAGAGTTGAGTCTTTAAGTCTAAGATCTCTTATTAGGATATGCGATTTTTCTTTTTTTAATCATAATCCAAGATTTATTTGTGTCTTCTGCAATTCTAAATTTGCAATTGTCTACTGTCTTTATCCAGGGATCTTGTGAAAGAACGAAATTCAAAGAGTTTAGCCTATGAATTAGGAAAACCAGTGATGAATTCCCAAGTGGCCTAGAGATACGATAAGTTCTTCCATTTGACTAGATATAATTATTCATGGTTCTAAAATAGATCAACTTGTCTCTCAATAGTGAGTTTAGGCTGGAAATTCGGTTCATCTTCAAACCATTGATAATTTTATGTCCCTGGGTTCCACAATTCAATATCACCTAATAATTGAATCTTCTCTTGATTTATTTCTTCTTCCAACTTCTCCTTTCCTACTTCAGATATTATTTATTATCTATATTCCTCGTCCTCTTCACATTTCTTCAATTTAATCAATTATTGATATTTTTAATTTGTATATTCAAACCATTAAAAGTACAGAACAAGTGCACACTCACCGAGTGCATCTCCTAACTTTCTTATTTCTCCCTCAGGATTACTGTTATATTTCCTACAATTTTTAAAGACCAAACCCAACTCATACCAGAATTGCTATGAATTTCTGTAGTATTCCAAATACAATCTGTTGTATATAGTTCCCAAATCCATTGGTTAGGTGATGATTTTACGATAATCGGGACAACCATCAGTATCAGGATTGACAGGTTACATGAAAAAGATCCCAAATTTTACCCGCCCTTCAGAATAATTAAGAAGTTTGGATATGATTATGGAGAGGTACTCATTCCATTTGCCTTTGATTTCGTTGGCCTTTTTGGGATGGATTATGGGGAAGAGTTCAGTTGAAGATATCAATCGATCAATTTCTAAAAAGGAAGGATCAAAATAGTTCATTTCAAGCAATTCATCAGGATCGTACTCTTTGATCTTCTTCTCAAACTATCTGTTGAACCTATTTATTTTTTATTTTCCATTTTTATCCTTAGAAATAATCTATTAATAATTAGAATTAAATACTTATAATTCACTTTTCCATTCACACCATAAATAAGAATAAGTCTTATATTTTACGTAAAATTGGACTTCCCCATCTTCCTACTCTCTCCTCCACAAGATTTATTCGATATCGGGATCAAATACGGACTCTTCCTATTCTTGAGATGATTCTTTTAATAAAATTAAATGTGTACCTTATTGTTGTTCCACTTCCTCTTCTGATGACTCCTCTTTGAAACCCGTATTGGGTTTACCTCTCCTGGGTCTTTCAACACAAAACTAGGCAGTTAATTAGCAAATATACAGTCATTGGTTAATGAATACGTATTTATGTATTCTTTCCACCTTTTTTCTTTTTTTTATCATGGTAATCTGAGCTAGCGCTTCTAAAAAATATATAATATTTAAAAATAATTATAATTCGTAAGTTCTTATATGAGTCGATATATATATATAATATTACTCTATGTCCATTTCACTATCTTCTTATTCACTCTCGTTATAGTCTTCATCTGATGATTTTTCTTTGTTCACTAAAACTACTAAATTTATATTTTAACTTTTTGGGTGTAATGGCTGCTTTCTTCTTTTTTAAAAAAATAACAAAAAAATACTCACACATATAAATCAAGATAATATCCTAATTCAAATACATTATTAGCATGATTTAATATATATATATACATCAATCCTCACTTTCCACTCCTTTTTCTTTCATTTTTTTATCATTCTTTTCCATCTCATGATATGCCATTTTTTCGTGTACTATTTTCGTAATCCGCAGTATCTTTCTATTTTCCATACTTATATTTATTAATTTTATATTCCACTCACTCCATTCTTGTTCCCCCTCCTTCTCTACAAATCCTTTCTTCACTCATAAATCATACCAACTTCAATTTCCCATTCCCACTCTTTCTCTCCCATTTTCCAGATATTTTTTATCCCATCCATGTCCATTTTCACTCTTTTTTCCATCCCAAATCCATCTCTCCCCCTCAGCCATTATTTTATTACATATCATTCATACTAGTTTCAAGACCAATAAATCTGTTAATTCCCATATAACTTTACAGATTCATTGATTTTCCCATTTTTTTTCTCCATTTCCCCAATTCTCCAAGTTTATGTCCTTATCAAACCATTTCATGACTTTCCCAAATATTCAAGTACTTTTCATCAAAAACGAGAATAATAGCATCAAACATGCTATTCCAAGAATTAAATTAAATCTTTGATGAAATCACCTCATAACTAATCATTATCTATAAGATATTAGCAGTTCAAACCACCTCTTGCTCTGCCTTTAGTAATAATTAAATTTAATTATATCTTATTTATTAAACACATTTAATCATTATTCCTAATATAATAAATATTAATTGTATTAGGAATAATCTCGCCACCCAACCTATTCCACTTCCTCCAAATCACCCAGCATCTCCATCAGACCACCCAAATTACCATGTTTATCTCACTATCATATAATGAACTATAAACAATTCTCCATGCACTATAAATATCTTTGGTTTCCCTCTCTAGATCCCTTCCCTCATTATTAGAAGCACCTTTCTATAACTACATAAAAAATAATTATTTCGTTTACCTTCTCTAATTTTTATAACGTTTACCTCTTAAGATCGTTAATTTATTTGAATCAATTGTTTGAAATCTTAGTATCCTTAAGAAAATACAAATACTTTGGCTAAAGGCTTTTCTTAAATATAATATTATCTTCAAAATTTGGCTTTAATTTTCAAATATCTATTTTAATAAAAAAGATCGACTTAATATTCATTAAATATTTCTTTAAGAATTACTTCCTCTGATAAGTGGATCGTCAAAGAACTCTAATACTACAATGAATTAAGTTGAAAATAAAAACTAATACTGTAATAGATTCTTAGTATTTATCAAATAATGAATAAATAGTATTGTGTGTACTAAAGTACTATAAGCCTGATGGCAATTTAGAATGCAATCGAAAAGTTATACGAAAATTAATAGTTAGATAGAAATTCTGAAAAACTTGGGTCGTTATAAATTTTATTGTTTATTCTTACAGTAAATAAAAGATAATAGAGTGATTTCTATTGTTTTTAATTCTTATGTATGAAGTCAAATTGAAAGGTAATAATATTCAAGTTGACGATATAATGAAAAAAGTAGTTTGAAACAAAAACAAGGAGGATTGTTTCTATTAAAATTTTTAATTACATCTTTAAATCTTCAAATTATTTGATCTCTGATATTGGTATTGAAAGGGCATATTTTAATAATCATTAAGAAGTAATTAGAGTAGACTTAAACAGACAAATTTTAATATTTAAATATAACTATCAAAGCTCAAATTATGGATAATATTCACCCTCATCCTTTGTGTTACCATTAATAAAGTAAGATGTCTTAATTTATAAAATAATAAAAACTCTATTTATGTCCAATTATAAGAAAATTAGAAATGACATTTAATAATTATTGAATAAGATTGCTGATTAAAGACCCAAAGATCATTATTACATGAGTAATTGAATGTCTTAATTAACATTTCTTGAATATTCAACTTTAAAAAAGAGCTTAAGATGCATATATTAATCATTATCCACTTTCATAATAGCAATTTGAACATAGAAATAAGAAATAAATGATTTAGAATATACGTTTGCATAATTTATTGATGTCAAATAATTTATTTCTTAGAATCATCAATTTTAAATAAACTTTTTATAGGTTTCTGCATTTCTCTTTAGAATATCTTCAACAGGTCCAAGCAATCTCAAAAACGAATTACTATCTAAATAAACTACCACACATTAAGTCTATGTAATTTTATCATATGTACTTCAGCTATTATTGTAGCCTATCTTGGTAATTTATGTATTAATGCTAATTCTCCGAAATAGTCACCTGGCTGATAGCGTAAGACTTCTACTTATTACCCGTTGTTATCTTTATAAGCAGCTAAAGTTCCTTCTGCAACCATATAAAATTTATCTCCTTCCTCCCCTTCTTGAATAATTACCTCTCCTTTCTAATAGGTTTACTCTTTCAAACCATCACAAATTTAGGTCTTTTCATATGCTTCCATGGATTGTAATAACTCAACTTTTGACAACACTTCCTCATATTATAGTCTCTTTTTTATAGTAGCATCTTTGACAATGTTATTGAAGGTGCTTCTGTCTAATGCAAAGAGAACTGAATCCTCCTTTGCTTAAATAGAGGCTGCTCTTGGAGAATTATAGAGTAGAGACAATTCTCCGAACATATCACCAGGTTTATATTTTTTTAGGAATTTAGGTTCAGGATCTGTAGGTTTCATTTTTCTAAAGCAATCCAGTTCGCCTGAGAAGACAATGTATAGTTCAGCTCCATCATCTCCTTGAGTAATGACCCAGTCATCTTTTGTGTAATGTTTCTCTTCCATGGCATTTACAACAATTTCTTATTCATGTTGACCGAGGGCTTAGAACATAAACACTTTCATTAATTTCTCTAAAATTTATTGCTTCTATTCTTCAGTTTTAGGAATCACTCTTGGTATAAAGTTTTCCTTCTTGTTATGAACTCCAAAGACTTCTGCACTAACAGAACTTCTAAAGGTTTTAGCATTTTTGACTGGCAATGGCAATTCATCAACTTCCTCATTCTCTTCTTCCTCAGAGGAGAGATTGTATTCAATAGCAATCTTAGTCGAAAAGGCTTTGCTTGATTGAAATCTAACAGATTCAAGGTATTGGATCATCCAATCAATCTAAAATAAATTCATCACTTACGTAGTTTTCAGGTTAAGATTTAAAGAGTTCGTATATCATTTTCTGTATTACATCGTTTACTTTTTCTTTGTACTTTGTAATTCTCTCCTTATTATTCATAAATATATAAATTATGAGTTGGATTTATTATTTATTATTTAATCGTTTCTGTAACTGTATTCTTATTTATCCGAAAATTCCAATAAAAAAGAAAAATTGACAGTCCATTTTGATAAGCATAAATTTCAACATAAGTAACCAATCAGTGCAGAGGCCCTAATCCATAATATCGCTTTAATGATTATTTAAGGTTTAAAATATTCAAAATAATCCTTTTATATAATAATTAAATAAAAATACTATGAGTAATATTTAAGGAAAGACAATAATCATACAATTTATTTATTTACGTGTTTTATAATTAGGTATTATTGTCGTATGGCAATCAATTATTAATAATAAATTCCATGAACTTGGTCCCTTAGTTAAATCTTGAGCTTCAACCATTTAACAATCAATAAGTGCCTCTTTTATTACACTCTGAAAAAGATAACATGGAAGAAAAGAGGTCCTTCTTTACAGTCTTGTTTTTCTTGGACATCTACTCAATGATGAAGGTATTGGAATCTAGATAATTTAGCATTCTAAAAAATACTCTCTTGAAAGTGACTAAATCAAAGATTTAAGATATCAGAAGAGATCTCTCAAATTACATGAATAGTTTTCTTGTTAACTATAAAAGAACGGTAAACTCATACAATCGCTTTTATTTTTCTTTCTGTGTAAATATTCGTTATCATATTAGCTCCCCTTTTTAAAGTAATTGCAATACTATTACTGCTAACACTAGGATAGCTCTGTATGCCTTGGTTAATTAAAACTGTAATTGATTATATCCAGAGTAAGCATCGTAATGAAAATGAGGCAATCTATTTAATTTTGTCGGTTTTATTTCTCAGAATCATAAACATTTTCACTTAAGCACACTCCCGAAGGATGATTGTACAAAGCAATTATATTAATAGCTTTGTATCGGTTATGATGCTATGTCAGTAGTCAGTATGGAAGTAATGAGAAAATGTTTACGAATTTCATTATTGAGTGCTACAGAATGGTCGAGTGGAGAGATAACAAATTTGATCTAAGTGGATGCTCAGAAACTCATCCTAATTACTAGTTAAATTTCAAGTGTGCTAATGATACCATTGTAACTTGGAATCAGTTTATATTTAATGTATAGTATGATTGGTCTTTCATTTTTGATCGGGTGTACAATCATATTGATAATGATACTTTTTAATATCTTTACAGGAAAGTAAATCATAAAATCATAAAGGACATTATTAAAGGATAAAGACGAAAGAACAAAAATAGCTAATGAAATATTTTCTTCAATTAAATTTATCAAAATTAATGCTTTAGAAGACCACTTTTTGTCCAAAGTATCAAAAGCAAGAGGAAAGGAGATTAATAGTATCAAAAATAGACTCTATTATTAAGCTGTCAATATATTTTCTGTATGGCTGACACCCTAGTTAATTTTGAGTATGACATTTGGATTATATGTCTATCTGGGGCATTAATTAAATCCCAGCACTACTTTTGCTATCATAAGTCTATTTTAGATCTTGCAATAACCTTTGCTTCAATTACCAATAGCAATAAATTCCTTGATAGAGGCCATGCTTTCATTGAAAAGAATATCAAAATTTTTAGACACCAAAGATCTGATGACTAATTGTATACAAGCAGAAGATTCAAGACACCCTACAGTAGCAGTTGATGTATAAAATGGGATATTTTACTGGAACAACTACCTCAATGGTTCTGTAAAATTAAATTATGATATTGAAAATCAAAATCAGGGGAATTGATGATGTTAAGGAGAAGTTTAAAGTAAATTAATAAGAATCGCCAATATTAAAAAACATAAATTTGAAGATTGAGCCTGGGAAATTTGTTTCCATAATAGGAGATGTAGGTTCTGGAAAGACTTCATTGTTATAGGCACTTTTGGGGGAAATGGTATACATTGAGGGGAATAATTCACCTAGAATAAAACTAAATGGGAAATTAGCATATGTTAGTTAGAAACCTTGGATATAAAATGCAACGGTGATGGATAATATTATATTTGGTAAATAGTTTAACTAGCAATAATATGAAAATGCAATCTATTATTCTTGTTTAACTTAGGACTTGCAGATTTTGATTAATGGAGATTAAACTATGATTGGAGAAAAGGGAATCAATTTATCAGGTGGTCAAAAGGCGAAGAATCAGTTTGGCTAGAGCTATTTATAGTGATTCTGATATCATTCTATTGGATGATCCATTAAGTGCTGTGGATGCTCATGTTGGGAATTTCATCATGAAAGAATGTTTATTAGGCTAATTAAAATAGACTACTAGGATTCTAATCACTCATGCATTAAATTATTGTAAATACACTGATTATATGTACTTATTTGAAAAGGGAGAAGTGACACAGTAAGGGGATTATAGAAGTATGCTCAAAAGTTAGTAGTTCTAGGAGATTAAAACTAAGTTTAACAATAACAATATTGATGATTTAGAAGATTCTCAGTAGATTTTCAATCCTTCAGATGATCTTAAGAAACCTCCTTATTAAGATTGCAATACCAATCTTGATTCCTCTACCATTACTGCACTTTCAACTAAATCTTCCTAATAAGATGAAGTGGATGATCTTATGGTATTAGAGGAGAGGTAAAAAGGAGAAATTAATTATTATGTTTTCTTGTAATATTTTGCTCATAACGGAGGGTGTCAAAGCTACTCATTGGTTATTGTTATAATGATAGTTTGGATATCTTGTTACTTGGGTTCTAGCATATGGATTTCTAATTGGGCTGATTAATCATCAAAAGATGAGGAATTTTCAAGAAACACTTTGTACTTTTCAATCTACTTCGCTTTAGGCTTTATGCAAGCATTCTTTGCTTTTCTAAGAGCTATAACAATCATATATTAATCGATTAAATCAGCTGATATAGTTCATAATAAAATGATGAAGACATTGATATATGCTCCTTAATGTTCATTTTTTGAGAGAGTGCCTTAGGGTAGGATTATGAATAGACTAACAAAAGATATCAACACATTAGATACCGAGATCTATTGGAATATCAGTTGGCTCTACACTAAAGCGAGCCAATTGATTAGTAATACATTTCTAAATGTATATGCAAGTACCTTCTTCATAGTATTTCCTATTATTGGATTCTTTCTCATTTGTTTCAAGTTGAACAGACTTTATATGAAAGTTTCAAGAGAACTTCAGAGATTAGAATTAATCAGTAAAAGTCCTGTTCTGAGTTGCTTCACTGAAACCTTATCAGGATTAACAACAATACGAGCTTATTAATAAACTCATACTTTTCTCTATAATTTTTCAAGAAAACTAGACAACAATAAAAAAATATATTACAAATAGGTTGAATCTAATGCATGGTTTCTATAAATTATGGGATTATCCAGTCTAATTGTTAATTTATCAGCAATTGTTTATTGCATTTATTACACTCAAAATCCAGCCTTTGCGGGACTATTAATGACTTATGCCTCTAATATTGATATTAATATTCTACAAACAGTAGAATCTCTAAGTCTATTAGAAAATGGCATTATTTCCTTTGAGCGATGTTTAGCATATACTAAGTAATACTAATGGATTATATTTAAGTGTAAAACCAGAGAAAAGGAATGAAAATAATCTCAGAGTCTAGAATTGGCCAATTCATGGTGAAATCTAATTTATTAATTTTTCAGTTTAATACAGGCAGAACCTTCCTCCTGCATTAACCAACTTAAATTTCAAAATTAATCCCTCTGAAAAAGTCGGGGTTGTTGGTAGAACCGGGGCTGGCAAATCATCTATCACTTTGAGTTTGCTAAGGGTCTTAGAATCATTAGAAGGTAAAATATTGATTGATAACGTTGATATCTCAAATTTATCTCTTAAATAATTAAGAGAATCAATCACAATCATATTGTAAGATGCTGTAATATTCAATGGAACCATAAAAGAAAATCTCGATCCTTTAGGTTTAAGATCTGATTAAGAGATTTTAGACAGCATAAATCAATGTTGTCTAAATAGATTAGTGAGTAATAGAGAGGGACTTATGACAAGAATTTCAGAAGGCGGAGACAATCTAAGTGCTGGGGAAAAACAATTGATTTGTATAGCTAGAGCTATCTTAAAAAAAACTAAAATTGTAATCATTGATGAAGGCACTGCAAACATAGATGTCGAAACTGAACATAAAATTTAATAAGTTATTTAATAAGCATTTAAAAATTGCACTGTACTAACGATTGCTCATCGTATAAATACAATCCTTCATTGTGATAAGTATTATATATACTAACAATATTAGGATCTTAGTAATTGATAAAGGGTAATTAAAGGAATTTGGATTAACACAAGAATTGCTAAAGGATAAAAAGTCTACATTCTATTAAATTTATTAAGATGCACTCTAAAATGAAGCTCACTGATCATTTGTTCTAATTCTTGATGAAATTAATGATTTAATGTTGTTTATATTCATATCAATTTTATTAACAAAGGATTTCCTTCAGTATTTAACTATAATTTATTGATTAATTTGAACTATTTCTTTGCATATTACAACAACTCAATTAAATAGTTGAAATTGATGAGCAATAAATTACTGACTTAATTTATTTATTATTATTTTAGAGGATTTATGAATTTCTATAAGTAATTTACAATTCAAATTGTTATTTGTTTCTTTTCTATATAATAATTTTTCAATCTTAACATTTTTATTTAATTTTTTTTTTCCACTCTTTTCTAATAAAATTATATCAAAGAAATACTTTATTCTTCTTTTTTCAAACCATCATTGATTATTCCTAGAATAAAAACATTCAAACACTATGATGAATTCATCATATCGTAGATTAATTCAACAATTAGATGGAACTTATAGATTTATATTATCAAATATTGTAATTATGATTTGATCACAATTCAATTTTATCATCCAGGATAAGTAAGGTCTTATGAATCTGATTTTAATGATGATAATTAAGACTAATCTAATAAGAATCCCATAAAAAAAGTTTAAAGATATTAAGTTATTAACTTAGGTGATAACAAAAATTTTTAATTAACTACAAATCATGAGTTATATAATTAATGATTTTTGATTTTGATTAAGAGGTTATCTCATAAAGAAAAAACAAGCTTAAGATCTTGCTAAATAGAAATAATAATAAGCAGAGAATTTTTGGGTATCATCAGCATTCAATAGTAAAATAAGTATTCGAGCAGCCCAAAAGAGTTTTTTCATATTCTCGATCGATAAGGCATTTTTAAGAAATTATGTCTAAAACTGGGTCCATAAGTTTGAATAAAAAAGCAATAACTTTATTTATAAGAAGAGATGAACATACAGAGAGAAAGCCATATGATGAGATTATTAACGCTACAAATTCAAAGCTAATTTAAACTGACGATATAATTCCAGATGAGTTTGGTTACAGGACAGAGAGAAATCCATTATATAAATAGCAATCTCCTTATATTAAATAAAGAAAATTCAGTTAGAATCTCAATGTAAAAGACAAAATTCCAAAAAAACCATACATTTAACATGCAATAGAGAGTTAGGTTGTCCCAACTTCAAGAACAAACAGAGGCCTAAAAAAACATACATTTTAGAATGAAATTCTGTAATAAAAGGTGAACTTAATTACATCAGCAAATCTGAAAGAACAGGAGCTGCAATCAAATAAGAGCAGACAAAAATAAATTGATCTTTATTCAAATGACAATATATTCGCAACAATAACTCACAGATATTGATTAACTCATAAGTCTTCCATATATATAATATTTACAGAAAGCTAAATCTTAGCATGCTCTAAATCCACTTTCAGCATAATTTCACTTAAACAATGGGATCATTTTGCTTAATTAATTAAATCTATTCACTTACATTCAAAATCAAAGTATCATTTATTATTATTCTATCTTTCACATATCTAATGCATCAATTATCTATGTAAACTAAAGAGAGACATTATTTATGATCCTAGATTCTAGCTTCGATTAATATTCAATTTTTATTAATTTAAAAAATAATGCTTTATCTAAATTCATCTGTCTATGTAATTATTTAATTCAAAAAACCAAAGTATTTATAATTGAATTTATAGTGTTTAATTGTCATAGAATTATTTCATATTAATTCAATCATTTATTTAAATATTTCAGATTTCCTGTCAATTATTTTTAAATCAACGAAAATTCAATCTTATCAATGCATTCTTGATTGGTTTCATATTCTACTCTGTTTCCTTTAAATCCTGGGTTCTTAAAACCAGTGATTTTCAAGCCTTCTGGGATTTTGATTGATTTAATATCAAAATCTATTTATGACTATATAGGATCTATTATATACGTCTTTAAGGGATTCAAGATTGTCACAAACCTTCTAGGATTTACCTTGATAATTGCACTCACTAAAGACTTCAATGCATTCTTTTAATGGTGAATATAACAGTAAAAACTCTCTAAATCCCCAAGATGCTTCATCTGCTGTCTTTTGAAGTGTACTTTTGAAATCCAAAGTTAATTCGGATTAAGAATGAGGGATGATTTTATCTATATTCATTATTCTTTCTTTCCAATTTCCATTCAGATTACCACAAATATCACTTTGACCAGGATCATTCCATCCTAAAAATTGACTCCAAAACTCTTGGTTATCAACATACATAGTCAACTCTTCTCCATCCCATTAATCAATCTTATACACTGTAGCTCTAATTCTAATAAAGTCATGTTTAGGTAAGTTAAACACTTTTTGAACTGTTGTTTTCTAAAATGATAATTATTAAATCTACTTTTCCAAAAGCTAAGTAACCACCAACTAATCCTAGATCACCACATTTAGTAAATGGTGGATTGGGACCAGCAGGATCAACATCTTAAAATGTCCATCCATCTACTTTATTAAATTACTCAGGAGTAAAGAACTCTTTAGATAAGATATACCATTCATTTTTGTTAACACATTTTCCATCTAGCAATGTATGTGTTGGTTAACATTTAGTACATTCATTTTCAGCAGTTCCAATACATTCATCGCAAAATTTAGTACATTATGCAGCAAACAAAAAGAAATCACGTACTCCCCATGATTGTTCATCAGGGTCATTCTTCAATGAAGTAGTAAATTAAATAGTTAAAGATGGACTTGAGTGTTTTTAAATAATCTCAATAGACACAATCTTCTCTCCATAGCCAGGGTTTGTTTATTAACTAGAAATAATCATAAAATGTACGCTCCACACAAGTCAATTCCATCTGTTTTTTAGAATGCCAATTTTTAGACTTACTTATCATCAATTTTGACGTAGAATTATTCATTATCCCATAAATCAATCTAAATGAATTGTAATTTTACCTTCCAAAAAGTAAATTTCACCATCACTTTACTATGAGGCACCATATTAGTAAATGTATTGGACAATAGAGCTTTAGCTCCAATATTTTCGTATCCCCCAAATACCACAATACCAGAACATTCATATCCCTTAGGTTTTCCATTCTCCAATTTCCATCCCTCCAATTTGGTATCTACATGGAACCAACTCAAAGCTTCTTGGTTCCAATGTTTGCATTCTTACACTTTATCATTATGACATATGCCACATTCTGATGGACAAGGAATAAATGATATTTTCATTTATCTAAATCCCCAGGCCTAGACATCTGCTTTCCCTTAAGAAGTAGTAGCCAAAACAGTTGTAACAGTAGGTGAATTATGAAGTATATCAAATTCAACATCGAAAACTTTATCACTATTTTTTGATTCCTAACCTCCACATAAACGAATTCCACCCTCTGTAAATCCCCATTTCATTTCCCAGGGAACTCCATCAACATAAACTGAAAATACATCGTTTTCCCATTCTCCTATTCTAATGGAAATAGATTGTTATTTCTATACTTCCATAGTTGCAAATTGAACTTTAATTTATAATGAGGTGGTATCTTTATTAATTTAGTTGCTGTGCTTTTGGTCCCAAAAGTCTTGAGTCCTCCAATTATATTCTTACCACTACATTTTGTAATTATGTCTGTAGTTGCTTCGAATTAATTTTAGATCACCCAGCCTTAATGTTAATTTTGAATGTACCATCCAAGTGAGTCAAACTCATCTGATTGGAATGCCTAATACGATGTAATCCATTATGTATTTGCTAGCACTAGGAGTGCAATAAATAATAATTTCATTAGAATAAAAAAACGAATATAATTTCATATTTATGAATTATTTAGTATTCTTGTTACACTTAATCGATTATTATTGAACACATTAGATTTATCAACATTTTAATATTATTGGGGACTATATAAATTTTTACTATAATTTTATTGATCCTCAATCTAACTTGCCGTTATGTATTTACTATGATGCTAGTTGTGTTCTTGCGATGAATTTAAAGATGACTAAATAAATTGATACATCTCTTACTTATTTCATCATGTCGCTATATCCCTATTGAGTGAATCTCTTCCTTTCCAAGAAATCATTCTAAAAGAATGTCTTTAACTCTTCATTCGGATTGAACATTGAGAAAGTGCTACTCACAGAACTTCGGTTGAAATCTTCAGATCGCTTCAATTCACTTTCCTGCTGCTTTCCCACACTTGACGGTCGGTAGTGATAATTTAATTTTGGTGAGTATTGATCTAAGATCTATTGTTTGTATTTGCTATAAATCAAGATATTATCTTAAATTTAGTGATTCCCCAGAAAGCTGCTTCCCCTATTTGAGTTGGTCATTGAAATGGAGCCTTGTAATTAATTATATTGAGTCTGTCCCTTTAACTTTGGTTCATAATCTAATTATGGTGACATTTGTTATTACTATTGTTTATAAAAACTACTATTAGAGATAGCTCTTTTATGAATAGATTCATTCAATTCTTGAGTAGATAACTTATTGTTTTCAGATAGGTAATCTTAATGCATCATTTTCAATTTTTCTGATGAATTTACAAAAGAGTTAGTAATAGAGTTTCTTTCACTTGCTATGTCTTATAGATGTTATTTATGCAATTTCTTATCCTAATCAAGCAATGCTTTGATTTTGGATACTGCCTGAGTGTTTGACTAAGTTTTGGTTTATCTATGAGAAGCTCTCCCTTTTGAGGAAGCAGAGTGACTACTTTGTTATTTCATATAAGATTGTGAGTTTTCTTCCTGTACAGTTTCTAGATTCTTCTTGAATGATTACTTCTATGAATATTTAAATTTAGGAGATCTATTCGGGGATCTTTGTTGACCATGAGAGGATTTGGAAGTTTGTAATTATTATTTTTAGCTTGATTGTGATTGTGCAAATGTTTAATTCGTATTATTCATATTATTTGTATTATGTGTATTATAAGTATTATGCATAAATTTGATCACTTTGTTTAGTATTTGATTATGAGGATACTTAAGATTATTATAACAATTATTATTATTATTATTAGGATTGTTAGCTATGTTATGAATATTATATATATTGTGGAACATAATTATCTCTGACTGGATATCTATCTGTATCTTCGAACACAGGGGGCTCTTCGGTATCCGTGTGCTAGTAATCAGCAAAGTGACTCTTCTTCTAAGGGTTCTCAGAAATAAATTTAATTGGTTTTGGAGGTTTATCTTTTATTAGATTGTCTCTCATAACAGATTTGATCTCTGTGTCATCTAAATGATGTTTAGAGATCGTTATGTGTATTTAATTAATGGTTTAAGGTGTTGTTTCGGTAACCTTCGGAGTTATCTCCCTCTACTTTTTTTGTACCATTTATTACTACTGTTTGAATCCAAGTGAAGCCGATCTCTTTCGGTCATCATAGATTGGAGACACATTTTGTATTAGTCGATCATGACTTCTTTGAGTCTGACGTTGTCTTAGCTTTTTACATCATAATCATTACATTATTGAATTATTATAATGGATCTATTGTGTTAATTTGCTTATTTCATCTTTCAATTGATCCAATTCATGTCTAATATCACAAGGTTCCTGCACTTATGATAATCTCCCGAACTATTGCAATTTGTCTAAATTTAAATTTTATTTTACTTGCGTAGTCTATTATCTCATCGATATTTGGTTTCCCATTTGTGACATATCCCTTTTTGATAAGCTTATCGAATCCGATAACGAATACACATTTGATCATCATATCTTAATGTTAGAAAGGGAACAAATTGATTAACGATTGCACTAGTTTCCCATTCATTAATAAGTTTGAATATTTTGGTATTATAATTTTTATTGTTAAATTAATAGGAATATCAATTGATTGCTTAAATGAATTTTTACTATATATATTAAAAATAATGAAAATTAATATTATTAAACTTGTTCTATTTTAATTCCTTCCAACAACAAATAGGGTCAATTCACGTACTCATCATTGAGGGATCAAGTGCATGCTTTTTAGAATCCATGAATTGCGATAGAAACAGCTAAATTTTAATAAATGTTGTTTTCTATGGAATCCAAGTTACTTATATTTATTAATTATTAATCAAATAAATTTTTAAACATCTAAATATTACTGATAAAGAAAATCATAGATATGGATTAGTTACCCATTGAATGCAAACCAATCATGGTGTAGATTATGAAAAACACAAGTAATTCCTACTAAAATACAACTTACCTAATGATTCATTATCAGTTTATTTTTGGTTATGTTTTTAATTGAGAACTAGTATTCCGCTCTTCTTCATTATATTAGACTAATATTTAACACACATATATATCATCACAATTATTATTTTTTTAAATAATGAATTTCATGGATTGGATGTTTGTTTGTGATAAAAATGAAACTTTATTGATTAATATTAACAGGTATGTATTAATCAAGTGCTTGGTAAAGGAACAGCATGATAATTTATATGAATATGGATATTTTTTTTCATTTGTTATGATTTTCTGAAAATGTCAACAACTCAAAGGCTATCGATTTCACTCTTTCTGTATTTTTCAGCGACCAAGGAAGTCGTTTGATGTCAATAGACGTCTATTATAATCGAATTCATAATTACGGTTCTATTTTCCCTTAAACTCAACCAAATTTTGTCCTGTAGTTTGTTAATCTTCTTCTTTCTGTCTGCTTGTATAGTATCATCTAAATGATCTATAATTATGTGGATAATATACCTAAAAACTCTTTGTAGAAACTTTGAAAAATTTGAGAAGAAAATACTTCTTTTAAAAAATCATTATTCATGGTTTTGTTTTTACTGTTCTTTCCAAATGGTAATACTAATGGAATATGTGTTTCCTACTCCATGATTTTTAAAAATTCCTACCTAGCAGTTTTTAAATTAGTTTCTATTAGATTGTTGATAATAGTACTTGAAATGCTGTTTCTTTCTGATATTTTCTAAAATATAAACCTGAATGCTTTTCTTAGACAAAACTTGATTAATTCTTCCCTACTTTTGAGATGCTATTTTTATTTTGTTACTAAGATTTCTAAAGTCTGTGCTAATTGAACTTAGTTGATTTCTCTTAGATTTTGTGAAATCTAATGGATTTGATCATCATCATCCATAACCATAAGTATGTATTCACGAAGCGTTTATTTGTTCAAAACAAGTTTGAGAGTGGGATCCTGAATTTTATTACTATTTTTGGAATTTGCCATAGCCATAGTCGTTTTTTATGAGGATGTTGACTAATCTGAATAAGTGACTAGGATATGTGAGAGCAATACCATAATCATGATGTCTGTTGAATGGCAAGGATAATTAAAAATAGGGCTAACTCTATTAGTTATGAAATGGGGCGAAATTGCATGCTACTTAAAATTATGAATAAAAAGTTTATAGAGGATTTTAATAGGGAAAATCCTGGGTAAATGGTTAAGGCTGATGTAGTAAATGGGAAAAGATTAGTTGGTTGGTAAAAGGTTGGTTCATGTGATGTAAAATATTAATATAAATCGAATTCAAGTTAAAAGTATCTTTAATAATCATAAAATTCACATTAATATTATATTGATAAATTTAATGGAAGTTATCAATAATAGGGATAATCTAAGAATATTAAACGAAAAACAAGGAAGTTAATTTATGTGATCAACAAAATATGATTTTGTTGTTAAATTGATTCGGTTGTACTAAATTATTCAATAATTGTTATTTTATAGCGAATCCGCAAAAAAATAAAATGCAAACTATTTATATGAACACAATTTTTATAATATTTATTATATACTATCTATCATCTTAAACCAGCTGTGTCAATGTGTTAATGAATTGTCATGAGTGCATTGTAATAGGCAGCCATTCTCAAAGAAATATTCAATTTGCTAGCGGTTTCTTTGGTTTTTTGGACAGCAACTGCCATAGATTCTTCTAAACCTGTGAATACTAAGTCTTTCTAAAGGAGGAATAGAATATAATAATTACAGCTGAAGGACCTTCAAGAAGCTTTGCAGCCTATTGGTTTTTGGTGACATCGACTCTCAAACCAGTAGAAATTTGAATGGCCTCCAACAACTTGTATTTGGATGTTTCTTCCCATCTTCTGGTCATTCTTCCTGGTCTACATGGATATAAATGATGATAGAAACCTGATGTGATCAAGATTTTAAAGCCATTCGAAATAACTGACTGTGACACCACCTGCATTGAGGAGGATATCAGGGAGGAACTTAACACCTTTCTTGATTAAGATTTCTTCGGCAGCAAGAGTGGTGGGTCCATTGGCAGCTTCAGCAATGACTTTGCAATTGAATTTGGGAGCATTAGTCTAAGGATGATTAAAATGAGTTACTCTATTCACAGTTTATTCAAAGGCAGCAGGAATGAAAATATCGCATTCCTTATAAATGACGGACTCATCTTCATGATATTCTGAGGCTTTGGGGAATCCCTTGACTCCCTTTCTTGATTCCTTGAAGGCTTGTAATTCGTCTGGGTCGATTCCATTCTCCTCATAGATGGAGCCATCCCATTCAGCCACACCGACCAATTTGGCACCATAAGCACACATGTATTTGGCTGCATAGTAACCGACCTAGGATTAATAAAATATCTTACAGCTCCGTAACCTTAGATGATGATGCTCTTTCCTCTGAGACCAGCTGGGATGCCTGCTTGAGTGCAGAATTCATAATCTTCAAGGATTTCTCTGCATCCATAGAAGACTCCCAAACCTGTGGATTCTGTTCTTCCTGAAATACCTCCTTGGGAAATGGCCTTTCCTGTAACACATCCTTGAGCGTTGATATCAAGATGTCCTGCGAATTTAGTGTATTCATCCTTAATTAAATAGGAAGATGGTATACTTTCATCCAACTCATTTCTCTTTCTCCGGTACCCAGATCTGGTCCTGGAACATCAATGGCTGCTCCAATGAAATTTCTCTTAGCCAATTCAATGGTGAATCTTCTCATCAATGACTCAATTTCTCTTTTTGAGTATTTTTTGGGATTCATCTTGAGACCTCCTTTTGCACCTCCCTAAAATGATATATGGGTTTGTAAATTACGTATGGTAATTCTAAAACAGCGTTCTTGAATGTCATCAACAAGGACAATGCCTCCACTTCTTCAGTGTGAATGTGTTCACTCAATCTGGTACCACCTTTGGTTGGCAATTTGTGAGTCTTGTGTTGTGCTCTGAATGCTGGAATCTAAATATGGTAATTAGCTTAATAAATTTACGCATTCGACTGTGCCATCATCTCTGACAAGGGGCAAGTGAAATTTGATCACACAATCAGTCTTCTTGTAATAGCTATTTTATTAATGGTGAGTACTTCAGCATATCCACAGGAATGTTTGTCAATGCAGCTGCCTTGTCGAAGTACTAATACACCTATTCCAAGAAAGACACATCGCCTTCCTCATTACTCTAACCAAATCTGGCAAGACTTCTGAATTGGGGTTATAGAGCACGTCTGGCGAAGGTTTAAATCATTTTATTTTTAATTATGATGCTTTATCAAGATGAATCCTCTTTGAATAATACGTACTATACGTCATTCGAATTATAGATTTAGGAATTATGATTTAATTTATTTTATTTATTTTATTTCGTGATGTATTATGCCTTCATTTCTCAATGTTACTAATACGAATTATTATTAATTTTATTATTATTCCTATTTAACTACCCACTTCATACAATGCCATTCTTCGATCAATTAAAATTAAATTTATTGCAACATATTCAAATAAAATAATATATATAATCTAAATTATCCAAAATGTCTCATACTACCAAAGAATACCTCCCTGTTGTCTTCACTGATCTCTAAATCTCTACCAAAATTCAACTCGACGACTTCTACATCGAAGAAAGGTACTCTCATACTCAAATCAAGACTCCCCATCCTCAAATAATCACACCATTCAACATCTCAACCCAAAATATCCAAAGTCACCTCTCCCTCCAAAACCCAACTAGAAATACTCAACTACCAAAAGAACATCAAAAAGATCGTATTCCCCAACATACTTCAGAGAACTAAAGAAGACATCAAAAAGTATCGAAAACATCAACTCTCCTTGATCAGTGATGAAATCTCAAATTCCTAGCCAATTATTGAATTAGATCACAAAAAAGTAACCAAAACCAATAGCAAATCTCCTCTTAAATTCCATTCTTAATAACCAAGTTATATAAGCAATTAGCCGATTAGAACAGATCTCTCCTCTTTAATATTCGATAATAATTTCGAACCCTATTCGAATGATTCTATTCTAAAGTTTCATAAACTTAGGTACCTTTTAATTGATAACTTAGTCCAACATTCAATGAAAACTCTTGGTAAAAAGTCGATAAAGTCAACAGAATCAATTTAGCTCACGAAGTCTAAAAAGAAATTCATCATTTAGAGAGATTCAATACCTATTGGAAACCAGATATGATTAACTAGTATCTGCAATTGAAAATTGTGTAAAAGGGAGTCAACTTTAAAAGAGGGAACAAAAGAATATTTATATTAATGTACCTGCCTCATCAAACTCTTGTTTTAAAAAGCTCATAGGTAGAAGTCAAAAATAGGTATACTACTTATAAACTATCTTATAGTTCAGTTTCATTATAACTAAATGCTTTGGTTTATTTCACACCTATTTATGATAAAATCAGTAATATGAGCGAATTGGCAGATAACTACAACACTTGGACTAAGCACTTCTTAGATTTACTACATTACAAACAGCATATCAATACTGTAAAGTTCTTTTTCTTAGATGGTAAAGAACTCTAAACTTTAAATCAAATACCCTCTTATGAGAAATTCGTCTATTGCAATCTACACGTAAATTGATTTTACACATTATAGGGAGATTTCGATCTTTGGAGTAGAGTTGGATAAACCTTAAATCTTGGAGGTTCATTCTAATTAGACAAATACGTGAAATTAGCAACCAAGATGGTGGACTTAAGATCAAAGGATGATATTGTCAAGTTCTTTGGCAAAAGAGATAACTTTCTTCCTTTTTATTCCATGGCCTATAATCAAACTGATGAGGGTGTAAAGTCTCCTCTTTTACAATCTATTGAAATAATTCAGCAAGATGGAGATGACGAATAATTAAATGATGAAGTTATTGATCAGTCTATATTTCAAATGAATAAGAATTAACAAAAAACTTATCTCAAAACAATATAGTATTTTATTCAATAGAACAAAACTAAGTATTCAGTGCATTTGGCAAATTAAGAAGCTGGAATGAGACAGAGAAAAGAGAATATCAAAGGCATTAGAAGGAAATCAATTGAAATTAAATTAAAAGGAGTATTCTATTATTCATGACATTTAATAGTAAAAGTAAATATTGGATCCTAATGAAGAAGCTCACATTGAGAGGAAATTGTTGCACTAGGGCACTCAATCAATCGAAGAAATTAAGGAAGACGCTGTTGATAAAGTTGAAGTGTTTAAGAACGCAATTTATAAAAAGTTACCCAAGAAGATCGAATTAACAAATGATCCATTTTCGAGTTTCTCTTCAAAGGATAATAAGAAATTTAAAGAAATTATGAAGTTGATTAATATTGAATAAATAGTATTAGAAAAAAAAGTGAGCAGACAAGATGTTATGCATTACCTATCTTTATTCAAGGCCCTTATGGATTCAGATAATCAGAACTATTTCACAATCGCTCAATTAGATTACCCTTCCTTATACATTTCGAGAGAACAATTACAAAAAAGTCTGCCCTACATAGTCTTATACAAAAACCAATTGAACACTGCCAAGTTGAATGAAATCTACGAGAGACAGTACAACTACGTTGAGTTCTTAGAATTCTTAGACATTTTCACTACTGAGTACATAGTCTCTGATAAAGAGTTGGAGAGATTGAAGAACTAGAAATAAGATCCATATTGACTTCTAATATATTTTAAAATATTCGAAATTCGATAAAGTAAAATATTGTATTTCATTATTCCTTTTCTTGGGATGTTTATAGTATCTATTGATATCTGTTGCTCATTTCATGAACAATTAGTGAATCATCAACTCCGCATTTGAGTATCCAGGGATGCTGTTCAATTTCTGAGATCTAAAAAAACATAGTGTGATATTCGTTACTGATAATCTTTAATTGGGATTGAAAGCCAATAACTTTGTTATGAGATCCTTCAACTCAGGACTAAAGTCAACTTATTGAACTTCCCAAAACTTGTTGTACTGTTTCCTTAAACAAATACATGAAGAGATGATACCTGTAAATTAATTAGTATACTTGATCTGTTTTGATGTTGGCAGTCTGAAATGGACAGAAGCCTGAAGTGATCTGGAATAATATCACTCCCAATTGAAATAGGTCGGCTTCGATTCCATGGTAAGGTTGTTGCAGGAATATTTCAGGAGCTGCTGTTGAGGGCGAACCGACATAGCTGAACATAGATAGAAAGTGAATACGTGTTAATCTTGGTTCTTTTTCCTTGGGCATCCAAAAATTTTATTGCGTAGCCGAAATCGCAGATTAGAATATTGAAATTATCATCCAACAATATGTTTTCTAATTTTAGATCTCTGTGAGCCACTCCTTTTTTATGGATTTCAGAGATGACTATGATTTTATAAAACTATACTTTAGGTTATCTACTTAAAATAATGTCTTGAAAATTCTTCAGTGAATTTCTAGAGCTTTAAATATTGTAATAGATTCCCTTGTTTGGCGTAATCCATCATGATGCAACCATCGCATTCACATTCCCTTACTCTTATTACTCCTGGAATGTTGCTTAATAACTGCATTATTTTTATTTCATTTTCATACAAAGATGACTATTATTACTTGAAGACCTTCATAGCCATCAGTTACCCACATCGATTCACCAGTTATACACTAAAAGCTTTTAAGAATTAAATACTCCGCAGAATACCCTTGTCCAATTTTAGTCACTACAAACATTTTAGAAATATTAATATACTAATAAATATTTAATTTTTTATTGCATTCACTATCCTGGTGTTAAATAATAATTTATAATAATATCTATAAATTTATTCTTAAGCATTTCTTCAAAATTCACATATAATATTCTATTGATTTGAATCATGTAGAATAGTATAACAGTGAATGAATAAATAAATTAAATTTAGATTAAAACTGTTTAAACCATTCCATTCAAATTATCCATCACTACTAATTAGTTCTAGCATATTCAAAGAATCAATTTTATTAACTGTTTCTATGATTAGGAAAACATATTAAATTTGAAATTTCCATCTCTAACAAACACTAAATAAATTTAATTTTAAATATGAATACACAAGAAACAGTTAATACAAAGTAACCATTTAGATAATTCATAACTAACATATTTAGTTCTTTTTCAAATATGTGAATAGCCAAAAAAGATCAATAAATTTATCAAACAAATAACGAAAATTAAAATGAGTATAAAAATAAAGATTCGAACAGTTTAAGAATTAAGACAGAATAATAAATAATATAGAAATCCATTATTAATCATAGAAAAATAACAGTACCCAACAAAAATTGATATTAATACTAAGATTCTCATGAGAATAAAAATAAATCAAAATCTTTTAAGCAAAAATGAATTAGATCATAAAAATATAAAAAATAAATATTTAATAGTGTTTATATGTCGCTCATATGTTTACTTGATGAAGTAGACCCTAATTTATAATACGATAATTAGAAGGTAATGTAAGCAGGAGTGATGTCTAAGTCTATCTATTGATTGTGCTAATTCCTTATAATCATCATAAATTTGAACCTTAAAATTATCTTTTTTGTGTTTGATGCAACATTATAAAACTTTTATTATTAAAAAGATTTTCATTAATGCTTTGACATTTGAACAATTTTTATATTAGATTTAATAATGTCTTAGAAATGAGAAGATTTTAATTTGTAACAATTACGAAACAATTAATAATGATACATAGGAATGAAGTTAAAATAATCTGATGATATTCAATTTATATATTTATATTTGCATATAAAAAATGGATAGACATGGAATAGACATGATTTATAAGACTGATTCTTCAAGATTGATGACAATGAGAAATAACACTGAAACCTTAAGCAATATATTATGGTTAATATTAGTCATCAACAATGCGGGATTTGAGAGTCGGCCAGGATTAGGGTTATAATTAATTGAATAGCAAATCCCAGAGAGTTGTGCTGATGAAGACAATGAGTTGTATGCTTCAGAAAATTCATCGGTTTCAAATCAAAGTGGACATCCAAGTAGAAGGGAATCAAAACTCGAGTCCATTAGTAAAGTGATGAAGGAAACCCAAAAGATTTAATCGGATGATCTTCATTAACCCATTGGAGGCTGGGATAACAAAATATGGTAAAAAGGAGCATTAAGAATTATGACTTACGTTATTAGATTTGTGATGGCATTATTAATCAACTCTGAGAAGTTCAAATTTACCTTCATGAAAAAAAGGTAATTCTATGCCATAAATGATTAATCAGCCGTATTTGATTATTATGAAGAGCGATTTTTAATACGAGGCAAAAAGAAGCTCAGCTATTCAGTATTTATATAAAATTTATAAAGTAAATGCTTAAATTAAGGATTCAAAATAATTGCTTATATTAGTCTTGCCATATATTTTTGTAATATTTTGTTTACAAGATCATCTTTATTATAGTACCAACTAGCACACCTAAGCTAATATGGGATGTGTTCCTATTGATAATTTTATCAATTCAAATGGTCTTTGTGCCATTAAAGATTTGTTTTTAAATGGACGTTTCATAAGAGTTGTTGCAGTTTTTTTTATTCACACTGCCACTCTATGTCTACTTGATAGAAATCTTATTGAATTTTTTGACAGGATTTTATGAACATGGAGTATTGGTAATAGATTAGAAACAAATTGCTTTGCATTATTTAAAGTCTACATTTTGCTATGATTTATTGAGTGTGATGCCTTAGTTTATAAGTGTTATAAGCAATGAATCTCAAATTTTTGAGATCCTATTATTAATACGCTTGAAAAGATTGATATTGTTGGCAGACACTCTAGAAGAGACTTTAAATTTAAGATAAAATTATTAAACATTTATAGATGTGGTTCGTTTGTTGATACAGTTTCTGTTTTTGTCTCACCTATTTGGTTGTGTTTGGCATTACATAGGAGTCTTAGAAGAAGAATTTGGGTATTATTGTTTTAGATATATTGATTTAAGATATGATCAGAATTGGATCAAGTAGAAAAACATAGACGGAGAGTCCTGGTTCGTGAGATATGTTTTCTCGATATACTGGAGTTCGATTACCACATTAACCATTGGATATGGAGATGTCATACCAGTTAGTTCTGTTGAAAGAATGTTTGTCGTAATAGTGGCTGTAGTAAGCAGTGTGGTGTTTGCATATACGATTTCTAGTATTGGAAATATTTTTAGTTAATTAAATGAAAATAAGAAGAATTAAAGGCATAAAATGTTTCTAATAAAGAAATTTATAGATGAAAGAAATGTAAATAAAGTATTGGCTAACAAGGTCAAAAAGTTTTTTGAATATTTTATTTAGATTGATCACACTTCAGATAATGAATGTGTTAAATTGATTGAGAAATTGGATCCTACTTTGAAAACAGAATTGAAGATAGACATCTATAGAAAATTTATATAAAATTCTAAATTAATATCAACTACTTTCTCTGATTTAATGTTGAAGGAAATTTGTTAATTGGTCAAAGAAAAATAATATATGCCAGATGAATTTATCGTAATTTCAGACTAAGAAATTAATGAGTTGTATTTTGTGTTGGAAGGAGAAATTTCCCTCATTGTGGAATTAAATAAATGTATTATTTGCATTATTCATTATTTTAAGAAAAGAACAAATTCTCATAATTGTCTCTAATAAAAAAAAATGAGGTTTTGGGAGAAAAGTATTTTCTTACTAATGCTAAATTACCATTTTCAGCCAAAGCCCAGAGTTTTGTTAGAGTTGCTGTCTTGGATAAATAATAGTTTCACCTCTTACTTCAAAAATATCCAGAAGAATTCGAAAAATACAAATAGGCACTCAACAAAGTGTAATTGCAAGAAAGAATTAAATTGTCAGGTTGCGAACTCTGCTATCAAAACCATAAAGTCTTAGAGTGTCCTTTTGTCTTTTATTAACCAAACATTCGGTTTGTAGTTAAACGATAGTACGCTTAGGAATAAGCAAGGCAATTGCATGAACGTAGATAAGCTAAATCTCATGTAATAAATAAATTGTTTATTTAGGTAGAATTCTAAAAGTGATCGATTAGGCATATAATATCGTTTAGTGACATATGCTTTAGAGAATAATTTAATTTAAGAAGAATCTATCAATGATTCCATAATTAAGAAAATGGACTTGTAATGCTTAGAACATCAAAAATACTTATTCAGAACATGTACTGATTCTTCTATTAATACTCTTATCAAAAATAACCTTAACCCTACCTTTTAGAGTGGAGGCAAGGAAAGTCCACATGAAAGTCAAGATCAAATAATGAGATAAAATTCAAATAACACTCATAATCCTAGACCCAGCTTCACAGGAATAGGAAGTACAAAATAAATGTCTACTTTGAAATTTATTAAGATGGGTAGCAAAAAGCTAGATAAGTAAGAATCTTGTTAAAAAATTGAATTGAAAGTGCCTGACAAGGTAGTCTTGTAAGATATTTGTGAACATTCTTCAGATTCCGATTAGCAATCACCTGATAAGACAAAGTTAACCAAATAAAATAGTTTCACTTTTTGTGCTTCATCTGACTTTAAGACTCAATTAAAGATAGAGTATTATTAAAAACTAATCATTAATGAATTGGATGGATTGGATAAATATTAAGAATATTAGTTTTATTATCCTTAATACAATGTTGAAAGAGTGATTGAGACGATTAATGAGAAGTATAAGTTAAAAAGACTCAAGCAATCTAAATCACTGATCAAAAGACAAAGTAGATATCTATCATCTTATCCAACGATATCAATAAGAAGGAAAAGAAGTGGAATTGTTGGGGAAGAAATAATACATGAGAATTGATAATAAATATATTAATACTTATCTCACTCATTCAGCTTATCAAAATTAATATTATCAAAGGCATTTATACTTTATTTGGTTAATAAATATGTCAAAGTTTCGTCAAATCTTACTAAGTCTATAATGATTTAATAATATATTGGTACCAAAATATTACATAAACTATTTGAATTGTTCAACATCTTAAAATGCTAACAATCTTGCTAAATATTCTAATTCTATATTTGATATATATCTAAGAATAAATGAATTATTTATACGTTTTTACTATTTATTTCAATGCTTTGACTCTGATTCTAACTAAAAAGTGATTTATTATACTTCCCATGGTTTCACTAGCTTCCTTATAATCCTTGAATAGTTTAACATAATTTCCACATTTATAAGATTCTCTTATCCTAAAGGTCATGAATAATTTACATACCCAAGAGCAAATTTGATTCTCTGATCATCAGAATTCTAATGTAATATCTTGACTAATTAATCCTATTTATTTAACATTGTCAGATAAACAATCCGATAACTATCGAATTCAACTTTATTTCCTATAAAATTGGCATCCTTCCCTTCACTTATGCTTATCATGTCATACAAATCACACAACATAGTCCAACAACTTTCATATCTTGGGAAATCTCCGCATTCTAAACAAATTCTAGCATTTTCTTCATACACTTAGACTGTAAATCTATTCTCTATATGTTGAACCAACAAATCCTATCTGATTGATCTGAACTGTTCGATTGTGAAATTATAATCTGCCTAATAGTTTTTCCACTTCTCTAGAATATGATTTAACGCTTTTTTTAAAATGTGTTCTGGTCTAATTGTATTAGGATCTGGCAAACCAGTAAGTCTATAATATGGTTTTTCTAAGTCTTCGCAAGTCCCCTTAAAAATAAATTTAATTCCAAAATACTGTAATTTTCATATTAGTTGAAATAAATTGGTCTTCTTCCTCTATTTTTTTTTTAATCTATTTTTATTGTTATTTAATCTGAATTGTAGCATTGGGCTGTAATTTTCCAATTTATAACATAGCCAAATCTATGTTATAGTCAATTTTCTTATTTTTCATATGATTTTGATTTATAGCATCGACTTATTACTATTTCAGTTAATCGTTTAAAGACATCAAATTTTGAATACTAGTAGATGCTGTAATTTCTATTATTAAGAACCATTACTTTACGCTGGTCCAACAGGCTGGGCTTAACTTGGAGCCCCAAATTTACTTGTTTAGCCTAATGAATTCAATGCCACAGCTGTGCTTTGTTTTAATTGGAGAGATTAAGAGAATAAGGACTGAGTTCGTATTTGATTCTCTCTGGAAAGTGTTGGCAATGGAAATTTAGACCAATCCCTTATGCTGTATTCGTTTTTACGTTTGGCTTCAGCAATTGTAGCCTTCAAGTATTGTTCCATGAGATTTCGCTCATCATCAGATTGGCATTTATTAAATGCCCTTTCCACATACTATTTCACAGTAACAGAGGATTGTTCATTAAATACTTCTCTGGAATTACAAAATCTCGCACCTAAGTGATCAATTAACTTATGTCATACTAATTAAATTAGGCATTTCAACATTTAACTTCCGGTACAGGTATGAGTAAATCTTTATTTCATTCTCCCATCTTGAAGGTTGATCCAACTAGGAAACATCTACAGGTGGTAAAAACTGATTCTACTCTTTCTCGATTCTAGAGGTCATGTCATCCTTTTGTTATTAATCTTAAATCTATTAAATATTTGATTGCTGCTGTGACTAGAGTTGATTCACTTGTTAAAGTGGTTAGGATACTTTTTATTGGGAATTCAAAGCTGGATTAGATTGTTAGATATACTATTACTAGGGTCTTTAAGTGTTAATTTGATTACCCAACAGATTGTTTTGTTCTAACTTAAATAATCAAATACTTTGGGTCTGCAACATTTGATAATTATAGAGATAATATTGATTATATTAATATTGATTGGGCATCATTTGCTAGTACCCATATGGCATATATTGGTTATATCCATAATAGTTTTAATACGCAGATTACTGAGGATTATAAGAGATCTACTCTGCTCTCATAGCATCTTCTATTGTCTATCTTTTATTGTTATTCATTTTTAATTAAAATAATAACGAGTTTTATGTAATACAATTTTCAATAGTATATTGCTGATTTCATAGCAAATAAAGTATTCAACTGAATTCAAAATAAGATTTTTTATATATATAATCGAATACCATCTAACAACAATTAAAAAGATCATTGTTTCCTGAGTTATTGACTTATCACATAGTACATAGACCCAATGAAGCCAAAGAAAATGAACAGAAGACAAAATTCGTAAATGTTTTGGTAGACATCCTTGGTGAGATTAACGGGTTTCCTTATGGAATTACGTTTTTAACTATTCACTCTGGCCAATTCTACCATTTATTCCAATTATTAAGAAGTTCTTCTTCCTTCTAATTAAGAATTATGAACTCTCTCTGTATAGTTTTTAATTTAGACCTCCTACACAGCATATTTAAGGCTCTTTTTAGATATATTGGGGGATCTAAACTTAAAAAACATAGATTACGATTCACAATGGTGATTTAGACGGATTTCATTCCATTAATTTGGCTGGTAATCAAAGTCTGTAGTCTAACAGAATCTCCACTTAATGTTAGTGTAGATCTTGAGTATGTTTAGTGGAGATTTTAGTGCTTATTTCTCTAAAATAAGGGTCAATCTAAGAAGTTTGAATTTGGCTGAAATTTCATCAGTAGAATCCTTTGATTTTTACATCAAATAAATATAAATTATATATATATAATTAATATGTGAAATTTACAATATGAATAATAAGGAATATTAATAGGGGGGAATATTAATCATAATTTATAATTCTTAATTTTATTTTTTAAAATGTTTGATCAATAAATATATGGATTAATTTAGATTTGATATTAATATTTCAAATTTATTTATACTATTTTATTTATACTTAAATATCATAAATCTGTTAATCTTGATAGCTTCTAGACCCTATTTAGTAAGTAGTCTCCCTATTTAATTAAATTATTGTAGAGTTAGTTTCTATCATCAGCCCTTGAAGATTCGATGATTCCAGCAACTTTGTCGATTTTACAGTTGATTCTTCTTGATGAGATTAATTCACTCAATTCTCTAATGAATATACTAATTTTTTACCTATCTATGAATTATATACTGACTCCAAATGCTTTAGCCATATTGTTCAATGTCACAGTTTTATAGCTTTCCAAAAATTAAGAATAGAAAACTACTCTATATTCTCTAATCAAGTATTTCCTGTGAATACTCAAGTATTGATCATGAGAGAGGTTTTCATTAACAATTGCTAGAATATGAATAAGAATGCATACCAAACTTCTAGAAGAGAGTCTTATAATCACATTATAAAAATGATTCCAAGAAGCTTTTCAAAACTTGATTCTCTCTTAATACTCCCACAACCTCTGGGTTTTAATGCACCTTCTTTTTTAAGGATTACCTGTCCAAACATATGATGCTGGTCAAAACTGTGTAACTAACTATTTCATTGTAGGATATGATTTCAGATGAATTGAATGTGGCAACAGAGTCTAAGAATAATTTGCATGCTTTTGTGATATCTCTGATCATCAAACAATAAATTCCTTCGTAAACTTTGAGTCTATTCTTTCTTTCCCAATCACCTCCTTAATCCAATAATATTTATTATTAATTCAAATGATCCTTGAATTTTTCGAGGTTTCTTTATTTTAAATATATTTGTAAAATTAAGAAATGGACATCCATTTTTTTACCAACACCAACCGATTTTGGTAGTGTTTCAATGTAAGTTTTGATTGCCTCAAATATAAACACAATTGTACATCTTCATATTTACTATATTTCTATTGCAATGATGCTTTTTCGAGCATTGCATCTCTGACCTCAACATCTCCCAAATTCTCTAGAGAATCTTTTATTTTATTCTCGGCTGCCTCCAACTACTCTTCAAAAGTTTTCTCTTATTCCATTTATTTTAAATTTAATTAATACTAATCTCAATAAATGGTTTAATATCTTCAATTATATTTTGTATTAGAAAATACAAAGAAAAGCCTCAAGCATATATAGATAATTATTAATCACACACTTCTTTAAAATAATAAAATCTTATTATAAGTATTATTCAATAAGTTAAATAGTATTTTTGACATTGTTTATATGCTAAATAAATATAATTATTTGATATAAATACAAATAATGAATAAAATAAATTTATAAAAGAAACAAAAATAAAAATAAAAGTTTATTCCTTTGGGATTTGTTATCAAATATGATCCTCCAGTTATTGGTATATATAAGTATTAATTAAAATAAGGATTATTATACAAGAGAAGTGTGCAAGAAACTAAAAAAAAAGTTTATAACATCCATTTATAAAATCTCATTAGATTAGATGATGAGGTTGAAATAACTAAATAATTGTTTGAAGAACATCCTGAATTTTTGGATCCTGATATCATTGAGCCTGAATAAGTTCTAGGCTTAGTGTAACGATTGATCGAATATAGACAGATAATGGAATAAGACGATGATAATGAATATTAAGACGAGGAGACTGATAGTCACATAATTGATGAAATGTTTGATTGATAATTTAATCTTTATCTATTATTTTGATCAATATTCAATTTTGATCTGCACTAATACATAACAATTAGCTAATGGTTTAAAGTGAGAATTTAATAATGGGACAATTCTGTAACCTGTTCTTAAATTAAGAGGTGACAAACAATATTGGCCCAACAATGAATCACCCAATATGGAATAACTATATGCTTAAAAATAGATGACATCCTATTAAGCATGTCTGAGTTATATAGAACATTAATAATTAAAAATTGGATGGAATCCATTATCCTAAACAACCTCTGTTCTCCACTTCTCAGATTTGTTGACATCATCGTGGTTACCAGCAACTCTTATTTTAATGTAGGGATCAACAATCTCTTCTTGTCTACGCTTCTCTTCCTCCCAAACGAGATTAGTTGCACTGATGATTCTTACATAGATATTCATTTTCACATCCTAATTGGATTTCAAAACATAAGAACTGTTAAGAAACATTCCGTAATTCTACAACATAAATAAATCTTTTGTTTGAATATTCAAAGCAACCATTTAAGCCCCAGCTGACCAAGATGGGAATGGATCATAATTGCTTGAATCAAATCTCAATCCTAAGGGATAAATCCTAACAAAGTAATTTTCAACGTATTCAAAAAATTTGCCATGACTCTTTTTTATTATATCCTATATTTTATCTTCTGAAACACTAGATACAATCCAAACTAATTCTGGCTTTTTATCTAACTTTAATGTTACTGCATATAATGAAGTAATTTCCAATAATTCTCTACATATTTTAGTATGATGTTCATCCAGAGTTTGACTGAATTGCTTGATATTTGCTTAATGTTTATGATCATCAAACTCTTAAGATTTATATTACATATCATCATGTGATTATGCAAAGAATAATGTGGATGAATGTAATTATAGTTTCTCTTATAAAAATTGATCGTCTGCCTTATATTTAACTAAAACCTTCCTTTATAATTATTGTAAAGTAGACATCTTCTCTTATTTATAATCTTTAATGACAAACAACATATCTCCAAGAATGCTTTATAAAATTTCTGCTATTCTCTTTTATTATTTTAAACAACAATGCATTTCAAGAGATAAAATGGCAGGATTATCATCTTTATAGAAAGCGAAGTCTCTAACCGTAATAATGACATCTTTGAATTTGATATCATTAACCAAGGTATGTCCATGAGTAACCTTTGGTTCTCCATTCTCACCATCCCAGCAATCCAATTCAACACATTTAAACCCCATCTTGAAGGCGTCTTAATATGCAAAACAACTTGATTCCCCAGTCAATTAATTTCTCTCCAAATAGGTATTATGCGATGAATTTATTAAGTATTTAGTAATTGGCTAGGATTAATCTAACGGTTTTGGTTGAAATATTGAGTTCTCATCATTAAATATGATATTCTAAAAATCATAAAAATTGTATAATTTTCTTTTGGGTTGATAATCAGCTTAGCCTTGTTCAATTTTGTAAAACTATTACAAGTCCTTATCTGTCATCAACATTGCTTAGAGTGGATCTTCAAACATTCCTTCCTGTTTGCTGCTATATTTCTAATATAATTCTTTTAATTCATGTCTGCGTGTTATATCCATCAATAATTTATATAAGGTTGCTTCATCTAATTGATTATTCTTTTGATTTTTCTCAAAGACCTGTATTAGTTTTCTCTCTGGAATCTCAATTTGCAATTCACCTATCAAGAACTGAAACTCCTTAAAATTGAGTTTATTATCCATATCTATATCGGATTGTGTGATCAACTTGAGAGCACTGCTCCAAATTTAATTATAACTATCAAGTTGTTTTTGGATTCTGTTTGCTTCCTTAATCAGATAATCTAATCCCTCCCTGAAAGTGATCAATTAAAACGCACTTTGAAAATACAACTTTATATAAGCTCCTTTTGAGTTGATAATCTTTAATTGAGATTCCTCCTTTTATTAAATGTCAGAGATCTAAGTGAGATCAAAATAAGTGCTGAACGTGCCCTAGGGATCAAGCTAAGATACAGATATCATTGATGATTACCATTTAGATCAAGCGAACCTCATTTGGACTTAACAATAAAATCATTTAAGTACGTTTCATCTTGTGCAATTTCACCTATAAAAGCTATCCATACACTAGCGAATTAACACCGCAATGATTGATTTTATTCATAAATTTTAGTTATATTTTATTATGAAAAGTCCTATTACCAAAATCTCAGCTATTGGAACTGGTGCTACTGGCTTTGCCCTATTTTCGCTCTTAAGTTAGTGGTATCAATTAAAAAAGAAACATAATCAATACTAGCTAATCAATGAATTTACACCCACCTCCATATTGAATTACTTTAATTAATCCCAAAAAACAACAATCGAAGCATTTATTGCCGGCGAGTTAGTTTCAGAAAGTCCCATCATTTCAAAAGTCCCACTTATAATGAGGGAAAAGAAAATCTATTATATATATGAGAATGGCGTGTATGTAATTGACTTTTATATTTTAATAGAAAAAAAATAATTCAAACCTTCCTACATGGTGCCTCTCAATTAAGTATTGCAGACTATTATAATAAAATCGAAATATGGAGGAACTCAACCCTTAACTACTAATTATCTATGAGTCATATATGGGATAAAGTTATTCCTCAATAATTAAGTTTCCTTCAAAGACTAACGAATTTCATTTTAAAAATCATAAATTAACTCAAAATAAGAAAATTATTTTTCAATGGCTTTCCCACTGGATTGCTTGAAAGGGAATATGGCATCATCGCAAATGAATTTTATGTCATATATGGAGAAATTATACTTGATAAAAAGTTGAACAAGATGTTCCTTTAAAATCCAAAATATATTCTCAAAAGTAAGAAACAATTGTTATTTTTAATACAAAAGTAGATTAAATATAAAAGTTCAATGATAGTAATTGTTTTTATTCTATTTGCGATTTGGTCGTGTATTTTTGGATGCAATATAAAGAATTTCATTATACATCTTTTGAAAGAGAGACAAAAGGCAAAATTGGATAAGTTAAGAGGGTAGAAATACTTAGAAATTAACAATTATGAATGCCAGGTTTGTTTTGAAAGACCTAGAAATATTATCTTTAAGCCTTGCAAACACCTTAGCATTTGCCATGAATGCTCATAAAGACTCAAAAAACCATAATGTCCGATATGTAAATAATAGATAGAGGATAAAATTGAAATCTTTTTTACTTGAAAATGATAATATATAATTATGATTATGATTATGTCAACATTCATCTACATCAGAATAAAAAGATTCATCAGCTTATGCGAGATTTTCTAAAATCTCAATTATTCTAGTTTGCTTTAATTTCTCGCATTCCTACTCATTTTTAGCTAATAAAGATCCTGTGAATCCTACTGCATTCATTGCTACTCCATTAAATGCTGCTTGCTTTCTAACTACAATCATCATAAACTCTTAAGTCATTATTAAATTGTGTTTTAACTCCCTAATATCCTCTACTTGACATTTATTTAATAGCTTTTCGTAAGTCTCATTAAGTAGATTCTATTACTGGCGCTCATCGCAATTTGGACTTTACAATAAATCTTAGTTGAAGAAACAAATGAAATGCTTGGTTTTTTTTAAACACCTGAGCTTTGTGAATTTGTTAGGCTATCTCACACTCTTCTCGAACCACCATTCCTTAATGTGATTCAAAATATTTGCACTTTAGTATGCTGATTTAGGTACAATTTAAAAATGCTTATGATCTAAAGAAGCTCCAGCCTCTGGATGGGAATTAAAAAATGCAAATCCCTCGACTGCATTTAGCAAATCATAAGCCAAACTTAAGTATTCCTTGCTGAATTTTTCAGTTTGATGAATAAATTATGATGGCACTAATAATGCATGATAAGGATTAACAGGGTATTTATTCAATAAAATATTGTAGTTTTGTAATCGCATTACTAACTGTCCTGGTTGGAAAGGCTCTATTAATGGATTAATCTAATTTTATAAAATATCACTCACATTTTATTAATGGCCAACTGGCTTCTTGGCTAGAGATTTTACTAATTTTATGTGAAACTCTATTCCTTGTTCATTTTTTGAAAAAGTTTGTAAAATATCAAAAGGTTCTACAAATCCTTGATTCTAACTTGCATCGTAACATTGTATAATCTATTTTTTCATACTCTCACGAAGTTCTGCTTTTGTAAGCTAATGATATCAAATACTCACTCTACCCCTCTAAATATTCTGTAAACTCCATAACTAAATCCTATAGCAACCACTCCAATTAACCCTTTCTATAACATTAATGATTTCATTATTATATTAATTTAATTAACTAATATCACTATATAATAAAGCGAAATAAAGAAACCGAATTTTAGAAAATGATTAATATGAAGTTTTAACTGATAAGATAAAATCAAATATACTCTAGTTATACTAATATTTCAATAAATTTTAATTTATTATTTAAAATTAAGATCATATTTTTCTATGTAATTTAATTATTTATCAAAGTACATTACATTTTGATAACACTTTAAAAACAATCTAAAAATGTTCAGATTTCTAAAATTTTTAAGTCTCTTTCTCCTCATTTTTTTATGAAATCTTTCAATTCTTTGTTTTACAAAAGAATAATCATTTAAGTTTATTTATTTTGAAATCATTAATTATCTTACTTACCATAATTATTTATTTGATGGTTCAATACTATTTGTAATAGTCCGAAATGTTTAAATAGTCGATCTCTTCTAGAATGATCAAATTGATTCTCTTCTTTCGTAATTTAACAATTATTTTATATAGTATAACTTCTAGACATAATTGAATAAATATTTAATAGATTAAACTCTAATATTGATATATAGTGATTTTTGAAGTAAAATAGGCAACTTATTTTGAGGGATTATTATAAGAAATTAAATATACTTTAAATCATTTAATAACTATATTGTAATTAAATCATTAATCATATTCGATTAGACATTATTAACAGAATTTCCAAAAGAGATAAAGTAGAAGTGTTTGCTAATTTTAGGACAAAAATTTAACTTTGAATTACCATTCTACACTGAAAATTCCTAAAGTTTTTTATAAGAGGTATCCTCATTCAGCAGGATATTAGGTTAAGAATAAATTTATTCAGTAATCTTTATCATTTAAGCACAGCAACAAAACTTTACAGTTAGCAGTAATATATATATGTACATATTTCAAATATTTTAATATATGCGCTTAATATTAGAGCTCCTAGGCATTTCTGCTTATTCAATAACTTCCAAAGTGAGGTAAAACATGAAATCTAAAATCAGTGAGTTTTTTTTTCTCATCATAAGGTATGTTGTTCAAGCTTTATAGATTAATAACTTTAATTATTAAATAAAATGGAAGTTTAATAAAAACTTTTTTTTTTTTTATTAATTAATACAAAATTCTATAAAAATCATAATGTATCAAAATTCCTCGTAGCTTTAAATCAATTTTGTTAATTATCCGCTTATTAGAATTTTTAATATTGTTTTATTAAATTCTCTAAGTCATATCTTGCTTTAATAATTTCCCTCTCTTCTAGACCTTCAGGTTTATAATATTATAAAAAAGCTCTTTTACAAAAATATTTATCAAAGTTCTCTCCTAATGCTTATAAGCTACTAACAATTGAGGTATCATTGGAAAAAAAGGTTCCTGTTTGTTTCATTTCTGCAAGCTCAGGTAATACTTAGTAATTAGATGATTTACATTAATAAATCTAAGAACTTTAGCCGAAGTAATTATTTAAATTGTTTAGAGCTTAATCTAATTTACCATAAAAAGGGTTCAATTATTTTTATCTAAATAATAAGGCAGTACAAATATAATTCGGGGTTGTCGAACATTGATAAAGTTTTTAATCTTTTTTTAGTAGAAGTTAAATGAATTCTCTTTGTTCTAATTCTTTTCTAGCATAATCATTTATCAAAGTCATCTTACTATAAGATGGAATTAAAAAATGTAGCCGAGGATGAGGACACAAATTTTTAAAGAATATAGAGTTATCTTCTGAGTTAAATCTTCTAATTCCAGTATAGGCACTAATTATTTAAGCAACCAAATTATTTAACTATGAATAATCAACAAAATCTAAATCTAATTGACGATCAATAAAATTGTACATTGACTCATTGTCAAACATTGTTATACTGTTAAAGCTATACATCAAATTTTCCATTGAGAGCACAGCATTATAAATGGCAACAACATTATTTGAAATCTTTGAGGATGGGAAAATTATAAACCCATTACATCTTACTTTCCGGTAATAAATTTTCAACAAAGAGACTAAGTTACTAAGAAATCCGGATCCAGTTCCTCCACTGATCGAACTTGTTATCACAAACTCATCTAATCGATCCATCGTTTCTATTTATTTTTGAATACAATCTAATGCTTATTATTCAATCCCTCCCCCAATAGTACACAAACCTCGAGCAAAAGTTGATGCATCCTCTGTTCCATGGAAAAATGAATGCTTTTTAAATTTCACTGATTGATTCCTTTAGACTTCGTGTATCATTCTGTCATCTGTATCGACAAAAAATGCTTATGGATAGTGATTCCCTTCGAATTCATCATAAATATAATTCTTCTGAGTTGTTTCATTGTATTCTTTTTCATACAGTTTCCATAACATATCACCCATCTTTATTCCAGCCCCTCCAACATGAATATGAAGTGCAGAAGACATCCAAAGTTAAATAATTATTAAATAGATTTTTACATTTAATGAAACAAAAATGAAAAATATCACATAAACTGGTAGATTCCATTTTCAATTCAGTTTTAAAGCTAAATATATAAAAACCTCTATGAGGACAGGATATCTTCCTTTAAACTTAGATAACCTAATTTTTTAAGTGAATATTAAATTAAGATTATTGATTCAATAAATAATTTGATTTCTTAAATTCAATACTTTATACAATTTTGACATTGAAAAATACCCCAATGAATATTTAGCTTATCAGTGTATCCGCTGCCAAGATTTTGCTATTAAAAAAATTTGTAATTAAATAAAAATCAATTAATCATTTTACACTGTCTCTTTGTGGGTTTAAACTGATTAATTGATTTCTTACAAACAAGAAAAGTGAACATTTATTTTCTTTTAGTATAGGTAAGTTTAATGTACAATTATTCTTATATTCAAGGTAGTTGTTATCTTACAATCTTTTTATGTGAATTATTCACGGAGGACTAAGATACTATAGTTTATATGAACAAAAAAGTTTTATGGCAATACACTTTGAATGTTCATTTCTATTGAGTGATAATCAAGTTATTCCTTCGATAATACCTTTTGGAGAGTAATAATATTAATTGATTAATATATTTAAATCTAGCATAAAACAAAGAATTCTATTAACTTTATGTTTTAAGTTCTGGGGTGTAAAAACTTTTTTATCTGCATATTACAAGTTTAAAGCATTAATAAGCTTTAATAAGTCTTTAGGGAAGATTTTTGCAATTAGTTTATAATAAATTAATTCATTTAATTGATGTCTACATTTTGTCCTTTAAATCATTGGGAGACTTTAATCAAAAATGTATTAAATTTTCTATAGCATTCATATTATTAATGGATTTAATTTACTAATCAATTATTATCACTTTTTTCATCTTTCTCATTTGCCATCAACAAGAACAGTCAAATTACGATGAGGTCGTCTGTTACCATCTTTTGGGGAATTTTTGTTTGAATTGAGTCCAGAGAGATCTTTACTTTTTTTTGGCTCTTATCCGAATCTCATAGCATTAATAAGCATAGTGACTCTTCTAGGCATAGGTAAAAAGGAATGGGAATTTTTAAAACTTAATTTTTCAATTTCTTTTTATCTTTCGTTAGTTTTATCAATAGTATTACTTTTTTCAGGCAACTGACGAAAAGAGACTGCAATTTTTGAATTTCTGGGTTTATCTTAATTGATTTTATCAGATTAAATTAATTGATGCGAAACATTAGAGTCCAATTCAACAACTAAGACATCACTTTTGACAAAGCCATTATAATTGTACCCACCAAAAATAAAAATTTTAGTATCCAGACAAGAAGAGGAGTGTCCACATCTTCCAGGCATTTAGGCTCCTTTTAGTTCTAGTTGTATCCAAGAGGAGTTCCTTACATCAAACAAATATAAATCATTGAGGAATCCTTCAACAGTATTGTCGTCATTCTTTCCACCATAGACAACAATGGCACCCAAGGCTTCATTGTAATTCATAGAATGTTGACATCTAGCCACTTAAATTAATAAAATATGCTTACTGGGACTGCTTCCTTTGTAATCCACCAACTCAATTCGAATAGGTTTTTGATATACATCAATACGAATAAATGTGTCTAAATAATTTCCAAATTTGTCTTGACCTCCGAATACATAAACACCTTGATTGGAAAATTTCAGATCAGGATCTTGACGATAAATGTCACAAAATTTGTTTTGTGTAACTAAGCTAGACTTATGAAATGCAATTCCATTGGCATATAATTCATGTGAGTCTACATTTAGAGGGATCCATTTAGATGACTAGATGTCATAACAAATTAGATCTTTCATATAATTGCCTCTATTATCGATTCCTCCAAAGACCAGTAGGCATCTCCCAACAATTTCGCTGATGTGACATTTTCTGGGAGATACTGTTCCTGGTTATTTGATTAATTTAATATCAAAGGATGCTTTATTAAATGACATTATCAATACTTAAAGAAATAGTCTTGACATCACTTGTACATTCACTAACTATTTTGTTATTCGATTGTTCTATATGAATTTCTCCGCCAAAAAGAATCATAAAATTCTTGTAGATTCCAGCAGTATGATGAACTCTATACCCATGGATTGATTTTTCATCTAATTTTTGAGGACTCCACTTGTAAAACTCTATGTAAATTATTATTCCATATTACATTTATCAATAATAGCCACACACAAATCTTCTTATTAGACAGAACTAGACCCTCCATACAAATAAAGTTTTCTATCGAAGGTGACCATTGTACTTCCGTCCCTTGAACAAGGACCCCAGAAGTTATAATCATAATTAAAAGCATAAGCAAATTGCTTTTTAATTTAACTTAATGCAACTTATGATTCAAGTATTCTTTTTTATAATTGCTAAGCATCAGTGTTTCTTTCTTACAATTACTAAACACCTCCTAATCTTACCTATTTTCTTAGCAACTCTAACTTTTATTAATCTTAATATGCTAAAGAAGGGTAGACTTTGATTCCATTAGTTTAAGAATGAATTTTTTTTAAAGCTTATTTGACTTGGTTCAATTGACTCTCCTCTTATTATTTGTATTGCTTTCTCATTTTGTGAAATGTCTCTCTATTGTGAATTAATTACAATTTTCTAGATGTATTGAATTTTTCTTGATCGACGGTTTCCAATTCCTACTCATCCAAGGATGGCTCTCCAAAGAGATATTTACTATAATTATTCCAAACCATTTTGGATTGTTAGAAGGATCGTTTTAATTCTGAAACTGCCCCTTGATTCAGTTCTCGAAAGGAAATAAAACTTTGGACTTCACTATCTGGTTAAATTTGAAGCAATTCACAATTCTCATTTATCGCCATTGGGTAAAACTGATTCAATGACAAAGGACTTAATTTGTTGTGAGTCTTTTTATATTTTTCGAATAGAGTTGTTATGTCCATTCTTGCGTTTGAATGAAAAGAAAGAGAATCAACTTTTGGACTGTAGATATCCATTATATAATTATTATTATTATGTAGAAATCCTGGGAAACCTTATGTAAGAATCTCAGAAGTCCTTTCCTTTAACATTTCTTGGATATTTAAACTCTCATCGATGAACTTGCTCAATAAATAGATCAACCTTAAGTATCTCATGAAATCGCAATTCAAATTTAAGAAATGATATCCCAAATCGTTTAGATGTACATTCAAATACTAAGTTTAGTATAGATATTGAACACTAAAATCTACTCGATGGTTTCGAACAGAGTGTCTTGTTATTTGCATAAATAGATTCAGATGATCGTGTCAAGTAGTTTGAAACATTAAATCTCATTTAAGAGTTGTTTAATAAACTAGCTCTATCCTATTTCTATAGCGATGATCTCCTGGAGGAGAAGAAGGTTTAAATGCCCATAAATGATGGCACTTCGACTTGTTCTGATTTCTCAGATGATAATTTTGAAGTAGAAGACTTTGAAGCTCAAGTAGCTCAAGAGCTCTTTCAATAAATTAAAGGCAAACTACAGGAACCAGAAATCGAGTAGAAATGTTACCAATTCTAATTTACAATCTTCTAGGAGGAATTGAACATTATGGACTTTTTTAACGATTCACTTGAATTGTAAATTAAGGAGTATGATGTCATTGTGTTTTTAAATTATTCAGGACTCCTCCAGAAATTGATGAATTATAAGTAGGACAATCAATTGGAATTCTTTGTTGGTCAATTGTATATAATACTAAACAAAATTAAAAATGATGAAGTAGATTCATTGATAGAAACTAATTGTTTTGAACTTAAATACAGTAGACTCTCACAAAGGAAATTCTTGAGGTGTAAGATCCTCTCTAACTTATACACTAAATTAGTATATGAGAAATTGGATAGATGGAGAAAGACTCAACATATTCAAGAAATACAAGGCGAGAATTTAAAAGCCTTGAGACGTTTCATTGTTTAGCATAAGGCTCCTTTAAGTAGATGGGAAGTCAGTATTCTATCTATTCAAGATGTTCAAATCAATAATGAAAATATTCTTGACAAATTTCAAAAATTAGTCATTGCCCTATCACTCCCTTATGACTTGCTTTTAGAGAATTTCAACATTTTGGATAAATTGTATGTCAATTTACAATAATTCTAAAAATGGTTTAAATTGAGTTCAATTCCATTTACAGTCTCTGAAATCTCTTCACTATTTAAAGAAGTCAGTTAAACATATGGTTACTATACTAATTCAGGTATCAAAGTTATTCAAAGGGTTGATTTCTATTAGTTTTTAGAAGCTGTTTACGCTCCTAATTAAAACGAAAAGACTGCCAAGGAAAAGCCTGAAGTAAAAAGTGTCAAATATAATGATGAAATTACTATCCAACAGTATAATCGTCACCTATAACTTAAAGTCAATGATTTGTAATTATAACTTAATCAAAAAAACGCGACTGTCGATTAACTAAAAAAGGCTCAACAGGAAACACAATAAACAACTAGAATCAAGACCAAATCTAATAATGAGATAAAGGATAAGGAATCTGAAATCAAAATTGAACTATTACATTAAGCAGAAATCAACTCCATTAACAATGAAACTTAGTAGCAACTTAAAGTAGTAGAACTTAAATGGAAAAATAAAACCAAAGACTTGTTGTTTGACTTAGAAAATAAAGATAAATAGATTGATCAATATCGACAGCAAATTGAAGCTTTAATGAAAGAACTTGAATGGGTAAAAACAGAAAGAAAGACCAAATGAATCTTATATCACTTTAATATTTATAATATAACAATAATCATATGTCAATTTCAATCAGAGATAAATTGAATTCTGAGAAAGGCTAATAAATGGTAAATTATTCATATAAAAGTGCATTATTGTCTCAATATTTGTGTAAAAAGGAATAGAATTGATTAGCATTATTGTATTCAACTATTAAATGCTTTAGAAAGTTAAAATGCCTGATTGTATATAGATGCTCTAGTTTCATGATTAATTAATTATTTTAAATTTCTATTTAATTTCAACTAATATTTACTCTCCAATCTTGGCTCATGTATTCGATTACATCAACACATTTACTTATTTCTTCAATAGTTTTAACCCTTTCTTTTAAATCAACTAGTTGATTCATACCAATCTATTATATCTGCGTAAAAATGAACCTTTCTCGTACATAATTTAAGCCTAAGCCTTAATTTAAGTTGAGATTCTCTCAAATTCATTCTATTTAATCACTTACCTCTATAAAAGAGAATTACATTTTCTAAGTCCATAGACAATAAGAATATCTTCAAATCTAATTCATGAAAAAGGGCTAAATTTTTAGTTAGATATATACTACTCCTAAACAAAAGCATACATTCATTGTAATTAAATAATATAAAACTAATTTCATTATATACAATCATTTTTCATTCTTAGTCTCAAATAATAACTAAATTGTTTTGCATTTTAACTTTAATACTTTTATTACTAATAGCAAGATTGCACTTATTTCTTTAAATTTTCTATATACTCTTCAAGGAAATCAAATTTATCAAGTTGCTCCAATATCTCAAAAGGCAAATCCCATTTTACATTGACTTGGCCATAATCATTTATCCATTGAATAAGATTCTCGATTCTTGTTTTAGTATTTTGAATAGCGATTGCCCACTTTTTTTGATTCTCTCCAAAATCCTTTCTTCTATTTTAATAAGCATCTTTTAGTTCCTTGATTTCCTTTTTAATCAATTTTAAGTTGTCTAACATAATTTAGAAATGGTCAAAATGCCCATTGTTATTATTTTATTACATATATTAATATTATTAATATTTTATTCACTCTGTTTCATCTTCTATTTTATCCAATTCTCCTCTTAATTTTTGTAATTTCTCTCTATGATTTTACAACTTACTACAAGATGTCTCTGAATACTTCTTAGCCTCTTATTCTTTCAATTCAATTTGATGTCCGACCTTTGCTAAACTTTATTTAGTTTGATTCCATTTCTTATAATTTTCAGAATGCTGATTTTTTCTTTCCTCATAGATTTAATGGAAGATATCATGAATTTCTTTTTGAACAGTTCTCAATTAGGTTTCAAATCCCTTCTTATCCTATTGTATTATTTCAATAATTTACTTCAATGTATAATAATTAATCTTCCTTTTCTTTAATTCTATCGAACAATCTAGCCTCGTTTAAAGAAACTTCAAAATCTGGTAGAGGATCTGGTTTATAGTGTTCAAGTCTTTATTGCTCCGATTTTAAATACAAAATTTCATCTTAATTTTCTTTTAGTTTGCTGGCAATCTCTTTCTCCAAATTTGCAATTGTAAGTTCTTCATTATCAATAGCCTGTATAATTAGTATTCATATTACATTTTATTTCTTTTATTGCTACTCTTTAATTTTTTTAAGCTTAATTTCTTATCTTTTCTTTTCCTTCTCCAACTCCTATTATTTTTGTTCATCTTATCTTGCTTTCATTTGAATTGTTATTTTATCGGGCTCGTTCTAAATGATCAAATTATATATTATTACAATTGCATACAAGTCACTGGTGTTTGACACTTAAATTATATCACCTTCCTCATCCTAATACGATAATTCAATTTCTTGAATAGTTTAATATTTTTGTAATATCTCTTGTATAAGTTCCTCATACGTAGAAATAGTATTGTAAATAGAAGTTTCTCCATTGTATTAGATTTAAAAATCCATTGATTTAAAATATTAGTATGTATTTTTAATTTCTTTGATAAATTTCAAAATAAACACATTATAGAATTATGTTAATACCATTACATATCATTCTTTATGGACTAGAAATTCGAGAATAAAGTGTTTTTTCTGTTCTTAATCAAACAGGAAATGAAATAAAAAGGAAAATGATTGTAACTCAACTGATTTATGTTAATTATATATATAACTAAAATGGTATTCAATATTATATCTATAATTTATGTCCATAATTAATTTAAATTAATTTTGAAGGTAAATACTTCTTTGATCTCATTTATATTAAAATATAATTTTATTCAAAGAAATAAATAATTTTAACAAAATTATTAATTGGTCAAAACAAACATTAGTAAATTAATCAAATTACTTAAACAGCTATTATTTAATCAAATAGCTATGATATTCGAGTTATAATAAATCAAATAACTTTAAATGAATTTATAAATAATAATTTTATAATATTACTTTGGTTTAAATTACAATAGCAAATAGATTGTCATAAAAATTCAAGATTTAGTTTAGTATGCTTTAAATTAGATGATGGTTTTTTTTTGGCGAATTTCTGACAATAACAATTAACTAATTCTTTGTATTTGACTTCCTTAATTTATTTGTGTTATGCTACTTTGATTTATAATTTATTCGTGTATTGCTACTTATCCTTATATGAGAATTAATCTTCAAATGCAAATACAATATCCTTATCTGTTTCAAGTTTATATTTAACTTATATCGGCTCATTTTTTTATTGTTATTTGATTTGATTATAAAATTGCAGAGATTTTGCTCTTTGAGTTCTTGTAGTTTTATTGAGAATCATTTATAGATATAATTTAGGATCCATATTCATATTGACATCCTGGTCATTATTAAAGATGCTGGGTAGGAAGATTTTGTTTTTTGTGTTTTCTAAGCTTAGATTTCTTTTCTTTATTGACATTTATTTATATTAATTATTATATATCACAAATTACAACTAAATAATGATTGTATATTGTTTAGGAAACGATACAAGTATTCTACGATTCCAATTTCATTTATCTTGAAGAAGATCAAATTCGTATTCTAATTACATTAACTAATAAGGGAATCAGCTTTATTAAATTGTTCAGCGCAATAATCTCTCTGGTCGAACTATTCTAAAGAAAAATGAATGCATAAAATTACCTAATTAATCATAAATGAAGGCCATCTCATAATAATTTTATTGTATCATAGTGATCCAACCAACTTAAATGGCAAAATTAATGGATGTGGCATAATACTTAATGTTCTTATAAGTACGAGCCATAAGATTCCAAAACTTAGCTTGAGTAACGCAATTGGATTATGATAATTCATACAAATTGATATTATTTAATTTATCTTAAGCTTCTTGAATCTAATCCTATTGGATATTTCTTTCAATTTTATTCAGTTTGTATTCCAGATATTATTGATTCAAATGAAATTGCTTGCATAATTTAATAATCTCCAGATCATTCTCTCCATCCTTTAATAGTTACTTGACTCTAAGTTTAGGATCTTATCATATGAATATCTTACTCTTAATTGGTACAATTTGCAAGGATTCAGAAATGTAAGGATCAGGATTCATTTACAATAATTGTATCATAATCTACTTAATGTATTTAATTGAGATTGGTTCATTGATAATTTCAAAGTATTCCAGACATATATTCAAAATGACTAAGATTGATTATTCACTCAAATTATAGGTGGTTTCAAAACATTATTAGAATTGTGACAATGTGTACAAAGGTTGATGCAAGGCTATTTGACTCAAGGCTTCTAATTGAAGAGAAAGAGTCTAATCATTTTAATCAAATTGCTGTAATTAATCCAATGCATTTTGAATCATGGTTGAATTGCCGTAATTGTTTGCACATACCAATTAGTATGCAGTGATGGACTATTCAATGTCTGGACTGTGAGACTGTAAAATCTATTTCAAACTCTAATGTATTATGTCTTTCCAATTGATATGCTTCTTCTTCAACAATGAATAATTAATTTATTTGTATCTTACTTGTGACCCGTAGATCAAAGCACTCTATAATCTATGTTATGGACTCAACTATTGAGCATGATTCACAGCATATTCTAATAATAGAGTAGCCTATAAAAATGAACAATCAGTTTACTTATTTTTGATAATTGTTGCGATATGCGATTTCAAAGAGATTGAGCAAACAAAGATTAATACTTTGTTTCATCAGATACAGTCTATGACAATCTCAAACCTTCAGATAAACTATTCAAAGCTTCATCATAGAAATTCATCTTCATGTTGAGGTAGATGGAGTTCATAATACAATGATTCACTTTTTTGGGCACAAGAGTGTTCAATGTCATATCGTAATATTTACGAGAGAATTTTATAGCTCTAAATGGATATCGTAATATGGCATATAAGAGTGCTTTAAGAAAGCTGACTTTACAATTCTCATTCAAATTTGGTTACTCGATTATTTGTTTCAACTCTTCTAAATTTACATAGCTTGAACTCGCTAGCAAGTAGAATGCATAAGATACTTTGTAATTTAGTGAGTAAGAACTCGATGTATGAATCAGTTAGGAAGGGATTGTTTTGGAGATGATTGTCTTGACCTTCTCTGAAATCACTCCAAGATTTTAACATTTGATTGAAATCCATTTGATTGAATAGCAATAGCATATTCCTAAAGAACAAATCAACAACACTGCCTCCTGGAGTTTTCTATTATTATTTTTCACGAAGTGCTGCTATTACAATTAATTCATTACTTTCTCCTATTATCTTATGGAATTTATTCATAGAGGTAATCTGTAACAATTCAGGTTCAATGTGGCTGAGGATTGTATTTTGCAATGTTGGATTATTCACAATCTCCATAACATCATGAATCTTATGTAATATAAATTATGAGTTACTTTTAAATACTCAGTCAAGAGATCGTAAACTTATTGACTAGGTTTCCTTAATAGGAGGATCAATAAAATGAGATTGTTGTTCATTAATTTTTCAAATTTAAAATATTTTATCTAATTATTATTATACACTCCCTAGAGTTTCTAGTATATGTGTATTACCATATTTTCAAGATAGTCTTAAAATACGAACGAGGGCAATATCAAGATAGCATTCCAACATCTTTAAACAATATGTTGAAATACAGTAACTCTATGTTTTTATCTCTTTTTATTGGGTTCTATTTATAAATAAATTCAATATCAAATGGGAGGAAAAGAATCAAAAGCTTAAAAAAATAATGACACTTAAAAAATTAGTCAAATATACACTGAAGAAGTAGAGAAGCCAGAGAAATATCCTCCTTAAGTAAAACCCTTAGAGAAGGTGAGTAACCCCTTTCCAGAAATACCAAATTACATGGATATGTTGACTTAGGTGTTACCTGTGAACAAATATCCAAAAGTCCCCAACTATTTGACACATGAATTAATAACCGATCTGAAAATGCTAAAACACCTTTTAACAACAGCTTCGACTTGCTTGTAGAAATCAAGTAAAATCAATATCGATCAACCTCTGTATTCATCTAGATTGATAGAAGTCAATGATCATCAGAACAAATTAAAATCATTTCAATCATCATTGCTCAATGAGATTCAGACTGGACAGCTATCCCAAATAATAGAGAAAGATCAAGAAGAGTTGACCAAGATTAAGTTAAGTCAAGTGATAGAGAGTTTGAAATTGATTGCCAAATATGCGTTCTATTGTTAGGGCTTATTGTAGAAGATTCCTGAAACATCGAAAGAGTTTTTGGTTTCACTAAACAATCTCATATTGAGTACCAACATGAATTCTATTTTGTTGCAATATATTGGATATTACGATGAGGGCAATTAAGCTATCAGACAAAACGCTTAGACTCTATTCAAGTAGTTTTTGGAGTCTCAAGAGTTCAGCTAAGTAATTCTGAAATATTTGGACATTGTGAAAGAACAACTAAACAATGTTGTGCCTATTTTATAGAATCTGAACGATTGTTCGAATATATTCTAGTTTGAGGAGGAAAATGACGAGACTTTCATTTAAATTTATTAGAAAATCCAATCGGAACCAAAAAAATAAGAGTTCCACATAAAATAACTATTTGAACAAAAGTATTTATTAATTCTATGACAAGACAATTCTAATCGAAGGGATTGGAGAAGGCTGAATAGATTTTGGAAGACTAGAAATACGAGAACTTTGTATAAACAAAATTGGATGACAGTGAGGGATCGAAGTAGTTCACTTTGTTATTGAGACAGTTCATAGATATTTTGGAGGAGAAAACTGAGAATTGGGAGAATGTGCTGAGAGTTACTCTCATGGCAACTACTGAGAAGGATAAAATCAGGTTGCTTCTGTGTGAGTTTAGCAAGTTGTAAATCCAATCGTCTTTGCATTTGGTGCATTTTTGTATCAATGAACTATAATACAAAATGGATTACGGCCATTCATTTGCTCAACTATAGAAGTTTGTTCAGATAATAGATAAAATATGATATAAATTAAATATATATAATGAATGCTCCATTCCCAGAAAAGATGATAGAGAAATTTGTACAGTTTATTATCTTAACTCTTCATAGAATAAGCAAATGGAAGTATTTGTTAAACATGAAGAGTTGCTTTTGAAGTAGAGACAGGTTTACGAGTCAAAACTTAATAATGTGTTTGATCGAAATTTGCAACTGGAAGAGAAGGATAAAAGTGTGCATGAACAAGTACTCATTGATTCAAATAGATCTTATCATCGAGATACCAGAATGAATAGTTGAAAATATAACAGGAGAGGTTGAAGCATTTCCAGGAATTATAGAAATAAAAGAAAGATAAAAAATAAGCAGCAAATGAATTATGGTAATAAGAACAGAAATAACACGAGAAGGATATACAATAGAAGTTGTTTGAAATACAATAAAAGATCAAGTATGAAGAATTCAAAAGGAAGACAGATGAGTTGATGAGTCAATTGGACAATAATTTAAGGAATATCAACTTGCGTTATCTTGAGAAACAAGAGAAGAAGGAGAAATACTTAAATGATTTCATTAACTAGAAACAACAGACTCTGAATACTTCGATGCAGATTACTGAATCTCATCATCAAAATGTTTATTCTAATTATTAATAATAAATGAAGAGAATTTAGGAAGTAAAAACATTGTTAAAGTTAGATCTGCTAATTGAAATTGAAAAAATATTAAAGTAAAATTAAACAGATTAATCAATAAAAGCTATCCTAAATCGACTAACTCACTCAGAAGGCACATCAGAGTTCTGAACATTAGGAGAGCATCAAATATCGATCATATCAAATCTACCAAACTTAATTGTAAAAATTACAAAACAAGATGAATTACTTCTAAGATAAGATCAATCAAATTGAAAAGAAGAGACTACAACAGCTTTAAATGAATTATCTACAAGAACAGGACTTGAATCAAAAGCGAAATGATGTCAGAGCCAAATCTGAAAATATTTATAGGAATAAATCTATTAACATTTTGAACAAATAATTGGAGAAGGAGAAATCCTTTCAATTGGTACAACAATAGAATCAAATGGAATTACAGTAGAAATTGCAGAGATTAAATGAAAAATGGTAAACCCAACAGAACTAAGTTCAAAAAGCTGATCAGTTGAAACAATCCTATTTTTCATCATTAGAACAGAAGATTACCTAGAGAGATTAGAGATTGCAAGATTAGATGTACTAGAATTATCATAACTATAGATAAAACAAATTGGACATTCAAAAGAGAAGATTGAAAGTTATTGAAGATATGGAGAAACAAAAGCGAGATCTATTACTTAAATTGGATCAAGACAAAGTTCCATTTACAAATACCTCTGAAATGAAGTATCTGTATAGCACTCCCAAATAATAGTAATCTAAATTGTTTATTACATGATTATAACATATATATAAATATATGAGAAAAATTATATACAAATTTTCAAGACCCACTTATCTTGATTTCTAAGCCACGACTCCCACAGACTACAGAGTATTAGATGCGATGTTACCCTATCTAACCAATCAGTATGGTAATCCTCATAGTAAGACACACTCATTCGGATGGGAAACTGAAAAAGCAGTAGAAAATGCAAGATCCTAAGTTAATTATTATACTAATTATATAGATAGCCAATTTAATTAACACACAACCTTAAAGCATCATTTTCACATCTGGGGCAACAGAAAGCAACAATGCTGCATTAAAGGGTTTATACGGCTTTTATGGAAAATAGAAGAATCATATCATCACAACTCAAACTGAACACAAATGTGTGTTAGACTCTTGTAGATATCTAGAAGAAAAAGGAGTAGAGGTAACATACTTGCCAGTTGATTCCAATGGCTTGATTTCGTTGCAACAATTATAGGAATCTATCAAATCCAATACATTGTGTGTGAGTGTTATGCTTGTGAATAATGAAATCGGAGTCATTTAAAACTTGAAAGAGATTAGCAGAATATGTCATCAACGAGGAGTCTATGTTCATTCTGATATGGCTTAAGCTATTGCTAAAATCCCAGTTGATGTTTAAGATCTCGATATAGATTTAGGTAGTATTTCAGCTCATAAACTGTATGGTCCCAAAGGAATTGGAGCATTATATGTGCGAAGAAAACCAAGAGTTAGATTATAGCAAATAATCCATGGAGGTGGATAAGAAAGAGGGTTAAGAAGTGGTACTCTTGCACCTCATTTATGTGTGGGATTCGGCAAGGCTGCAGAAATTGCATTAACTGAATTACCATATGATATCTAACATGTTGATAAATTATACAATAGACTATTGACTGGTATCAAAGAGAAGATTCCTTAAATTCAAATAAATGGCTCATTAGAACATCGCTACAAAGGAAATTTGAATGTGTCATTTGCTTTTGTGGAAGGGGAATCTTTGATTATGGCTATCAAATAGGTTGCAGTCTCCTCTGGATCAGCTTGCACATCTGCCTCTCTTGAACCGTCATATGTCCTAAGAGCATTAGGAGTCTAAGAAGATATGGCTCATACTAGTTTAAGAATTGGCATAGGGTATTTTCGAATCTCATTTATTTAGACGATTCACTACTGAAAAAGAAGTTGATTTTTTACTTGATTAGTTGAGTGGCGCTGTTAGAAAGTTGAGAGAAATGTCTCCTTTATGGGAAATGCATTAGGAGGGAATAGATATTAATAAAATTGAATGGACTCAACCACATTGAATTTATATTTGATTTAATATATGTTTAAATAAACTATGATTATGTGTTTTTTTCATATAAGATAATATTCCTATTATAGATTCTAAGTTTACAAGAGAGAAAAACAATAAAATTAGTGATTCAAATAAAATTTTGGAATTTTAAAATATTTTATATAAATGAGTAAACATCGACATTCAAAGGATAAATTATATGTGACTTACAGTGAGCATATGCTTGAAAGAGGTGGCAAGAAGGAGAATAAAGGGACTCCTCTCACTCGATTGCCGTTTGATCATTGTTCACTATCTCTTGAACCTTTTAAAAATCCAGTTTGCACATCTGAAGGTCATGTGTTTGATATTGTCAACATTGTGCCATTCATCAGAAAATACAAAAGAAATCCAATCAATGGATAGGCTCTTAGGACAAATGATTTGATTCAATTAAAATTTCATAAAAATGACAAAGGACAATATCACGATCCCATAAGTTTCAAGGTATTCACCGATCATACCAAATTGGTGGCCATCAAAGTGAGTGGCAATGTATTTACTTCTGACACCATTGAAGAATTGAATCGAAAACCTAAATTTTGGAAGGATCTTATAAGTGGTGAACCCTTTACCTATAAAGATATAATAGTTTTGCAGGATCCTAAGAATATTGAATCAAGAACAATTAAAAATTTTGATTTTCTTAAAAACAATCTCAAATTAGATCAATCAACAGAAGATGATGTATATGTAAATTTAAATGATAGTGGAAAAAGAATCATGGAAATGGCATAAGAATAGAATGTGAATAGACAAAAAGAGTAAAAAGATAGAGAAAAACAATCATTTGAAGAAATTGAATAGATAAAAAAGAAAGTTAAAGAACAAATGGAATCAAATTAATTAAGCGTAAAAGAATTTTTAGAACTTTCATCTAAATCTGGTGATTTTGTATCTGAGAGATATGCAACTGAACATGATTCTGTTAGTGTTACTAGTACATAAATGACATTGAAGACTAAACCATTAGGGTAGGTTTAATATAGAAATATGAATGAGGATGAAATCAGAAAATTACTATATGAGAGAATACGTAAATCTGGATAGAAAGGTTACGTATAATTAATCACTAATTATGGAAACATTAATTTTGAATTGCATTGTGATCTGGTTCCAATGACATGTGAGAATTTTCTAGAATTATGTGAAAAAGGTTATTACAACCAAACAAAATTTCATAAACTAATTGAAAATGAGTTGTTGGAAGGAGGAGATCCCACAGCAACAGGATATGGTGGTGAATCCATCTTTGGAAAACCTTTTAGAATTGAAATCAATAACTTATTGTCTCATAGCAAAGCTGGAATGGTATCTATGGGTAATCTGGGTGCCACTCATTAAACATCGCATTTGTACTTATATATGTATTGATAGATAGTTTCATCACCTTAGCTGAATGTAAGAAATACGATAGTAAATATGCTGTCTTCGGGGAAGTAGTTGGTGGATTCTAAACCTTATATTAAATCAATAAATTACCAACTAATATGTGGTAGAGACCTGAAGTTACAATCAAATTAAAAGAATTAAAAGTAATTAAGAATCCTTTCAGAGACATGATTAAAATAATGTTATAAGAAAAAGAAGTAGAAAAGGAGTAGAAATTATAAGATAAAGAGAAAGAAAGATGGTTGGATGACGAAGGATTCTCGCTACCTACAAGAGTTTCAACTGCAACCTAAATAAAAGGCTTGGGATTGGCTTCTAATCTAATCCAGTAATTTAGCACACAGGAACAATAAAAAAAATAATTAAAATAATTTTCTTTTGATAGTTGGTTATGATAATTAAAGTATGATATATCTTTGCATAATAAGTTACACGAATGTTATCAATAGATTTATTAACAATTATTATTATAATATGTAATGACTTCTAATTTTTTGTTTTGCATTTAATTTAGTTTTTATGTGTAGAAGTTAGATTTAATGCTTCTCTAAGTTCAAAGTAAGTATATTCTTTTAGATATTAATTGCATTACAAATTAATTATTCATATATATATATCACTCAAGTTCATCAAATATTGTAAATTTGACTATAATTATTTTTATTTTTTTTCAATGAATTTAGACGATGTTTATAATTGGTAAAGTTAATTTACTATTTCTAATTAGGATTCTGAATCATAAGAATAACTATCCTGGAAAACACCAAGAATCTCAACCAAGAACTCTTTAATCATACAAGCCTTTAGAAGCAAAAGCATAAGTAATATCTATACTTTATTCTACTAGTTTCATATTGTTATTAGAGCTACTGCTGAATATATCAAAGAGAAAATGCTCAACGGAAATGTAATTTTATTTAATAATTTGTAAGGGTGTCAATTTAAAAGAGTTTGGAGCATTTACAATGGAAATAATATCAGATTACGTTAAACCACTCTAGCATTCTGGTTTTAAAATGACTGAAGATTTAGACATCCAAAGAGCTGACCGTAAACATGTACACAAAATTAGGTACTTGAATTTCATTATTCAGACCATGCTTTATTCCAGATAATTAATTCAAATACTTCCTATAGAGATATCCTGGAAAGGAAGAAGTTTCTAAACCTTAGAGTCAACATTCAATATATTAAAAGGGATTTGGGATGAATTTTTGTAATGCAGGACCCATAGCTGCGTCATGGTAATATTATTGAGGATTGATTATATTAGTTATTTAGGTAAGGATGTTGTGCAATCCATACATTACTCTTTAGTAAAGGCTATTCAAGATTTAACCAGACTTGGACATGATTTACATATTGATTTTGGATTTATTAAAATAAGTGTCGTAAACAAAGATCTAAAATATAAATATGAATAATCATTTATAAATAGGTTGAATTAGACTGATTACGAATTGAAAGTAATTTACTAACTCATTGTTTGTAGATGCGTAAGTCAGATATGGCTACATCTCAACATTGGAGGGCAACTTCAGAGGAGAAGTGGTCTAAAAGTACTCTAAACAATTTACTAACCAGACCTAATCCCACTCAAGTCTAAGAAAATTATGAAAAGTCAATGGCCCTTAAGATTATGTCATTAGATCTCAATACTGCCGAACAAACAAATTATAGTAAAAATTAGAAAGTTAAGTTGCCAGCATTAAATAAATGAATTAAATTAAGAAAATAAATAAAATCAAAATATTTCATATTTAAATATTGTTCTCTATGCAAGCCATATATAAATGATGTGAAAACTATTATAATTCTTATTTTTATTTTGATACTAATTAATATATAACTTAAGTACTTTAATCCAAATTCTTCATGTACTTATTTAATTCTTTTTCATATATCTAATTCCTTTATTCCTATCTAAATAGATTCCTTTTTAATTCATCCTTTGTTGGACTCTAATAGAGTCTCTATCTTTTCTTGATTAGAGACTCTTATTTGTTCGATTTTTCAGAATTCATTTTCCATACACTAATTAAGTTAATGCAAAATATTACTTTTCTTTTTTTTCATCATTTTGGAAGTCACTTAACTTTTCCTATAAATCAAATATAGATTTGTGAAGGAAAAAATTGGCTCTCTCTAATTCAGTGTATTCTTGTTCTTTTTTATCCAAAAAGTTACGTAATATCATATTCTATTTAGTTTATTCAATCAATTGAGTTTAGAGTGTAGCTTTTTAAATAGAATTAAATATTTACTTAGAAGAGTTAGAGTTTCCAAATATTGATTTGTTTTTTAGAGACTTTTTTATAGCCATGTTTTTGTTTCTTTTTGATTATCATTCTATAAATCCAAATCTTTATTTGATTAAAATTTTAATTTCTTTGCTGGTGTAAATTCCTTATTTTTTTTAATCCCTGAAACCATTTCCTTAACATCTTATATCTCGTATGAGAATTTGTTTTTCATCTCACTAATCTATTGTTTCAATGAAATATTTTCCTATTCTAACACTTTAATTTGTTGATCAGCCTCACAACTGTCAGTCTAAGTTATGCATTCAACCATTAGTTTTGGATTCAAGACTCCTTTGGTTTCTACAATATTTCTAAAGTAATTTAAATAATTTGAATTTTCATTTGATGTAGCAATTAATTCCTAATTGCATCTTTACAATTGGTTAATTTAATCTTAAAGTCGCTACTTATCTATATTTAGTTCGGTAATTGTTTTCAATTGATCTTCAATTAAGATATTTTTTTCTATGACTAATTCCTTTATTTATTTGATTGTATTTTATTCATCCAAACTTTAATTCTTATAAAAGTCTAATTATTATTGGGCTTCTTATAATTAAGCTTGGTAGGTTTCGACTTGCTCGATCATTTCATTGTAGGCCTCATTTTAAAAATTATTAGATTCTTAAATTTCATTGATGTTGACCGTATTTTTCAGAGCACCAGCTGACATCCCAAATCTCATGGTATTAACAGATTCTAAGTAATTTTCATTGTGCTAACTGATAGTTAAGAGCATCACAGTTAATGAATTACCATTCAAACTAGGTTTAAGTATCTTAGTTAATTTTGAGTCTCTAAAATTAACAAATTAGTCCTTTTTATTTTCCTTGAGTTTGGAAACAACATTTTAAAGTGCTAATAAACTTTTATTAATTAGAAATCCTTCCTTTCTTCTCAAACCTTCAGCCTGAGTCTTTGATAATCCTTCAGAACCTGCCAAATCGACCAGATGTAGATGTGAATTACGAATGATAAATGGAGGACACTTCTGTCTTGTCTCTATGGCAATCTACAATATGACATGTGATCTAGAAGAATTGTCGTTCATCTTAGTTTCTCCAAAATGTCTTTATTCTTCACCCAATTTACTAAAATAAATAAGCTATAATTATTACAAAATGTCTTCGAATTAATTTAAAGAATTGATGGTTTCCCATTTGTATTCATTTGATGTGTTGGGTTTCATTTCTTACAGATCTTTGATCAAAAGATCGTAGATATTTTCATTGTAAATCTCAATGTACGATATCTTTAAGGTGCAAAATGTATCTGTAATCTATGGTCAAGATGAATTTAAACTTTATTGATGGATTGGAGTAGATAATCAATTGATAACTGAATAAGTCCTGGTTCCTTGTTGCTACCTTTCATTGTATAAGTTTTTCCTGAACTTGTCTACCCATATGCACAGATGGAGCCATTATATCCTAAAAGACATTTCTGTACAATTGGCTAGACCATTTTAGTGAAGATATCCTTAGAGGATGCAGATTCATCGAAAACCTATTTTTATTTGGATAATTTAACATTATCAAATGAAAAGCGCTCATTAGATTTTTTAACTATGACAGATTTCTCGTTGACAATATTACATATTTTCTCATTGGAATCTGTGGGTCTTAATCTCAAACCAACTAATACATTCTCGACATGTGGTTCATGATATTTAGACTTGGTTTATTATTCTACACCTTTTATGTTGCTCATTTTAAATTTAAATTATATAAACACACATTCAAAATAATTTACTTTACCTTCAATTAAAAAATAAAAATTAAGCGCATCAGAAATACTATCAGATTCTTAACATCTAATCTAAGAACATTAAGAAATTTGATTTCCATGCTGACAACTTAATGTTTGCTGTTTAATAGATAAAAGATTTCAATAATCATCAAATAACTATTTCATCTAAAATTATTGACAAACATCTAAGAAATCAATAATAAAATGATCAAATTTATTATAATCCAAAGATCTTAACTGTTCACAATGATTTTCGGTAATCGAAAATAAACAACCATTACTTAATGTGTTTATAAATTAAAATATCAATCCCCTTATCAGATATATACTTAAATAGTTCCCTTGTGAATGGCTGGATTCAAGAAAACAGCTGCATTTTACTACACTGAATGCTAAGATTTAGAACTACTATATTCTGAAGACTTGGTTGTGTTACCCACTATGGAATTGCAGTAAAGGGTTTTAGAAGTTGAATCAGAGCAGTTCTTATCCTAAGAGCAAGAAGTAGAATTAAGGAGAATTCTGACATCATTTTTATTGCTTCAGAGATAATTGTTGATTCAACTAAAATCTTTAGTATTGATTTATCAAGATAAATTGCAATATTCACAGAATCTAGTAATGAAAGAGATAAAGAGTATAAGTTATCAGTTAAAAAAAGAATCGATGATTTATTTTCATTTCATTTGATTTTTTTATAATAATTTCTTTATATAAAGATTAGTTATTTATTTCAATGATTTTGTGAATCATTACTGAGATAACTTACATTTAAGTTGTCCTTCAATTAGTCATTAAGTCTACAATTCTCCTCCATTAATGCTGAATTACTTTTTGTTAATCTATCAATTTATTCATCTAATTATTTAACTAAATTTATTAATTGAAAATACTTTATTTTTAGAATTCAAACATTTCTGTTCTTTTTTATTCTAGTTCATTTTACAATTGAACAATAACCTCATCCTTATTTTAAGTAACCAAACCTCCTTGACCCTTCAATTAATCTTATAACAGCTAAATCTACTCTTCTAACTTCTTTGTTTTTCTATTATTCTAGTTCACTTAGCTATCCTTAAGTGATATTTATTAAGATTTTTTTTAGATCTCGTTTTCAAGAGTCTCTATCTTACTTTAATATTCAGATATCTATTATTAATATTTTTAGTTTTATCCTTTGAGTATAAGAGTTTCATTTTATAATTATTACGTAAGCTAATTAAGTTCTCCCTCTTTCTATGCCTCAGAAGAATCTGAATTTTGAATTTTCATCTTTTATAAACTTCTGATTAATTCTTCTTGTTCTTTAATCTAGTTACTCAATTACTAATTTTATTATCGCAATCCTTCCAGCTATTACTACAATTCCACCACTTTGGTTATTTATATTTTAATTTCATTGTTTAATCTCTAATTTGATTATTCAACACCTTATTTTCTCAACAATTCTTCTTCCAATCTATCAATTTATTATTAATATTCATTTCTCAAATTTTAAGAAGGCATATTTTAATGTTTTTTCTCTTCTTAACTTAGTTTTTCAAGTTTGGTATTTAATTCTTATATTTAAAGAGAATTAGAAGTAGACATATTTTAAATTTACTTTTCATAATCATTCTTTTATTATTGAATAAACTACTTTAACTAGTCGATTTCTAATTTCAAACTCTTATTTTCTTGAACACTTTCTTATAAGGTTTATTCAAATTATTAATATTAAGATTATCTTTTCCTATCACTTTCGTAAATATCTTAGGATTAATATTAATGTTACAAAATTAAATCATTGTCTGCATTGTATTTTGAATTGAAGCTTTTATTTATTAGATAAGTTTCTGAACTTCTATCTAGAGAAAACGACTTATCCTATAGATCTCTCAAATCATCATTCAACTTATTAATTTAATGTAATAGTCCATTATTCTATTAAGTCAATATTTTGAGTTTTTCTAGTTGTTGCTCTATTATTTGATTTTTTTAATTAATAATTTATTCTTATTAGGTTATTTTTTCATTTAAACTCTGATCGAAAGGTTTGCATTATGAATTAGACTTTGACTTAAGAGGGGACTTTTCTCTAGTCATACTGAGAATTTATTATTCCATTTATACAAACTGCTCTTATAAACTTTTATGCAATTAATTTTTCTCTAGGGTTTCCTAATCGATTTATTAATTCAATTTAGGAATGATTTCATTTGTATATTTATTATTTTCTTATTTTAATTAAGATATTTAATTATTTAAAGTGCTAATTTATTGATCCTTTTTCAAAATTTACTCTTCCAGATTCTTAAGTTTATTAATCTATTATTATAACTCATTATCTTTGTTTTAAATTTAAACTGTCAACTCATTAACTTTCTTTTTCTGAGTTGTATGTTTTTATTATTCAGTATCAAGTTCTTTACTCAAATAATAACTTTCTTATTAGAGTTGCTTGATTTTTTGATCCTATTCTTTTAGTGATATTTGTAATTCTTGTTTGTATTGTTCTGTGGAGTGCAATTTAATTTCAAATTCATCCTTTTTGTTCTATGAGATCTCTAAAGTACTTTTTAAATTATCTATAAGCTGTTGTTATTATTCACATGAAATGATTAATTTAGCTTTATCTTATTCCATTGATTATAATTTTCTTATTAATTCATTTAGTTCTTAATCTCTTCCCATCTATTTTTGACTAGATAACTCTTGTATTTTAATGATCAATTGTTAGTTTTCTCTTTATAGTTTTTCACCTTCCAACTATAATTACATCTTCAATTTTGTAATTGTTTGATTACTTTCAATGTATTCATTCAAATCTTATTACAATTCATCTATTTGTTATTGTTAATTTTAAATGGTAATTGACTGATCAGAGTTTTCTTAAATTAATTATTAATTAGTTCTTTTTATTTAAACTAATTCATTTTCTTAAGTAGATAGTTTTTCAGATTACTTTTATGATAGCTCCTTTCTCATTTTTTCTATTTGTTATTAACTTTATGTAAATTCTCTCTTATAAAACTCAGAATCCTCCAATGTAATTTATAATTTATTTTTGATCAATGAAATTTCTCTCTAGTAATGTACAATTTCATCTTCTAATTTAATCAGTTTAGAATTGTCTAATTATTTAGTTGATTATGATTCAAGAGTTTAAATTTAATTTCTTAGTATTTATATTTCACTTTATAGTTCCTGATTCTCGTTCTCCCTAACATCAATATGAGATTTAGAAAATGAATGAGAAAGACTAGCCATCCTTAACTCCTACAATTCAAAATTCAAATTATTTAGTTGTAATGCTAGTCCTTTATTTTACTGTATTAATTGTTCCACTTAATTTGATTTTATAAATAAATCATCTTCTTGTTATTTGGCTATTTATTCCTTCCTTCTTAATTCGTCTTATATTTTATTAATATTTTAATCCTTCTCTCTTAATTATTCAACTAACTTATTAACCTATGCTTCAAGTCTAGATTTGATTGAATTGTGCACTTCATTCATATTTTTATTTTCTAATCCTAATTTACTAATCACTTATTATAATTCTTCCATAGAATTTTGACTATTGGTTTAGATGACCTTTAATTAATGTGTTTTATCTGCTAATTGATTTTTCAATTACACAATTTCACTTTCTTAACTTGAATATTATTTCTTTTCGGTTTAATTGAATACTACTGATTCAGAATACTATTTAGAATAGGTGACCTCTCTTGAGAGTTTATTGTTTTCGAATTAAAGATCTGATAATTAAGTCTATTATCTCCTAATTTCAGTGTCATACTGCAATTATAATTTTTAAATCTATACATTTAACTATTTATTTTCATTTTCCAATCTCAAAATATCCTATTATTTCTAAGCATAATCATCTACTTTGTTATCATTAATAATCACTCTGTATCTACTTTCACTTAAAGATACATTTTATAATTGTTAATTTAACTTATCAATCTGGTTTTGTAATGTGATTATTTATCTTGAATGCTATTCTTTATTGGATATCAATTATTAATTCAAAATATCCCTCTCATTTTAAAGAGCTTTAATTTGCTCTTAAAATTTGATTTGATCTTCAGACTTCTAATACTCTGATCGTATTTCCAATTTCAATTATTAGTTTTCAGTAAATAACAACTCTTTCTAGTTTTCTAATAATTTGTACTCTTTTGCATCATAGATTTTTGAACCTAAAACACTTTCACTGATTGATAGGTTACTTTGATTCAAATCTTTAAAGGCATTTTATTGCGATTGCAACCTTACTATTTCTTCCGTTAAATTTTTATTTTATAATTGTAATTGTTGAATTTAGACACTGAATTGCCTCTCAGCACTTTATGGAAACAATTTAAGTGTTCTATTTTCTTCTTGCAATTACATCTACTTTTATTTTAATTCAAATATAGAGTTTTCTAGTTATTTAATTTTTCCATTTAGGTATTCTTTGTCTTACAATAGAGTAGCATAATCATCTCTTAATTGAATGTTCTCTCTCATCAGATTATCTTTGGCTTTTTGGTAGTCATCAATTTAATTTTAAAGGAGCTTAACTTCATTGCTTACTGAATTATTATATTCTATTTCTCTTATTTAATTTTTGTATTTTGCTATTTCTTACTCCAATTATTTGATCTTATCTTATTGTTAAGTATCTCTTTACAATTGTATATCCAGTTTAGATTGTATTTCTTCATTCTTCCTTTTAAGAACAACCAATTATTATTCTAATTCCTTATATTAATCACTGTTGAATATTTTAGAATTAAACATGTTATCAGAAAAAGACTTAGATAAATTAATATCAGCTAAATTCTTAATTTGTTCAGTCAAATGCATATTCTCTTCAACCAATCGCTTATTTTACTTTATCAATTATTCAAATTATTTTTTAACTTGATTAGCATCTTACAAATCATTTGTTAGTTTTTCTATTTTCTTTTTCATCTTCTAAATCTCTAAATTATGTATTTATTGCATTCTTTCAATCTGTTGCTCCAATTAATGATTGACAACATTTTCTTATATTTATGAATCCTTCATTGAATTCTGTAACACAGATGAATAATCAAATTTCTCTCTTAACTATCTGATCTCTTCAAATAACTTCAAGTTTTCTTCCAAATAACGTTTATTAGCTTCAGTTAACTTCTATATTTGCAAATCTCTATCTGGCTACTGTTTTTATGGTTTTGGTTGTTTTTTCTTTGACAATTCCTCTTCTAAAATAGATATTTTTTTTTATAAGTATTGATTCTCTTGCTCTAATTATTCAATTTTAGTTTTCATAACAGGATCCTCAATCATAGACATAGACATGCTGATTCTACTCATATTTTTCATCATTTCTAATTCCAATTATAATTCTTTAATCTTATTTGTGGATGTTGCTATTTCTTACATCAATTTCTAATTCACTTATAATAACCTCTCCTTCTCTCCATCAATATTTTAACTAGTTCTTGAAGACGAACCAAACTTTTAATATTTATTCAATTCCTCTTACAACCTTACTTTCTCGTTATTGCACTCCAACAACATATCTTAATATTGTTTCACTTTCATTTCATCCAAGAATTAAGATTGAGATAGGGATTTATCATTCTTTTCATTTAAAGCCAACGTCAATCTGCCATTCTAATTCATTAGATCAGTTTCTCTCTATTTCAAAGAGTAGACTTCGTTCTTCAATGATTGAATCAATCGATCCATACTGTCCAATTAGTCCCTTGATGCCGTATTCGATTTACTATTAATTTCTATCATAGAATTCTATTTATACCTAATTCTTTATTTTCCTTAAATAGCTTATCAATTTACTACTAAAGTTTTTGTTTCTCACTCTAAAGTTGTGCAACTTCCTATTTGAGTTGTGTTATTTAAATTTGATTGTTGGTTCTGAAGTCCTAACTTGTGGCCATCATAACATTATTTTGGATGGGTTCAAACTTCTTAATTGGCATTACTGATTTCTCATTTATTAATTGCAATAATTGAGCATTCAGTAATGATTAAAAATTAACTTATTTCTAATTCAATTTCCCAATGTTATAAGCTATAAATTTCAAATGCACTCTCCTCAAAGATTACATTGAAATAAAGAAAGCACAGAACGCATCTAGTATTTACATGTCTAATACCTTTGTCATCTTTGCATTTAAATTTCATGATTTGATTGTTAAATTAAACTTAAAGTTGATTCTAATTCGACAGAATACATTAATCTGAATATTAGATCTTTTATTAGGTTGTACTATTTTCTAAATACTCCAATGAAAATATCCAATTCTAATCATTACAATTGATCTATTATCTAATATAATCATCTCTTAAATTACTTCATATTATTGTGATATAATTGGGAGAGTTTATTTTCTAATGAGGCAGAAATTTGAATTTTTTAGAATTCTATAAGTAGCCTAACCTTCATAGCCTTATTCGAATGGCTGTACGATTGCCTCAATCTTATAACCAATATCGAATATGCTGCAAGGATAAATATTGCCCTAAGTCTCAATCTTTATGCGCTCATTATCTGATTTCTTGAACCATTAAAACTTGCATCCTAATGGGATTTAGTTAATTTTTGATGAGAACGCATTGATCGTGATATTTGTGGTTTCATTTAATTATGCTGCCTAGATTTCCAAGTGATAGTTAAAGTTCCCCTTAATTTAATAATTCATATTAAATAAATGTTATTTTAAGACGATTCAGATTTTTTCATTAAACCAAATGCCTTCCTCAAACTGCTGAAGTAAGGAAAACCGAAAACTACAGAGATGAGTCGAAGAAAACCGTAAAATGTAGTAGCGAATAAAAAATAATTGAACATATTGCACTTCTCCAAACCTATTTTCCTATTGCAGATTCCGGAAGAGTCAAAAAGCAATCGAAACATCAGTAACAACACTTGCCGTAGTTGGAATACTCAATCTCATACACCAGATAGAAGAAAGATACTATTGACTTCACCAAAAGAGTCTCGTCTCGGTTACAAAGTATAAAATAAACAAGATCCAGAAGTACCTTATGAAATCCACACTCAAATGCCTACTTCCCAGATCAACCCAAAATATGTGATTCAATAAAAATAAGGTTGTGGATTGAGTAGACTTCCCAATTTTAAATTATAAATAATCAATCAATTCCCAAATCTAAGATAATTAATGCTGATGAAATAATAATGATTATATATATATAATTAGCATCAATTTTTTGATTCCTCCTCTTTTTATGCTTCAGCAGCCTCCAAAGGATTGTCATATGCCCATTCATCAAAGTCCTCGATTTCCTTATCTGTAAATTTAGTACTCTAAATTCCGATTAATATCATACTTTTATTTTATTCAAATCACCTTCACTAACAGCTCCTGTTTTTTTAGCATCCCTTAACTTCTATAAGATCATTTTATTTTTCTTAACAGTCTTGTATTCATTCTCAGCCAATTATGCAAGTTCCTGGTTTTTGGCTTTATAGAATCTGTACATGACTTTGATCTAAGAATAAGTATGAGACTAATAATTTTACATTTTCACACTTCTTTAAAAGAGGATCCTCATTGATTTCTGGTTCGAAATAGAAGTAAATGGGTAATTAGAGTTCTTCCTTTGGATTAAGTAGTTGTTAATTGAAGCAAAAACATTGGATTTTGGCAAAATAAAGGCCTGCATCTTCAGGGAATATTTAGTAAGTAGCAAAACCTTAAATAATTATTATATAAAAAACCTACTACTGCTTTGTCATTTCTATTGTAAGCTCTATAAAAGACTAAGGCAGTTTCTCCAGCATGAACAGTGACATTCTATTGGACAGGGAGAAATTCCCAGTTGGCTTCAGGATCAGTTTCTGCTCCAAATTCAATATGATATTTTCTGAAGACATCCACTAGTAATGAAAAGGATGCGAATTACATTTTTTGCCTTTCATTGAATAGTCCTTCTTATCAAGGTCTCCTTCCAAACCAAAATGCTCACACCACAATCTGTAAAATGGGACTGCACCAAATGCACATCCAAACGCTGCTCCATATAAACCAATATTATAGAGTAATTCTTATCGTCTTTTCTTTTTAAATGATGATAGATTATGTTAAATGTTAGATCTACTGGAATGTTTGAATGAGTAAAACAATTTGGATAGTTTGAACATTATTAATATAAATTTGGAATAAAATTGTATTATCATGTTTATTCTCAATTCTTATAAAACGAAGATAACAAAAGAATTATTAGATTGTTCTTAACTTTGATATGGTAGTGTTATCATTCAAGTATTGCACGTATTGTAATTTGCCTGACTGTGCTTATTATAAATCTAAAATCGAAATTATGTTTCTTCTCATTAAACTTCTTTTACTAAACAATTTAAAGCAAAACACTGCCATTTTCAATCTGCTCATCTTTTCTATTTCATACTTGCTAATATTTACCATTCATGCCACTTATAATTTATATCTGTACATTTATTATTTTAATTGTTTATTCAAAAATTGCATATATTATTTATCTAATTACTATGAAACATCCATAAATTAATATAAAATATCTATATCAGAAAAATAGAGAATTATAATTACAAAAGGAAAGGTTGTGCATATTAAATCATAACCAAATAGCTATTTAAATTTTAATTATATTTCAATATAAATATTAAATTCAAGTGTTAATATTTTTAGAGTTTTGAATAGATTAATATTCTGAAATATGTGCTAATTAAGTATTTATATTTCCAATTTAATTTTACAGAGATTAAATCGCCTATTGTTAGAGTAGCTAATTATTGTTACTCATCTTTTGTTGCATTTACAAAATCTAAGTCTCTAATTTATTGATCTTTAAGGTTTTTTCTTCATTTTAAGTTTTATTTTACATCAATTGATTGTTTAATTATTACACTTGAAGTGATAAGTCATTATTTTATTGTGATAGATCCTAATATTATTCTTATAGTTTTTGTAATTTCTTATCTTATTTTTCTTAATTCTCTTTTAACTATCTGAGAAGCCCAGACATTGTTTCGTTTGATATTTTCAATAATCTAATTTCTTCAATTTGATTTACTTAATAATTATTGGGTTATTGAAGTTAGTTGTTTCTTGCAAAATTCGATTTCATTTCTTCCAACATTTTTTTTTATTAGTCCATTTCTTCATGCATTTCATGAATCTAAACTGCAATTTCAGGATCCAGGTCCTTCTCATCCATTTGATGTAGTTCGTATTATATTTATTGAATGTTTGTGATAAAATAATCCAAATGGCTAACATCATAACCATATCTTTTAATATTCTCAACTTATAGTTTGAAATTACTGAAATCTATTTTTATTTTGCTAATCACATATTATTATTAAACTTACATAAAATAAATTTTGTTTATGATTAATTCATTTTAATTAACATTATAATAGCGAATATAATAAATAATCTTTCTTAGTTAGATCTTATATTTGATTTATTGTTTGATTATGTAAATGTTCCTCAAATTACATTTAATAATCAAGAAATATTAAATACTCATACTGCTTTATAGAATAATAATATCTCTTAATGCAAATTTACTAAATAATCTCATACTTCTCGATCCTTAATTTATATTAGAGAATAATTCATTCATAGTGAGGAATGGCTATTAGTCGATAAAATATCTTAATATTAAATGGATTGTTATAAAACACTCCTAGATATATATAACCAATTAAAAATAATTTTGAATTAAAATAAATTTGACTTATCTAAATATCAAATCTCATTTAGTTAATAAATTATAGAATTTATTATCATAGTTTTGCACAACCTCTTAATAATCCTTCAAAATATTCTAATCAGTTCTTAAAATAATTTCTTTAATTTAATCGAGAATCAGACGAATTGATATTAAGTTATTTATTATCATGATAATATTATCATCCTTTGAAATATGATTATTTCTAAATATTAAATTGAAAATGAATTTTAGTTAAATGCAGTTTTATGACATTTTCATAAGAATTGAATTTTAGTAAAGAGAATTTATCAATTAGTTAATTCTATTTTAGAACATAAATAAATTATGATATCAATATTATCTTAATTCATTTAAGTATTTTTTTAACAATATCTATGTATAAGAATTTCCCTTCATTTTTTGGATCAATGAATTTCATATACTCATCTGCCTCATCTTCAGTAAATCTATAGCCCATAGTCATTAACAATTCTTTGAAATACTCACTTTAAATATACCCAGTGTTTTCTAAATCCACAGATTTAAAAGCTAGGATAATAATACTAAGAATTATACCTTCAATTAGTTATTCTTCTCTATCTTATTCCCTTTTCTTTTTGCTAACTAGAATGAATAGAGCATCGGATCTGATTCCTTATCCCTCTGAATCTTCAAGTTCCTTGTATAACTCACTCAATTCCTATTCTTCATAGATGTATCCAATGGATGTCAACAATTCTTGCAATTCAGTAAAGCTTATTCTTTCATCGCCATCTCTATCAAATAATTAAAAGTTTTCTCGATATTTCTTATCTTCTGCATCTGAGAATAATCTATCTTCATTTTCGTAACTGATACTTTTTAAAGTTGTCATCAGAGTACAAATGGCTTTTAAGTTCTTCAATGACTATTCTTGGTTCAATCTTAGGCAATCCGTCATTCAAGGCTACCTTTTCTTTTTGTCTCACCTGAGATAAATTAGTTTATGTTTAATTCATATTAATTAAATATAATATTCATAATCACCCATTCAGAACATAATCTAAGTTTTTGTATATCTTAATATATAATAAATTAGGACCTAAAATAGAAATGCTAATAATACAGGCATCGAAAGAGAATTAAGTAGTAATTTCTGCCTTGGGTCCCACTATTTATAAACCTTTATATATCATTTAAATAATAAATGTATTTTAACGTAAGAACTCTAATGAGATGAACCCCTCAATATAAAAGTTTAGAGCAATACACGAATCGGCTTCGAGATTGCTCAATTCTACCTTGATATGTCTATGATATTTTTAGATGAGAAATAAATATAAAAGATTGGAGAATATAAATTAGATGATATGTTATATTGATGTAACAACAAAGTGATCTGACTAATCAGATTCGAATTAAATAGATTTGTTCTCTACATCAGCCACAGTATTCATAATCATTAAAGATTGATAAATTAGATTCTTTAAAGAAAATGTTTCTAAATCTAAATTGTTGATTTTGAAATAGTAGATCTAAAATGCATCCAAGATCATTTTGATCTTTGTGTTCGAAATAATCTGCCCACTTATTAAAGATTCACTGACTTTTAAATAATACCTATCATCAGAATTCTATTATAATTAACATAATTAGAATAATTGTTTGTTTGTTCTTAAATTAATCTTATCTAATTTGCTGGATAATAGTTTAATTTCCTTATCTTTTTATTTCAATTTATCATCATCTTGTAAAATATCCTGTCTCTATTCCATCAACATCAATATTTCCCTATTCTCATTCTAATACGCATACAATTTAATATTGTATAATTATTTGGAACTATTTTTTTGAATAATAGCTTCAAGTTTTTTTAAAGGAGTCTACTCGATAATCATCTTTTCATATAAAAATTGTCCTATTAATTTGGATTCCATAGCCAAACTACGCTGATTTTGATTAATTTTAGAAGTGGCTATTGAATCATAAATTGAGTATTGATGTAAGAAATCCCTAAAATCTTGGTTGTTCGAGATTCCTAATTTTTGCTCAGCATATTGGTTAGCGTACTTTAATTCAAATTAAAATGATTTTTTATCAAATTTAAATTAGATATATATATTTTGGATTATTTCATTTAATATGTTTCCTAGATAATGACTATAAAAATACTTATTTCTTTTTCATTCTGATATTAAATGAATAATGTTCGCTTTATGTATGATTTCCTGTAGAGAAGCATGAATAAATATAGCGATAAAACTATGTAAAGTATAGCCATTCCATCGAAGGTAAAATAAAATAGAATATATATGAAACGGGCTGTTGTTATTGCCATTAAAGAGAACGCATTCCACACAAAATCGTAATGCTCCAATAATGTAATATTGATGATTATTATCCCACATCCCGATACATATGAATTATCATATGCAGGTGTATTCACATCCACTAAAATCTGTATGGCAGTCATAATCAGATTATTTATCACAAATACACTGCATATACTCTTTCCTTTACGATATTTAACTATAAATGGAATTTGTAAAATGAAAAATATAGTTATGATTGATTCCAATAGCCCATTTACTATCTATCCACCTTTGAGTTGGATTATGGTCACACTTAAATTGATGATTATTAAGATTGGTTGATAATGTTTAAAATGAAATAAGCATGATTCTCTTGTAAACTCTTCATATTTACTCTCCATTTATGGTGGAAACCTTAGTGTAAATTTATTCATTTAAAAATTAAAATTATCAATAGGTCAATCCTTTATACATTTAATGTACACATACATATCCACAAATAGTTCGCTCTTTTTCACTGTAAATCTGGTTTGTACTCATTTCCATTGTAATGATATGTCAATTACCATAAAAAAAAAAAACCTACTATTTTTAGATCAATTATTTTATTGGCTACATTATAGTTTACCATACACTTGTTTTATCCTAGATTAATTTTGATTGATAAAAAGTTATTTAATGGTTACGCCCTTTTCAATAGACCAAATAAATTTAATAGACCCAGCAACAATATAATCTGTATCTGATCATAAATCCTATCTATCGAAAATAATGCCTAAATAAAGGCATTCTTTTTGATATATATAAAATAATTGAAACTAAGTAATGATGGAGAAGATAAACAACTTATAGACTTGGATCAGGCGAAAATTAGTACTAATAGAAAGTAATAGAGGAACTTCTCGATGTATTAGTAGGCCTATTTAAAAAGCTATCATTTTCTTGATGCCTCAAAATTATAATGATAAGAGTTTAGTTGAACAAATAGTTAACAACCATTGAAAACTCTTGGAATTAAGAATGATTCATCCAACAGGAATTTCAGCCAGAATTTTTATAATACTATCTGAATAGCTCATCTGCTTTGAACAAATCAATAAAATTTCAATTTCTAACGTCAACAACATCAATATTTTAAAAGAAGGAGTGTGCATTAGGATTGGAACAACTTAAAGATAAAAAAAACAACAAGTTATGCTCCTTTGAATAGAGTCCTATATTCAACTTGCAAAAGTATTTCACCAATAAAATAAAAATTCAGAGTAAAGTCCAAGCATTTTTGCTACATCTTTGATGCTTTTTTTTCTGCCTCAATAGAGGAGCAAAAAGAAATTGATAAAATAAGTCATATTTTACAAATAACAGAAGAAATCATATTTTGAGTTATCTGCAATAATCTGCTCCAACCCTTAATTAGTAGAAACTATTAATCAAAGATCTAATGGAAACCAGACAAGATCGTTCTTTAATAGAGGTTTGAAATTATTCTTAAAGTTCATCTAATAATTAAACTCTGAAGGAAATATTCTCAATTGCATTGCTTGTGATACGCAATTATAATTGGGAACTAATTGAAGGTAGGCTATTTGAAACTTGTTTTGTCAAATTTAAATATATGATTCAAGAAATTTCTTAAATAATGAAGAAATGAAGCGAGAACTTATGGTATCCATTGTTATTTATACATTAGATATATAAATTCTGAATTTCTGTTAGAGAACTTTAAAATAAAGACGTACTCAATTACAATTAATGAATAATCTAATTCTGGATTACTCTGATAACATTTATATATATTTGTGTTATTAATATATTAGTTTAATAAATTTTTATTGTTAATTTAATATGGCAACTAACAATCTTCCAACATTTTACCCAGGATAATAATCAATGACAAATGTTTAACCATCAATATTCTAATAACAAGGAGGTGAAGAATATTATTTATCAGAGTAGGACCTATCTATTAAGGCAATCAAGGTATTCTATAAGGATTAGGGTCACCTTCAGTAATGTAGTAAAATTAATAGATACCATATGGAAATCGTATGAAATGCTTAAAATATTAGAATACGGATTAAATGGAAGTAATTATGGGGTTCCATCATACTAATCTCCTCAAAGAATCGTGTCCTAAAGAATGATGTAATAATCTCCATAAGTTATTACATCTCCTATAATTCAACAATAAGCTCCTCCTTTTTAATAATAAGTGCAATCGAGTGTGCAATAACCATCAGTCAGTATCAGAATAACGATAACATTAAATAGTTCACAATGTTGAGCATGTCCCAGTCATTCATGAACTTCATCATGTGAATCGTCCAATAAATGTCATTTCAGTGGATGAGATTGAAGGGCCTTGGAGAAGCAAAGTATTGTTGTTGGAGAAACAATTAATTGAATTATAATTGATGTTAAAGAAGGGTCCAGTTAAGTAGGTGCAAGCAAAGCAAATAGTAGTGGAAGACGAAGGAAAAGTATGTTGAATAAATACTATCAATTAAATAGATCAGATAACTGTAAAGTGAGGTGGAAAGACTCCAAGCCATCCTAAGAGAGAATCAGAAAGAGATAGATGAATTGTAATAACTCATAAATGATGCTACATTCAATCTAGAAAATGCTGAGGAGTAGGCATCCTCTCAAGTGGAAGCTCAATAAGCCGAATTGGCCAAATGGAAGAAGAAGTTTTCAGAGTTGAATAAGAAGTTCCATGATATTGAAGAAGATATCACTATGACTGAGGCTTAAATAGAGAGTATTCAGAAAAGAAAATTGGTCACTCAAACTACATCTACTGTTAAGACTACTGCCAAAACTTCAGGAGTATTTCTCCATATTTATAATTAGGGTACATATGGGGATGGAGATGTCAGAAAGAGCGGTTTTAGCAATAGGAATTATTGATTTATTCAAAAATTATAAACATTTATGCTAAATACAAATTCAAATTAATTTGTTCATTCCAAATTAATCTACGCGTGTGCCATATCTCCTAAAAGTACTATAGATAATTAGAGAATTATATTGGGAACTATTGGCTCAGGAGGATAATAAATTATATGTAACCAATCAATTAATCTATTTTATAGAATTGCAATCTGCACAAGAAGGCTATAAAATTAAAACCTATCATTTGCATAATGCATTCAGTGCTAAATTATTATTTCTCAATCAAAATGAAGGAAACGAAAGATTTGTCTCTGCCGGCGAAAAACTTTAAATATTTAAATCAGAAGACTAAAAAATCAGTCATATTTGTGACCTAATGCCTTTAAGCAAGGAGTATGTCGGCCCTACATTCGCCTTAGATTTTCATTATGAATAGCAAAATAGATTAAGTATAGATTTTCACATATCTCACTTTTAGTCTCTGGTTCTCTGGATCCTACAATAAGAATTTGGGATCTCGAAAAGAGAAAGTGCTAATATCAGTTTATTGCATATGACATATCCAAAGAGCCTGATCAATACACTTTGGATTTGAATATAGGTCGTGATACAAACATCTTGGCATTCCTGAATAATTATAACCAAATTGGAATCTACGATATCAGAACTAAAATGGGTCTGCACAAAATCAAAGGCAAATTGTAGTATAATCAAGTGATCTGGAATAAAAAATAAGATAATAATTTGATTGCCATAGATTATGAGGCGGGTCTTATTGATTTTTATGATACCCGAGATTTTAAAAATAAATATAAGAGAATCAGAACTGACCATAGATAAATTGTCAAAGCTGAATGGTTTCAGGATAGAAAGTAATTAAGCATTATAATGATTAGTTCTTTGATTACTGCAGGACTGGATAGATAAATTATTCTTTACGAGGGTGACAAGTATCTGGAACCATGCTTTGGGTTAACTAAGAATTATGATATAGACAATTTCTGTTGTCAAAACAATCTATTTGGAGTTGTCTCTGAATATTCTTTCGAAGTTTTTAGTTTTGAAACCTAATGAATTTTTTATTAAAAATTATTTATGATAAAAAAATTCATTTTTAATTGCCATCTCAATCGATTCTAATTCAGCAATACTTTAAACAATATAAGCAAAACCTTATACTTGATAAATTAAAGATTAGGTGAATTAAATACTGAATATGAAACGTATTAAGATCAAACAATTAAGTAATTGCACTTCATTAATATCTAAGAGGAGACATGAACGAAATCAAAAGAAGAAGAATGAATGAACTACAACCTAAAATACACATCTATAAATAAATCTAAGCAAGTGTGTCTGTTATTGAAGATGCCAAATAATTAATTGGTATGGGAGGTTCCTCTGATGAAATATCAATGTTAAATGAAGAAATTTAAGTACATTCAATATAATAAATTTAGTCTTAAATTGAATATTTAAAGAAATATTAAGATGATGCTCTATCATAATTAATTGAAGAAGATGAGTACGATCACATTAGATAACTCAATGTTGAAGTGAGAGCAGGTGTTGGAGGCAGTGAAGGTTCATTATTTGCTGAAGATATAATTGGAATGATCTAGAATTATGCTAGTCTCTAAAATTGGGATTGCAGAGTAATTATAATTAATATTTTAAAGGTAATATCAATACAAAAAGACAACCAAATTGGTAAAGGTTGTAAAACAGGTATTCTATAAATCAATGGTGAGAATGTTTATTAACACTTAAAGTGTGAATCTGGAGTACACAAAGTTATTAGAGTTCCAGAAACAGAAGCTAAGGGAAGATTGCATTCAAGCACAGCCTCCATGATTGTACTTCCAAAAGTAACTGATAGCTTTCATTTAAGTGACAAAGATTTGAGATATGAATATATGAGAGCAAGTGGACCAGGTGGTCAACATGTTAATAAAACTGAAAGTGCTTGTAGAATTACCCATGTTCCCACTGGAATTCAAGTTGTAAATATGGAAGACAGAAGTTAAGAGAGAAATAAACAAAGAGCATATCAGATTTTAAGGGATAAATTATTTGCAATTCATGTGTAAGAGAAATAGGAAAGAATGGCTCAAACTAGGAAAAGTTAAGTTACTGGGTCTGATAGAAGCGATAAGATTAGAACCTACAATTTTCCTTAAGAACGAATTACTGATCATAGAACTAATTTAACTTTGTATGGCATGGAAAAAATGTTATCTGGGGAATTGTTAGGCGAATTCATCTAGAAGTATTAGGAGAAAATTCATAATGCCAAATTACAAGATTTATTAGATGAATTATAAAATGAAAATAAGAAATGATAATTTTATGTGCGTATTTATAATAATATTATTTATCTACTATCATCATTAATTCAATAGTATATAAACTTTAATTATTATAATATAAAATATTGAATAAGATGTGGGTCAATTTATGATATCAATAAATTATGGGTAATAATAAGATTTTTATATAGGTTTGTGATATCTTAATTAGTGAAATTATTTTGATAGTTTTATAGTTAATAAAATAAACTTAAATATAAAAAGGTTGATAAATAACATGTTATTATTAAACTAAATCAGTTATGAATTAATACAAAAACCATCTCTATTAAAATCAATTTAATCAACAATATCATTAATATAATTAAATATATATATATATATTAAAAAACTCGTGGTTTCAACTTAGGTATAATATCTTTATTCCTTTCTCCTATCAGATTAACTCTTGTATAATAATTTTCATTTTCAAAATATACTTTTTTTGAAGAGAAATATATTTAACTATTTTAATTAAATTCATCACAATTGATATTAGTATTTTTTTCGCTAAATTTTCTCTTCATTTAGGGAATGATCCTGTCATCATCCTAATTAAGGTTAAAAATTATTATCAAAGATTCATACTCTCAACTCTGGTCTATGGTAATATACTTTAAAAATAAAATAGATTATTGAATATACTAAATATTTCATCCTCCTCTTCATCATTTAGGGCTACTAGGGCATATGATTTGATCTATAACTTTTTATTTTGAAATTTCTAATGTGAATTTGAAACAGGTTTCCTTCTTCTTAAAACAAGGACTATCTATGTAATATCTCTTAAATATAAACGTCACTTCCGAAATGTTAAGATCTATGCTTTTTAAACAATTTTGCATAAGTTAATTTATCAGTGTCTAATTATATTTGATTAAGTCTTAGGACTTAAATCGATTGAATGAGAGAAAAAGATATTAGTATTTGATTTAGTTTATTTGGAAGAATGAAAGAAATAGTTTGTTAGAGTATCACTAATTTTTTAATTTATAGTTATTTAAACTCTATTAATGCGTATCATAATCAATGTACATAATGACTAGAATCAATTTATTCGACTTTAACATATTTATGAAGTTCACTTTTGGCTGCACTTTTATCGTAATCTTCTTCATAATATATCTTATCAATTTTTGTTGACAAAATGATCTTTGTACATTGCAAACATGGAAATAGGGTAGTATACATAACCATATTTTTAGACTTTTTGGTACCTATTTCCAATATGGCACTCTCTTCAGCATGAAAACAAAAACATTTTTCTAGATCTACTCCTTGTTTTGTATTTTGATTGCACCTGTCACATCCCTTTTCCCAACAATTCTATTTGCCATAAGGAGTGCCATTATAACCAGTTGCAACAATTCTGCTGTCTTTTACAATAACAACACCGACTGCCCTTTTCATACAATTTGATCTCTATTTAACAACATTTGCTAGATGCATGAAGTATTAATTCCAATTAGGTCTGATTGGTCTGAAGATATCTTAATACTTCTTATAGAAACTAATGAGTAGATCTTTTTAGTCTCCCACATTGCCTATTTAGACTTTTGCTTTATGCATGAATTCTGAGATGTTGTCAGATATAACATCGTCAATAATGCAGAATAAATCAAGAGGGATGTTTAATTAATATTTCTTCATAAAGTTTTCATACCTTTTAATTATAGGTGCCTCTACTGCTATCAGATGAAAGTAGTTTCTTTGATACAATAATTCTAATTCATATTTATCAGTTATGGGATAAAGAATTTGATGTCTAGGATTATAAGTCAAACAACTTTCCAACTTTTGTTTTGTCGAATGTGGATGGAAATGTTGATCCCTAGTTTCCTTTAATAATTTTTCTAATTCCTCCAATTGATTAGTATTATAACAACTAAGATCTAAACCCATTTATTTCTCTTGCATCATTTTTAGAGTATCATCTAAGAATTCTCTAATATTCATGGTCTCAGTGATTGAAATCACTTGACATTCCGTACCTTAGTATTTACTGATGATTTATGCTACTTCTTCTTTACCAGATCTAAATCAAATTGATAATTACCCTAGTCTTCCACACAAACCAATTATTAACCCTTAATTATTATTACTATGCATAAATAAAAATTTGTATATTATTTAACTTAAAATAATTAGACTTCACCACATCAATGTTTTCCAATGCCATTTTTAATCCATTTCAAATTAAATAGATTCAAGCATTACTCTGCGTTATATTACTTTTTTTTTCAATAAAATTAATCTAATTCTATTAGATGTAATTAAACCAACCTTGATGATCAACGAACTTGAAATTTATTCATGTCCACAATAGATTAGATTTTCAATCCCTGGCCAATCTAAGAAACTGTGTATAGAAAACCATGAATTTAGTGTGATTGACCATCATTATTTATAATAAAGACCTTTATCAATATATTAAATAATTTAATACTCATCTCCTTGTTTTATAGATCAAACAATTATCTGGTTCTGCACCATAGAGAAACCTGATACCAAACTTAAGTTAAACATCTGGGTTAAGACTAACTTAGAACTTTCTAATGATATGACATAAAATGATTTTTAATTCCATTTAAGCCATATGTTGACCAATGCAATTTCTTCCTCCTGCTCCAAATGGAATATGAACAAAACCATTATCTGATTGAATAGCTCCTTGACCAGTCAACCATCTCTTGTAATCGAATACTTCAGGATTACTAAAATGCTCATTTCTAATAACAGGAATATCATGTCTTTGGACTACCATCCATCCTATGATGTATTAATTAGATCATACCTTTTTTAAGTTTGATATCAAGAAATTGCATATCCTATTAAACCAACCTTACAAAAGGGGAAAAAGCTGGATTCCTTAATCTGAAGACTTCCTAAAAGATTATAGGATATTTTACATTTATAAATGCGTTCATTTTCACAAGCTTTGGAAGATGAGTATCCTAAACATCTGAATCTTACATTAAATCTTTAATCTCCTCCAATAATTCATTTTGGACATCTGGATATTTTGCCAAATAAACCAGACAAGTTACAGTCATAGTTGCAGTTGTATCAGTTCCAGCAAAAAACAATGTCAAAAACTATTAAAGTACTGGTTCGAAATCTATGTTCTTTTTACTTCCTTCATTTTACTATTTCAATAATTCACATAAATAAATATCTAAAAAACATTAATCTTTATCTTTCTCTTTCCTTGCTTCAGTTTCTCCTTTTAACTATTGTATCCTTGTTTCAATTAGTTGCTTTACAGTGTTTCTAAGCGTATCCACCCTATTATTTATATCTTTTTCCTTTTTAGTTGCCAATATTCTCCATCCTTTATTACCTAGTATCATTAATTTAATTTAAGTGTAAGCATTTTTAAATCGTTACAACATTATATCGGCAACTAGCTTTACTATTTCTACTTGTCCAGGTTTCCCATTTATAGTTAATCCTTTGGCAATTTCACCAAAAAAACTATGAATGACTACTTCTCCTGTTATCCATGAAATGAAATCAAAAGAATTAGTTTTTGGATCCAAAATACATCTTTCTTTTACAGTTTAATTAATCATAGGAATTCTTGATTTCAATTTCTCAAAAGTAAAGGCTAATCCTAATAGAGTTCTCTAAAATCTCCATTCTTCACCTTCTGTCATTAACAATCCTTTATCAATCAAGTTGCTATCTACAATTCATATTATACTCATATCTAAGAAGATTAAACTTTGGGAAATTTTAATATTCCAAATACATTTTCTTAATATATTCGCTATCCACAAAATTTATGAATGGTGTATCCAAAAAATTTGTCAACAAGATCTTTACTTGGGGATTTTCCCTCATCCTCTTTCTTAGATCATCAAAAAAATCACCATTTTATTTTAATGATCTAAAATTGTATTTCAACAAGCCCCAAATTGGTGCGTACCACAAATAAGCCTCCTTTCCAAATTAAAGCTTCAATATCAATAATGGTATCAATGGTTTCAAAACTATTCTATAAAGGACATAAAAAACAAATATGATTATAATATAAAAAATCATTAATTTTAATATAATAATAAAAATAAAATAAATATCAGATAAATCTCTAAGAATTTTTAAATACTGACGATTGATGATTTAATTAATGTTATCAATTTAAACAAATCTGTTATCAATAAATTAATATTTTTCAAAATAAATTTCGATTTTTGTATATTCGGATAACCCTTAAAGTTTATGAAATTGATCATTAATTCTCTTTCTCAAAAAACCAAGAAATTTTGTTTTGAATTATTTCAAACTATATATTATTTATCCATTCTAAAATAATTTTACAGAAAAGGGAAATTATAATTCTATAACTAGACTTTTAGAGTATTTTTAAATTCTTTCTATTTAAGCTTATAAATGATAACTTTAGTGCGCATTATTGTTAATAGAATAAGAAATTGGGGTTTATAACCTGACCAGGGTTGATTAAATTTCCATATAATTTTTATCTGACTATAATATAAAATTCAGAATAGGCTTAAAGCCTAATTCCATCAGTACCGATCTATACTTCAACTCCTTAAATACTACAAGAAGTCTATTTGCCAACTCTTGGTTACCAATAATTTAGAGCAAATATATTAGATGAATACGATCAATACTTTGATTTTGATGACTTCAATCAAATCAATCGATATGATGACATCATTCAATTAAGTTAGATTGGAGAATTGAGATTTGGGAACCCATTTAGTTATTCTTATGTTTCTCCATGGGAAGAACTTAGATAATTAAGTTTTGTGAATTATTAGGTTTAAGAAAAGAGTGCAAGTTTAATTTGGAGTAAAAGTTTATAGAGAGTATTTGAATAGAATGATTTTAATGAATTAGACACTCTTCAGAATGTTTTTAAAGAATTGAACACTCTGCATAATGTTTTTAAAGAATTAAAATCTCTTCCACATTATAGCGATAAAAATGTAAGGAGGAAATCAATACGATGATTGGAATCCATCTTATCTTAACCGATAGGATGGATTCCAATAGAGAATAATTACATTTACATTTATGAAATGAAATGAAATGAAAACCATTTATTTATATAAACATATATCTATAGCCTTTCTAAAATATGAAAGTTTAATTGAATTATAATGAAAACTTTAATTCTATTAACTTTTTTTTGCTATCCCAAAGAAATTCATAAGAACAAAATAGTAATTGTTTTGATTTTATCGATATGATGAAATCAAGGGTTATTGTACACATAGTCAGAATTTGATGGAATAAATAAGTAATATTGTAATAATGTTATATTAATTTTTAATAAAATTATTAATTATTCTCTTTGATTCTAATTAATTATGTTTTGATTAACGTCAATAGCATATATTATGTGGATCTGATGAGCGATTATAATTACTGTAATTAATTAGGAAAACACTTCATCATAATGGTAATTATTTTCATTTAGAGAGCGATTTTCATTGCATATGTCGTTTAAGTTAGATATGGAATTTTAAACACTATATTCTTTTGGTTATAAAGGTGTAGTAATTAATATTTAATTCTATAATTTATTAAAATAAATTCAAATTTGATTGTTATTATAGCATTAATTAATAATATAAATGAAGATTTATTATTGTAATTATTTATGATTATTATAAAATTTAGTATATCTTATTTAGCAATTCATTAGGCTAAAGTATTTAGCAATAAATTATCATATCTTATTATATTTTTTACTTATGTAAACAACAATGGACAAATTGTATATTGGTATACGAGCTGAAGACAAATCATACATGGAGAGAAGAACACCCATTCCCCCTCATGATTGCAAGTATATTATGGAAAAAGTATATAATTCAAAATATTTGTAGCATAATCAAATTTAAATAATTGTATAGCCTTCAACGAAGAGAATATTCACCGACGATCAATACTTAGAAGTGGGATGCTTGGTTTAGGACGATTTATCGATCTGCAGAGCAATCATATGTATTAAGGAAATTCCCATTGAAAAATACATAGAAGGAATGACATATTTAAATTGGTCTCACACTTTAGAGGGGGAACCATATAATATGCCAGCTCTGGATGTGATGCTTAAGAAAAATATTAGGCATTTGGAGTACGAACGAATTTACGACGATAACGTAATCACTTATTATACTAGAATAGGGTGTTAACATAACCTCGTTCCCTTACGCTGGTATCGCAGGAATCATCACGTTCTTGAATGAATACGGCAAGTACTTACTCAAAAGAGACATGAATACACCATTTTTGCAAATCGGTCCAACTTTCTAATATTATAATAAAAAAGACGCTTATGAAGCCTTATAAAAGGCAGGCTAAGCTATTTAAGAAAGAGGACTCCCTCCTAAGCTAGGGTTGCCACTAATAATTGGAGTAATGGGTTCAACTGGTTCATGTGGTAAAGGTTCTTTGGAAGCCTTGTCTCAACTTCAGATTACACTGGTAAATCCAGAAGATTTGAAAGAACTAGTTAGGAACTCAAATGATAAAAAACATAGGAACACCGTTTATGTTTGTCCTTTTAAAACTACTGATTTGGTTAGGCATAAACATGATGTTCACAAAGAATTCACATCTCAAGATTATTATGAAAATCCATTAGATTATGAACCTATCTTCCATCAGAAATACCTACCCTATCTAACGATTCTCGTTAACGATATTTATTGGGAATACAAGTTTCCTCGATATGTTACTGATTCCTAAATTAAAGTAAGAAATATATTCTATAACTTAGGAATTATTTGAATCTGGTAATAGTAGATTGCAGGCTGTATGTGATGTTACATGTGATCTAGAAGGCTCCATCTAATTCTTAAAGAAGTTCACTAACCCTGATCATCCAGTTTACTATTATAATCCAATATCTCAATAAGTTCACGATGAATTCGATTTCGAATCTCAAAAGGACATCATGTATATGTCAATTGATTTCTTGCCATCCTAAATGCCATATGAAGCCAGCATGGATTTCGGAAAAGCTCTAAGGAATATTGTTCCATACTTGGCCTACTCAGACCCAACAAAACCTTTAGAAGAGAGTGGGCTACCTGAATTTTTGTAAAATGCAACTGTCACTCTACATGGTTAACTTACTTAGAAATTTGAATACATCAATGAATTAAGAAAACTTAATGAAACAGAAACTGACCATTAAAAGTTCAGAATGATAACGTCATACTATTCAAACAAAATTAATACAATTAAAGATAACACCTCAATAGACAATAAGTCACTATCTTAATAATAACTGTAACTTAATATCTTATTATATTAGATCAACTGATTCTGATGCATAGGATGATAGATTCTAATCAGAGGATTAATCTAGAAAGCTGCATACTTCTTCTAGTATTAGTGAGACTAATATCGATGAGGGTAGATCAGTTAATAATCAACGAACTTTGGAAGAACAAATCTAAATTTCATGATTATTATTAATTTAGCTTTATTATTATTTTGAAATTTATATTTATAGTTAAATTTCTAATTAAGTCAAATAATAAATGGAATATCATTTATTACAAAATAAACTTTGGAATTTGATTTAGCAAATCAGATTATTTTAATGTGAATTTCCAAAGTCATGATTTCCTTATTATAATTTTAGAAATGAGTAAGTATTTATTGTATTCTTAAATACTCATAAGAAATATTATGTCAAACTAATTCTTTTTTTGAAATAAATGTTTATCTCCTAATTATTTTATGATTGTATTGATATGATTTACTATAATTTAGTGAGTACTTGGTTACAAAATTGTCTCTTAATGATCAAATAGAAGTAAGATATTGGATTTACAAATTGTATAAAGTTTCTCAAGATCATTTATTAAAATCCACTTTTGTTTAGAATTGTTTGTATTTGAATATGGAGAGCAAAACTTAAGAATTATAATAGTTGTTTATTTTGATTATTTAAATATTATAGTAAATTCCTATGTTGATTTAATGAATAAATAATCTCTTTTATATTTATATTGTTTCACATCTACATTATTTATTCCTTTTTTCTATACATTTATAATATAAAATTGTAAAACAATTAAATTTATGTAAAGCTTTTCGAATTACTTGATAAGCTATTCACAATTCACAACACTAAAAATTTATAAAAACCTAATGTAAATGGATGCTTTTATATTCTATTTTGCAGTTAGATCTTGCAAACAAATCAACATCTTGTTAGGAATAGCAGATATCATACACTTCATCTTATTTTTCCCTATCGCATGTCAAGACCATTCTGAAAATACTATTCAATTGATTCAAACCTTTACTTTCATTTTCATTTATAAGATAATGATATACTTTTCCCTTCATAAAATATGAGTTACTTCATATTGACTAAAAAAAAATTCTTTAATGATTATGAATGATTTTGAAAATTTATTTATCATTATATTACTATCATCATACGATAAATTGATCTAAAAAATGAAATTGATAATTACATCAATCATTAATGATTATCTAAAATTAAATTATTCTAAAATTTACCATTAAATTAGGTTTATTGAATTGATATCAAATCAGAATGTTTAGAACTACTTATCAAAGAATTTACAAAGTAAGGCATTTTAATTATTATTGTAATCTAAATAACATCATAAGTTCAAGAAAATAATTAGAAATAAAGGATTTTTCTAATTTAATAATGATATAATTGAATTTAAGAGAAATCTCTTAATATTTAGAACATAATAGTCGTTTTTTATTTGGATTCTATTCATACGCTGATCTCTGTCCGATAATATTCTTTAAATAAAATTGGTGTTAATTTAATACAAAATCTGATGAAAAATTTAAGAAAAAACATTGATAAATAAATTTAAAAGGTATATATTTATGAATGATGAGATTTTTATATTTAAATATAGATAAACATGCAATAACACTCTTTCTTAATCTTCAAATCTGTGTGATCTTATCAAGTGATTAAATGCAATGAGTGCTAAAATCGTTTTTTATTGTATCTCTTGTCAGATTTCAAATTATTTAAGACGACATTTAGATTTCTTTAACTATAAATAAATTTCCTTTTCATTATTAATTTCAAAAGGTGTTGAATGAGAAAAGTTGTTAAGGGAAAGACATCGAGTAATTAGATTATTGCCAAATTGCTTTTTAATAGCTTTATAAGGATGACATAAATAGTCTTAAGAAATAAAATCGAACCTTCTTTGTTTCATTTAGTTTTTATTAAAACCCTTCTTTTAATCAAAGCAATTTAAGAAATATAATTAATCTCATCAATTCAATAGGAGGAAAACAGAAAAGAATATATACAGATTTCATTATTCTCCGTTTTATCAAAATTTTCATTAAATTCAATTTGGTACAATAAAGATGAGCTAATATTTTATCTATTATTATTTTATGGAGTAATTCATTTTTTAGTTGTAATTGTTGCATACTTAGATTAGTAAGGGAAAATAGTATTTGTAAATGTCTTTTTTAAATATTGTTAAATTGTATTCCACAATATCATATTCTTACCATCATTGAATATATTTATTAATTTTGCACTTTCATAAAACAATCTAGCATTATCACTAATCGGAATACTACTGACGATATTACTAGAATTATTATTTTGTTTTTTCAATCCTAAGATTGCTCTTTTTGAAATCGAAGGATGTTTCTCAATTAGATCAACTAATGGATTTTATTTACTAATGCAATTTATTATTTGCTTTGTTGTTTAAGGCAAATAATCGAACACTGTGGCGGCTATTTTATTATTATTAGCAAAATTAGCAGTAATAAAACAATAAATACATAATAATGATTACAATAGCTGGTATAATTTGTCTATTTCAAATTTTGTTATTTCTTATATTTTAGTGTTTTTGACAAATTAGTTTTGGAAAGATTTGGTTCTTATATATATTTTATTGAATACTCTCTTGAAATGTCTCAGATAAACAAAATGTGAAACAGAAGCATTTTAAAACAAAAATCTAACTTTTTATCAATATACAATATTAAAACATCCTCAAATGAGATCTAGTTTGAAAGACTTTTCACTATTTTATAGGACCCTATCTGAAAACAGAAAATCTAACTATTAAGAGTAAATGATAAAAGAAGGATAATTTGAAGAAAGATTTGCTATTATAAATCACGTCTATCAATTTAATCAAATCTAATTATATTTAAATTTGATCAAAATTAATTCAGATTAACTAAATTGGTTTTAAAAAACAAAACTTGAAGCAAACCTTCTTAATACTATATAATCCTCTTAAAAAGCAATGACATCTTCTTTAAATGTTCGATAATTCATTCAAGCACTTGATGTGGAATAATAAAACTTATGGCTTTTAATTAATTTAATTGATGTAAAATGCCAGTTTTATAATTTTTTAATTAAAGAGTAACCTCTTTATTAATATTTATAAAATTTCAAAAAACAATTTGATAAATTAATATATGCCCTTGAAAAATTTAAGGGTATTTTCGAAGGCTAATATGATCTTGAATCTGGAAAAATGAAAACTTCCAACACTTTCGATTATATTTCCATATATATCATATCTTCTTTTGAATATATTTTTTATGGTAATTATTTCAAAGTAATTTAACAATTGGTAATTTTAGGCAAAAGAACTTGAAAAAAAATAGAATGAAGTATCTGCATTAGATAAAATTATGAACTTGAAATTCTAAAGAAGTATTATATTAATAAATATAATAGATGAGGCTTTCCTTGTGTCTACAAGTGTTATTAGGAACTCCTATACAATTTTAAATTCTAAGAATAAGAGACTAATGTTAGTGTTAGAATAAGAAAGTGAACCAAAGTTGATTAGTGATTTTCTACCTCCATTTTCAAATACGATTTACAATAATCTTGTAAGTAATTACCTTTAGACAGGGTTTAATATAAAATAGCCTTGTTCTCTATATTTTTTGAGATTTGACTACTTAGTTGAGTGTGATTTTTATATAAATGCCCAAATGAGCAAGGACGACATAGTATTGTAAAATTATTTTGTTTTGAAAAATTAACCTAATCATTTACTTGTATTTGATAATGAAGGTAAAATATTAGGGATAACTTATGACATTTTTGGTTATTTAATTTAAAAATCAGACAATACCTATACAAAGAATTTATCAGTTTCACAATTTTTACATTGTGGAATGATTCAATATTATTTGCCAGAAATCTATAAGTTTATTTAAGATTTGGCAGGCTAACCTTCATCTGTTAGTAACCAACAGATTCTAAATATCGCATCGAGATGGGATTTTCCAATTAACCATAAAAAATGCTTAGATTCTACTTAAAATCTACTACACTAATCAGATGAATAGAGTCACAAATCAGTAAAAAAAAAGCCTTTGTATCACTAAACTTGGAAGAAATAATAAAGTTAGGTGTTGTTGGATGAAAATATTATAATTTAAAATGTATTGGTAAAACTAATGTAAAAGCAACTAATCTAATAAATACAAAATCTTGTTGTACCTTCTTCTAGGATGAAAAGCATTGAGTTTGAGGGTTCGTTGGAATTTGTAAAGGTTAAATAGATGGAAGGTGATTCATGTTATTTTATATTGAGATTTAAACAAATAGAAGATTATTCATAAGATAAAGTTTAGAAGATTGTTTAAGAATATTAATTTTATTCATCGTTGGCGATTGATGAATAACAATATGAAGATTTACAAATAGATTACGAATTTATTAGAAAAATAATCAATTATAAAACTTTCAATAATTCACTTAAATACAATATTATAATACTGCTATTCATGATAATCATTACGATTCTTGCTTTAATTATCAATTATACTTAAAATTATGAATAGATGATCTATTACTAGCATTTAGTTAATTTTCTTACTACTCCTTAGGCAATGACTTATAATATAGGAGCCGCATTTATATTGATGTGGAATCAATATTGTATTTAAAATAAATTGTATTTAACAAGTCCTTATTTAGAGTAGAGAAGAGAAACTTAACTAGTTGGTTTATTCGAATTTTGGAATTAAGTCCAAGAAGAATATACTATGAAACTAAGTATGAAGAGCATAGAATTAGGGATGAATAATATAAGTTTAATCTCGTTTGAGAACAATATTAAATCTACTGCTGATATAGATTTCTATTCATTTTATGCAATAATGCGAGAATCTATGGTAAGATAGTTTAAAAATACTGATTTTAATGATAGTACTACTTTTGATCCTGGAATATTGTAAACAAATGGAACAATTAGACAAAATATGCTATAAATATTTAAGTTTCATCACAAAGTATAAGATGAAGTAATAGAATAGACAGAAATATCCTTTTCATAATTCGAGGACCAAACCTTTAAGCTTTGTATTTATTCTTCTGCTGTAATATTACTCTTTCTAGTAATTTTTATAATAATTAATTGTTCTTTGTTATAAAAGTAAGCTAAACTCATTAGATTGCTTTAATACTTGAACATCAACATAATTTTTGATTAAGTCGAGATTTTGAATTTCTAAAAAGAATAATTGTAAAAATTATTAATAGTGTAGAATATTCAAAAATCTAATCCTCTGACTTCATAACAAAACGAAAAGGCTCCTTTAATTTAGACCAAACTTAATCCTTTGAGTAAATTAGATAATTATGATGAGAAGTATCATTTGTTGATAATATTATCTTTGATCATAGGAGTTTAACTCATATTTTTCATTTTTGGATCTTAGATAATAGCTCAATTGTATAATAGAGATCACTAAGATAGTTTAATCTTAACAATGAAATATCTTAAATTAAAAACTCGATTAGATTCAACTATAATTGTTGGGGAAATAATAAAAACTGAGCATCTTTTGAAAAATAATAGTAATATTAATTTCATTAATGAGACTGAACACATCTAGTTCTTTTTTGACAATGTTGATCAGTTAAACAATTTATCAAATAATATCAACAATGACCTTCTAACAGTTTCATCCTACAACTCCTCCTTTTAAGAGAAACTCTTAGACATATTTAACAAAGATTTATGTCTGCATTACACATTTTTATTAAGTTTTTGTATAATTGACAATATCAGAATTGATTATTACGAGAACGAAAACTATTTAACATTAATAGATAAGGGGATATTTGGAATATTGCAAGATTTAGATAAATTAGCCAAGTAGGATTACAATTATGAGTATATCAATTAAAAATATGAATACAACCAAAGCCATTCAGATTACTTTCTAAGCTAGCCAATTCATAATCACTTATTTTAATAATACTTTATCGAAATCTAAACTTGTATTTATCTGTGTTTTCTTGATATTTTTGCTGAAACCAAAGTTTTAAGTGACAGATTATCAAGTTCGATTCTCCTCTACTTAGTCACATCTTCTGTCGTGTAATTTATTTATCAATATATAGTTTCTTGTTATTAACATGGTCGATTGCTGGATTTTGGATTTATAAATAATATAAAAGATGTAACCAATTAAAGTTAATAGCTACTTTATTTCCTCCTGCTTTATTAAAGTAGAATAGCTTCAATAAATTGTTGCATTTTTAATTACTGTAAAATAAGTGATTGTTAATTTGACATAAATATTTACAAATGAATTAAATTTGATATAATTATCTTAATCTTTTTTTAAATTGCTCCTTTTTTGATGGTTGTAACCTTAGAGAAGGGAGTATAATATTTATTCCAATATTTATAAATTAGAATGAATTAATTTATAAAAATATTTATCAAAATTTTGTTTTACCTAATTTTTAGCTAATATAAAAATATCAAAAAATAATAATCCCATAAAGCATTTATTTTAGCACCACAAACATATTTTACAAAATTTAAACCTTCAAAAATTGCAAATAATATTCTCCCTGAAAGTGGTTTTTATTTTTCACCTTTTTAGCTACCATTAATATTAAAACTTTAAGAATTACCTAAATCTCAATTTAGAAGCTAAGGAGACATTTACCACATATTAAGGCTGTGTAGAGGAATCATTTTATGAATCATCTGAGGGCACATTCATATCTATCCTTGTCCTTTTGTTGCCCTTTTGCTTAACTTATTCTGGTTACAAAAACCAGGTTAATTATTCTAACTTAAACTTAGATCTCACCTCTTCTGCTTCACTAAAAGACTTAGATTATCTTCTCTTTCTACTTGCTTACTGTTATTATCCTGCTTGTTTTTAACTATTTTTTATCACTTATCTTTCTGGATTCTCCTAATTCCCATTTTTTTACCTAAGAATCTAACCAAGGCTAGATTTATTAAGTTGACCAGTTAATTAGACCAATCTTAGAAAGCTACCTCTTGAAGGGGTTGGGGTTGGGGTTGGGTTTGGGGTTGGGTTTGGGGTTGGGGTTGGGTTTGGTTTTTCC